CCCCCCACCCGCATGGTCATCAGGATCTGAACATTGCATGCAGGGCATTCTGGAAAGACTGCGTGGCCAAGAGTAAAACCGGGCACTTCAGCTTCTGGCTGGGCAAGATCCACGTCGTGGGTGTGTCCGGCGCAGCAGCTCGCAAAGTCTTTCTCGACAACCCCAACTTCGACTTTGTCCGCGGTGCACAGCTCGTCGGCCATGGCCCCGACTTCGTCCCTCCCCTGCACGAGATCTTTCACTCCAACTACCAAAACGGCCGAAGCTACTTCCAGCGCCGCCTGGTGGATCTGCAGAAATCGGAGCAGCTGGCTAAGCGTCTACCCGGCGTTGCAAGGGATGCGCGCGTGGCCTTCGAAGCGCTGCGCGAGAACCCCTCCAGCGTCATGAACCCGACCGACGCTTGCTATCGGCTGGTCGTGCAGCAGGCCAGTCGCGTGGTGTGCAGCGACGAGATCGCCGGCAACCCGGCGCTCCTGGCCAAGACGCAAAACGTGCTGTCGCTCCTAATGCACACCAGCAGCATCCACACGGTCGCACTACCGTACCTGCCGTCAATCGCCAAGCTGAAGCGCCGATGGGGACGATACGGACTGAGCCGGATCGTGACGCCGATCGTGCAACGACGGCTGCAGAAGGGGGCGCCGCGCAGGGACGACGTGGTACAGTCCATGGTCGACAGCGGCGACTCGCGGGAGTGGATGGTGAACTTCTTCATCAGCATCCTGTTCATCGCGTCGGCAAACGCAGGCTACCTGTGCGGCGCGATGCTGAATATCCTCGCCCACCACCCGGACTGGCAGACCAGAATCTACCGCGAGATCAAGGCCGTCGCCGAGGCGCACGCCCCGAACCGCCACGCGCCGCTCGTCGACCAGCTCGACTCCATCCCGCTGGAGGCCTGGGAGACCTTCTTCCCTTCCATCGACCTCTGCTTCAAGGAGGCCATCCGCATGTGGGTGGCTTTCCCCATGATCCGCCTCAATATGGCCCCGCACGCCGTTCCCATCCCTGGCTCCAACGAGGTCATCCCCGCCAACACCTTCGCCGCGTACAACACTACTGAGGTCCACTTCAACCCGGAGTTGTACCCGGATCCGTACAAGTATGATCCTGACCGGTTTCGCGAGGGAAGGGAGGAGTTCAAGAAGGAGGTCTATGGCTGTAAGTCTTTGTTCGACGGTTGTTTAAGCTGTGTGTATTGACGAAATTTAGTTGTCGGTTGGGGTCAGGGGAAACACCCCTGCATGGGCATGCGGTGGGCCAAGATCCAGCTCAACATTATTCTGGCCTATGCCCTGGCGATGTATGAGTGGAGTGGATGCGACGCGGATGGACAGCCGAGCACTCACTTCGATCGCAAGACGGATCTGAACGCTCCGGGCCCTAGTTTGCCTGTGGGATTGTTTTGCAAGTATGTGCCCAGGAAAAGGGCTTGAGAGGCAAGGAATATGCATTGGAGATGTCTTTACTAGTCAGCAATGGGGTTATCTATACCATGTAGCAGAGACACAACTTTACAATGTAGGAGTGTGCAGCTATCAATCCCACATATCAATTGAAGTAGAAGTAGATAGGAGTCTGAATAACCAATCAATTGAAACATAGAGATGCGCACATAACCATCGCAGCCCAGCAGCACAGCCCACTTCAGCAAGCCCACCACGCAAACCTACACCACCAGCCCAATAGTCAAAAAGCTACTATCCCGCGCCAACCTCTCTTTCAGGGCAATCAACTCATCAACATCCCAATGCGCCCACAAATACCTACCATTGAGAAACCCACTCTCCGGACCGGCCAACCACCTCGCAAAATGCGCCGGCAAATCAATATCCTCCCAAGCCGTCGCATCACGCGCATAATGCTCCGCAACAGAAGGCGTATAGAACGCACCGGGATGGAACGAGAACACCCGGAGCGCCTCACTCTCCCTCTCCGCCGCGAAATGCTGCATGACCTGCGCAAACGCCGCCTTACTAGGCCCATACCCGACGCGCAGCGGACTCCTAGTCTGCGCCGCCGCCGACGAAACATTGATGATGGTCTTGGACCCGGCCGCCGGGTTCGGTAGAGACAGGTACGCCTGCACAAGCTGGAAGGGCGCGAGGACGTTGACGTCGAATGCCTCCTGCATTTCCTGCCCGGTGACCGCCGTCGCGGGCGCCTGGCGGTGCACGACGGCTGCGCATAGCACCAGCACGTCGATCGTGCCTAGTTCGTTGATAATCGCCGCCATGCGGCTGTGGTCCGTTATCGAGGCCGCGTAGGTTAGGATCTGCACCGACGGGTGCGCGGCTTCCAGGGCTGCTTTGGCGGTGGCTTGTGGCTCGGCTGAGCGGGAGACGATGGCGATGCGGGCGACGTGCGCTTCGGCGAAGGCGCGGCAGATGCTGTAGCCTACGCCGGAGGAGCCGCCGGTTACGAGGATGGTTTTGCCAGCGCCATTGAAGTTGTGGTGCTGCGCGATTCGGGCGTAGGTTTGTGAGTGGTAGGTCGTCGTTGGACGCGGGAAGGAGGAGAATTTCGACATTATGTTCTCGTCCACAGGGTGCTGGATTGGGCGTTTGTTGTTTCAGTGGGTTTGGTGTTGGGCTGCTCTGTGGACAGTCTATGTGTATTCTCTGGTGGTAAGGTCAGGCTGACTGTGTTCGGGCTAAGACTGTGTGTAAGTGACACGAAGGATCTATGTCCCGATTGATAATCTGACAAGCCCGGGGTTTCGGAAGTTTCGTAGACTCAAAGGGGTTGCTGATTTGGGCGTCAGAGTCGTAGCACTCGACAGACCGCTATTAAGCATAGGTTAAAGACATCTAGATTGTCTAAGTGTTGAAGCGTTGAGTCAGGACTCGCCCACTGATGCATCAAGGACGCATCATCGAGAGTAGTGGCCTGCACAACAGAGTAGATGGATCCTCGAAATGGATTTGCAGAGAGGTGTTTTGCACCAAGCAGTAATAGGTGGGCATCTTAGCTCATCGGGGAACTCAATCACCATGACACTGTATTTTAGTGGCATAATAGCTATTCTCCAACAAGGTAATATTTCAAAGCCATAAGATGCATATGACTCCCAGATAGATTAAGCTATCTTGAAAAGAAAATGTAGGCTCCCAGAAAGACAGTCATGATGACCAGACCAGATGTAGACACCACCCCCGATACTCCCTGCTGAGCATCACTCGGGAACTCCAGACCGTCACGCACAGCGCCATCGTTGATCCACTCCTCAATCCATCCAATCGTCATTCTATTGGCGTCAGTCAAAATACCTCTTTTATGCCAGTGTGCTAAACATACTGGCTCCGCTTAGTATCCGCAAAGTTCTCGTGATCCCCAAAAAGATGTTCCTTATAGTACGGATCCTCCTTCATCTTCTTATAGTGTTCCACACTCTCAAACACCACCTGACTGAAGCAATCATAGTCGGCAATATTCGCCATCTGGCGATCATAGATCGTGTTCATCAAGAGCCGTGTTTGAGTAGGGTTGTGAATCTGCAACTCCATCTCAGTTCGCCCAACGAATTGAACCAAAAAGAAAGGCGAGACGTACCACCGTCCATCGCTTGACACCGTATTTGACCATCAAGTCTTTCGTCAGCGGCGCTGAGACCTCAATCATATGCCGACGGTATGCCTCCTCGCTCATCCCGGGCTTTCTGTAGCCCAGGATGGTGAGACAGAGATACCGGCTGGGCGGGAGGCCCTCTGTTTCTGCAGTCGTGGCAGTGGTTGTAGCCATTTCTGGTGGTTGACTCCGGCTCAGGGTACTGGCATTGTAAACAAAGGAGGGTGTAAAATAACCCGAATATATGGGGTGATGGTTCGGTGGATTCAGGGCGTTCGGGGTCCGGGTGTCGCTGCCCGCTTCCCGATTTCCCGGATAGGGTTGCAGGATCGCAGTGGGTGGTATATAGCCCTCATTCAAAAGCGACATCAATAAGGCTAGCTACCGCACAACCAATCATCAAGGCACCACAAGCAGAACAAAAACACAACCAACATGGGTTCCACCGAAACAGCCACTCTGAACTCGCAGATCGGGCTGTCGAACGAGCACGTCGGCATCCTAGGCGACGCGCCCGTGGACAGCGCCTCGATCCAGGAAGCGAACCGGCTGCTGCAGAAAAACCACGAAGAATGGCACATGTTCTTCCGCGACCGGGCGGGTCACAACCACATCGCGCACTCGATTCTGACCTGCCTGGCCCTGGGGGCGGCGCCCGAAGACATCCAGCGGGCGTACGACGACGGGGTGGGTATCCAGCGGCCAATCCCGGAGGTAGACAGCGCGACGGTCGAGCGCCTCGCCGACGAGGAGTTCTTCTACGGGACGCTAGGCGAGATCACGCAATACACGTCGTTCCTGGTCTTCTTCCAGCGGCAGATGGACGCGCACGGCTGGCAGGCGACGGTGAACAAGTACGTGTTCTCGCGGAGCAAAGTCGCGGAGAAGATGCTGGCGCGGCTGTACGAGGGGGCGTACCACCCGATCATCCACCTGGGGCTGGGGATCGAGTTCCAGCAGCCGAGCATCATCGCGGAGGCGCTGGCGCAGGCGGCCGCCCACGACGACAGCCACATCGGCCAGCTGTTCGAGGCGTGCGAGGCCCAGGCGGCCATCGCGTACCCGCCCAGAAACCTCAAGCCGCTCATCCAGCTGCTGCACGAGACCCGCGCCAACGAGTCCATCCGCTCCGCGCCGCGCTGGGAGGACTTTGGCAACAAGATGCGCGACGGCGTCGTCGGCCGCGCCAAGTTGGAGATGGCGTTCATCGCCTCGCAGTTCGTCGTCAAGCCCGAGGAGTTGGAGCGTCGCACCGCCGAGATGATCAGTGTGTGTGCGTACATGGCCGGCGCCAGCCAGCGGCCTGGCCGCAAGCGCAAGATCGACTTCTTCTACATGCATACGCTCACCAGCTCGATCTTCTTCAGCGTGCTGATCAGGCAGGACTGGATCAAGCTTGAGGACCGCGTGCGGCTCGTCGAGTGGAAGGGTCGGCTTGATCTGGCCTGGTATGTCGTCAGCGGGTCGGCGGAGCTGTACGAAGACGCGATCACGGGCTATCATGATGATTTCAGTGCCGAGATGGGGTGGAAGGAGCTGTATGCCGCTGTGAACAAGGAGCATGATGATGGGCATGTGGCTAAGATGATCCGCGCGCTGAAGAATGGACAGGGGGCGTCGCGCCCGTTTGAGGCCGAGTACCCCGATGTGTTCCCGGTCAAGGGCGATATGTGGTTGAAGATCGCGCGCATGGCGCTGGATACCACCAAGGACTGGCCGACCGACCAGAAATTCGTCAGCTTTACGGGCTTTGATATGGGGTGGAAGATTCGGCCGGATCTTGCTTAGTTTGGTTCTTATCAGGAATTGCTCAAGTGTTCCCTATTGAAGATTGTAGACATAGTTGTACGAAGATAGGATTCGTGCTTATTGCGTGTTTATTTCTTACTTTGAAGTAATTTGCTACACGTAACAAAGCTCCATCGCTAGCTAGGCCCAGTAGAGGGCAGATAGGCATGCAAAAAAGGAAAGAAATGTCTCGCCAGACCGGTAGCAATGCACAACGGGGTACCAGAGGGGAACTTGGCCGACCCATCTTTATTCACCACGCTGACATTCTTCATCTCGTAGCGACCCTCATCGTCATCGGCCGCCTCAATCATCCCCGCCGCCAGATCAAGATACGACACAAATGACTCATCGTGATCCAGATTCAGCTCATGACCCCGTTGCGCATCCACGGCGAGCCCCCCAGGCTTGATGAAGATCGTCGAGACCAGATCCTCCTGCGCGCGAAGGTAGGCCTCCGTCCTGCGCAGGTCCTGGTAGACGTGCGACGCGGCTGTACGGAGGATCGGTCGGAACCACCACGGCATGTGTCGACTCAGATGGTCGTCAATCGTCCCGGAAGAGAGGAGGAGGATCCTGGGGAGTGGTGCGGGGATCTGGCCATGTAGCTTCAGCTTCTCGATCGCGGCGATGATGCTCTTTGCTGTGTCGAGGCCGACATGGCACCCGGGAACGTTATCGTTCGTCGTCACGACGTGGAAGATGGCGCGCGTGTCGCGGATGCATTCGGCCAAGAGATCGATATCGTAGATATTTCCCTCGTAGACCTTCACGCGCTTGTTGTCGGCGACCGCGGGGACTTTTTGGATTAATTTGGACTTGTTGCGGCAGTAGGCGTTGATTTTGGCGTCTTCGGTGCGCAACAGGTTGTCGATGAGAGCTGTGCCACAGTTGCCTGTGGCGCCAAGGATAGCGTAGGTGGACATGGTGGAAGGAGAGCCTGGTGATTGACCTGCATCTTTTCTTCGTTTCTGGCTAACACGCCCATAATTTTATCGATCGGACTTCCTGCCTGACGACTGAAGGTCGGGGTTCGGACATGGGAGCCAGGTATAACGATTGTCGGCACATAGTAGGCCACGGGGATTGAGGAACAGGGTTTCGGGTTGTAGCTTGTCCGATCGTCGCATACTTATATTGGCAAGTCCCATCCAGGGGGAATGACAGAAAGGGGGCTGCTTGGGCTGCAGTCGGGGGGTAGAATGTCCGACTGAGGTTGCCGCCCAACAATGGCAAGCGATTGACAGCTCGGGGATTAGAATGTCCGCCATTGTCCGCCATTGTCCGCCGTCAATGGAAATGGGCGGCGCCACAGATCCACTGCGACCAAACTGTGGCAAAGTCAATTGTTGTATACAAGACCGGGGATTTTGGCTGCCTGGACTTACACTATAAAAGGGAGACAACATGCATGGTTTCGAATCCTCATCAACCTAGCAAGCTACAGCATACTCTACTATAGCATCATCATAACAATACTCTCACTCTCAATTCGAACTACAAACTACAGCATGACCATTCGAGCCCTCAACCAGAACTACCCAGCCTGGGGATTTGCCGCCCGCGCAGAAGAGCATACCCCGTTCTCCTTTCCTCACAACGCGGGCAACCATCCTCATTCCAATCCGTGGTCAACTCCATCCGGAGGCAACCAAGTCGGTCGCCCCGGCCACCCCTACCCATCACCCTGGGCGCAATTTGGAGACGAGGACGAAACCAACGAGGCCACAAAAGACACCGGCGAGGCAGCTGCTCCACGCAAGCCATACCCCTACCCCGGTCCGGCAGAAGGTCACCCACCGTACGCCTTCCCGGGCGCCCCCGAGGGCCGCAAACCATACCCGTTCCCAGGCTACGCGCACCAGCCACATACCTACTCAGGCCCTGCTGAAGGTCGCAAGCCCTACCCGTCCCCCTGGGACGACGACGAGAAGCCCAAGCCGGTCCCGCGCAAGCCGTACCCATACCCGGGACCAGCCGAGGGTCACAAGCCCTACCCCTACCCAGGGGCCCTCCCCTGGCGCCAGCCCTACCCTTCCCCATGGGGCGACGACGACGACAACCTGGACAAATGCAAGCCCGCCTTCCCGCGCCAGCCGTATCAATTCCCAGGCGGCGGGCCGCACAGGGCAGGGCCATTCGCTCAGCAACAACCCTACAAGTTCCCGGGCCACGCCCACGGCGCTTCGTCCTTCCCTTACCAGCAGCACCCGCAGCAGCAACCATACCCATTCCCAGGCTCTCAACACGGTGGACCCAGCAAACGAGGATGGAACTGCCATAGCCCCTTCGGCGGCTTCGAAGGCCCCTACAACCCCTGGGCCTTCAACCCCAACCAAACACCCTACGCATTCCTCGCTTCAAAGTCCGAGAAGTACCAGCCCGACGTCGACGTATTCGATACTCCTGAGGCGTTTGTGATCCACGTACCTCTTCCCGGCGCAAAGAAAGAGGACATCGAGGTCAACTGGGACCCGAAGGCAGTGGAGCTCGGCATCACGGGAACGATAGGTCGGCCTTGTTCGGAGGAGTTGCTCAAGACTATTGCGCTGGACGAGCGGCGGGTTGGGGCGTTTGAGCGCAAGGTGCGCCTGGGGAGCCCGGGGAGTGCGCCTAAGGTGGATGGCGAGGCGATCTCGGCGAAGTTGGAGGATGGGGTGCTTGTTGTTGAGGTGCCCAAGACGGAGCCCGATAATGTTGAGGTTAAGAAGGTTGAGGTTGAGTGAGTGGGGTTTGAGATGGTTGCAGGCGTTGGCGGGATAGCTTGGGTGGCTGGGTAGATAGTTGAATTAGATTGTTAATGTACAGTACTATATTTGTGTCTTGGTTGAGATTCTTGATATGTATCTTGTGGATTGTCTTTCCTACTGAGACTATACCTTAGAGTCATTTTCGTCAAGTTGCTTATGGTGACTCTGTCGTCATCCACGCGAAGATTCCCGGCATTTGGGCCCACTGAAATGTACAACCCCAACTAGAGATATGCTGCATGTGCCCATGGGGTATAAGACTGTTAAAGCCCTACATAGGAAGTCTATTAAATCAAAGTAAACACTAAATGAACAATTTGGACATCTTTTATCGGGTCATTCTTAACTATACACTGTACTAAACCGGATCCCATAGACATCAACCCGCTTTCCCCGTGTAAATCAGGCCTGACCTGGTGCTAGCTTTCTGTTGACTACATGTTTTAAAATGCGAAAATTACTTCAACATATATATAACTTCACGAGTCCTCCAATCATGGATACCAAGCAGCACTCTTAGTCTTTAACAAGATTGATGAAGTAGTGATTATTTCAACATTTACCGTGTGGTGTGATGGGATAAATGAAGGTTGGGAGGCGCAGCATCCGGTCGCGCTTGAGAAATATACAAGAATATACCTACGGTCAAAACCGACAGGCTGGGCCAAGCAATAGCGTGAAGCTTGGGCAAACATTGCACAGGCTGTTGTTCCTCGACTAGTCTATTTCTGATTCAGGGGATACGTTTTGGGAAGAAAGTTCTATCGGTAGAAAAACCAGAGAGACGCTTCTTATTCCTCTTCTTTTTCTTAATTACTCATGGCTACTGCTGGCTTAAACCAGTTAAGCTTCTGAACCCTGATATCTTACATGACTATAGTCATATTATGGACATTAGGAAACTTGTTCTGGCCAAGGATGAACGAGGTATACCATAAACAACTATTGAGTAGTCAGCAGCGAGATAGCGATAGATTGGTTCCGCATTTTCATGTTCTTCTAACGAACGTGGCTGTTAGTAACTGCTGGATGAGCCCTCCCAATGTAAGTAACACATGCACAGTGACATCTTCATTATAAGTCAGCCCAATCACCTCCGAGTCTCGGACTGCATACCAAATCGAGTTATTTCCATGAGTCTCGGACACAAAGCTCGATAAGCGAGAAACATGAAAGCAAACCCTGGCAGCAGCCATTTAAAGTTGCCGTTGAGAGGTCGTGCTTAATCGGATGAATGTACGATGTCGCATCGATCGAAAAGCATGTAACTGCAGAATCTTTACTTCACATGGCTGAACCAGATACTGTCTCTGGAAGCCGAATAACACGAAGCTCGGAACTGAAAAAATCGGACCATTGTATTATGGAAAACGATTCGAGTTGGCAACAGCCAGAATGCCCCGAACTCCGAATAACCCGAGGTCGCTTTCCCGAAGCAATGTCAATAACTATACAAGTTTACCATACCGGCAAATGTTCCCAATGCGGAAAACAGTTTCAGAGACGAACCACCCCTAACTATCACCATGACTATCACCATGTCCAAGAACCCTACATTCGAAGGTACAACCGCCTCAAATCACATGACACCTCAAAGACACTAACAATCCCCAGATATCACAAGCTGTCAACGCGCCCTCTTCGAATGGGCCGACAGCTACGACACGAAAGACTGGGAGCGTCTGCGTAAAAGCGTGGCTCCAACGCTCCGCGTACACTGACCCTCCCCAACCCTCCCACCCAGCTTTTACAAATCTGACGGAAAATAGATCGACTACCGCTCCTTCCTGGACAAGATCTGGGAAGCCATGCCGCGCGACGAGTTCATCCTCATGGCCTCCGACCCGCGCTTCCTGGGCAATCCCCTTCTTAAGACGCAGCACTTGGTCGGGCTGAGCACGTGGGAGAAGGTAGCCGAAGACCGGATCGTCGGGCATCATCAGCTGCGTGTGGCGCATCAGCGGTATACTGATGATACGTTCAAGGAGGTGGCGGTTAAGGGCCATGCGCATGGCACTGCTACCATGTGGTATACTAGGGTTGAAGGGGAGTGGATGTTCGCTGGGGTTTGTCCTCAGATTAACTGGACGGAGTTCAATTATGATCAGGTGTTTGCGGAGGGGAAGGAGCATTTTGGGCAGAATGGCGAGAATGGTGGGAATGGGCATTGAGAGATTCAATCATTGTGCTGGCAAAGAATTGGATTTTATTGTCGTGAACGGGTTTTATGGACATCAAGATTGTCAAGCTTGTGAGGCTGATATGTCGTATCGAGACTTGTGATTGCTCGCAGGGAGTTTGTACCATATTTGCCAGCAATTGGTCGCGTGGGAAACATCGTGAGCAAGTTCCTCAATACATGCGTAAGGAGTGAGAATAGTATTGATAGGACTTTCACGGATTTATGAATAAATCAATTTCGATTCAGTATATGCGTGGCAAAATATAGGCACATTACCACTAACAAATAACCACAGACTATTACCACCAAGCGAAAAAGAACAAGCCACAAATCTAACTATAATACTCCTCCAACCACGACCTCAAAGCCCCGATCGTAGGATACTCCAAGAACAGACTACCGGCTACCACGATACCCAGCTCCTCGCGGAACTTCTCGGCAATCACCAGACTCATCAGACTGTCCACGCCCAGGTTTGCGAATGCTGCATCGTCAGTAAGATCAGACTGCTCCAGACCGGCCTCTTTGGCAATAAGGGCCAAAGCCTTGCCCGACGTGCTGTCGGAGTCAACCGCCGGGGCAGCAGCGGGCGTAGTTACGGGTGCGGGTGGTGTAGAGGCAGGGGCCGGTGTTGGCGGTGAAACCTGAGGAGTGACCTCTGCCACAGTAGGCTTCGACTGAACTACAGCTGGAGCCGCGGCCGGCGCAGACACAGCAGCAGGACTTGAACCACTAGCAGCAGCATAGGACTTGGCAATCGAGGAGTCCGGCGCAGCGAAGAACCGATTCATGAGAATGCGGGGGTAGCGACGGAATTGGATGCCTCCCACCATACCCATGATCACATTATCCTGGAAGACATACACATCTCCAAGGTATACTGACGGATCGTCCTTTGTCGGGATCATCTTGACATAGGACCTGTACTTCTGGCCCGCGACCAACGGCCGAGCGAAGCGCATACTATCCCATCCGGGTGTCACGCAAAACGTGTTCGCAGTGTCGCTGGCGTCAGAGACATTCATGATGAACCCGGCCAGATGGGCGACACTGTCGATGAAGTACGGGGGCACTGTGTAGCTCCCTCCGCCGGAGACGTGCTTGAGGGTGACGTCGGCAAAGGCCTCGAACTCGTTCATCACGACGGCTTGCATGCCTCGGTACTTGTCCGCGTATTCGACGAGATTGTTGCCGAAGAGAGTGTATGCCATCTTGTGCGAGAAGCGGTTGGCGATCCCCTCGGCTGCGAGACGCTCAAGGGTCTCGACGCGGCCCTGCACGAGATGGGCGAGCGGACTCCACGACGAAAGCCATGCGTCGGCGTCGCCGTAGAGAACGCGACAGGTTGCGAACGGCTCAGAGACGTTGCCGTCGTTGCCAACATTCTCCCAGACGAAGTCGGCCGCGCCGGCGTTGATGTCTGCTGTTGTTGCTGTGACTCGGAAGTACTGCGGTACCTTGGTGTTGCTTTGAGCGACAAGGCCCTTGGTGACCGTTAAGTCGGTGATGTTGACGTGCACCGATTTGGCTGTGGGGACGAGCTTCTTGTAGAGGTATTCACCGAGGGTGTAGACAATATCACCGTGGATTGACTGCAATATATAGTCAGTAAGGACCCGAAGTACAAGGTTTGATAGGCACTTACCGATGTAACGACCCCACAGTTATTCATCTTGTGTCCATGGGCAGCAGCCAGGAGGTCAGGCTGCATGAGATCAGACTGCATGACAACCTTGCCGGACGATCCACTGAAGTTCTCCTCGATGATCTGCTGGACAGTGGTGGTCTTGAGACTAGACACCGGTGCGGTCGCGGCTTGTCGATTAAGGCCCTTCTCAGCATCGTAAAATGTATTGCCCTTGGTAAGCGCCCAGTCGCCCCGGTACTGGATCCAGTAGTTCTTTTCGTTCCAGCTGTAGGTGGGAAGATCCAGAAGACGAAGCAACACCTCAAATGGCCGGTGGAACTCGTCCCAACGCACCTGGAGCCCGGCAGTATGAAGCTGCCCCAGACTCTGAGCAAGAGTTGTCCAATTATCCTCCCCACGACGAAAAGAGCCTACGGTAAGAGGCGCAGGGTCAAAGCTGGCTTTGATGAATGCCACACAGACCGGGTGAGGCCCGACCTCAACCCAGACAGTATCCTTGTCCACGATTGACGTCTCCTGCGCGTTCTGCATGGCAGACAGGAAGTCCACCGTTCCGCGCGTCGCTCGGCGCAAATACTCGGCATTGAGCGACTTTTCGTCGAAGACGACTTTGCCTAGCAAGGGAGAGACAATGGGCAGTGTCGGCGCCCGGAAAATAACGCTCTTTCTGGCAGTCTCCTCGAACAGATCCAAGATGGGATCAGTCTGGGCTGAGTGGAAGGCAAACGGTACATCGAGGAAGATGACCCTGTAGCCTCTCTCTTTAAGAGGAACGGAAACGGCCTCCATTTGCTCTGTTGTCCCGGAGAGAACAGTCTCTTTTGGTCCATTCACGCATGCGAGATCGTACGGCAAATCCTTTACTGCATCCTCAATCTCTGAGCGCGATGCCTTGACTGCCATCATCTTGTGTGTTCCGGCAGTACACAATGACTCCAGCATCTGGGCACGCGACCCGACGAGAAAAATGGCATCACTTGCTGAGAGAACACCAGCAATGACGAATGCGGCGTACTCACCCAGACTATGTCCTGCGACGACTTCGGGTTTGATGCCGAGTGTCTCCCAGTACTTGGCCAAGGCAATCTCAACGCTGGTGTGAGCCACTTGGGTGATGACGGGCGACCAGGCGTGGTCCTTCGGAAAGCTACCGTCGATGGCTGGGATGAACGATGGGAATCCATGCTGTTGACCCAGCCGGTCGAGGGTTTCAAGCTGCGATCGGAAGAATGGCGAGTGATGATACAGCTGTAAGTTCATCGACTTGTCAGCGGCACCTTGACCGGTGAAGATAAACGCGACCGGTGGTGCCCCAGTTGCTGGAATTGGCTTCATAGAATCGGCTCCATCCAGCTTGGAAGTAAGCTGTTGCTTCAGGCTGCTCACATCCGCTGCGTTGATGGCTACACGATGGTTGTGGTGGTACCGTCTGGCTGTGAGCGAGTAGGCCAGATCTGCCATCGACACATTGTCATTTTTTTCAAGGTAGGCAATCAACCGTTGAAGATTTCCCTTGAGGGAGATCTTGCTCTTTGCAGAGACAGTGAAACAATGACTAGATCGAGGATCCGATCCAAGTCTCTCTCGCACTGGGCCCTCCTCCAGCACAAGCGTAGTGTTACCACCAGCCGCACTGAAGTTGTTGACCACCGCAATGCGCTTCTTCTCTGGTGATCGGGACCAGTTCGTGGTCTCGAAGGGGATATGCAAGTTACGCTTGTCCATATCTTTAGGAAATCCAGGGTTGATATCAGTCTTGATGCCGACATGGCGTGGGATTGCACCCTTCTGCAGCATCAGCAGAACCTTGATCAACGCAGTCACACCCGCAGCAGCTTCTCCGTGACCGACATTCGCCTTGACAGCACCGATGTGAAGCGTCTGCTTGGAGGTTCTTCGTTTGCCCTTGATCGGGGCAAACACGTTGGTGATGGACTCCATCTCTTCAGCATCGCCTGCTTGAGTTCCCGTGCCGTGGAATTCCACGTAGCTGACATCGAGCGGATCAATGCCTGCGCGCGCCATGACCTGCCGGTACAAGTCGGACTGGTGGCCAGCGTGAGGGTGCGTGATAGAAACAGCATTGGCAGAGTGGTTAGTAGCCGCTGCTGGAATCACGCCCAGGATGTTATCATTGTCGGCCAATGCATCATTCAACCGCTTCATCACGATTGACCCGACACCATCAGCACGGCAGTACCCGTCAGCCGTGCAGTCCCAGGTCTTGCACGCGTTGGGCGTCTTAGTGAGGAAATGGCCATTGCACAGACCCGCAAAGGCGTCCGAGTTAGTGAGCACATTAAGGCCGCCTGCGACGACGGTGTCGACATCACCTGCCCAGAGTGCAGTGCAGGCCGCCTGGATAGTCGCCAGACTCGACGAACAAGCCGTGTCACAGTTGAAACTCGGACCGGCAAACTTGAAAAAGTAGTTAATCCGACCGGGACCAAAGGCACGACATCCACCGGGGATGAAGTACGTGCTGATCTCTTGACCCGTGTTGACCTCACGGTAATCGTCGCTCGCTTGGCCGTACCAGGTGCCGATGCGGTTTAAATTCGTCGCGGGCGTGCGGTTCGGCACATACCCGGCTCGCTCGAGGGCCTCGTACGCTGTGACAATCGCCAAGCGCTGCATGGGGTCGGTCTGTTCAGCTTCACGGGGCGACATGTTGAAGAAGGGGGCGTCGAAGAGGCCTGGCTCATCGATGAAGCAGCCATACGCGGTGTGGCTGGTGTTCATCCTCTTCCCGGTAGGGTCATGATGCGAGTCAACATCAAAGCGATCGGCAGAGATCTTCCGGTGCACATCCATCCCAGCTTCAAGAAGATCCCAGAATTTCTCCGTGTCCGTCGCGCCGCCAGGCATGCGACACGACATGCCGACAATGGCGATCTTCGACTGCATGGAGCTACCGGGTGCGTATTCACCGTCGTCGATGTCGGTCCCAACCCACGCCAGGAGGTCGTCAGTCTCGACATTGAGATCAATCATAGCGGACGTTAACGCACTCGAGAGCTGCTGAGCCGGCAGGGAATTGCGGAACACTTTAATGTTGACATCGTGAACATCACTCTTGGCCACCCGTTCCGCAACACCGCGAATCACATTGTCCCATACGATTTGCTTGGTCATGACTTCGAAAATCACCTGCTCGAACAGGTTTGCAGCGCTGGACGCAAGAAACGGCTGGCCTGAACTGGTCGACAAGACAGGCACAGTTGGCTTGAAACGGGATGGGAGCGAAGGGGATGGAACGACAGCTTGTGCATCTTCACGCGTATAGATATGAGCCGCATGACAGAGTCCGCCATATACCGGGAGGTGCGCAAACTTGCGGTCCCTGAACGAGGCATAGTTGCGGAAGAGGGCCTTGAGTCGCGATGGGGGTCCGCTGACAGTGACCGAGGTCTCGCTGATGGCACTGACAAAGATCTTACTAGCTGAGGGGGTGCGCTCCTTGGCTTGGATGTCATCCAGCTCTTTCTGGGCTTCGTCAACGGTCAGTCCATAGACAACGTACGCCCATGAATCCGAGGATTCTGGATCAACAGCTTCCAGGTTATGCGAGACGTCGCCCACAAACACGCCCAGACGAAAAGCAATGCGCAGGACTTCAACACCAGCCGTGACAACATCTTCCAGGGACGTGGAGACTGAAACGGCTGTTGAAACGAGAATGCCCACTCCCAGTCCAGTCAATAGACTGTTGGGCCCACTTAATTGGTCCTCCGGATATAGCTCGCAGTGCCTAAATAGTCAGCCAAGCACATGGCAAGAGAGGGTGAAGAACATACCCAATGTACGTCCCTAGCTGCAGGACACAAAGCAGCACACCATCAATGGACTGACAGAGCGGTCCCTTGCGCAGCTTGGTCTCACTCGCGAGAGTTGTCACCGACTCGAAAGCAGGAACAAGGTGGGCTAGCTCGGCGCGTAGTTGGCTGACCTCATTTCGCAGTACCCTCGTGGCTTCATTCAAGAACCGAGCCAATATGGAATGGCTACGGTGTTTGCTATGGTTGTGTAACCGGCGAAGCAGGGTCGATAGGTCATCTGTGGGGAATTCGTTGCTGAAGTAGAGGGCCTTGAATTTGGGCAGGTCCTGAGCCTCTGCCGGGGGGGTATAGGTTACCATGTCGAACGAGGCTGTGGAGGATGACGAGGAGGGAGCGGACATGCCCCTATTACCTGTACAATTGGCAACGAAGTTGTACCAAGAGGAGGAAGTTGAGGGCTAATGACAGACAGTGGAAGAGTGGAAATTGTCTAGCGTACACTGAATGCAAAGGACAGTGAATCAAATGCTTGATTATTGATCCAAAGTGACATGGATGTCCAAGCTAAATAGTCCATTCGATCAATGTATCTCAACTCATTGCCACTCCATGGACTAGCAGTAGAGACAAATAGCCCGACTCCCGAGTCGGGATCCGGACAACGGGTTAAGCAGATACAGCACCCCCGACGGGATATACAAATGAATCATCTAATTTTCCGGTTTCAAGTTTCCTTAGCACACGCATAGTTCATCATTATATGCCACAGAAACAATGGGCGAAGGAGGCTATCGACAGATCAACAAGACACTGAATGCCTGTGCATTTGATGACTATCTCGTGACCCAGCAGTCACGACTACCCAAACTGCTAGATGTCGAGCAGCTCAGCCCCCGGGTGCTGCGTGTCCTTGGTCAGAATGCAGGAAAGGTATGCCCCTCATTGACCCAAGAAGATGTTCGAAGCTAATTGTCAGTTCACCTTGCAAGGAACAAACACCTATATCGTCGGCACGGGCCAGCACCGCCTCATCATCGACACCGCACAAGGGTACCGCGAATGGGCCGATCTGATTGATGTCACTCTATCAGACCGGTCAATCTCTTTGTCCCACGTGTTCCTGACACACTGGCATGGTGACCATACTGGCGGGGTACCTGATCTCATCAGAATGTACCCCCACCTAGCCGATGGCATCTACAAGAACACGCCCGAGCACGGCCAACACCCCATCGAGGAAGGTCAAATCTTTCAGGTCGAGGGCGCGACCATCCGCGCAGTTCACGGACCAGGTCATTCCCACGACCACATGTGCTTTGTCCTCGAGGAAGAAAATGCCATGTTTACGGGCGACAATGTCCTTGGTCACGGCACGAGCGCCGTCGAGCAGCTGGGGCTCTACATGGAAACTCTCCGTAAGCTGCAAGCACAAGGATGTAAGACGGGCTATCCCGCCCACGGTGCCGTCATCCCCGATCTCAATCTCAAAATTTCCACCGAGCTAGCACAGAAGACGCGTCGAGAGAAGCAGTGTCTTGCTGCACTGGGTCGGATCCGGAAGGAGAAGTCATCGGGACAGTTGGCCAGTGTGACTGTTAGTGAGCTTATTGATGTAATCCATGGCACCTGCGTAGATGAGGAAGTGCGCAAAATGGCGTTAGAGCCATTCATGGAGGAGGTCTTGAGGAAATTGGCGGAGGATGGCAAGGTGGCATTCCGCGTGAGGAAGGGGGTCAAGACTTGGTTTGCTCTTGCCTGACGATTCTATTTTGATTGCTGCATTGTATTTACTGAACCTGCGCGCACCCTGTTATGATATGCATTGATGAATGCTTCTTTTATTCACTTTTATTCACTCGCATACGCTTGAACAAAGTGATTTACAGATGATTCGTGTCTCAGTGTGGTTGAGGGGTTCCACAACTCTGTCGGGATCATATTCTAACAAAGCTTACCAAGCATTTCCGGCCAATGAGACAATCGCAACACACATACTCGATTAGTCCAACGTGAAGTTCTATTGGCTGTCGAGGTCTAGACACATTTTCTAAGCAGCACCACCGTCAATGCCCAGGACCTTCCCATTCACCCATTCGCTCTCATTCGAGGCCAAAAAGCAGACTACTTTCGCGATATCGATCGGGTAACCGCATCGGGTCAAAGGCGAAACATGGGCCACAATCTACAACGTTAGTCTCTCATTAAGGATTGAGTGGTCAATTGAACTTACATCCAGAATCTGCTCCTTAGACAGCTTGTCCGCGTTGGGCAGATAATCCTTGGCCGTCTCGTGGAACATATCGGTGACAGTCCCGCCGGGCGCAACCGCATTGACCGTAATCTTCTTGTCACCACAATCCTTGGCCAGACAACGGACAAAGGTGTTGATGGCAGCCTTGGAAGCGGAGTAGAGCGAATGCTTGGGCACAGTGAACGAGTCAGCCGTGTTGGAGCTCATCAGAATGATCCGACCATTCTGGTTCAAGTGCTTGTACGCTTCGCGGGCGACGAAGAACTGTCCACGCGTGTTCACGCTGAAGACGCGATCGAACTCTTCCTCGGTGACCTCGCTCAGATGTCCGAATGAGACGACTCCGGCATTGGAGCAGACAATGTCAATGCCACCGAACACCTTGACGGCTTCCTCGAATAGCTTGACGGTTTGGGGCACTTGGCTCACGTCGGCCTGGAGAGCGACAGCGTCGGACCCGAGCGATTTGATCTCGTCAACGACTTGGTTGGCAGGACCAGCAGACTTGCTGTAGTTGACGATGACCTTTGCGCCGCATCGGCCCAGTTCGACCGCCATCGCTGCTCCGATGCCGCGACCCGATCCGGTCACCAGAGCGACTTTGCCATCGAGGCGGTAGGGGATGTAGGAGACAGAACCCATTTTTTAAGTATCACGGATAGTTGAAGAGTAAGGATGCGACTTGGGATATCTCACTCGACGTGTGATTGCACAGTGGTTGATCGAATATGGGGATTGGCGATGCTTTTTGTTCGCAGTCAGGGCTATTTTCTCTTTCCGAATACCGTCACCAGTTGTCGGGTTACAAAATCCCCCGTTATTGCCCGACCCCATTTCCCGACTACGCAGGATGTCAACAAAGCTGAAGAGCAATGCTTTCTTTTTCTCAACCCTTTCTATTCGCGTTAAGTCACTACTCGTCTTGTGTTTGGTTTCTTGGGAGTTATAGAACGTTCTTGCGCCTTGGATATAGTTACCCTGTGGTGTTCCACTTCCAGCCTATTGGATATATTTTCTCTGCCAATCTTTCACTCATCCCCAACAATCTTACAAAGCCACATTCTATCATCCTTACACCAAATCAATGCCAGCCCCATCGTCCACCCAAGCAGCAACGCTGCAGCGCTTCATCACCGCCTGGGAGAGATGGGACGCCCAAGAATGGATCTCCACCTTCTCCGAAGACTTTGAACAAGCCACCCTCCCCCTCGGGCTGAACATACCCGTCCGTTCACGGAAAGAAGTAGAGGTCGTTCTGCCTGCTCTAGTCGCGACGGTGAAATCCTATAAGGTACCAACACAGCCGCCGTAGTCTTCCCGAATAATGTTAACCTGCATAGCTACAAATTCACCACGTTATTCACGACCCGGAGAACAATAAGGCAGCCGTGTACGCTGCATCTACAGGAAAGCTTCCGTGGGGAGACTGGAATCTGGAGTACTCGGCATTCTTGAAGTTCTCGGAGGATGGAGAGAAGGTAGCTAGGCTGGAAGAGATGCTGGATACCGCATTTTTGCAGGATTTCGGGCCAAAGTTTGGGAAGTATCTGCAGGAGAATGGGGGGCCGGTTGCTGTAGCTGCTGGGGGGAAATAAGACTTTGGTTCTACAAATTTTTGAAATACAACATGAAAAACATTTCAGAAGAATACGGGACTGCTGCACTAGGAATTTCAGCCATGATTTCAAGAATAGGGTGAATGTCTATGTGCGCCAAGAGAAATAGTTCGTTGAGTGAGGAAACAACAAGCAGTATCTAGGGATGGTCGCCAGTGGTGTTAGATCCCGAGTAAGAATATCAGGTCAAGACGAAAATGTCATTTATTCGCAGTTCATGATAGATCAAATCAATATAAACGTTCAATGTTCAATCCGCCCTCATAGGATAAGATCTCTCCACTCAAGCTTCCTCCTGCCCTTTGATATACGCCTCCAGCTTGGGCAAAAAGCTCTTCATAAACACCCCGTCGAACATCTCCTCAATCCGATTGACATACTGTCCACTCTCATCAAACCACACAAAACAGGCGTGTTCGTTCTTGTAAGGCCCAAAGGGAGAATCAGCGGTGGTAATGGCATAGATCACCGCTTTGCTTTCAGCAGGATCATGGATCACGTTGTGCACGGTAAGCTAAAATAAGTTAACCTTCCATGTTATACTGGACAACACTCGGGAAAGTACCTGAAAGTTGGTCAAAATGGACATGAGCTTCGGGAAGAGCTTTTCGGTAATTGCGCGAGTGCGAGGTGGTACCCCAGAGCTGAATGGCAGGGTCACTTGGGCGCAGTCGTCGGACCAGCTCGCCAGGAAGCCATCCGGCGTCCAGCCTTTCCAGCCTTCAATGAATTTGTTCAGGGTCGCTGTTTGGGTTTCGGCCGCGGCAGGCATGATGACAACAACAACTTTAGTGGTATAACTCCAGAGCCGATTCATTCAGTTGAAATTGAGAATATAAAAGAGAAAAGACTTAACGTAATGTACTCGGGACATTCAGTAGATACGGATGTCGGCTCAAAGGGAATCGGAAGGGTGCCCTTCGGGGAAACACCCAATGAGCAATCACCCGAGAGTACTCTTCGTGAAATTTGTCTCAAGATGAGGAAGCGAAGGGATGAGCGATAATTTGATCTATATGTCGCTTTCTCCCGATTTGCGGTCTGGGATGGCGATTAGGCCAGAGAGTCTGCCTTGAAGCGGCATTACGTAGATTTCGAGACCCAGATTCTTCAAGATAACATTAGAACTTCAATCTGTAACTACCTTCTAGTAGCCAGGATTATTTTGGCAGGCCAATTCCCCTTGACAGCATCGTTCCCAATGATCTCCTCCATCTCCTGCCACAATTCCCCGAAATGCGGATCTTCCCTTGCAAACGGAAACGAAAGCACATGCTCCTTCACACCCTCAAGATCAGTCACAAAGCTCCACCCCTCCTCATGCACAAACACCTCGACATCGTCAACCCCGGTATAGTTAGGTTCGTCGATACGCAGCTCGGGCGGCAAGGGAGCGGTGATGCCGCCGTTCTCCATATTGAGATGAATCCGCTGCGCCCCAGGAAGAAATAAACCCTCGTCCAACGGGGCAACATTGTACTTGCCCTGCGTGCGGGCCATAACAGCGAACAGCCTGTCCGGGTCATCAGCCTTTGCCAAGAGAGCTCGGCCCCCCGAATGATTAATTCGGGTGTAGACGTCCTGGATGCGTGGATCCTCGAACTGGGCCGCTCCGAAGGCAGCACAGGCAAATGTACCCCCAGGACGGAGTTGGCGCGCGACCTCCATCATCGCGAGGTCCTGGTCACAGAAGTGCATGACATTGGTAGCGAAGACCATATCCACGCTGCCGGTGGGTATGTCGTCGCCCTCTTCGACCCGGGCAGCGCGGTAGGTGAACCCATCGTTCCCGAGACGATCCTCGGCGAGGACGACGTTCTCCTTCGCAATATCGGAGATGATGACATGCTGGAACTTGGGGCGGAGAATGTGTGCGTACGGCCCGTTGCCCGCGCCTACGTCGTGCACGGTGCCAAAGCTCCCTCCATGTGATTGGTGGTAGTTGAAGAGGCGCTGGAAGAAGACGTCGGGCGCGGAGGGCCGGCCTTTGAGATAGTTATTCCAGAAGGCTTTGCCTTTGTCAAAGAGTTTGTCATTGGAATCAAAAGAGGAAACGGTTGCTGTCGCCATGGTGTGTAGACGCACTGGGTTGGCGGATGGGGCAATGGTTTACTTTGCCTGCCACAATATTTATACCCCATTGACCCGTGTGCACCAAAAGGAAACAAGCTTCGGATATCGGGGTTCGGGGTAGAGCTCGGTGGTAAGATCAGCAGCATCTATTCTGCATTTGCAAGTGGATTACAAACGTAATGAATCACTTTATGCATGTAGAAAAAAAATTATTACCGGAGTCGCTTTGACCCCTCCCCCCTCCACGCCCAAGTATCCTCGCTGTATCGTGTAACGGAATCAACCCCGCCGCAGACGCTCCACAATAGCCCTTGACAGGTCACAAAGACGCTTCCGCAGATCTGTCTCAAGTGTGTTCACCAAGCCGGGCGAGAATGGTGTTAAGAACGCATGTATGCCTCCTGCAAGGGGGCCGGTCATGTGCAGCGAGGGGTCACTGGCCTCCTCTTGTCCCGCCGTCACCGAGATTCTGCGCAGCCTCTGCGACAGCAGATCAACGGAGGCCTGAACGCCTGCGAGCTTGGAGAGAATCCGCTGCACGGCGATGCGCTGCGCATCCTCACACTCGCAGTCGGTCGAGGCTGGACCCTGCAGGACAGGTTCGAGTGGGTCTTCGCCTGATGCAGCCCCCGTGGCCGCGGTGTACCAGGCGATGACACGAAAGACTACGAGACACAAGGTGAAGAGAAGGTAACTGTCGTTGGTACAGTTGCATTGCAGAATTGTGCGGACGGTCTCACTGGTCTGCTCGTTTTGGGCGAGAACGCGTTCGAAATCGGGCAGCTCGGGGATGGTTGCACCCGGATCGTTGCCACACCCCGGATTGGCCGGGGAGAGATCGGCTAAGAGGCCAAGAGCACGAGCCAAGCATTGGCAGGAGGCCGAGTTAGGAACGCTGATCGACGGCAGGGCATCGATCTGAGGTCGCACTGCAGATGCGGGAGATGTAGGGAGGGTGATGGGCTCGGGTGCAGGGAATGGACACGTGCGGGTGTCTTCGAGGGTGAAGTCAAAGAAGGCGGCTGCATCGTCTTGCTGATCTAGAGGAAGTCCTACTGCCGATGCGAACAGTTCGTCTAAATCTGGGAAAGAGGAGGCGGGGATGGATGATAGGCAATTCTCGTCTAGCGATCTCAGGGCCCCGAAGATATCGGGATACGGCGAGCATTGTCTTTGGAGATCTAGCGATGGGGACAATCCACCACCACCAGGTGTGGACGGATTCGTGGTATCGCTTGCCTGCGCCGATGTGAATGTTGGACTTGGTGACGCCGTGGCTGTCATTGTCGCTGTCATCGTCAAAGCCGAATCCCTTCGTGCTCTTGTTGGATTTTTCCCCGATGTACGCCCTGCACGCTTTGCAGTGCTATACACGCAGGGGTGATCTCGTTTGGCACAGCGAGCACAGCTGGGCTTCTCTTTTGTACATCCGACTTTGGTAGCCGCACATAAATCACAGGATTTGCGCAGCTTAGATGAGGCTCGTGAAGATGGGCTCGGCAATGGTGAAGCCATAGTATAGGCGTGGAAGAAAGCAGGGTGATTCAATCGCCGAACGGGAAGTAGAGAATGCGATGAGGGCGTGGTGCCATCTTCTTAATGCTGCGCAATCTACAGCTCTTGCAGACCACGAGCTGTGGTGGGCACAACTTCCCAATCACGAGCTGTGGCTTATGTCGATCCTATGAATCCCAGCTTAGACCAGTTTCCTGATTTATAAGGCGCCAAAGAGGAAGCAAGATGGTTCTCCTCAGTCAGAGTCACCAAGAAGGCTTTCAACGTGATTGGCGTCCAACCATCGATAAACCCTCTCGTCAAGTAGCACCGCACCCAAACTACTTCTGGAGACAAAAGTAATGGCGAAACTACATCCAATGATCGGGCAAAGTGACGTGCTGCCGATAATCAATCGGTCCCCTGATCTTATGATGGATGCTATTGCAGGGATACCCGATATTAAGGCTTACCGCGCTTCCATTTGTTGATAGGCTCTATTTGAGAGGTGCTGATGTGAGATCTTTGCCACTTATGATTAGCCTGAATGTAAGGGAGCAAGGATCAGCGTAGATGGCTTTTTTTTTCTGTCCCAGTAGGGTTATCTCCCGACCCTCCCTCACTCATGTCCAAGGCTCAGAAACAGGATCGACACCTCCCTGAAGTGCTTCTGCATGGTACCAGGCAGTGACTCTAGACCATCCAAGCGCCGTGGGGTAAGTAATCTTCTCATGAACACCCCGGTCATAGCTTGCGCAGCTCTGAAGGATCCCACATTCTCCCTGTTCGCCACGATAACATACCAGAAAGAAGCAAACACCACACTACGGAGACTATTCGTTCTGGGATAAGCTCTTGGTTTACAACGCAAAAAATGCTTGATCCTCACAATGTCTTTGATCGTGCATTAAGCGAGGAAACCCGAAGGGTCAAAAGAAAAAGAAAAGCCCATGTTTTACGCACGGCGGTCTAGTGCTGACGGACACTGACAGGGGCGTTCCGCATAGCGTTACAGCGCAGCGCGTATCGCAGCTTATCTGGCTGGAGATAGAATGTCCGAGAGAGTCGCTCGCAAGCAATTTCCGGGGATTCTAACTCCCGAAGCTAGGATTGAAGGGAAACATCTTCAGATCCTGCAGGAAACGGGCGTCACTGCACAGGTGTCAATATCCTCTGCACCTCGTAAAAATCCCGCCCCGGCGTGAGGGCCACAATCAATCTGCCTCGACCCGTTGCAGGACTTCGCCAAATGTCTTCTTCATGAGTCCGCATTTTGCGAGGATTTCTCCGTCTTGCGGAAAGCGGGGAATTGTGGTCACCCTACGCATAAAGCTGTGAGTTTGGATTCGACAGCCGGTCTTCAGCTCATTCCTGTCTAACCTCCCATGACATGGCATATCTAGATGAGTTGGAGGCAGCCTCGAAAGAGCTCTCGGCCGCAGTCGAGGATCTTGCCTCGCATTACAGAAATGGGAGGACTGACAGTCTAGGTGCTCGGCAACCACAGCTGATACCAACGGGTGCACCTCCAGAGGTCCACAGAGCAAGAGAGTCCGCGTTGGCAAGTCTGACTAAATTGCAAGTCATGCTGGCAGGACCGACTGATCTGCTGCAGAATCTGGCAAGCCAGGTATGAACCACCTTCTCTTGCTGACATAAAGATTAACCAAGACATAGATGCAGTTGCTCGCCTGTATACAATGGCTTGGCGACTGTCAAGTTCCGGCTTGTATCCCTTTAGACGGCACAGCCTTGATCAAAGATGTATCCAATCTCATTGGGGTGCCAGAAAGTCAACTATGTCGCGTTATCAGAATGGCGACTACTGGAGGCTTTCTCCAAGAGCCCCAACCAGGCCATGTGGCCCATAGCGAAGTCTCAGCAACCTTTGTGACAAAACCGTCGTATCTCGATGCAGCCATGTTCTTGGCTGAAACGGCTACTCCTGCCGCCTTGAATATGGCGACAAGCATAAAGCAACATTCTGGCTCCGATGAACGAAAGGATGGGGTCCCTTGTCTAGTTACGTTCGCCACTGCCAGTGAAGCCCAATTGCCACGCCTGCAGCGGCAGTGGCAGGCCTATCTCAGATACGGAACGGGCCATGTATGCGACACGGCTACAGATGTCTTGACGTGTCTAGAGGGAATTAGCGTGACGAATGAGTCTGCCGTCGTTGAGGTATTGACCCCTCAACCACTCGAACCCCATTTACATGTCGCTTATCAAGGCTTGAATGAAGGTCGGCGCACGATCCACAGAACGGGCAATCGCTCTCGCAAACCAATATCCATCGCTCCACTTTACAGTCCAACTCCAATCCTCCAGACACGACAGACCTCGGACCCCAAATCCCCGCATAACAATCTCGCACCGCCAGCCAGGAACCCCACAACCAATCCTCAACGCAGCACTCTACATCCTCAACTTTCCCATCCCTGTGCCAGGCTTATCACTTACCCTGATGGCGGCGCAATTCTCTGATGAGCTTCGCGCGCATCTCCCTGCACTCAGACTCAATCGTTCAGCGACATTGGTCGTCATCGCTCCCTCAATGTCGGACTCGGAAGAAGGGATTGTGTTGACGCGAATCCGCGATCTGTCCCTAATGCAACTGGCGAGTCAACGCGAACTGGGCTTATCCGAGGTGATCAATCTGCTGAATGGGGTCAGTGACGGGGAGGGAAGGTTGGTGCTCGTGAATCAAGTGCGGTCGGTCGGGAAGTACGGGGTTGTTGCGTTGGAGGTGAAGTATCAGCCTCATGAATTTGTGAGATAGGATGATCTGAGTGTAGCGGATTGAACGACGTGAAAGCAATCATTCTGAATCTACGAAAATTGCCCGTGTCTCTCAGCGCCATGTCCCTTCATTGCCGTTTCGGATAGCCACTATTGCAGAAGACTGACTAAATCCTGCGAACTCAAGCTCGGCCGTTAGCCTCGAGCTAATACCAGAGTCATATAGGATGACGGCCTGCCAAGGCACTGTTGTCTTCGAGCTTGGTATCCGTGATAGGTCTTGTCAGCAATCCTTTGGCTTGGCGTCGGAGGAATTGAGACAGCGGAACGATTATGATGACAATCACGAGCACGAAGGATATTGCCAAGGTATCGAAGCGTTCTCTCCTTGTCGTTCTTTGGCTCCTCAGTATGCAGTGCAATTATTGCTGCCGTCTGTCTCTAGATAATCGGAAGATACTCGTACAATACAATGTTATGCTAATACTCAATGCTGCAGAGAGCACTTCGTATCTTTCACTGCACCTGTAGTGGGTTCTCTCATGCTGAACGAATACCAGAGTCCATGGAATGCTAATTCTCTATAGTGTAACCGCGGAATCCTAATCCGATCACGAAGAATTGCCTTCGACCAAGCTTCTTGACATCTCTCTTGGCACATCCAAAGTCAAGGTCACCATGACATCATTGTCTGATTTGCGCTTGTTTTGCCCTCGTAATACAGCAGCCTGTCAATAGACATGGCAACTGTGATAGGCGCACGGAGCGGAGGGGTTGCAGGCGCAGCAGGAAGTCGAGACCTGACTTGGGTGGTGCCGACCAGTCACAGAGCACCCAGCGAAATCCTTGACAAATAGATATCACGCTCTGCATGGGGCCAGCATTTCCGACTCAGACCCTGGGCTGGTGCGTCTCGTCTCCACTCCGCGTACTTTTGTCGGCGTTGGCGCCGTGGGGTCGGAGTTTGGGGTCGGTGCCGAGCGGGGACAAGCCACCGAGACGCCTGGCAAACATGCTTGATTTCTTCAGCTCCTCTTCGCAAACCCAAATATAGCGTGGCAATGTGGGACTGTGCCTTGGAACTGGCCCCGCATGACCTTCCAGCTGATGAAACTACTCCGCACTCCCCGCACTTGCGACTACTTATCTCGGGTGTAGGGCTGGAAGTCGCGGTCGTGCGCAAGAGGCAGGAGAGATAGCATCTCCGTGGGCGCCACCGGACTCGGAATCGGTCTGATCTCCGCTGTGTTGCGATTGTTCATTATGTATCGGTAGTGCGATGCACGGCGCTATTCATGCCGAAAGAGGAATTGGCCTGGTTCACGGGCTTCAGCGACGGTTTCCCAAGGAACATGCTGAGTACATTGCTATCTGCGAGCCTCGAGAGGTTGGGGCAGGGTGCACCCTTAAGGACTTGCTTGAATTGTCTGTACTCCTTTGAGATCTCTCTGTAGCTCTTTCAATCCGAATCGTACCCTGAAGCATGGAGTAACCAGATGATGTCAGGCCACCAGGGCGGTCTGGTCGGGATTTAGCCCTAACCCGTCGGTCATACCCGGCTGCCACCTCAGATAATAAGAATTGACAGCCTGAACCGACTTCGCGTTGAGGAGGGTGTGAAGCATGACGCTCTGCATTACAACTACTGGCTCTGTAGGCCCTCCTGGAATTTCGCCACCGCGAGGGGAAAGCCCACCTTGACCTACGTTGTTCCGAAGCATACCATACACCACAAAGTCTCAAGGATTGAACTAAAAATAATCCGATAACCCGACTTAATCAATTCTATCGGTTTCTATGCTCGACAGATGGGCTTTCATAAGTAGCGTACGTAAGCAGGCAGACTAGCCCGAATGTTCTTCCCACTTTTGGTAGATCTTGCAGCTGAGGCTGCGAGATGTCAATTTGTCTAGATGTTCCTAGGGCGCAGTGTACACCCGAAATATTGCGCCTAATGCATATTCACTGAGCAGGGGATGTTATCTCCGAGATAGTGAAGCCTCTGGCCACGCCAAAATCTGAATCCCTGTTGAGAATAGCGGCAATATTGCTATCTAACAAAGCATTACGATTCAGTCAACGCCACGGTCTCTATTTCCTAGCTGACGATTGGTCCTTAGGAGACTCAGATTATCGCTCGGCACCACATCATATGCGACGTCATTCACATACAAATGAAAGGCTCAGTCTAGACTAAACCTCCCATACGGGACCAGCTGCTGACCTGCATACGATTGACCGGGCCGAAACACTGCACGCGCGAAGATTATCAACGGAGACAGCCAATGACAACCACCAAGTACACATTTATATACCTTTTTGACTCGCCCTCGGACAAGCGAGCAGTGGGTCAGAACGAGGCATCCACGAGGTGCTGGCTGGTGTAATCGAGTTTTATCTTCAGGCCCCGCCACCGCCAATCAGAGTCCCTCGTGGGTCCTAATGCACCCTCTCGGAACTAGAATCTAACAGGCATAATCAGAGGGGGGCATGGATCCACCGCAGGAATCCACTCCGACTCTACGACCCGGTCGCCACCAATCATAGGCGCCGAATATGCGGATGCGTACTGCAGATTGATAGAAGATATTGGTCTGCATTTGGCTGCAGAGAATAAGACCAGGCTGGCCAAAGGTCTTCCGATGGACCATAACTAGCGTGGGTGACGGTTCCAGGCCATGTCATTGCTGCGGAATAGTATCGAAGGGCGAAGAAAGGGCGTAGAAATGCCACCAGTCAGAGAAAAGGGATCATCTCTACAATTACCTAGTCGCAATACATACTTCGTTATATACTCTACCGTGTACCATGTGAACCGAGCTAGATCCATGTAATGTATGGCTGACTCCGCATGTCAACGACAACACACTCACAGCAATTGCAGATTGTGCCTCTGAGAGACGATAACTCGATCCGAATTCGCTGCTTTTATCAAGCAACTTGGCGTACCAGCTACGCTCAAGGGTACACTGTTATTTGAGACATCGTCGAAGCCTACTCATCTTGCGGAGGTAGCAGGTAGCCCCCAATTTGCGTGGCTTATCGGGTCTCACCATCGACTGCATACTAAGGACGCAAACAACCCGGCTACTGCATTCCTGCAGCTTCAACAGCGCATCCACGTATCGTACAGCCTGCGTATCTGCACAGCGCTCAGAATACAGTTGAGAACTCCGCGTACCATTTTATCCCCGTTCGTGTAGGAACTTCTGAGTTAACGAGATCAATCCTTGCCCTTATCAACCATCTGTACGGACCATCTCGTCTCCTGGCATTAGCGGCCTCACATGTGTTTCGAAATTGTTTATCTTGTTTTTTATGTTTTGATCCCAAAGAGCTGGATTATAGGCTGTTGACGAGATTTCGGGGCATTCGGAAAAGGGCTACATCGGATTCCTTCTACACTGGTAGAATGTTTTCCTTCTTCCTAGTAACGTTGGAGTATTAGCTCATCACTAACGAGCTTGGCATTTCAACATTGCAGACTGATTGTCCCCACGAAATAAGATTACCATCGCTTCAGTCGCGACCCTGTGATTGCTCCATCACCTCTCAGTTACATGACTCTACCTCATAGTTGTTTCAAAGAGTATCGGTCGCACATCGACTTACTACAACACTGTCCGGATATGAACATCTGACCTATAGTTGTCTACCCGCCTCTTGACCTTAGGATAATAGAGATAGAAAGAATGGTTCAAGCGGCTGGAAGCGAAGGGAAGGTCCACGCTGCGACTCGACATCACCATTCTCGTGGCCCTCATCGGGTCTTGCGGTGTTCGGGCATATGCGACGTTTCTAAAACGCAAAGAGAATATCAGCCGTGCACACAAGCAACACCCAGCAAACAAACAGCTTACCGTAGTCAACGTGCACAAAAGCTCGAGCGAAGCCCTCGACTGTCTCCAATTTGTCTTGCAACTCTTGCGCGATATCATGGACTTCACGAAGGGTGAGCTCAGGCGCCATGACAATGTCGACCTCGACGAACAAATCTTCGCCCCAGTGATAGGCATGAACAGAGTCGACCTTCAAGATCAAATCTGAATGACGAAGCGTGATGAACACAATCTCCTGCACCAAGCTGGGACAGGCGCCTACTCCGCACAGCTCCAGGAACTCGGAGCGTATAGTGCCGATCCAGGTGACGATGATGACGATGGCGATGAGCATGGCCCCAGCCGGGTCGACCCACCACTTGAGCTTGGCACCGGCCGCAGAGGTGAAAATGGCGAACCCATACTCGAAACAGTCGTTGCGGTTATCTTCCCAGAGCATCTGCAACTGGCTACTGTGGCGCCGAAAGATGAAGCAGTAGACGGCCAAGAAGAGCTTGATGCCGAACCCGCACGCCGCCGCGACAATGGCCGCCACTTCGAATTTGCCCAGCTCGTGTTCGCTGCTCACGAGCGAGCGGATCGATTCAACAACCAGCACCAGCGAGACGGCCATCAGCGCGAAGGCAAAGCAGATGTTGCCGGCGTTGCAGAGTCGGCCTGCGCCCGCCGGCCACCGCGTCGAATCATTGAGCCGCTTGGACTTCTTGTGCAGGTAATCGAGGCCGATGTTGCTCACAGCCTCACAGCAACTCTCTGCCATGGTAACAAACAGCGACAATGACCGTGTTGCGGCGGCTGCATAAATCTGCAGTGCGGCGACGAGGATGGTGCCATAGATGGAGACGTAAATGGCGGCTTTGACGTGGAAGGCCGAGGTGTCCGGTTCATCGTCCAACAGCCGCGCGGCAGTTGGGTCTTCTGCGACCTGGATGAGACGGTTGATGTGCGAATTCTGGGTGGTGTGGTAGGTATGTGCCCGGCGAATCCTCCGGTGAAGCTGTTGCGTCCACGCGGCTGTGCCTGGCGGGCTGACAAGGGCTCCCCGCAGCCGCTCCAGCTCGATATCGCTATCCATCGGGTCGCGTCCGTGTTACCAAGTAAGTATGTCTGAGCTAAGGTCGGGGTCAAAAAGGGGGTTCAGACCCGTTTATCGCCTTGCATTGACAAAAACATTGCATAACCTGCCGGTAGGAACTTCTATTATCCGGGTTCTTGGCCACAGAATTTTCTCCCTGTTGTCAGTCCTTCTTCTCCGCCTTTTACTAGAACAATAGGGGACAATCCATTGTAGAGATATCGATGCCCCACATTCCCTTAGTGGAGTCTATTGAGTATGTTCGATTGTTGGTGCTCTGATCCGCAAATACCACCAGTAGAACAGTTCCAGCTCATCCTAAGACTGCCATTTCAGGCACCTCTCCCAAGAGATACATACTAGGCGCGGGTACTCAGCCGAGGTCAGATGAACCCGGTGCTTATATATCGAGTCTGGAACGCAGATCATTGATCTGTCCTATGATTGCCAATTAGGAGGCACTAAACTAGGAAGCCAAGTTAACCACTCGGGTTTGCCTTGAAATGCATCTCATGGTCTTCCAGTCAGTCCACCAGGGATCCTTTCACTCAAACATGGTTTGACTATGCTGATGAGAGAATCCTTGGAGAATCTTTGACTACTGGCCTTGCGATAAGATAAGCACACAGTCAGCACGATCGCGGAGTAGAGCCTACCAATAGACGCAATTACTGCAACAGCCGCTCGGAGTAGATTCAAAATGCAACTGTGCCCTTATTGGCTCCGGCGGCCATCGGACTCCGATGACTATTGTTTGTATGCAGGCATCAAACGAATTCCTGCGTCAGGATGCAAGGTTCGACAGGCGGTGAGTTCACCATTTAACTATCGAATGCCCCTCTCGTGGAAGCCCAACATTTCTGGTCAGAAGCCACGCAGGATGGCTTCAATTGCGGCAGGATGTACAGAGAGCAGCGATGCTGTGTTTGGCCCTCGGGTCAGCCTTGCCTGTCGACCTTTTGACTTCACCCTCTATTTTGAAGACTTGATGTTTGTGTGCCTACCAGCGGCTATCTTTCTGTTGCTTCTTTCGCTGTCGGTGTGGGATCTTTGGCATGAACCTCGTCGCATCAAGAGATCTGCCTTGTTGGTTTCAAAGCTAGTATGCCAGCCCAGAGCCGTAGTCTCCAGACAAGACCCCTATACTGACCCCTTAGGTAACTCTTGGCGCATTGTTTGCATGCCAACTCGTCTTTCTGTCGTTGCGACATACAGGCCCAGCATCCCTCCGAACCAATGTATCCCTTTCAGCTGACGTGCTGGAAGTGGCCGCGACAGCCAGTGCGCTATGCCTTTCGTACCTGAGCCACTGCCGCTCAATCCAGCCCTCGACGCTCCTCATTGTTTATCTCTCCGCGCGGTCGCTGCTTGGCATCGCTCGGTTGAGGACTTTGTGGCTCTTGCACGCGGCAACAACGGAGGCCATAATATTCACAATCGAACTCAGCTTCACTCTTCTAGCATTAGTGCTAGAGTCGATAGAGAAAGCGTCGATTCTGGTACACACAACAGCGAAGCCTGCCACACCCGAGCCCTTCAGTGGGTTCTGGAAGCTGGCGACCTTTGCCTGGCTGGCCGGTACTTTCCGCCAGGGTTACTACAAAGTGCTTTCAGTCCACGACCTTCCTGATCTTGATCCCCAGCTGAGCAGCGAGGTCGTCGGTAAGCAGCTTGAATTGGCGTGGTCGCGAACAGGTATGAGGCATCTTCTCCTCGAAATGTGTCTGTGTGCTCTGACTCCCAGCTTGTCGCGTATGCAGGGAACAAGAATGCAAAATATGCATTACTGCGCACTTCAATGCGTGCCTATCTAAGCCCACTTCTTGCTGCAGTGCTTCCTCGCCTGATGCTGACGGGCTTCACCTTCTGCCAGCCATTTCTGGTGGATGCGACCGTGACATGGGTCGGGAACAAGGATGCTGCTCTTGACTCGGGAAAGGGGCTAATCGGGGCGTTCGCGATCGTCTATACGGGGATGGCCGTAAGTCCGACGCGATATAGCTGATACGATCTTCAAAAATGTCGTTAACGCAGGTTGATAAATAGGTGTTCACAGCTCTGTCCGGCTATCACACTTTCCGTTTCACCATCCGTCTCCGCGCCGGACTGATCGCCCTCATCCACCGCCAAACTGTACACACCAGGGCGATTGACCTTGGGGAAATCACTGGAGTCACTCTGATGGGTACGGACGTGGAGCGCATTACATCAGGATTCCTTGCCATCCATGATTTGTGGGCCTGCTTGATCGACATCGCCATAGCGATCTACTTGCTCGCCAGACAGCTGGGAGTAGCCAGTCTCGTCCCCGTCGTGATAATCGTCGGTACGGAGACTTCGAAACTACAGTTTTAAATATCTTACTGACGACGGCATGGCAGTCTTCTTCGGTTGCACATTCAAGGTCTCAGCAGCGAGCAACACCGCGCAACGAGCCTGGATCGAGAAAGTAGAGGATCGGATACGCTTCACGTCATACGCGCTTGAGAACATCAAGTCCGTCAAGATGCTCGGCTTATCGCGGAAGATGACTACCATCATTGGCAGTTTGCGATATGTGGAGGTGGCCGCTTCAACAGTGTTTCGCAAGTTACTCATTGTGAGCGTTGTACTCTGTAAGTATACGCTTGGCTGATGCGTGTCGCGAGAAAGATTGACTCCGTGCTCACTTTGTCCAGCCAACTCCCCGTCTGATCTGGCTCCAATGGCCACTTTCGCTCTCTATGTCATCATCGCTCTGGTCAAACATGATAACTCGATTTTGGCGGCTAAAGCCTTCACCTCTTTATCGCTTATCTCGTTAACGACGAGCCCAGTGTTGACTTTCATTCAATCATTCCCATCCGTGATCGAGTGCCTGGGCTGTTTCGACCGGATCCAAGAGTATTGCAGTAAATCGTCTACGTCGAGAGAATCTGAGGATCCAACCAAGCAAGACCATCAAGGCATTCCGTTGGATTCATTGAAGAAGCACACATCAGTTCAGGAGGGAAGCATGATCGAGTTCGCCGGGCAAAGTTTCGGTTGGGGTCAGACAGCTGCCCCAGTTCTGCACGACATCCAATTGAAGATCCCACAAGGGATGATAACCATGATGGTTGGACCAATCGGTAGCGGAAAGACGACAATGATAGAAAGTATCCTGGGCGAGACTGTCCTTTCTGGCAAAGAAATGAACGTAGATCGCTCCTCCATCGCCTACTGTGCCCAGACCGCGTGGCTACGAAGCCAGACAATACGCGAGAATATACTGGGGTCGCATCCGATGGATCCAGAGTGGTACGAGACGGTGACTACGGTCTGCAGTCTTGAGCGAGATCTCTCACGGCTACCACACGGTGATCAGACTCCAGTCGTGAGCAATGGACTTACACTCAGTGGGGGGCAGAAACAGCGCATTGTAAGCTACTGACTGTGGATGAAATGTGAAGCTGTGTGATGGTCGCTGACACTTGGTCATCAGGCTTTGGCAAGAGCATTGTATGCCCGACCGAGAATTGTGTTGCTCGATGATATCTTCAGTAGCATCGATGCTACGGCCACTGAGGATATTGCTCGCAGTTTATTTGGGGAAAATGGACTTTTCCGAATGATGAAGACCACTGTTGTGCTTGCAACACATTCAGGTATGTCCGATTGCTCTCATCGCAGTGTACGTAGATCGAGTATGTGCTGACATAGACACAATCTAGGGTACCTCCTGCGGTATGCGGACTATGTCGTAGCCCTGCGTGAGGGTCGCATCATCGAGGCCGGCAGCTTGGAGAACCTCAAGAAAGAAATTTCTTTCGTCCAAACCCTGGAGGTCGCGGTGCCAGAGAACTCCGGTAGCGACAGTGACACAAGCGATGATTCATCCAAGCTTGCAGGGGCTGATGATCATAACTCTATTTCTGAGGCAACAGACTCAGCTAAGAAGGTCACCGTCAATGATCCAAGCCGCCAGACTGGGGACTTTGCCGTCTACGCATACTACGCCTCTGCTTCAGGGCGTGTGAATATTGGGCTCTCCCTCATGTTTGCTTCTTTGTGGGCCTTTTGTCATGAGTTTCCCAGTATGTCTGCATGAAATGATATCTTCTTGGTGGAGGCCATCACTGACAGTAGACCATTGCAGCTGTGTGGTTGAATTGGTGGACAGCCGCAAACGAGAGAAGCCCCAACTCAAGGGTCGGGATGTATCTGGCCATATATATCTTTCTTGGACTCACCGGAACGATATTGTTGGTTACCACTTGTTGGTATGCGATCGTCGTAGCATTTCATGTTCATCTCCCGAGCTGACACGCAAAACAGGATTACCATCGTTACCATTATCTCTAGGTCGGCGATAAAGTTACATGACAATGTGCTGACCAGCACCTTCAGGTGTGATAACCCATTGTGGCATCAATCATCGCGGCAACGCTGACACGGCATAGTGCCCCCTTCCAGTTCTTCCACAGTACAGACATTGGAAGCATCACAAATCGGTGAGCAGATCTTTCCTTACGCGTGCTGAAAAGCGCAGTCATATACTTGTAACCCTTCCTAACTCGTTACCGCACATCCAGATTCAGCCAAGATATGGACCTAATCGACATGCGACTTCCACTTGAAGCTCTCAACGTAATCGCTAGTAAGCCGCTCTGCTTTTCTCATTTCTGTGCCGAACCTAACAGATAGTACAGTGGTCTCAACCTGCCTTGTAAAACTTGTGGTCCTAGCAGTATTCGCCAAGTATCTCGCAGTTGCGATACCCTTCGCCGCCGCGGTCGTCTACATAACCCAGAAATTCTACCTCCGCACCTCGCGCCAGCTGCGATTCCTCGACATCGAAGCCAAAGCCCCTCTGTACACACACTTTCTCGAGCTCGTCAGTGGTGCAGCCACCGTTCGCGCTTTCAACTGGCATGACAGATTCGGCGCGGCCTGCACCGCCCTCCTCAACATCTCACAGCGTCCGGTCTACCTGCTCTACTGCGTGCAGCAATGCCTTGGCTTTGTTCTGGACATCCTAGTCACAGTGTTAGCCGTCATCCTTGTCGCGACGGTAGTCTTTCTCCGCGACAGGTTCGATCCTGGAGAGGTCGGCGTCGCCCTGGTAATGGTCATGACATTTAATCAGACCTTGATGAACCTGGTCAGATCCTGGACCCAGATGGAAACCTCCATTGGTGCGGTATCTCGTGTGAAGGCCTACGCGGCAACAACGGAACCCGAGGAGCGGGCTCCCGAGCTACTACCGTCGCTGCCCGCGAAGTGGCCGTACGCAGGAGAGCTTCGTCTCGAAAACGTGATAGCCGGTCATTCGTGAGTATCGATATCCCAACCCCTAACTTTTTCTCCGGGTAACTGACCCCCCGCTCAGCATGACCTCCGCGCCCGTACTAAAGGGAATCAACATATCCATACAAGCCGGCGAGAAGATCGCCATCTGCGGCCCATCAGGAAGCGGCAAGACAACCCTCATCCTGGCTCTGCTACGGATGGTCGAGATCCAAGAAGGCTCATTAAGCGTGGACGGGCACGACCTGCTTTCATACCCGCGCGAGGAGATCCGCGCGAACCTGAATGTCATCACGCAAGAGCCGTTCCTGATGGCCGGCACCGTTCGCTTCAACATCGACCCCCTGGAGAACGCATCAGACGAGGAGATCATCAAGGCCCTGCAACGGCTGCGCCTGTGGGACCGAGTCGAGAAAGAGGGCGGTCTGGACATGGCGATGAAACCTACCTCCTGGTCGCTCGGGCAGAGGCAGCTCTTGTGTCTCGCTCGAGCGATGGTGCGGAAGAGTAAGGTGTTGATTCTTGATGAGGCTACGAGCAGGTAGGTCACTTTACAGCCGGCTGATGCGGTGTTCGTGCTGATCAGTGCTTGCAGTGTGGATCACGAGACAGAAGACATCATGCAGGAGGTTATTGAGACGGAGTTTGCGTCTCACACTGTGCTGGCGGTCATGCATCGCCTCAGGCTGGTTCATCGGTATGATCGCGTGGCGGTGTTGAACGCGGGCGCGTTGGTGGAGCTGGACAGCCCTGCTGCGTTGAACTCGCGGGATTCGCTGTTTAGACAGCTGTATCAGTCTTCGCATGGAGCGGTGGTCAGATGAGCAGAGGCTGTGGTGCGAATGATAGAGGCACATGAATGCGAACCCTAATGACGATAACTAATCTTCGGAATTTAGTGGTTGAGGGACACTTTTACTACAAGTAATATGATCTTTCTCGGAAGTTCCGTGAATTGGGTATAGAAAAGAGGTTCCTGGAGTTATGAAGAATGTTCAATCAAGCAAAACGCTTCTTTATGTGATGAAATGGTAGATCCTCGTCTATGTGGTAGTAGTATCCATATCTTCCGTCTCTTTGGCGCGGACCACCAGCTCGTTCTCTTTCGCTTGGGCCACCTTTTGGCGCTTGTCTACGGCCTCTCGAAGCTCCTTAACCCGCGCGCGCTTCCGCATCACCTCCGCCTCCTCTGCCGCGGCCGCCTTCTCGAGGCAGGCTGCTTCTTCCAGCTAATACAAGGCGGTATGTATGTCAGTCTTGCTGATATGGTAGAGCCGTGCACTTGGTAGAGGCTTACCAAGCCTTCGATTGCTATGTCCATCGTGATCAGCTTCTTGCGCTGGACCTTCTTCCTGTCGACCTTCTTCTTGTCCTTCATTCGGAGGGCACGGGGGCGCAGATCCGCGGGCGCCATGATGGTCGCCCGGCCACCTTGGCCTATGTAAATGTTCTATAACTTCATTAGGCCATCGAAAATGTAGCAGGTACAGTCCAGATATTGATGTCAGCGTACCTGGTGAAGGGGGGGCATGTTGGTGGTGTTGGTGGTGGTCGTGGTGGTGGTCGTGGTGGTTCAAAATGTGCTTGCGTATTCCGAGATTCCGCGTTAGCTGGATTTGCGAATCACCATACAAAGTCCGTATACCTTTGATTCTTCGCTAAATTCTCGGAGAGAGAAAGAGGAAAGGAAGAAAAGAGTGAAGGCTTGGGCCGTAGGGAGGTCTAATATACCATCCGCACGCAACACCAAGCCCCCTTCTTCTTCATACCTTATTCCCCGCTAGAGCGAACTGCCTATTGTGCATCGAATCTTATGTCTAAACAATTGTACTCTCACAATGACCCACTGACAATTGTGGCCCACCGACATTCGGGTGTTGTCCCAGGCCATTTTATTGTTGTTGTCCGCCATCTGATAGAGTGTCCCCATTACCGGTGTTACTCTATAGTCTTTGGATTCGTGCATATTGCTTTTCATGGCTCAAATGGGATTCTAATTCCATTCTTGATTGATTTCACTTCTCAAGTCAATGTGTTTATCTTACTGGCATGGTTAGATGAATGCCTGACATATGTATGACGCAGGTAATGGAATTCAGACGGAATATGAAAAATCGAGAGCCTCATAATTAAGCGCCCCCTCAAATCACTTGAGCCCACTTCCTGGCTCAGACTTTCTCTGGCTTGCGTCATAGGTATACCTCGAATACCACCGCAATCATGTTCACAGCATGGGCAACATTTCTTGGGGACGAGGCTTGCATGGTCTGTAGTTTTGGTATTAATTTTAATCACTCATGGATGAAGCGCGTCCGGGCCGGTTAGCTCTTTGTGCACCCTCAATATAAAGACAATTACTGACTAGCACGGTAACATTGAATCCAGTCTATTGTACCGTGTCTGGAGTGAAGGTCACCTTGGCTGCCGAGGGATCCCCAAGAGACCCAATCCCGCATGCTGACGAGACTGATCAATGGGGATCTGGTGCTTGTCCGGCGCATCGTCAGACTGATGTGTACCTGTTCCACGAAGTATGCTGGCATCATCTGGTGGAGCATTTCAGTCCCCATGAGATGCGTTTGGACTGCCTGTTCCAGGCTTTGGAACGGATGCCACTACTATGGAATGAATACAATTACACTCTCCCCCCGGTGGACTTCGCACAGGTGACACGAGATGGGAGACTTTGTCTACCCAGTGTGGATGAACTGATGCGCTTTGCGAGACCACCCCCGGTGTCATCGCATCGCACCATCCAGAGACTCCTCTCCACCCCGCCACAAACAAAAGACGCTCTCCGAAGGCTTCCCTTCGAGTTGATTGAAACCATAGCCGCGCTGCTGCCCACACGAGACGTGCTGAATCTGCGCCACGCATCACGCGGCGTGACCCCTATCTTCGCCAGCACTCCATTCTGGAAGACGCGATTCTACCTCAACGGCGAACGCGGGTTTCTTCTGCCCGTCGTCCGCGGACAACTTGGTGGCGGCTCTTCGCGGCGCCGAGACATCGACTGGAGGCTCCTGTATCACAGCACATGCCAGCTGAACTGCAGCGGCTGGTTCCGACTAGAGCTTCGAAAGTGGGAGGCGCTGCGCTGGCTCCGCGACACAGCCTTGGCCCTGCATTCGGGAACAGACCGCCCGCTCGACTTCCGCGGCGCAGCCCTCCATCACTACCATCATACCGTTCCGCGAGGGACATCTCGTCAGGAGGTGGAGGTCCGTTCCCCGGTCCGTCGGATCGCGGTTTCTCTGCACCTGGACTCTGTTGATTACCTTTCGCCACCGTTCATCACCGGACTGGAATTTATGTTCGAGGACGGGTCGAGCGCCATGCTCGGCTATGCATACCCTGGAGCAAAGGAGTTGCACGGATGGTCCGACAGAGCGAGGATGGGTCTCATGTTTCATGGCGGTATCCCGGCCTTCGGGTCACAATGGACGTGGTGGACTTCCGCGGGTTTAACGTCAACGACTCCCTGGACGGGATTCGCGGGGTTTATATTGTGCAGGGTAGTGATGAGTGTCGCAACTGCGACACTGACGACCGCTATGATGTCGGCCATTCACCTGGCTGGCTCGCGCAAGGCCATCCATCGCGCTACTCACTGGATGAAGTCTTCCGCGTCACTGCGGTCTGTGATGTAGGCTCAGACTCCCCGAATATGCCGTTTAAGGTGCATACTCGTGTTTTGATTTGATTATCATGCTGACAGGATCGCAAACTAGAGCCGCAAGATCATCGACATCGGAGTATTAGGTCGAGCAGGGAATCGCCTCACCCTCACTCGGGTTGCGTGGCAGGATTTAGTCCTTGAAGGCAAGAATGCAGGTGATCTTCCAACCGACTTGGAGCTGAGATGAAAGGTTTCGAGATTTGACTGCATGCTCTGCAAAGCCGGAGTCGCTTTCCTTGCGGAGCAGATTATTCTACTTAGGAAACACCCCATCAAGAATCGTCGTTCATTGTCTTCCGCAATTTTAACCAAGATTGTCACCTGCCATAAGGCAGACTTTGCCTTTATCTTTCGTGCCGAAATATATTTTGTTATCCTGCATGAGAAGCAGTAAATGAAGGGAATTGCAGGGGTTAATTGCCCACTTTAGTCTGCGAGGACCGAGTTCGGTTATAAGTAGCAGCAGCGCTGATGAACCAATAGTTATATGCGTTGACTGAACTCTAACACAGGGGGTGTAAAGGAGATAGGTCGGAACAAAACCTCAACTCTCCGGGTCGGATGTTTTGCGGTGATACAACTTCCTGGAGACTCTGCTCCTTCCTGTTATCTCCTCCTTACGCAGATAACGCCATCAGTATACAGGTCCAGGTCCGGCACCGGCATCCTCAACATAGGAATCCCACGTAGCCTTCTTCGGTTAGCATGCTCCGACACCTAATAGGGGACAACATACCCAATCGACCTCGACGGCGGACATCTCCTTCTCGAAGGTAAAGGTATTGAGAGGCATCTGGAATGGTGAGTTGAGCCCCGCCAGATCAAACGACGCATCAGTCGACACCGCCTCGGTAGCTCCACCAACACCCGCGAACGGCTGCAACCCTGCCAGCATACTAGCGAGGACCTGCCACTGTCTCCAGGCCTCATCACACACTTCTTTATCAGCCTCCCAGAACGCAACAGATGTCTCCAGCGCCTGTATCAGCGCCGCATGCTCGAATGCGTCCTCCGACTCGGGAAACTTGCGTATCAGCTCCAACTCGAGGAACAGAACCATCGCAGCGAAGGTCAGCGTCTGCCTGGTGTGCGAGAACTGGTACCATTGCCGAGCCAAATCCTGCTGGGAACTCAACAGCGCCAGAGCGGATGAAATACATCGGTCGCGCGAGAACTTGAAATGGCGGTTCGTCTTGGCCCGAGCCATGAATTTGCGGTGGAGGGTGCACATCGCTCGGTGGTACATGGACCAGAGGTTGAGGTTCGCGTACAAGGCGCGAGGGGAGCTGGTCTGAGACTGCTCCAAATGGTGGGTTGGCTTCATGTGCGGAGGGAAGTCGTCATACGCCACATAGAGGAGATTGTCGATCTCCAGCACGCTCTCGTAAGAGGTCGGAGTCGGGTTACTATTGAGGTCGGCTACGCGACCTATTGCACGGCATAGCCGTCCTTTGACAATTAGATATGTGACGGGAGTCGGCTCTGTTAATGGTCGGGATGGTGGAATATTGACGGCATCGTCGGATAGCTCCCAGTCGTGCAGATTGCGAGGCTCCATCGTGTCTGTGTATATGCCTGACATCGCGCGCGGGAGACCCGTGCCGAACGAGGTCATGTCGTCCATGCTGGTCACGGATAGCCAGGTGCGGCGACGGTACTCGGCTTGCATGAGTGATATGGAGGATGAATGTGAGGGGTCGCGGTGGTAGCCCATGTTGATGGCAGTCCGGACGAGCACTCCGGTCATGATCCACAGGCCGCGCCGGTTGTCGTCCTTGCGGTTCAGTTCGGCAGTTGCATTCAAGCGGAGAGTCTCCACCGTGTAGGGAAGACACTTGGCGATATCGCCGCTCAGTAGACACTGCGCTGTACGCATGCGATAGAATTGGAAGAGGGACTCTGAGAGGCCTTCGTACTCGGGTGGCTCGCCGTACTGGTGGTAGGCCAGCATGGTAATACCAAGGATTGAGAACAACAGACCCAGCCAGATCAAGTTTGTCTGCGAAGGGTCCCTCCAGTGTTCTTCATACTGCACCAAGATTTAGGTCACGAGTGATACAAACCTTGGTGTGAACTTACCTCACGGATAAAGGTCGGCTCATGTATGATGGCTATATTATGTGTGAGACCAAGGCAGACCATGGAGTACATCCTACTTACGAGGAACAGCGATGGGAAAATTTTGGCGATTGAAAAAGCCCGCAACAAGCTCATCTATATCTCGCCTGGGTGGGAGAGTAGCCAGGATCTCCATTCTTTCGATGGGTTTGACTTGGCTGAAAAGAAGGCTCGTTCCATCGGCTTGCTGCGACTGTGTGGGGCGAACGCTATGGTCGAGTGGGTCATCCTGCGTCAGGTTCCATGTGTTCCTGAGTTCGTTGATCTGGAAATGGTCAGTGGACTAATGATTGTTACAAGGAGGCAAGAGACAAAAGGGGCCGTATGAATGAACACCGGCTCGTTGGTAGATTGGGAGAGTACCTCCTGTAGAACATCATACCAATCATCACCAGCCTGATAGATTGACTGGGTGCCATTCATTACGGTCTTCCCGGCCAAGGCCACATCCTGGGTCTCAGACGCCACGAGCTCGCCACAATTGAGACAGTCGGGCGTCAAAGCAACAGGCTTAGGCGGTGACTGTGAGTTCCTCGCAATGAGTCTCTTTACCAGACCTTCCAAATTATCGATACGTTGGCGCATGGTGTCGCCATGACTCTCCCGACGAACATTCGAGGGCGGGCCATTCTTGGGTCCCTTGAAGTGACAAGATGTCTGCTCATCGCGGGCGGTGCAGTTCTGACAAGGATATTCCCGGTTGCATTTGAGTCTGGCTCGGTCAGCAAATGCAGTCAATGCAATGCTGTATAGTCCGTGGAGGGGGCGACACACTTTCGCGTGCGACAGGGGTCACATGATAGCGGAATGCGGGCGCGACGTCGCGGTGGGACTGATTTGACGGCCCGAGTGGATGGTGGATGGGTGTTAGGCCCCTGAGGCTGCATCAACAGGGGGTGGATGGTACCACGGGATACCTAAAGTGAAAAGAGACAGCAGTAATGAAGTAGAGCACTCCCCATAATCCAGGACTTGAGAGTGAATGATGACGACGAGGTGAAGATCGGAAGCAAGAGGCGCATACTGGAGAAGGGAGATCCAACCCCGCAATCAGCCTTAAATCCGCGGAGTTCCTGCTTGGTGCCTCAGGCTCCAGAGGAAGGCCTATCTCCGTGAGCGCCTTATCTCCGACGGGTGGTGCAGGCTGCCGCGGTCGGACGGCAATCGCATGGGCTCTACATGCGCGCCGGCGCCGTGCAGGAGTATGCCCCGATTGCAACGGACGGTCCGCGAGTCACCTAAGTGGAACACACGCGTTGCAACCAAATGGAGTTCTGCCATCCGGGATCATGCAAAGTGGTTAATGCTACTATCCCTAAGTTGCTGGGAGCGGAGATATATATAGCTGGAGCCTGCATGCCGCAGCAATATGACACAACGAATTTTGACCAAAACTTGCATTACAGATTGATTACAAACGAGATGCATGTCGAATTTTAGTGCATCAAAGGAGGCCTGGGCCACGATTAGTTATCAGTGTTTGTGGCCTCTTCACCTGCCAAGCTGCGAGACTTGCCCATTACTGAAGCTTGAAGTCTGTGGAGCTTGAGGACCGGATAAGGCAGCCATGTCGATCAGACTCTAGTGTGCGCCTGACAGGTGGACCTTGGCGATGTTGATCACTTACTGCGATTTGCGAGCTATATGATCGGAGATAAAAGACTAGCGTTGAGTAGAATTACACTCTCTTCTCGGGGTAAAAGAGTGGCGCAGGACAACAGCCAACCTCTCCGGTTGCGCAACCCCGTAAATCCATGGGTGCTTCTCTGGTTTTTCACGCGAGAACAGCGTTGTCCGATTAACCAAGATGTTGGGCTAGCTGAAGCGTCGATGGAAGTTTGCGTGAGATCAAAACAAACAAGCCAACTACGTGCTTAGGGAAGTAGGCCAACAACGTGTGAGCGCAACCCTTCTCGTTCACTTTCACAAGGAAATGATCGGGGACCTCAATCATCCGACCTGGAGCTGAAACGTTCCAGGGGAAGCGAATTAAGCTCTTCTGATACAGAAACAGATGAAAGACGGCTGGAGTAGGCGGACTGAGCGCAACACAGAGACCGGAAAAAGGAGTTCCGGAGTGCAGTGATCTGCATCGTGCAGCCATCTCGTATCCTGTCTCACTGTTTTCAATAATTGGGCAGGGATTACCTTTGCTCTGCAGTTTCGGATACTTGGGCCTCAATAAGATTTCCTCCTACATCAGGACTTTCTGTCAACACAGGCGGCATTTTACCCTAGCCAATGAGCACAGCAATGAGCACAACATCGAGACTTTCGCCGTCTTAGCAGGGCCTAGATGATACTATGGTTGATCCGAGAGCCTTTTGATGACATCGTTTCCGATTTCCGCTCGTGGTCTGCAACCTTCGAAAATACGCTCCTGTGTCTATCCTCATGCAGCCGGGTAGCCCTATCGTGCCGCCAGAGGGTAGCGTTGATTTGGAGCTGGTGTATAAAGCACTAAATTCAACCAAAACGACATCCCAAGACAGTATGGCCGAGTGGTCTAAGGCGATAGACTAGAAATCTATTCTCTTCGGAGGCGTCGGTTCAAATCCGACTGCTGTCGTTCTTTTTTTTGCTTTTTGCTGTTGCTGTACCCACCAAATAATAGGGGCACCCAATGGCATTGCCTACAGGTGCATTGACTGCTTGGCGGGCCCTGATCGATGGCCGGCAATCACACCGATTAACTTCATCCTCAGCCGTGCGTGGAAAGTCAAAAGGCGATGGTTATTATGCCATTGAATCTTATATCGGGCGCAATCAGGTCTTCGCTGGCGCTCCTGAGGTTCGCGCAGGGCAACCTGATTTTGTGGACACAGCCATGTCTCATAGGGATGGAGGACGCTTCTCCCGGCTGAGCATGGGAGCTGACCACACAAATCACGCACTACGAACACAATCTTGTTTGGAGAGATACCATCTTCATTGATTTGCTCAATAGTCCTAGCACGTTGTTGAGGACTCGTAGTGCGATAGAGTGCACTTTCTTTCTTTGTCAGAAATTGCCCGCCATGGGCGCAATCGCAGCATGGACGGGAACGGTTAGGGCAACGTTATTGGAACACACTGCGGCCTTCCACACATTGCGACTCCTTTTCACGGTCCAGGACACCAATACCCAGACTATCGTCAATGAATCGACGATATGAGCTCGAGACATCCTGGAGTAGCCTTTGCTGGACTCAACATGAAAACTGTGACCAATGATGTCCACTTCAGCCGCGATCGCGGTCGCTGCTTCAGACAGCCTCCCGTCGTCGGGCACGATGGGAGTTTTTTTGCTTGCCTACCATCTGTGATACATACATGGGTTGTCTCAGACCTCGCGTGATGACTTTGACGCGCTGCTTTCGTCTGGTGGTTGGATCGAGCCGCATCGATTTCACCCGTGCCAGATCGAGCGGTACATATACCGTGCAATAACACAACACGTCATTATGGCAAGCAATGAGGCCAAATTTCCGATCATCATCTCCCTTTCGTCTGGTAACAGTTCAAACGCCGGCTGCCGATCTGATTTTGACCATGACGCGCCGCAGAAGAAGCTGGACAGCAAAGGAGGATGAGCTCCTCCGCACCCTGGTTCAGAAAGGTAGGTGCAGGTCTTTTTCGCTACATCGCTTCCCATCCTTTCAACGTTCACGTAATTGACACTCCTCCTCTTTCCCAGACCTTGACACTTTTGGCCGGGTGATGTGGTCTGAGCTGGCTCAGAAGGTACGCGGTCGCACGAATAAGGATTGTCGCAGACGATGGTGGAACACACTGGCTGAATGGAACATCAAAGGGGTCTGGTCTCCGGATGAGAACAAACGACTGGTCGAGGCAGTAAGGATGTATGGAAGCAAGTGGACTCAGGTTGCAGCAGTCGTGGGAACTCGATGCGGAGATCAATGCTCGAGTCACTGGCGTGAGGTACTGCGACCCAATGTCAACTACTGCAGCTGGACAGAAGAGGAGATAGGCCGACTTTCCTTCCAGGCGTGTCATCCCCGGACGATAGTTGATTCGAGAACGGCGCAGGACGAAGAGCTTTTGCAAGCAATTCAAATATGTGGGACCAACTGGTCAACCATTGCGGCCTTCCACCTCCCTCACCGAACGGGACTGGGCTTGAAGAATCGGTATGCGAGGATACGTGCAAAGGCACGTGCAAACACTCCAGCGTCATCTGCCGGTCATCGCATAGTTAGACGGACGAGGGAGGATGTGCGTCCAGATAGTGGCAACACTGGGGAGAGCGAAGAATTTAGCGTGAGCACCAATACACCGGGAGAGGACACCCAGAGCCAGGAGGCAGAGACCGACCTCATCCCTGCAAATGAGCCCCAGTCAACATTCTTTTGGTCCGATATGGAGCTCATGCAACCGAATCTTTGGTCCAATCCCGTACCCAGTTGGACGACAATCGGTTGGGAAACACCAGCACCGGAATTGGATCAGGACACCATCGATCCAAGTTTGATTCTCCCCAGCCTCATCTCCACCGAAGACCATTGGATGGAAAGATTCGCAGAGTCAATGCTCTGTGCGAACCACGCTTCTCGCCTTCCTTCGTTTGGCCGGGTTATAGATTCGGCACAAGCCGACAACGACCTCGACAGACAGATTCTCCTCTTTCCTCCGGGTAAGTCATCCCAACTCGCGCCTCTACTATGCCTTGAGCTTACTCCCTTGGCAGACGAGTTCCCAATGGATATAGGCTTTCAGACAGTGCACGAGCCGCTTGACAGTGAGCCTGAGCTTCGAACGGCATCTAACCATTCATTTTTGGGGGAACTCCCGCAACCGTTCTTCACGATGGCTGAGTTGGATTTGACACCTTTCATACCTCCGATGCCCACGATGCTCACGATTCCTACGATGCCCACGATGCCCACGATATCCACGACGCCCACGACGACCCCATGCGCCCTTTGTCCCCGGTTGCCCCGGTGCACCCAAGGCGCAGCTATTTCCCAACTCACTTCGAGCCTGTACGCCGCGAGAGGACGGTCGAGACAAACTTGCACCGCGTTTCACTAAGTCTTTCCTGCACGACGAGCCAATTGAGCAGCATTGTGTCTCTGGTTGCCGACATAGGTAGGGCGGCACATATGAAGGTTGACACAGAGTAGACGGCCTTGGCCATGATTGATGCTTGAGGGGGGAGGTGGGGAGGTGATTGGACTTTGCAGAAGACGCAAAGCGGCTGCTGTAGTTTCCTATTCAAAATCTTGTTTCGGTTGCTTAGACGTTTGCTATTTATGTTCGGAGTCAGCACACTGTTTTGTACTGTAGCGCGACAATTGGCGAGATGAATCTCTAAGGAGAGAGGAAAAGCGAGGGTAGTAGAGGATAAGTTTGGATGTTAGGAAATAGACATTAGAGCTGGGACCCCATGCATTGCTCGCCGTTAATCAAGACGCGCTGCAGTCGGGTCCTGTATGTACGTACCGTGAAGTGGAAACCACGATCGCCTCCATGCGCAGATTCAGAAATGAGATATACACCGGACGATGCACGCAGCTTTAAACAATGCATCACACACAATGACCCCGACAAAACCAGATTGTCGGAGGAAACTCACCTCTTTACAATCCTCCGCCTGATCACTCGGAATATGCTCGGGATCCGCCCGACTCATACCAGGAACGTTGCAAGCCCTCTGGCAAACTAATCCTCCACATCCAGGTCACCAGCATCCGCAGAGATTATAGCCTGAATTGGCCCGGACCGTACGAGCAATCTCTTTTCCGAACCTAGGGCACAATGCGAGATCGCTCTTTTCGTAACTCCGATGATTGGAATGTTACGACCTGCGCCAATGGCAAGTGGTAGATCATCGACTGCAGCCATTGTCTATTGGTCCGGGGGCATAAGCTAATCCATTATTCTATTATTCTATTCCCTTGTAATCTATGACCACCATGAGCTGGAGGAGAGACATGTCTCTTGCTACCCAGACAGAGGCGACTTTTACCGCAACTTAAATGTCTGGCGTGGCGACAAAGCCACGACACTCCAGATACCCCAGAATCCAGTTCCAGCAAGAACAAACCATACCAGGAATAACCCTTTAAATTGACAAAGATCCTCACTGCTTGGGCGACGTCTGCGGCAGAGCCGGTATCGGCTTGACGGGCGAGACCCAAAACATGGGGTACCGGCGCTGGAGGTTGTTGACAACCAGCGCGACAGCAAGAATCATGGTCGACGACAGAAGCACCACGGGTAGATAGTACCAGGACAGGGCCCAGATGGCGTCGTTGGTGGCAGGGAGCAGAGCCGTGGCACCGGCGGGCGGGTGGGTGGTCTCTGTGATCTGCATGACCACGACCGCGACTGCAGACGAGAGCGAAGCGGCCAGCCAGCGCAGGGAGTTGAACTTCTCCTCGTCTGGCATCAGGCTGAAGAGCTTCGTGATGCACAGTCCGACCAGGGCGCTTAGGAAGTGGCCAAAGATGAGAGCGCGAGGCTGCGCGAGTGGACTTTCAATTGCGCCGTACACGAGGACTGCGGACGCTCCCTGTTTGTTTGGGTCAGTCAATCGGGAAGGGGCTGGGTTTGGTGGGGAACAGGGTGGCAACGCACGTAAGATGCGATGATGCCGGGTACATTGCGGCTGAGAAAGTAGTGGGAGTAGTTGAAGATGGCCTGCACGACGCAGAGCCCGCAGAAGGCTGAGATGAAGGACCACAGCCAGATCTGATACTTGGGTAGAGGCTTTGGTGGACTGTCACGATAGCCAAGCCAGTGACTTAGCCACCGGGGTAGGCGTGCCAAGACTTCTTGTTCTGTCATCGACGCTATTCGGATCCGTGCTTGAGAGGTGGCCAGAGGGACCTGCGATGAGAAGAACGTCGACAACAAGGACCTGCCCAAGAGAGCAAGAAGTTGTGGTGGACTGTCTTTTTGTCGAAGGGGTTGACAGGGCGCTCGTTTTGATGGTCACTCGCCGTCACGGGATAGGATCAGCAACCCTGGGGTCAATAAGATGCAAAGTTTCTGTTACCTAAAGTGCTGCGAGCATTGATTGGCTACTTCAATTCCATTTCAAGCGGCTCTTGACCCCGGTTGCCTTGAATTCAAGAAGTCGGGTAATGAGAATAGGGTCCATTCCGCAGGGCGTCGGCAGGGTTTGCCGGTGGGTCATTGCAATTCGCTCCGACTTCGGCGAGACTCGGTAATATATCGGTAATCCCAAAAATTGGCACATGCTTGGTAAGGGCAAGGATCTACTACATATTCTGCAAAGGCAACCCCAATAACATGCCCAGGCGACAAAGGTCTCCAATTCAACATGCAAAGATCGAGGATGATAAGAAGACCTTGGGTTTTTTTGAGATGATATCTTGATGCACAGTCGCCAAGCATGCTCTGCCGAAGCAACACTTTTTCGACACTCGGGGGGCTGCTGGGTGCTCCTTCGACGGGAGTGATCACAGGATTTTGGGCTTTGAAGATGTCCTGTCTCGTCCGCCAAAGCAAGGAGCGTTGTTGAAAGTATGACTTAAGACTCTCCCCGTGCTAAGTTGGCCAGTTGCTCATCGCAGGACTTTCTTCACTGGCTACGAAATTCCGTCTGAGACACAACAAATGGGCATGCAAGGGGTGTACTCTGAAATCCCCATAAACTGGGAAGTACAAAAAGCCGAACAGAGACGATATAGCAAGAAACAATGAAGAATGGCTAATATGAGTTTTGACGGGACACTCTGCCTGTTGCTGGTCCCAAGCCAGTTTTTGACTTAATGAGCAGTGCCAGGGATTACGGTAAGTATCTCAACCAGCCATAATTCAAACAGAATACAACCTAAGTAAAATGCTCAAATTCAGTATCACACATCTTGAGCCGAACAGAAGGATCTGCTTGCCTGAACTATACCTGGTTATGCTCGAAAACCTATTGTACATTTGTCTTTTTCCGACTCACGAGTCTTTATTAGCTCGTTGGCTATCCCGTCGAGCTTGCGAAAAGCTTTTGGAGCCGACTAGAGGAACAAGCGTTTGTTTGGTTATAAAAGTGCTGCATCCTTCTTGACATTGTGTCTAATCTATAACCACAACTTCTGGTCTCTCCTGGCACCATGGGTAGTATCAGATTTAACAGCAGTACCTTAAGATGCTGTCTCGGGCGCCACAGTTCCTCCTCCATGGGAGCCACTTTTCCATTGGGAGTCAACAACCAGCCCTTGTGGGCTTCTACTATTGCTTTCTGGACGGCTAATAATAGATTTTTCTCCGGCTGGCGTATGAGTGACAGCGATGGCAAATCTCCATACATAATATCTGCAGCTTCCGCAGAGGTCATGAAGTATAACGAAAACGCTTTCGCAATAACAAAGTACAAGTACTAGCCACTCACTCACCGTGTGCCATGGCGACAACCTGGAGTCATTCTGGAAACCCTTGGCTCCCCCTTCTCCCCTCCCTGATAAAATTATCTTCCAAGGTTGCCTCAAGTCCTTCACGTTTTGGGACCATATTCTGAGAAGGTGATTCTGAAAGTCTCCTACATGATGCAGATATGCCAGGCCAAAGGCACCCATAATCGAACTACATCCTTCATTAGACCTTTCCAACTCTCTCCATGTGCGCCGGATAGAAACAATTGTAACACAGTTGGCCACGAACTATTACCCTCTTCGCTGTGATTTATACTCTACTGTGTCTTGATAACATTTCTCCGTGTTTCCCACAGTTCTTTGTGTAGTATGCGCTGTTCTGTAATCACGCTCGACCCCAACAAACTGAAGACTGCAGAGCACAACACCCACCATGCAAGGAGTGTCTACTTGCCAGCCACAACGAGACAGTCTTCAAGTCCCCAGTAAACCCCCGATCCAACAAAAGCATCACTCGCCCACTGCCTGGTTCAGCGCGTTCACGCGGTAAATCTCACTGCACTCAATGAGTTCATGAGTGCATCGGTCAATGCACCGCCCATTCAGGATCATAGAAATTACATCCACCCTACGAATCATATACAACCGGTGCGCAATCGCAATAACCAGCATCACCTTCCTAGCCTAATTCAGCCCCGCCTATAGAAAACGTCCCGACTCCGCATTGAGGGCACTCGTCGACTCGTCAAGAAGCAAGAGCTGAGGCTTTCGAACAAGCGCCCGCGCAATCACCAACCATTGCTTTCGAACCCCGGACAGCCGGTCGCCGTTCGGTCCACAGTAGGTGTCATAGCCGCTTGGAAGCTGCATGATCGTCTCATGGATGTTCGCCAGCTTGCAAGCCTCTTCCAGCTTCTCTTGCGTGACCGTCCGACTGGGTCTTGCCCCGAGCGAGGGGTTAAATCGGATTGTCCCGTCGAACATGAGGCTCTGCTGCGGGACGTATGCAATTTATGGTGGAAGGAGTCGTCCCCGTATGCGATGTTCTGCCTATCTACCTCGATGGATCCTGACTCGGGTGCATACAGACGTTCCATGAGGGTAATGATCGTCAACTTTCCGGCGCCACTTGGTTTAACCAGCGCGGCGAATTGTCGGGGCTTGATGCTTAGATCTAGTCTGTGCAGCACCTGGATGTCAGGCCGCACAGGCTACGAGAAGCGGACCTGCTTGAAGGCTACCCTGATGCCGTTTCCTGGTGAGGCTCTTTTCTCGCTAATAGTAAAAGTAGTTTCCACGTCGTCTAATGCCTAAAGAGGCGCTGAGAGGCTTCTAGTCAACCCCAGGTCAAGGAGGTTCAGAAGTCGTCGCGTGGCCTATGTGGCCTAGGAAGCTAGCGAGACCTCGGTTACAAGGGCGAACATCTGTCCCCAGAGCGGTGAACTGACTAGAAGCACAAGCTGAACGATGAAGAACTGCATATGCGCATCCTCGCCTGCAATCATTAGCTTAGGGCAGAACCAGTATGCCAGTTCATAGTTAAAGTTACTCAGCCCGTAACCAACAGCTAGCCAAAGCTTTGCCCATTCAGTGTATATTGTTACTTGTAGCATGGGGCCCTGAAGAGAGCGACGATAGGTCTCGGGTACTTCATGCTCCAGAGACAACGACACGACTGTGTTTATTTTCATCCGCTGAGTTCCGCATGTCTGGGTTTCTTTCTCACACCTCGTCCTAGACAGTTCGTACGCGTCTATGCTCTTGATGCTACCATGCAGGTCACATTGCTGCGTGTGTCCCGGTGGGAGCAAGACCTCAGGCCCACTTACCCGTGGTCCGCGTGACTACCCACAAGTTGAAAAGTAGCTGTCCATGTTAGGCATGGATTAAAACAGACAGAAATTCCCCTCAAGTCAAACGCCATACCCAGATTGTGTAGCGCATCCGACTTCCAACCTTGGGAGAGAGTTTTGCTATTCCGCGTCGGCTCCAACCGCTAACCGCACTTCCAACTTTCAAGAGGAAACGGCGAGACTCTTGAGTGGGGTTGCCGAGGATTCCTGATGTGGGTATGAGACAGAGGCACCGCGCCTTGACGATGGTAATTCTGTGGTAATGGTGTGTCCAATACGTTGGCGCAGAATGCTGCGCGCGTATGGGTCTATACGAGGTCCTCGACATCCTTTGAATCCCTAGAGCGACCCGCGAAGCTATTGTAAGACTGTGATATGTGTCACTGGAAAGAATCTTTCGGTCGCGTCTGACAGAGACCCCACGATGGTCATTGGGCCCGAGTGAGATTATCCCATCACGTTATCCATTTTCTACATTTCTCTTTGCGCTCCCGCTTCAACAAAAACAAATCCATGAGATCGACCGTCCTGTAACCAATTTCTTCGAATGAACCCAAGACGCGGGATGCCATGAGCAATTTCTCAGCGCTACTATTGGGGGAATCGAATCGGTCGCACGGAATTCAATGAGCCTGGTTCGGATACACAGCAGCACGGTAACCTCAGAATCTGAGTTACGATGTATCTAATCTGATCTGATAATCTAATCACGAAAACTCAACTTGTGCCAAGAGCAGGTTCGGAACCGGCTCTTCTCTTTCTGGTATGTGCGATCCGATTCGCGGAGTAATACGGGCTTGCTTAAAACAGAACTCTAGCCCCGGCCAGCATAATACACAGCATTCGGTTAGTTACATCGCAGTCGCCTCCAGACAAATCATCGATACGCATTGGAATAATCTTCGTCGCTATTCAATTATCGATATGGGCGGTGAGATTACACCAATCGCTCTCCCCAACTCAAAGCAGTTCTATCTGGAGAACGAACGGGGAGAAACGTACTTGATCCAGATATCTTGGCCACTGCATTGGCAAGACGACCGCATTACTGACCGTGGTCCGCTCCCCATTCTGTGAGCTTTGACAACCACCAACTCTCCACCATCGCCAACGTAGCTTACCTAATCCAGATACATCGTCGACGGGAATGCATTGTTCCTGACAGCGACAGAAGCTGCGTGGCGTCGGGCAGCCTCATCTCACTTCGCGGGCGGAGGCATTATCGTGGCGATCGGCTACCCGCTGACCGGCAAGCTGTACGATACTTGCCGCCGCAGCCTAGACCTTACGCCGCCCACGGAGAGTCCGATCCCCGGATACGGCGGAGCGGACGAGTTCCTGGACTTCATCAACAACACTGTGCGTCCTGCAGTGAAGGCCCAATTCCCGCACCTCAGCTGCTCCCGTGAAGCCCTCTACGGCCATTCATATGGGGGTCTGTTGGCCCTTCACGCCCTGTTCACACGCCCCGACTCGTTTGACTGTTACATGGCTAGTAGTCCCTCCATCTGGTGGAATAGTCGGTGTATCCTGAAGGAAGCCAGGTCGTTTCTGGAGAAAGGGCGCGCTTCCGAGAATGGGCGTTCACCGTCTCTCATGACCTTCTTTGGCTCCTTCGAGCAGAACACCCCTCAGTGGAACGATGAGCCGCTCGATCAATATGAGGGGCGCAAGCAGATCGCGGCAGATTTGAGGATGGGGGATAATGTCATTGAGCTCTGCGAGATGCTGCGAGACTCTGTGAGGTTACACAGTGTGTCGTTGCATGAGTATGAAGGCGAGGAGCATATAAGCGTGATTTCATGCTCCATGAGCCGCAGTTTGACTATGTTCTTCGAGGATTGGCCTCTACTTCATTAGTCAATGCATGTACTCTACGTGTGTTGTCCAACATTGTCCTCGAGCGATGTTGGACTGTCTGGATACGCAATAAATGCCTTGATTTAACATTCAATATGTATTGAATGTCCTATAATTATATTAGATTGCACCTCGTTGGATGAATAGCAGGGAACTTATTCTTATTCTCATTTGGTCCCATTAGCGGGGTATGTATCTATTCGTAGTCATGAGCAAAATCAAAGACTTGTGGTTCATTCACTCTCCTTAGGTTGGTGATGACTCCTTATCTTTGATCAACGTTTAGTCTAAGACCAGAAGCCCCTTTTGTACTCCCATCTTGCGAGTCTCTGTCTTACATGAGCCGTAATGCGTGGATGGCTGTCGTGGCCACGAAGACGACGACGACGCATACGCAAGCGATATGCCTTTTCTCGTATCGTGATTGGCCAGCCTTTTACTCCCCACCTTAAAAGTGGGTCACCTGGTTTAGATAGTAGCAGCAATCGCTTCCCTCAAGAAAAACATTTCAGGCCGCTCATGGCCGAGTTCTATTCCTTTGATAATGTTTCGAACGATGTATTCCCTTTCATTCAGCAACGCTGCACGCAGGCATATTTACAATGGTTCGCCCTTTCGTCTTGGGGTGCATCGGGGCGTTGGCGCGGGTAGGTAGCGGGGATTTCATATCAACAGACTACCGCGAATACAACGACGGAGCACTGGGCCATCGACCACATCAAGAATTCCATTCGAGCAGCGAGTATGCGCCCATTCTCCAAGTCAACATCTGGGATCCTGACGCCATCTCCGACGTCGGCTCGCACATCTTCCTCCGCCATGACGGCAACGACTCCTCGCCGCTCTCCTCGCCGCTCATTCTCGATAGCCACGACCTCAGCGCCGTCTACATGAACCGATCGTTCAAGAACGTGTTCGGCACTCGTGTACAAGAGAACCTGGGGAAGAAGTACCTCACCTTCTGGGGAGGAGAGAAGGGCGACGGGATCGGTGACGGGTACGGGCTGGCGTACGACGAGACCTATCGGCTGGCTTACAAGATCTCGGCCCAGAACATCCAAGTACACAGCGACCTCCACGAGTTTGCATTCACCGGCAACGGGACGGCGCTGGTCACGGGCGTCGACAAGATTCGGGCTCGTCGGTCCGACTTGCAAGAAGGATGGGAGACACCCGAGCGATTCGAGGTTCTGAACGCTGTGTTTCAAGAGACAGACCTCGAGACGAACGACGTGATCTTCGACTGGCGGGCACTCGATCACATCAACCCGATGGACTCGTTCGAACCGAGGGGGAGCGGGTGGGATGCATACCACCTGAACAGTATCCAGAAGGTAAGAAAATGACAATCCCTGCAACTCTGGATCAGCACACGCCGCTAACCCAGCGCGTGCGCGCACAGACACAAGCCGGCAACTACCTCATCTCTATCCGCCACATGCACGCCATCTACCTCATCAACGGCAAGACCGGCGAGATAATCTGGACACTAGGCGGCCCACATAACGACTTCATCGAGCTGCCTCCCGCCGCAGGCGTCGATGAGCTCGCGCAACCCGTTCTGACAATGGGCTGGCAGCACCACGCGCGTTTCGTCCCGGGGACTGACGAGACTCAGATGACATTTTTCGACAACCACGTCAAGGAGACATCGCATGGCGAATGCGACTCGGACTGCTCGCGCGGCCTGCACATCGCCATCAACGACACCGCCTCGCCCCCGACCGTGCGGCTTCTGCAGGAGTTCCTGCATCCGTCCCGCTTGCAGGCCCAGAGCCAGGGTAGCGTGCAGCCCCTCTCCCCAGTTCCCGGGAATCTGGGCAACGTCTTCATTGGCTGGGGCCGGTGTCCCACGTTCACGGAGCACACCTCTTCCGGTGACACGGTCCTGGACGTCCAGTTCTCGCCGTGGCACAGCGCGGAAATCCCCGATGCGCTCGACAACTACCGTGCGTATAAAATGGATTGGACCGCAACGCCGTGGTGGGATCCGGTCCTTGCACCGAGGATGAACTCCCAGGGTGAGTTGGTCGTCTACGTGAGCTGGAACGGGGCGACGGAGATAACGACATGGGTGGTTCGGGGCGCGGCCCGTGATCTGCCGGGCAAGAAGGGGCGGATCATCGCAGTGTCCCCACGGACGGGGTTCGAGACCAAGATGGTGCTTGGGAGCACAGAGTGGCAGTATCTGTGGGCCGAGGCCGTGGATTGGAAGGGGAACGTAATTGGGTCGACGGAGGTTGTCGATTTGGCTACGACGGAGTTGTCGGTCGCCACAGATATGTACGAGTCGGAGGCAGTGTTTCCTCCACTTGAAACAGAGGAGACGAGGCCTGCTGCTGGGGTGTCGAAATTAGTGGTCGCCTTGCTGAGTACCGGTCTGGGAGTCTTCGTCTTGGCATTCATTGCGGCCGTAGTCTTCTGGTGGCATCGGTGCACCGACTATCGTAGCCTGGAGGCCGCTGATTTCGATCTGGAGACAGAATCTGAGCACGAATATAGTGATGTTGACGCGGAGGGTAGCGATGACGGCGTGGAGGGCGGCGATCCGCAGTCAACTAGGGATGAAGACAGTCGTGCCCTTCTTCCCAAGGCAGGGTGAGCAGGACACGTGCCATTCCCGCTAGTCTCGCTGAACTCTTACACATATTTACCTTGCAGAAATGAATCTTTCCTGGTTGGGAATATTGATTCAAACACTTAAGTGAGAGTTGATCTTGCTAGCACGTCAATGCATATTTCTCCATCTGTGAAAATACCCATGTTGGAGAGTCTACCTATGAGGCGTTCTCCCCTTTCTTCTTCTTTCATCTTGAAAAGAAATGACTACGTCGGACGTTGCGTTTTGAAACGAGTTTCGAAGTTATACGAGAGTTTATTGGCATTGCCATAAACTGAAAGGCTAATCCAACGGCCGAACCTACTCGAAACGCTTTGTATGGGTTCCAACAGGGATACAAAAGGAGAGCAAGGATCAGGAACATAAGAGGCTTAAGCACGGCCGCTGGGATACATACGCGGCATCAAACGTGACCATAACAATACACGGACAGAGCGGGCCAGAGTGAGTGATTGATTGCCGTGGCGTGGAGCTTCCCGTGGTAACCCATCATCTGATCTAATCTGATCGGATCGGGCCCTCCCAGTCAACACGGGCTGTATTGTTCCACGGCAGCGTATTACGGGCGTTTTGCGGATGCAGTATCCTTCCTGTAATCCCTATCAGGACTAAATTACTACTACCTACGATTTGTTCAGCCGACCAGAAATTTCTTCCTTAGAACTCTGATGATATGAAAATCACGCGGCAGGACGGGGGCATTTATATACAGTACGTTACTGCACATGTACCAGGATACGCACTTGGGTTTAGCTGCAACTCAGGTCCCGCAGCGCAGAAGGCCCCCGAAACGGGAAATTGGCCTCTTTCCCGGCGACTTAACATAGTGGAGCTCATACTCAGTCGAGCCACTAGATTGGCTCAATGGAACAGGGTCTGAGATTACCTAGTTCTTTCCCTCGCTACACATCAGGGTCTCGGACCCTTTCTTTTCCCACGTACTTCTGGGCCGAAGGCAACTGGACGTGCATGCTGGCCGATTTTCGGCGTCGACAGACCCCACGACAACACGCGAGAATTAAGTGGAGACGAGAATGGTCACTTTAAACGACCTAACCAGTAGCGTGGTGAATTACAACTGCCATGATATGCATCATTGCACACAAGGATGCAGTGGTCATGTCTTGGCAAGACAAAATATTAATGCTCGCCTGCGTGATCGGAGCATTTCCCCGGTCAGTGCAGTTCATGATGCCACAGTGAGCCTATGACCCGTTTCCTTCTATCTACTCGACCTTCGAGCTCCGATAACATTACTAAAAATGAGCGGATGTAACTGGCGATAGGGAGAAGTTTGAGATTTGCCACCAGAGGTGAAACTCAACATAAAAGCTCCCCATGGTCTCAAAGAGCGTGAGCGGAACAGACCCATCGCTCCTTTGAAAGGAGAGTAGCCCACAGCAAATACAGACTGCATCGTGCCATAAAATCCGGCGAGAACGCCGGGTCGGTGTTTAGAGCTCATCCGGCAAACCCGAGCAACGTAAGGGCCAAGGCACGGTACTAAATCCGTGATGTAAACTGGAAAGTGCATGCTAAACAAGGCACAAAAATTGTACGATATCAAGCCTAGTCATCACCACTTTTGCAAGTTAGTTGGCACTCGCAGAACTGTGTAGCAACCTGCTAGTCACATATCGTCAATACAAGGCATTATTACTCAGTGGCAATTGTGCCCACAATTGACAACAGAGTCAGAATTGTATGAGTCTATTGTACCCAAATACCCCGCTTACTATATGCGGTAGAATGAAAGCTGGAACGAAGCGTATTTCATTTTGGTTTGGTGCTCAACTGTGGTTGATCATCAGAGGAGACCAAGCCTTAGTGAGAGAAAGGGATTCTGTTCTCGTGCATCGATCCACTTCCTTCATTTATTGTCGTGCCTGGCCGAGGATCTATTTTATAGAATGTTGACACAGAGGATCACAGTTGCCGTCTTGATGTTATCCAGCCTTGAACATGGTCTGGGTCGCCAGATGCGGAAGTACAGACACGGCGGCGCTACCCGCCCCATACAATGCACCTTGTCTCACATCACATCAAGCTTAAGACATACAAATCAAACGTCTTTAAAAAATGCATCCAGGGAATACCAGGATATCAGACGGCGAAACGATCCCAGGCGTTTAATGATGAATGCCTTCTTTTTCGAGTGGCCTTCGAGGTCGACGACATTTGTCACTTCACAGAGAGTCATACGTTTGAACAGACATCAATTATTTCACCTCATCGAACTTCAACAGTGAGTCTAGCCATCTGAACGTTGACCTGCTTATTAATGCCCTTATCCCCTTAGCATCCTCCTCGACCACGGAGAAGAAACGTCATTCACCTTGGCCGTGTGAAATCAATGGCCATACTTATAGATTGTCAGCTAGTATGTCAGGACCTTGCGCTGGAAGTACACAATGGGACGAAACTAGCAATGGCAGAAGGGCTCGGTTCACCTGTGGTCGATAAATTGTTAGCCGGAGAAAAGGTGATTTGAGCAAGATCCGTCCAGCACATGCCAAGCCTAGTCGTCTAATGCCCCCCACTCCACTTCCTGGTCTCTGGTAAGGTAGCACGCTAATCTCACCCTGCGGCTAGAGTATCTTTGAACCCTAATCTGCGGTATTGAGCAGTATTACAGACCAAGTGGATCGAGAAGGAATGCAACCATGACCACCTGAATTCTTATCAATCAGTGCTCCCAACCTTGGTTGGAAAAGTTTCTCCATTGTCGCCTCTCGCATGAGTCAGGTTGCGCTCGTGGCAGGCTCTGGCATCACCTAAACGATTTCTTCCCGGAGTCGATGGTGCCACTTCTGGTTAAATAGTTTGCATGTCACCCCGCGAGCCCGGTTCCTTGCTGTTTCTCCAATCCACCTGGAACTTGTTCCGCCTGTCAAGCCAAAAATGACATTCCTTAATAAGCTCCAGCAAATTCGCGGAGGTACGTGGATGGCTCATGGTGAGGATACGGACTCAATTGAGGATCGCAATTCGACCGTCCAGACCAACATCATGAACAGCAAGGAAGCCGGGGGTGGCTACCCAGGTACTCCTCCTGATGACACCAAGCATGATCCAGAAAAGCCGAGCGACAATGCACAATTCGGTGTGCAAAAAATAGAAGCCGTGACTATGGCATGGTCGAAGGCATCATTAGCTACAGTACTTATTCTGTTTGTCATTGATCGAAGATCCTCGTTATCTCACCGTAAAGCTGACGATTCCTTGAACTTCACAGCATCTGGCTCTTGACGCTTGTCAACGGCTTCAAATCCACGGTCGTCGCTACTTTGAATCCGTTCATCACGAGCTCCTTTCAAGCCCACTCGCTTTTGACATTAATCACGATTGTCGCGGGATCCATCACTTCGGCGATCTATATCCCAATGGCCAAGATGTTGGACGTGTGGGGTCGTGCTGAAAGCTTTCTCCTCATGATGGCTCTTTGCATTCTTGGTTTGGTGCTTATGGCGGCCTCACATAACCTTGCTACGTACTGCGCCGCGGAGGTAATGTGGTGAATTTCCCCTGCAAACTGTGGAAGACCTCTAACGCATCAATCAAATCCAGGTTTTCTATACAATTGGGTTCGGAGGTCTGAGTTACACTTGGGATGTCCTGGCTGCCGACGTGACGAACTTGCGGAACCGAGGATTAGCATTCGCTTTTACCTCGTCTCCCGGCATCATCACCGCCTTCGCAGGATCAAAGGCGGGGGCAGGATTCTATGCCAATGTCAATTGGCGATGGGGCGTTGGATGCTGGGCCATTGTCTTTCCCTGTGTGGCGTTGCCGCTGTATGCCGTTCTGGCGTGGAACCTGCGCAAAGCGCGAAAGGAGCAAATCGTTGTCCGCGAGAAAAGCAACAGGAGCATCAAGGAGACAGTCTGGTGGTGCATTACAGAGTTTGACTGTGAGTTCAATACCCCAACCTGGCGCTGATATTTCAGACAGCTAAGACAGACACAGTGCCGGGAGTTTTCCTACTGGCCGCCGGCGTCGTCATCTTCCTCCTTCCCTTCACTCTGGCCACCACCGCACCAAACGGATGGAAGACCGGCTACATCATCGCCATGATCGTCGTCGGCTTTGTTCTTCTAGTGGTTTTCTTCCTCTATCAGGTCTATCTGGCTCCCGTGCCATTCTTGAAGAACCGGTTCTTGCTCGACCGCACCGTGCTGGGCGCAGTACTCTTGGATATGACCTACCAGGTCTCATATTACTGCTACGCCTCCTACTTCTCATCATTCCTCATGGTCGTCTACAATTTGGACATGGCATCCGCCGGTTACGTCGTGAACACCTTCAGTGTGGTATCCTTCGTGTTTCTGTTTATTGCGGGGTACTTAATCCGTCTGACTGGGCGCTTCAAGTGGATCCTATGGTTCTGCGTGCCTCTCTACATCTTCGCCCTTGGCTTGATGATCCACTTCCGCCAACCAAACGGCTACATCGGTTACATAGTTATGTGCGAGATTTTCTTTTCCGTCTCAGGGGGTATCTTTATCCTCTGCGTGCAACTGGCCGTGCTCGGGGTCGTCGATCACCAGCACGTCGCTGCCGTACTGGCCTTCCTCTACGTGGCCGGAGGTGTCGGTGGCTCCATTGGTAGTGCGATCTCCGGCGCCATCTGGACCAACACCTTCGAAAAGGCCCTCAAGCGCTATCTCCCGGCGTCGGCGCAGCCGGACTTGCAGACCATCTACGGAAGTCTGCCGGCGCAACTTGCCTATCCCGTTGGCAGCGAGGAGCGGTTGGGAATCCAGAGGGCGTATGGTTATGCGCAGACGAGGATGCTGGCTGCTGCGACTGCTTTCATGGTCCTGGGCTTCGTCTGGGTCGGGATGATGAGGAATATCAATGTCAAGAATATGACGCAGACCAAGGGGAATGTACTTTGAGGAAAGATGGCTGTACGAATGACATGGATGTCCCGGTTGGTGGTGTTGCGGGCACACTGGCAGTGCTCGCTTTTGACCACGGCACACAGCAGCTCTCGGGGCATCAGATAGCCACAGGTTTTAGCATGTGTTTCCTTTCCACCAGATTAAATATATATGTTGTACAGGATGTATTTATTCTATTGTTAATAAAATTGAACCCTAGTACGGGAACGAATGCAAATTGGAAGCAGGCGAGATTGGAGACAAAGTTACGAGCTGCAGCTGCTAGCCCTAGTCGGGACTAAGATAGCAGCTAGAACCGCGACACACTTCTCATAGGCCAGACTATCAATCTCCGACTGTTGATAGGACATTGCTCACGTATTCCCCCACATACCTAGTACTACCTGAGGCTCGCAAGTCAGCCCGCAAGGCTGAAACTGCAATTGCGCCTCAGCTGCATCGCCAGCCTCCCCCAAAGCCAGAACGTCGGCCATCGAACCAGGCTACATAATACCTCCGACGCCCCACAAGAAGCGCAAGGCCGCCAACCGACACCAGCGTAATGGACGGAGCCAGCGCCATATTTGCGTTTGTGCAGGTCGGGCTCAGCATCGCGACCACGCTGAATACCTATATCGCCGACGTGCGCCACCGTCGCGACGACATCGCCAACCGCGAAGGCCCGGTCCGCCGCTCGCCGTCGCCCAGCCCGTCATTCCGCGGCCGCTCCCCGCCGCAGCGCTATCGGCCAAGGCCCCGTAGCTATGGCCCTGGTTGGCGGCCTTCACGCCGGTTTGGATCTCGTTCGCGCAGCTATGTGCGCGAGAGGATGGACCCGGGGGCAGGGCAGAGGGTGTACGCTGAGGAGGTGACAGAGTCCGAGGAGAGTGGTGATGAAGGGCCGCCGGATGATGTGCTCGTGGATCGGATTATGACGCGGTATACTGGGCAGCCTATTGAGCGGAATGTTGGTACGGAAGGCTTGTGATGGTTTGGAAGGTGAGGGAGTAGGGTAGTGTGCGTTGAGGGTGGTGTTGTGTAGAGTTAATGCGGTGGGCGTATATGGATGGTATATTTTCTTGTAACCTTTTTGGTAGAGGGCAATTGGATGCGTTTGGGGGTGATTGGTATGGCGACAACCTACATGCGAAGCCCTTGCCGTGGCATGGAAGGTAGTTGATCGTACCGCCGGTGCACAAACTCAATGCAAGCTCGTGCGAACTCGCCTGGCTCCCAGGGTACTATTCAGCCTTGTCGACGATGAACTATACTGTCGAGTGAGAACCGCTCGACCAAGCTAGTGTGCATGGGTAATGGTCGCCACTGTCGCGCCAATCGGGGTAAACTCATGCGATCTTGGAAACCAAGTGCATGCGCGGTAGAGCCTGAGGTGACCAGGGAGGAAGGATAGTTTGACTCTCCAAGCATTAGCACGATGGATCTGAGAGTATGACGGGCCAGCGAACGAATGCACGAGTCCCAAAATACGCACCCATTGGCACTAATTGAACTTAGAGGATGCATGACGACTTTTCAGGGCAGATGAGGAACGTGTCTTGCTAAGTTCTTTTGCGTAAAGCGCAGGTACAGGTATCCTAATGGTAATTTTATTTAAGCCAAAATCGAAATCGAGAGAGTCAGGGGATCTGTCATTAGACTTATCTACCGCATAAGATTCCTACAAGACAGCCGGTCGCCCATAGTACATACTGTGTGCACCCTGGGATAGAAAACATACTACCAACTGGCCAAAGCTGCCGAAGCGACTACCCATATCTTATTCATATAGTTTCTGCTGCAAGTGACTTTGAAACTCAGAATCGAAATCTCAGTACTGTTCCATCCAAAATCGCGCAGCCAATGAAGGTACTGGTCAATGCCGAGGGTGAGAGATTGCGATTCATGATGAGTTCCACATCTCGCGATCCTCCGCATAGTCTGATCTGAAGCCTAAATGGTAATAACTGTTGTGGACCTTATCCTAATCGCCCACTAAGAGGCTATGCGAAAATGGTTGTCGTAGTTTGGATGTTGCAGACCTCGTGATTGCAGTGCAGAATAAATGCCTGATCACTTCTGTGTGGCTGGTTTTCATGGTTGATGGATGATGGAGAAGTGATCGCAAGCAAGAAGCAAGAAGGGTATTTTTGAATTTCATGGAGCATGACGGTAGGGCAGCGGGTAAGGAGAAGCGGACTGGCGTTCTTAATCGAGCCAACTGGCTTGTAATGCCATGTCCGACTAATGTAGGGTCTGGAAGTTTGAACTGTACTGTACTCTGATCAAGGATCCGTAGGGCATGAGGCTATTCGCTACAGATAAGTGCAGGTCAGTGCAAGTGCTATTAACTGAAGAGGTCATCATAGAACCCGGCCTATCTGATATCAACCACAAGCGACAGCTGCGGGCTCGGCTAGTCTAAGACACTGGGCTTGACGAGTAAATGAGATCGGCACAACGGCAACTTCGCACTCTATGTTTAGTTACTCTACGCAAATGACTTTTCTTCGTTTCTGTGCGACAGTGATCTCTGAATCTATCGTTCGATTGTGCAACGGCTTGAAATCTTTAGCAATTATGGGATTCATTGGCATGGTCAACAAATGCTTTTTGAAAGTGTTGTCCAGGTTTGACCTTTCAACGGGATATGTTTTTAGAAAAGAAGAACGGGATAGTGCTATGCTCAATACAGAATTTGTCGAGTCTCTTACCGTGTCTAGGAGCATGTAAACGCATACTGTTCTTGCGTAGCTTCTAACTTCATGATTTGGCCTTAGGATGAGGAAATCGGCATACATGTACGAAGGAAAGAATGCATATCCCCGTCGTACACGCCATAAGACTACTTGGATCAATTCCCAGCATTGTAACGCGCATGTACTCAGAGATTCCCTATACCCCATCTACTATACTCAATTGCCTATCTCAACTTCAGGGCGCTTACCCTGCGCTACGTGTGATGGGGCTGGTTCTTGCATGCGGTAGGAACGACGGGGGAAAGGCCGGAATGAGAAAGGAAATGCATCATGGCCAGAGGAAGGAACTGACAACACATGCTGATACTCTAGATGAGGGCCTCACGGTAGGTCTGCCGTCGCACCTTCCCTGTGCACCAATGCAATGGAGATTGAATATACCTCAGCGCTTTGCGTATGTTCGCTCTTCTTTCTCTCTTTTCCCACCTCATGTTTTGAGCATAGTCTGTTTGTAGACAATTCTATCGACAAATCATACTTCTTAAACTCATCTTTACGCCTGTGGAAGCAATCATGTTGAATAGAAAGTGAGTTTTCCCATGATCTTCAAGCAAAGCAGGTCTACGTACTGACGTCGTCTGTGTAGTTCGACCCAGGGGACCTTGCCCCCGGAGCAAGCCCAAGTTACTCGCCCCGCCCCGCCTCCGTTGATGCTCAGAGTGGCCTTCTGTCGCCAGGCTTCTAGACCTTAGATGATTTGGGCGATTCCGCTTGGCTCTTCGTCCGAAAGTCAAATGGTATTTCTCTGGATCCAGCCGAGGAACTCAAGCGACAACGAATCTTTCTCGAGTATGGCGACTAGGCGGGTTGGTCCTGGAAATGCCTAGTGAGGGCCTCCGTTTCCTCAGACGTGCGACGCATATCATCGTAGGTCTTCAGATTCCGCTATAAGCTCAATAGGGAGTCCAAGGATCCCCTCGGAAGACAACCCACCATCGAATGTCTAGAAGGATGTGTTCAACACCTCCGACAGCAGAACTTCGATGTCGACCTCGAGGTTACGAAGCTTGCAATATTCTTGTATGGTAAGCGGAACATCGTTTGCCACGCATGGATAGGGAACCCAGTCGTTCAAAACGACTCCTGCAAGCTACGGGATGAAATTGAACGGGCCAAAGCTCGTCTTTCCGAGGCTCTGCCAGAGGCTCTGCTCCCTTACCGTGCCACCTGGGAACGGACCTTGGACCTCTATGTCGATACCCAAAGTTGGATCGACCCCAGACCTGGCTCGCTGTCTGCACGTCCTTTGCCGGAACCCGACTTGCATACCGGCCCGGGTAACGCACACCGTGCGTTCGAAAACAAAGTGTTTGAGTCTCGAGTCGACGCGTTCTTCCAGACCTCCAAGAAGAGGATCCGGTCACCTCTCGTCCTATTCTCGGTTCGACGCGGACGAGGCATAGTGTGCCGGATCCAATTCCCTGCGTTCCTCGGAAAAGGCGCCGAACCTTGAGGAATGTGGCCAAGGAAGCGCCGCTGCCAAAGGACTCCCCACCGTGGCCTTTGGGAATGCTGTGGACGCCCGTCTATCTCAAGACCTCTAAGGGGACCTCTGCACTTTGTACGCCAAGGATCCGGAAAAGGGCCGCCAGGCTCTCGAGAAGGCACGACAGAAGGTCACCGAGGAGCTTACTTACCTTGATAGGCCGCGACAGGAGAAGGAACTAGGGAAAAGGGGGAATGTTAAGGAAGGGGAGGACACTGGTTAGATTGAGGTGGTCGGTCTGTTCAGGTTCTCTTTGGGGTGTAATGATGCACGCACCTTCGGAACGATAAGGCTTCCTTTGTTCTCTATTTCCCCCACTCTCGACAGTAATCGATAAAACTACCAAGGTGAGTATCACCTTCTTCCATTGATCCTAGTAGACAGATACTGATTTCCAATGTCTCTGCTGCTAGGGCCCCCAGCGATGAGCTTGCACCTTAACGTGGTGCTGGGGTTCAGTATTTCCCCGGCGAGGGAGGAAGAAGCCAAGTCAAGCTTTCTTCCCTGATCGAATGCCCTGCTCTGTCCAGATGTAGTTCTTTCTATACTTCAGTCAGCGTATCTTGTTGCATGTGTTTTGACCAACCAGACTTTGGATGTAATGAACTTGGTTACACTGTAAGATCGCTCTAACTTGGCTTTCCCGGACATTTGTCTTTAAAACAGGTTTCATCTTCCCTCTTTAATTTGACAGGACGCGGGTCCCGTTTCCAGCATTTGTGATGTCGGGATGCGGAGTGTTCAATATATCTCAGAAAATACGAAACATTGTCTAGACTAGTCTACAACACGTACTGGTCCGTCCATGAAGCTAGGATAATGCTGGATACTCGATTGGTGTTGTTGGACGTAGCGTCAGCAGGAGTCCAGTACATTGAGTGGGATGGGAATCCGAAAGAGGTCGGCACCAGAAAGGGACCATGCGGTACTTAGGTGCATTGATTCAAGCTACCGTTTTAACCTCGGAGGGCTTCAAGGAAGGAACACTTGTAGCATCTTCAATTGCAGGTGCCTTCATCCATAACCATCACAGGAACCATTCTCACAGCAACCGAGCTCATCGTCAGATTCATCACTAGACGAAGTCTTTGGCAACCAGTCAAATAGACGAAACTGCTCACAGTCCCCATCGCAACCGGCCTGAAATCCCATGTGGCGACAGTCTGTGCACCAGTATCGTTCAAAGTTGCGCCAGCGGAACTCGACGCTTTCTTGACCCCAATTCCGGTGCAGGTAGCTCCAGAGACAGAATTCAAATTCTCCGCAATCTTCAAACCAGCCTCGATTAGTCCACCCATGGTCGGGATTTGTCGGAACCGCCTTCCAATAGTTGTACACGTTGTCTGGGGTGAAGGGCGGAAGCCCATCCGCGTAGAACTGCTCCCAGAGTGGCACATCCCAGTATGCTCGTAAGAAACGGTCCCAGCCGTGACGAGAATCAACATATAGGTTCCAATGGTGCCAGTGACGAACCATGAGCTTTATCAAGTCAGGGTCGTGGCGGCTGACTGACTCTGGACACCTGCGAATCCTCCGAAGCACCTTTCGATTGACAGGATCGAGTATAAGACGGTTGCCCTGGTCTGGCAACCAATCCCGAGCGCGGGCCAGACGGATCCTGCCCGCAGTAAGCCCTGGGAGAAGATCCAATCGAGTATCCAGAAAGAAACCGGTATCGAGGATCACTGCCGTGATGTCGTCGAAGAGACGGGCCAAATCGCGATACTGCGAGTCGCCACTCAGCGGGCCGTCGTTGTAGTTTGCGTATCCACTGTGCAGGATAAACTCGCGACCGTAGTTTATCAGCCCCCAGTCGATCGCGTCGTCCATCCGAGGCGACGCAGGGATCACCTGCAGGCTTCTCACCTTGGACAGGGTACAAAATGGCAGAAACACTATATTGTGATCGGGCCGCGGGCTGCCAGGGTAATCGATGCTCTCGACGGCGCGCCCCTCCTCCTGCCAGTCGCATCCCTTGTGCTCCTGCAGGTGGATCGTGAGAGACCGGATTGCAGCGCCCTCGAGAAGTTCCATCAGATGGGAGATCCTCTTCCATAGCAGAACAATCTGCCCGGGGTCCTGCCGATCTGGTGCATAGATATGGATGTAGAGATGGGTCTTGTGGTAGGGGAGCCTCGAAAATCGATGCTTGTTGTGGTTGTCTATCCCCCAACGCAATCGAAGTTGCCTGCAAGACATGTCTATCCACGGTTCTTGAACATGTGGCCACAGATGGATGTCCATTGTGTCGTAAAGACGCTTGGTGATCTCTTCGTAGATCGCTCGAGAGCAACACAGAAGCTTTATGGATGCGGGTCGCATCCCAAGCAAGATTTCATATATTGTCATCCGGAGCTCGATAGGCAATTTGCCCAGTCGTCCGAATGGAGATGGCGTCATGTGTCGTGATGGTGCCGAAGATGGATGTAAATTTCCAGGGGTAGATGTTGTCATCGTGGTCGTTCGTCGGTTCCCCAGATGGTGCTTGACAGATACTTGAGAAGAGAAGAAGTGGACACTTTTGTTTTGAGAATAAGATAGTGAATGCGTTTGGAAGCACGAAAAGCGAGACTGTGAGGATGTTTTTGAAGAGGAGGAGGTGTGAAGAAGGAAGGAGAAGGAAAAGGAGGGATCCGCGATCCCAACGGTATTGAATGAGTCACGCGCACAGGGATGCAGTCAGGATGAGGTAAGTAACGTCTCTTCCAGTTTTATACTTATATTATCCTTATCCTACTAGAGAAGCAGCCAGCATGATCAGCCAGCCCACCCAGTCCATCCATCCCGGACCACCAATCCTCCCAGCTTGCAATCTCTCTATCACCTGATTGTCTCTGGATAACCCCTGCTTCATAACAATAGACCTCGCTTTTAGGGAGTCGAACGAGTTCATCACTGGCGGCGACTGCGAACTTCGTCCTCACTGGGGGATCCTTTTCGATTTCCACCTTCCACGCCACTTCATCGCACGCTTCCCACAGCTGTTTCCTTGCCGGGAGTGGGGACACAACAGGATCGGTTGGATGGTCGCACATTGTGGCTGGATCGAAATAGACCAGCATGTTGACGATCTGATATATCAGACATAACCTGCAAGAATGAGTAGTGTTTTCCCACTCATAGTGGGTGCGCAGACGAACCTTCGTGCTGACTCCTTGAATGCCCAGTCGTCCCAGGCCGCCCTAGTATCACCGTTGCTTTGCCCGTGGCGCGGCTGAACTGAGTCACAATGGTCGCCGAGGCGTTTGGCGACGACCTATCAAGACATTAGAGCTCGAATAACTCGGAAGTGAGACCAAGGGTGACCCTACTGCAACCGTAGCTAGCCACTTGATCAAATGTTTACCTTCCACGCGGACTAGAAGTCAGAGGACAGCTTAGCGACACGTGTCTATCTTCTTCTCTATACCTCCCTCTCTCCTATCCTCATAAATCTAATCCCGCACCAGATGATCATGATCGCACTCAGATACCCAGTCTACGAGGCTATAGGGTCCGGCGGTCATGGCAATGAGATATTGCTCGTTTCTTTCGCCCGCTAACTGAATGACAATTCACTCCTCCCGATGACGCCGCTCTAGGAGACAGACTGATCATCTCCGTATCCCGCGAACGTAAAGGCCAGCTTGAACCCCCCTAGCTTGCATTGACTCCATCGCCGCGGACACAGAAGTACAGGCAGCAGCTACTTTCACCGGGCAGGGGTTGCCATTACGTACCTGCAAACGGGACCGGAGCCGGTTTTGCAGGGCAAAAGAGTCCAGCCCTCTACACCGCCACATGAGTAACGATTTTGCGTGCGGCAACAGGCAGGAGAAGTGTCTAGCCTGATGAAAGCCCAATAACTCACGATTGGATGGGTGCGAATGCGAAAATACTCGGACTACCAGGGCCTCTGGACGTTGAGAATCGGCGTCAGGGAGCCCCCGCTTACCCCGTGAAGTACGCAGTCGCTTGGGTTCTGATGATCTGCCACGCGTCAGCGAGATAGCACCCGGTACATTGGGGAGAGTGGGAGGATATTACCTAGTGTTTCCTTGGAAAGGAATCGTGCGTTTGAATCATTGTTTCTGGTTTGCATGCACCCTCACCGTTAATCAGGCGCGTGCTGGGTGGGACCCCGGAGAACCAAAATTGGATTGTCTAATCTTAGACCTCATGTACATGTAGTAAATGTTTATTGACACGGGCAAAATAGTAGCTTGCAAAGCGCGGAACACATGTCTCGCGAAATTTAGTTACATGTACAGTACATCCTTCCCGGTCGCCAGAATATACCTGACGTCCATGTGTTGGTCCTCGCCAACGGTTTTCTTGCTGGTGCCCCTCAGCCGGCACATAAGGAACCGCACTGCTAGCCACCCGCAGGCGAACCGTCCGTCTGCATCAAGCGATCCACCATCCGAAGGAAGCTGTCATTGTTGTCGTCCGTCAGCGCAGCCGAAGGCTGCTTGACCAGCGCCTTGGCCACCCACCAATACTCAACCGCATGGATGATGAACCCAGCCCGCTGGGCACTGGCGGGCTCGGTCGTGCGGCACAAAGCGTCCCAGTGAGCCTTCCACCGATCTAGACCCCGCTCCACTGGTTCAAACGCCCGAAGGTCGTCATTGAACGTGTGCAGGGCTAGCAGGTCAAACAGAACGGTCTGTAGAGCTGGATCACTCGTGTGTTAGTTCCACGCCGCAATGGGAATGGGACTGTGTATATCAATAAAGTGCGCAGGCCCTTACTCACCTGACAGAACGAGAAACGATCCGAACAGAGTCTGGGGCACGTAGTCCTTGTGAAGAGGGCCCAGGCCATCGGCCCGCATGAAGTCGCGCAGAGCGGTTCGAAGCCGGACAGGAGCGCGCGGCTGCACGTCTTGGGATGACAGTTGCGCCCATTCCGTGGCATCGCGAGCATGGAACAGGTTGTCCCGCTGGGGGATCTCGAAGGTGAGCTCGTCGGGTTGCAGCTGCGTCGGATAGCGGAAGAAGATGACGCAGTAACAGTCCAGGAGGTAGATGCCGGCCATAATTCTGTGGATCGTTGTCAGTTGAGTGACATCTTGCACGATCAGATCAGGGAGGTCCAAGGGCTGCCGAACCTGACCAGGCCCTCGCGGAGACAATACGCCTCCCAGTTGGAGGTATTGGGCACGCAGTCGTTCGTGATCTGATTCAGGTCGATCGTGCGGATGGCGGTGAAGAGCCGCGGTAGGCGGTGCAGGCGAGTCTGGCGGATGCTGTCCGGGTCCTCCTTGTAAGCCTGCAGGTTCAGGACAAGCATAGCCGCTTGAAGCATTTCCAGGGTTCGATGGTCATCGAGGGAGTCGTTTCGTTTATCCATCAGGGTCTGGAACTCCGGGCCGTCGAATATCAGGTGCTCCGCATTGCTTGAGTATATCTCCAGCTCGGTTGCTCTGCTGTGGGAGGTGTAGACTGCCCCCAATAGCACCATTGGAAGAACAAGCAGCCCTGAGGCTTGGTTTAGCCGGAATGATGCTGGACTGAGAAAATGGCTGTGGAACGGGCTATTGAAAAAGGCTTCGATGAACTCCGCGATGTTCGTGGGCGTAAAGAACTGCTTCGCCTTATCAGGATCTACCCTTTCCTCTGGCGTGGAGTGTTTACACCCTGCGAGCAGGGTTAGTAACTTGGTCGCAACGTTTTGAAGCTCCGTGTAGTCGAAACGGTCCGCAAGAGCGGCTTGTGCACTGCTGGACATGTCCAACGTGGCAGTGTTGATGAAAGACCTGAATAAGCTTTCCCAGGATTCAGTGGCGAGGTTCAGGTTGTGCGATTGGTGGTCCACAGCACAACAGCCGTCTTTCGTGTCCGCGAGGTTACACTGGGACAGCAGCCGGAGACTCTCGTATCTCGATTCGCTTTCTACATTCGTGTAATGCAACAGAAATGGTATTGACAACTTGACCGACCGACCAACCGTGCCCGCTTTCCTTGCATTATCAAGCGTTTCAGGCGATTGGAGAGTTAAGGGCTGGCGAGGTAGATTGGATTTACTGTCATCCCCGCGTATCCGGGTGGAGGAGCAGTCGATACCCCTTTGCAGGCAGGCCTCGCACGGGAAATCCCCGTCGCAGAATGATCGACATTCAGCGCAGGCGTTACAGGCCTTTCGCTTCCTTCCGGGCTTGCGTCGGAGGGGGACCTGGTAGTCCCCCTTCTGTTTGCATGTCTGGAAATGGCGACGCAGAACGTCTCTAAGTGCAGATGGTGAGTCAGATCGGTCAGTCATCCCATCATGGACTTATGGGTAAGGGATACCTTCTCCGATAAGCACCGCCGCAAAAGTTGCAGGTCAATTTGGCCGACGGTGCATCTAGCCAGGGGTTAGATGTGGAAATGGATGCACGGATGGAATCGCTTACGGCTGGCTTCGTGTCGCCGCAGGTGGCTTTTGGTGGAGAAGATTTTCTGACAGAGAGAACAGATTACTCTGGTTTGTAGTCCACGACCGGTTGGTACTTCAGTCGGGCTCTTGAGTGACTCCTGTGAGGTTTGAGGTCGCATAGTATATGTGGAATGGGAGGTGTGTGAGGAGTGGCGGAATTATGGGCAGTCAAGGACGGGCAGAAATTAAGTGGGGATTTAGTCGGGTAGCCTTACTGTATTCGGAGTAATCGGGAAATCCCACATGGTAGTCGGGAATGGCCCACATCAAATGTATACAACCTCCCCCTCCCAGCTGCTGATTGCTAACCACCGCACAGTAGATCAAGATTTTCATTCGCCTCATCATTTCCAACACCATCATGCATTACTCAAGCATTCTCCGTTCACAGAAGCTCAATCATGGTATGTTACCTCTGTAGTTCCCGACGATCAGCTTATCAACATGTTATCCATGCAGGAGCTTTTTCATTATGCCTCCGATCTCGTCTCCATTCTCCCTTCATGGCACCCTCTCCTCGTACATTCCTCTCGACCACTGCGACTACCAACCCTCAACATAATCGAAACGCTCTCTCAACAGAAAAGCGACCCATGAACATGGCCGAGCACGTTCTGTAAGGACCCGACCTTTGCACATCCACAACAATCCCCCGCGCTGACCTCGCAAGCACCACGTTCGACCAAATCGTTAACTGGGCCCGCCAAGGATCCCTGTGGCCTCTCAGCTTTGGCCTTGCCTGCTGTGCGATTGAGATGATGCACATGTCCATGCCGCGCTACGATCAAGATCGACTGGGGATCATCTTCCGGGCCTCGCCGCGGCAGTCGGACGTGATGATCGTGGCCGGCACGGTGACCAACAAAATGGCTCCGGCCCTACGGCAATGCTATGACCAGATGCCGGAACCCAGATGGGTGATCAGTATGGGCAGTTGTGCCAATGGCGGCGGATATTACCACTACAGCTACAGCATTGTACGCGGGGTCGATCGGATCGTGCCGGTCGACGTGTATATTCCCGGCTGTCCCCCGACCGCGGAGGCGACTCTGTACGGGGTCTTTCAGCTGCAGAAGAAGATGCGGAGGACGAAGATCACGCGGATGTGGTATCGACGATGATGGGCTTTTTGTTTGATGGGGTTGTTCTTCTTCTTTTCCGACATTTTGTTCTGGGAGCTAGTCAGTCAATTACCTTACCGCTATTAGCTTCTGTGTCCTTTTCGAAAGGTAGGGCTTCAGCGGTGTCAGTGTGGCGTATGTTCATGACCTGTAGGGATTGTGTTGCTTATGAGGCCAAACTGTTCAATTGTAGAGGTAGCACAAAGTAGCCGGAACAAGTCGCGCTAGCAGAACTCCATCTCAGGAAGTTCTCTCTCTCTCGTGATCGCATATCCCCATCTTTAGCTTCTCAACTGCGTCGCTCGTTGATTCTCCATCTCTTTGCCTTATGCGAAGAACCCCAACTGTTTCTCCCTTGATTCTGGTGCCCCGTCACGTCCGTACCTCCGCCTAAGACGACGAAACGGCTCCCATAAAAAGCACCGATCAGGTAGCATCAATCATTTAAGGCATCTCGCCGCCGATGCCTAGTACACTGAGGCTTTTCACACCGAATAATTGCATAATCATTGTCTCAAAATGAATCACACTGATAAGGATTCCATCGTCTTATACACAGCCAGTAGACAGATCAGGGTGTGACGGCTGCGCAGCGCCAAGAACTATTGTGTTGTTCGGTTAGTGAGACCTACACATGGCGAGCTATCAGCTATTAGTGCTGGTGATTTTGGCTATACCGAGATTCGTGGTTTAAAGAGAAAGGACAGTGTTCTTATATTGTTCATTGGGGCTTTTATCGGACGGTCTGTTTTGGGTGGTTGTGAAGATGTGTAAGTGGGAGAGAAAACATATTTGCCATAGGGCAGGAGCTTGCGTGTTCAAAAAATGGCAGCTGTGAAGAGTTGCATTGTAACTCGACTGATAATGTGTCTGCTCTCATAAGTGACCGTTGCACGTTAGAAGACACGAACCAGACAGGGATATCGATCAATATTTCAATCATCAACCACTACACCTAGATCAGTGAAGACTGAGCCCAGTCAGGTGAGGTATGACTAATACACGTGATAGTGGGGGCGGTGGGGGCTGAGCTTTACTAGTGCCAGGCACCCTCCACTATCCACCGGCACTTTCAGGCACCCAAGGAACGGCCCCCACCGCTGCCTGCGCATTTTTGGTTCTATTTAAATTAACCGTCCCGATCAGCTTCTGCTCCTCTTCCAAATCCTCAAACAACTGCAATACGATCATCCACCATGGGCCAACTCAAAGACCTCCCACCCGATCCTCCAGCCTCAGCTTGCTCCTCCACCCCGTATCCTCTCCCAGAAGATGACCTTCCTCCCGCATACAACGAAACGGACGACCCAACACCCTACCGCGACGACCCGCTCTCCCCGCCGCAAGAGGCCTACACCATTCCCGGCCACCAGCGCTACCACAGCATCCGCGAGAAGAACCGCCACTCCGGTGTCGTCACGCAAGACTCGACCCTCTCCTCGGACCCCGAAGCCCTCTACAGTTTCATCGACAAGCAGACTCGCCTGCCCCCGCGACCATGCCTGATCATTGGCGGCCAGCACCACGAAAAGGAACGCCGCGGCAACGACTCCACCCGGAAGACCGTCTGCGACTTCAACTTCCGCATCGACCTCACCCGCACCCTGCTCACCTGGGGGGCTGGTGTGCGCACCGGGCCCCTCCAGCGCTGGTCCTACACCACCGTCGTCAGCGACCACGATAACCAGCGCGTGTATCGCGGGGGACGCTGGCCCACGCGCGGAGCGAGCACAGCAGACACAGGCGGTCGCATCGCGCTGCCCGACGCGAACTCCGAACCCGGCGAAGGCCAGGGACTGATGGATTTGGAGCCCGGCGACGGCGGCCAGAATGAGGACTCTCCCGGGCTGCGGGGGTGGTGCCGGCGGTTCTGCAGCGACCCTGCGCCGGTCAAATCGTACGTATAATCCCACCCCGAAGCGGTGTACTTGGATGAATGAAAGCTGACCTGGTGGAAATAGATTCACCTACCGAAGGAATCTCAATGGCTTCGACGCCGGCCCCATGCGCACTAAGCTCATCTCGCACATCCGCTCCACGGGCTACCAAGGCCACGTGCACGTCTCCCCGTCGCTCGCGAACGGCATGATCACCATCTACTCGCCGCACTGGATCAACCGCCTGCGTAACCATGGGTTCGTGTACTGGGCGTGCATCATCCTCCAGCTCTGGTTTATCACCTGGCCCGTGATCTGGTTTCTGGAGCGGCGCTACGAGGTGGTCCGGTCGGAGTGGTTTTCGTCGCAGCTCGTCTGTGATCCGGCCCATCCCGATGGGCAGCGGAAGGTGTACGCCGGGAATCAGGATGAACTGACGGCGGCGGAGACGTGGGCGCCCGTCGTGCGGGAGGCGGTGTGGCAGGGGCGCAAGGGCGGAGACATTCTCGGGGAGGAGGAGGTGGAGCGGCTGCGGCGGCTCGGCATCCAGCGGAGGGAGGCGGTCGGTCAGGGCGGTGAGTTGATCCGCCGCGGCCAGGCGGTGCTGGGCTTGATGGGCATTCGCAATATTGGCGGGGTTGATGTCACCGGGGCATGGGGGGCAGATCGGTGTTGATTCGTTGTATGCTGTATGAGTATGAGCTACTGTAATTTCTGCATTCAATAGATACCCTGCACATTTTCGCATATATGACCCAAACATTCAATTCTTTACTGCTGATGACATCACGGCAATCATGGTGCGGCCCAGCTGTGATAGACTCATTTTCTCTCATATTTGAACTTACTAATGTCCACAACTACGTACACGACCATATTTCATTTCTCTCAAAGAGTACGGTACATACAATCCATTCTATCGGTGCCACGCAGTTCGATCACGTGATTCTATACAATAACATAGGTCTCTTGATGAGCCAGGTATCAGATTGTATTGTTCTACCTAGTTGTAGGATATGATATCGGGATCATCTCGACCAGGAGAGAATCCAGGTATGTTCATGAGAGTTACAATTTTGCAAAGATGCTATCTTGAGAGGATTATCGATACGGTAACATGAGTGGATAAGGCTACCGAGGTTGTTCTATCCCGACCGCAGTCAGGTTATAAGTGCGATGCATGCACTATACCTAGTACCTAATCCTACTCGGTCCTCTTGGAATCAGGTAGCCCGCGTCCTGCAAATGCTCCAAGCGCATTTTGAGTCTTCGCTTGAATATTCTTCGACGAGCCAGAACCACCATGGAAGAGCCCATCACTTCACCTGCTTCACGCCGTTTAATCTCTATACCAGGGTAACAGGAGCCCATGCCCGGAAACACAGACCGCAGCCAGATTAATCCCGTTTGTGCACCTGCGCATCGGGTCCCATGATTCCGGCGGCAAGAGACACCGGCCAGGCTAGCTGGGGTGAGGGATCGGAGTCCACCTCGCCTGAAGTGATCATATCGACCACCGCAACAGCGACGTATCCGCCAATGGCGGTGAAGAAATGCCACCTACGCCCGCCGGCTTGGTTAGCTGGCGTGATCTTCCCCGCGAACGAGTCAAGCGTTCAACAGCCCCGCAGTCGAGGAAATGAAAAAAGACATGAGGTGTAGACTGGAGTGAGACTTACCATCCATGCAGCTCAAAAAGAAAGGCAAATGGTGCACCAACCATTTGTCTGATACCAGTCAACTGACTGCAAGCCCACACGTCGATCAACCAGGCGAAATAGCCGAAGAGAAAGCAAACTAGCTTCGGTCAGTGGCCGTACTCTGGAATTTAAATGCATGAGGGTTCGGCAAGACTCACAAATACCGAACCGCCCGATATTCCGAGTCTTCTTCTTAATCAGCGGGTCGGGGATCTGACGCGAAATGATCTGCATGGTCCGTCGCGCAATGAGCAACGCCCCCGCCCCAAAGGTCACGGCATGGAGAAGGAATTCATCCATGGCCATGTGCACGATCATCACGGTAGCGAACTCAACAGAAAGCGCGATCCCAATCACCCTGCGCCACTGTGGGCTCACCTGAAACGTGAGGACTCGGTACACGAGCGGCGTGGTTAACATATGCATTGAGAGTTCGTCCGCTATATCAATTGAGCGTCGTCACCTACGGCGTCAGTCAATCTGAGGCAGGCAAGGTCTGATCCGTGACGTACACATCTGCGTATGGTATTTCAAGGTCATATGGTAGCCGGCCGAGCACAGTCCGACACCCATCAAACCGAACCAGGGGATTGCTCGGGCGAAGGAAGGAGCAGGCTTTTGACGGAGCTGAATCAGGCCGTATATTCCATAGAGGACTGGGGGTCAGCTCCCAGAGTTAGTGGGTGGCCATTGCGCTTTCTGAGATGGCCCCTTGATTGCACTCGGGGGTTTTGGACGCACTGTAGATGAGACTGCTAGAAGTGTTGATGAACTCGGCCACGTAGCGAGTGACTACATAATCCTAGATCATGGACCCTCAATTATCAGAGATCGTCCACAAAGGAAGACAGCAGAAGGACAGATGTAGGTACCTCTTCACAGAAGCTAAGGCGCGTAAGTTACAGGAAGGCTTTGTGTATGTTTGGGTGGACACTTACTTCAAGTATGATGTTTGCGGGCCCCAGAAGGGGTTCTTATGCGATACGTCCATCTAGATAAGAGGGTTGAGGTTGGCGATAAGGAGGAATGTGGTCACCGCGATGGTTGGAAGTTGCTTGGAAGGGAAGCTGCGGAGGTTGCCGGGCATGGCTTGCGAAAATAGCAGCCTGGCGATAGCGCGACGTGGCGAGCAAGGGAAACTGCCCCACTGCATGATCCACATCTTATGCAAGGGCTTGGCAGCACACAAGCTTTGTGCCGTGGAGGTTCCATGAGCTGCCACCAGCACCGATTCTTCACAGCAGAATTGGGTTGTCATGAATATCCATTGTCATCAGGAGGTTAATAAAGGCCTAGGCCCTTAGTGTCGATGATAGGGTCAGATTGCGCATTGCAAGAGACGGTTTTAGCTCTGTATGGCTTGTATGGCAATAGGCTGTTGCTGGAACCACAAGGAAGTCTTACTAACTATCAAGCCTAACTAGTGATCCATTTAGAAAGGTAGAACAAGAAAGGTACCACTCCATTCAAGGTGTTGCTCATGGCCCCGGGCAGGCACTTACCGTGGCTGAAACAGGTTGTGGCTGGTAGGATTAGCCATGATAGGTCACATGATACAGTGACTGAGAATCGAAGGGTGTGTGGCAGTGAGTATGTATTTTGCTTTACTCGTACCGCTGGAATGCCTACGAGTACAGTACATACAGTTACACAGTAATCAGCGTACCCGGTACCCATCGTGGTATTCCGGGCCGGGCCGTGTTGACCCGAATCCGGCATCTCCCCTGAATCACCAGGCTGACTGACCCGCATGGCTTCCCTCCCGTCCATCCGTGCCACCGCGCATGCCACATCCATGCCACATCCATGTCGCATGATCTAAAGATTTGATTCTGTCCTACAGCCACCTTTGACTCTAAAATGACGACCTGTGTTACCAATTCTCGTACGACCTTTCCTAAGCGACAGAACCATGGGAAACCCCGGTCCCGCACCGGATGTCGAACCTGCAGGTGAGTGAGTGCCCATCTCGCTTCCGACGGGCCACACTCACCCGTACGCACGTGGTTTGGCTCGCTTACTGCCCCTGCTCTTGCAGACAACGCCACATAAAATGTGACGAATCCCCCGGACAATGCAGGAATTGCGTATCCACCGGTCGACGTTGCGATGGGTATGATATAACCCGCTTGCCGCAAAGTCGCGCCATTCAGCTGGGCCCATTGGCTCTCCCTGCTCCGATGGCAGTGGGCGTGCACTCAAGTCTCAACTCGGACGAGCGACGCAGTATTCTCTATTTCCAGCACTGCACCGTTTCAAACCTAGCTAGCTACTACGACTCCCCCGTGTGGCAAAACCTCACGTTGCAGATCGGACATGCGGAACCGGCGGTATGTCATGCGGTCATTGCCCTCAGTGCCGTACACCGATACTCGCAGGTCAACAAAGGGACAAAGCAGCCCCTGAGGCAGAACATCTGGCATGATTTTGCTCTCGAGCAGCTCAACCGTGCATTTGGCCAGCTCAAGCGCCGGCAAAGGTCCCGGGATCCCGAGTTCATCGAGACCGTCCTCATCTGTTGTCTGATCTTTGTCACTGTGGAACTATCGCTCGGACAGTACAATCATGCGTTCAGGCATCTCCAGAGCGGGCTACAGATGCTCAAGACATATCGAGCCTCTCTTGCGGCCACCGGAGACCGCGCGGACCTAGAGCCGAGTCTAGCCGATGCTTTCGCCAACCTAGAAGGCCAGTGCTGCTTCTTTGGTGTGTCGCCGGTGCTGACGAGCGCCGGCGATGCTGCACAGCCCCCACTGGAGTTCAAGTCCATCGTGGAGGCGCGCCGCTTGATCGATCGCCTCTGCACCGCAGTAATGGGAACTGCAAGGAAGCGCGCCCTCGGCCAACCTGTCCCTTCGATTGAACGAGCCCTCTGGGCTCGATTGTCGGAACTATACGACATGCTGGGTGATTTCCGCAAACTACACACTCACCTGTTGAGTACAAAGGAGCAGAGAGGCTTACACCTCCTCCAAATGGCATCCGTGACACTCAAGATCTGCCTCTACACGATTCCAAAACCCGTGGATGACCCCAATTCCTCCCAGTTGGCGGACAGTTTCCGACAAATGATTACTCTCGCGGAGACATTCTCAGAGGAAAAAGGCGATCTGCCACACATCTGCATGGACGGTGGGGTGATTCCGGCTTTGTTTCTTGCAGCGAGGCGGAGCAGCGAGGAGTACGTTCGCACTCGAGCGACCGAGATGCTTGAGTCCTGCTCGCATCAAGAGGGGCCCTGGAACGCCACTCTGCTGGCTCGGGTAGTCCGTGAGGATATTGCGATCAAGCGTTGGCTACGGTCGCTAAGCGCAGCGGACTTTACGCCCGGTGGGAAATTGCTTGATCCCGCGCTCGTCTCTGCTGCAAATGGATTTATAATGATATTTAAGGACCGTTGTCGCGTGCGCATGCCGTTCAAAGTCAATGGCGTTGAGTTAGAATGGTGGTTTCGTCTCGATGAAGACACCCCCGGCCAGTTGGGGACCCCGGGATCGAATCCCTGCACTGCTGGCTGGCACCAGTTGCTTCCCAACGGTGACCACTTCACTGTGTAGCGCGTGAAAACTGCCTTGGCCATGCAATGCGACTACTGCAGCTCTCTAGCAATGGTGTAAAATGTCGGGAATGAAGCCCAAGCTGTCTCGCGGAGGGCTTTGATCTTCTTGAGAGGACCGGTGCATTACGGGCAGGGGGTACGATCATTAAGTTGTAAGTTCTACTTGGGTAATAACCTCACCTCGCGAGAGATTAAAGTCATTGTTCGCGTTATGGGTTGTGACCAGATAACTGCGATAGGGGTGATAGCAGGCAACCCTCAACGCGCTGGTAGCAAAGATAACCCCTGAGAACCGGCTGTTTGGATGTGTGGGTGCATTAGACAGAGCGCTAAGGGTTTACTATAAGACGTGTCAGATCTCAACAGTCCAGCATACATGACACTAGAGCTGCATAGATCGACAGAATACGAATTATGCGACAATATGCGAGCTGAAGACGGACGACGCGGCCCTAAGTCTGGGCGAACTCCACCATCTCGTAAACCGATTGACTAGCCCCGCCACCCGATATCAATGCGCAGCCGCTCGTTGGTCACCGACCTGCGCTGGCCAAAACTTATTTCGCTAGTGTTGAGGGGAAGCTGACAGGCTGCATACCTAGTATGATCGCCCGCTCGACAGAAATACCCCCTGCTCCCAACCGATCGCTTTCTTCACACCCTTGTCGACCCCATCCGCTCCTGCATTACAATGGAACCCAACAACGCCTCAACCCCTTCGACAAATGTGGATGACTTCGTCCACTCGATCAAAAACATTGATCGTTCATCATTTGCATACGACGGCGACCGTGTCAATGCGCTAAGAGAGGCGTACGCTCTGATTAGCCGTCTGGAGACTTCGTGGGATACCGTGGCGCGGCTCTGCATCACCCAGGTATGATTCCTGACTGCATTTTCCTTGGTCGTGAAGCTAAAGTTTGAGTTAGCCCGCCCTCAATGCTGTATTGAAAGTCAGTCAAGACCTTCACCTCTTCGAGAAGTGGCTCGAAGTAGGCGATGAGGCCGAGCAGTCGACCGCACAGCTCGCCGAGCTGACCGGCTCCGACCCAATGCTCCTCTGTATGACACACCACAATCTACCAAGTCTCCAGCGTGACTAACTCGTCCAGGCCGCATTCTCCGCCATCTGGCAGCATGCAACATCATAGTGGAGGTCTCGCCTGACCACTACAAGCAATCCGCCTTCAGCAAGTCGCTCCTGGAGCCCGTGTTCGGCGCCTGGATCCCATTCCTGTTAGTCACAGTCAAACCACACCCCAATTCCAATCAACTAACTAAACCCCCCCACCCCCAGACACGACACCATGAACCCCTGCTTTGCGAAGATGCCCGAATACCTCGCGAAGACAAACTACCAGAACCCCACAGACCCGAACGACGGCATCTTCCAATACACGAAGAACTTCGAAGGCTCGCTCTTCGACTACTACGACCAACACCCGACCGAGAGCGCCGTCTTCAACAACGTAATGGGCAGCGTAATGGCCAAGCAAGCAGGCATGCTAGACATCTTCCCCTACGAACGGCTAGCCGACGCCCAGCCCGACACATCCGCCACCCCACTACTAGTTGACGTGGGCGGCAACGTCGGCCACGATATCAACAAGTTCCTCGCAAAGAAACCTAATCTCGCTGCTCGGCTGGTACTGCAGGATCGGCCGGACGTCGTGCGCCAGGCGATTTGTCCCGCGACAGTGCGCGCCATGGCGCATGATTTCTTTACCCCGCAGCCTGTTAAAGGTATTGTGTTCCTCTCACCCCGCTGATGAGTGGGGGGATTGTAGGTGGATAGAATTAGGTTAGAGGCGCTAAGGAGTGATTGATAGGTGCCCGCGCATACTACCTGCATGGTGTGCTGCATGACTGGCCGGATGATACGGCCCGGAGCATTCTCGAGCATCTGCGCGATGCGATGACACCCGGGTACAGCACGCTCCTCATTCATGATCATGTTATCCCTGCGCAGGGTGCGCATCCGCAGGCTACGGGCTACGATCAGACGATGATGGTCGTCGTGTCGGCGTTTGAGCGCACGGAGGGCATGTGGCGGGACTTGTTGCGGTCGGTGGGGCTACGGGTGGAGAAGATCTGGAGTTCGCCGCTTGCTACGCAGAGTGTGGTTGAGGCGAGGTTGGCTGAGGACTAGGGGTAGGTCTTATTACAGGTGGGGGAGACGTAGAGGTTAAGTATAAGTATGAATTGCTGGGTGGGATTGGGTGATGAGAGTTGATTTGGGCACGTGCTACTTTGCGGTTATGCGCACTAAGCCTGCTCAGTCATTTTACGTTGCTGCACAACTCAGCAGAATGCTTAGGTCTTATGAGCTTTCGATAAGAAGACGAATTCGACACATGGTAAGAGGGGTGGAAACCCTACCATGCTCTCGGAAGCCGAATATCAAGACCAAGTATTTATTCGTAGTTGTCAAAAAGAGAATTGTAAGATTTATGCTGCAAAGACATATCTATCTCGCAATACCAAGCGGTTGTCTCATCCAGCTTGCACATAGTAGCGGCCGATGAGATCGACCGTATAAGGTAAGATATAGTTCAGAACCATCATGCACAACATTCGGCGTCCGGAAACCCTATGCTTATTCCAGGTACCAAGATCAACTGGTCTTTCACAGGTACATGGTTGGAGTAGACTTCTTCCGCACAGCATTACTATCAACGTCGGTGCCTGAGGCATGATACAGCTCAGTAATATGCTTCAAACCCACGGTTTCTGACCATAAAAAGGAGCACAATCTCAAAGTCTATCAGAAGCTATCCCACAGTGTTTTACTACTCCGCTATATGCGGCTCTATTGTCATTTTTCTGTACGGTTGGACTTTCCACAAAGCAGTCTCCTGGCAAGCATATGAGCTTGGGCACTATAAACCTCAGTTCATTACGGCAAACCAGGCGACCCTTTATGAGAGTTCGTTGAGCATGCTACTGGTGTTAGGGTTGCTTATGATCCTAGTTTTACTAAGGTAAAGAACCGCAATCTCTGGGATATTCTTGAATACGGTCGGGCGTGGCTAGTTGGGAAATATAGCATCAAAGAACAGAGAGCTCGAGGCTATAAGAGTGGATAATCTACGGACACACGAAGGGGGGATTGCTGCCGGAATATCCAAAACCTGGTGGGCGATCACCACCCCAGCTACTCCATCATCATCCTACAGAGAAATCAAAGTAAAGATGGTAGAGTGGGGTAGCAGGTGACTACAGTGTCTAATAATTCGATTACGACAGCCGCAGCCAAAGAACGCTGACACAGTTTGTTGACGTGTTACGTCTTCATACCATCTTCTCTCGCTTTCACCCTCGATTCACCTCTCACCTTTACCATCGATAATGTTCAGTCACAGACTGATAGTTCGCCCAACTAACATCACCGTCCGTCTATTGTAATTTCACTTTTACCATCCCAGGTCAAAGACAAATCAGAATGACCCAACAACTCAGCAAAATCGCCTTACATTCGAACATCGTGCACAAGGTGCTTGGCGACGAAACAAAGATCGCCAAATATAGCGACTTAACACTAGAGTGTGCAGGAAGCACGTTTGCCGTTCAAAAAGTCATCGTGTGTCCTCAGTCCGAAGTGTTTGCAGCAGCCTGCGACAGCAGATTCAGGGTACCCTACTCTCGTATCCAGAAAGAGACCCGACGCGAAAGCTGATATCTTATAGGAGGAATACTCCGGCATCTACCGCATCGAAGAGTTCCAAGCATCAACTGTCAACTACATGGTGCAATACCTATACACAGGTGACTACATCAACGAGTACGATACTCGCGATCCTGTGCGTAACCTCACCGCATATCCCACGATCTTCACGTCAAGTCTAACCGTCGATGACGAGCAGACAAACCAAGTTGCGAGAGCAACATCAAGTCTACTCTTGCCTCTCCTACTGCCAGTCTATCCACTGTACTAATCGCCCACCTTTATGTTGCCAAGATCGCGGACTACTTCCAAGTCAAGGGGCTGACGGAGCTGGTCCATGAGGAAGTGGATACTACACTGCAGATGCCGTGGTCGGCTGAGGGGTTTTCTGAAGCCGTTCAGGTGGCGTACAGGATACCCTACAACGTGGTTCTTCGGGAGAAAATAGCGGCTGTTCTGGTGGATCACCTCGATGACTTTCTCACGGACGGCGCTCACGAGAGTGCTTTCGATGACAATTTTTCAGTGCGAGTGTTACGGCGCATGGATGAGAAGAACAGTGTACTGGAAAAGCGACTGATGGAATCAGATGCGAAAAGAACTGAATTGGATAAACGCATCTCCCGATTGTTAGGGGAGAAGGCGGACCTTGCGGAACTGCTGGCGAAGGAGCGCGAAAGCGACACCGGCTTTGACATTACCGTGGATAAGGTCTGAGGAAGCTCGGTCTCCCTCGCGAGCACCCGTCGGCTCTGTCAGAATCAAGCCAGAAAAGCTTATGACTCTCGCGGGTTCCGTCTGGGTTGTGACTGTCGGAAGAAGATGAACAAGTCGGTGTAGCCTTGATGTTTTGTCAGGGAGGTATACTGCAAAGCAGCTGGGACGGTGAAGGAAATTCCTTCTGGTTGAAATGGTTTGCTCCGCTTCAATATTCAACAAGTGCATTGCCAGATAATATTCATTCCATGTGCTATGTGCTATAGCCAGAATCCCTTTCAGAAGAAGCTTCTTCGTAGCTGTCGTCCTTCTAAGTAGTGCGCGACGTGTTCTTGTGCAATGACATTATAACATATTTAGAACAAACTCCATCGAACCCCGAACCGAACGTTCGTCATACAGTCCCCCGCTCCCCTTTCCTCCCCATCATAACTGGCCCTTTCCTGATATCCCCCGACTGGATAACACTCATCCCAAGCCGCTTCTCATACGACTCCTGTCTCTTCTCACCCGAGGTCCGCAGCATCAACCACCGCAGATACGGCAGCGGCTTGACCACCTCATCCACGCAGTCGATAAGCCACCCGCCAAGCCCGTTGCCTTGGTACTCCGGTAGCACATAGACGTCGCTCAGGTATGCGAAAGTGACGCTATCCGTGATCAGTCGCCCAAAGCCGATCTGCTCCACATTCCCGGATGTCAGGCTCCCGACGGGAATGTTCGACAGAACCCCCTCACTGTCGGAAACCGGATGAGATGCGAGCCTGTACAGGCCGAAGCAGACTGAATTGTCGATGATGCTTCGTAGGACTTCCTCCGGGAACGGTTGTGCCCAGTAAATGAAGTCTTGTGCGAAGGCGCGGTTGATTGCTGTTGGGGACAGGAGATTCTTATCCGTGGAGACGAGGAAATGCTCCCTGGTCCAGTATTTCGTTTCGGTACGTGAAGACATGGCTAACAGAGGTTATAGCACAGAGAAGAGATAGGGTCGAGGGGTATCACAATGAAAGGAGACAGGGAGTTGTGTAGGTGTGGGAAGGGGAAAAAAGTCGTTGTTAGGTAACAACGTTAACCTGTTGTTGAGTCATGGCTGTAACTCGAGAGAGATTGGAATTAACATACATGGTGACGTGCTTGATATTGTTACTAACCGAATCCGGTTAAACTGAGGTTTGTCAGGTGCATTCTTGTGTATGACACATACCGCACCTTCGTCTATCTGAAGTATTCTTTCAAGCATCGTTTATTCCGCTGTCGCAAAAGGGTTGCCATAGCCTTATTGCCGGACTGCTTCGCCAAAGTCAATGGTGTTTGCCCTTCAAAGTTCGGGGTAGTATGATCCAGCTCGTCCGCAGAAAGCAACAATTCAACAATTTCTACATGCCCAGCTCGCACTGCCTCGGATAAGGGCGTCCTTCCAGTCAAGTTGTGGCAGTTGACTTCCAACCCCCTTTGGGCAAGAAGAAGACGTACAATGTCCGCACGGCCTGCATTGGCTGCTTTCCACAGCGGCGTTATTTTCCAGGAGTTCTGGAAATTGGCATTTGCACCCGCATTCAGCAGCAATTCCACCGCGGTGGCATTGCCAGCGTCAACCGCCATGAACAGCGGGGTGCTTCCGTTGGCCTCGGTGATCTCCGTATCAACCATCCCCGTCGCCAGCAGGGCCTCGATGATCCCATTGTGGCCGCGATGCGTCGCCTCCCATAGCGCCGTGACACCCCAGTTATTGCGATGATCCGGGTTCACCATTCCGGTCGCCAGCAGCTTCTTGACCACCTGTTCTTGCCCCATCCGAGCGGCTCGCATCAGAGTCGTGTCCCCATCGCTCCCAGCTACCGCATCAGGATCCACCCGCTCGCAAGCCAGCAGCCTCAGAAGCACATCCACTAATCCCTGCCGCGCCGCCAGTAACAAGGGCGTGTTCCCAAACTCATGATCCTTGGCATTTACATCCACCCCGGGAGTCGCGACCAGCATGTCCACGATGTGCTCATGTCCCGCCGACGCTGCTGCCCACAGCGGCGTTTCCCCTACGTAACTGGGGATATCAGGATCGATGCGCCCATCAGCCAGCAACCTTCGCACGACAGGCTCATGCCCCATCCACGCCGCGATCCACAACGGAGTCGTCCCCTCATCCGACCGCGCATTCGGGTCCACGCGCGCATCCGCCAACAGCAACTCCACCATGTCGTCTTTGCCGCACTCCGCCGCCCACCACAGTGCCGTGACCTCCTCAATCAGGGTGTCAGGATTGAGCTCATCGCACGCAAGAAGCATACGAACAATGGCAGTGCGACTGTTCCACACCCCCAGACATAGTGGCGTCCTATTCTCGGGCCCGCCTCCGACGTTGGGGTCCACGCCCGGGGAAGCCAGGAGCAACCGGACGATGCCCTCGTCACCGCGCCCCGCGGCGATACTAAGCGCCGTCCTGCCCGCTTGCCCCGTCTCGTTGGGGTCTATGCCGTCGATGTTCAGGAGAAGCCGTACAATGGCTTCCCGGCCGTGCTTGGCGGCTTCGGGCAGTGCCTCGCTGGCGGTGGTGCGCGAGGTTTCGGTGGGAACATGTGCTGCTGCCGTGATCCAGTGTTGGACGGTAGCTTCTTGGCCCTCGCACACGGCCCAAAACAAGGCTTTGCTCTGTTGGTGGCGGAGGTCGTGGCGGTAGAGGTGAGGGTTCAGGATCTGGTAGCACGGGATGCATGATTGGGCGAGGGCATTGAGGTCGGCTGACTTTGAGAGGAACTCAGCGATGGAGAAGAGAAGTTCGGCTGGGAGAGAAGATAGCATTGTGTGGGGACTGGGGATGTCTGGGTTAGGGTGTATCTAGGTGTTTTAGTGGAGGTTGGGAAATGGTAGGTTTCTCCATTCAAGGGGCGGGGCATCCTTCAACGTTGGTTCAGTGGGGCGGCGTCGCACCGTCGCACCGCTTCCATTTTCGGCCCGCTCCGAAGGCTCCCGTCGTTCGGCTAGATTCGGGCGGACATCCACCCACGGTTGACCTTACCGGAGGAACTCATTCAGACCCGCCGGGGTGAATGCAGAATATAAGCCGTAGTCACCTCACTATCATTAACCTTGGTTGATCTTACCCCCGCATATCAACTGCATGACAAGATTCCCAGAAGGGAGAGGATGCTGTGCTTCTGATTGGCCCAGCCACTTCACCCCCTGAGCTTTCTCCACATAATCCTATGAAGTATGTACAGTACATACAGCTTAAAGCGAAGATGCAAGGGAGGCGTATGCTTTCAAAATTTGGAATGGTTTGCCACGCAGAAGTTCCTGCTACCGTTAGGAAGCTTGCTTAGCAGATACCAGGTGCCGGGAACTTAGCTCATGTACATATAATCTTGTCGGATGATCAGTTGGAACAGAAGGTAAGTAAAAGTATTTCCTTGCTTATGGTGTAACGATGCTCGAAGAAAGCGTTCAAAGGAATCACGATCCGCGTATCAGTAAGTATTACCAAGTATACATAAGAAGCCTCTCTTCAAATCCCCTGTATAAAGAATTTAATACATTGGACAAGCGCGAGACCCTGCAAAGTCAGGCCAAATCAAACCCTCGGCCCCAACCCCGATATAGACAACAACACCTTCCTCCGCCGTCCCGGCGCAGCCTCATACTCCAGCGCCGCCCGCACAGTCTTCAGCGGAAACACAGCCGCGACCGCCGACGCCGCGACCCCTCCCGCACCAATCGGAACGCCTCCCCCAACGCGCGCTCAATCTCCCGCCGCTCAGCGGCATGCACCCAATTGCACAGCCGGAACAGCACCACTGTGACACGGGGAGACTTGTCCCGCAACCGCGGCAGCGCAAGCGGCGTCCCAGAGAGCAAATCATAGTGCACCGGCGTGCCACCAGGCTGAAGCGCGCGCACCAACTCCTCGCCCACCTCTTTCAACTTAGCCCTCAAAACCCCCAAATCCGCGGTACAAACCACATCCAGAACCTCCATCCCGCGCTTCGCAAAGAACCCAGCCGCATCCGCGCGTCTCACCAGCACAACAGGCCGCAGCCGCCTGAGATGGTCCTCAGGTCGCTCGGGTTTATTCATGCCAGGCGCATGCGGATGCGCATTTGGTTGGGGCCGGGCGTGTGCGGCGTGTAAAGTTCTGCGGTTACGACCTCTTTTGCGGGGCAGAATGTGCGGACGATTGTGCGGATGGGTGGTGGGGGTTGGTTCGGTGCTGGGTTGATGGAGAGGGTGTCGGCGACTGTAAAGTTCATTTTCTTTACTGGTGTGTCGGTGAGTGGGTTGTTGGCTGGTTGGTTAGGTAGTGCCTTCGAATGGCTAGAACTGGGCTATCGCAATTGGTGCGTACAGGGAAAGGGATTGTGTGTGCAGAAGATTTGGTGCCAAATAAGATACATCCCCACAGAGGAGCGAAGCATGAGCTGGGAGTGTTGCTCCGACTGCCTGATCTATCAATGCCATTCCTGAAATATGTACTAAATATGGTGCACAAGCTCTCAATCCCTGGCGTCTCGATTGTACTTTCGGATCGCTTTATATTGATGAGTCTAGTTTTCACGACCATCGCAACACTGCATTGTATCACGATTCTATCCTCATACACTCGAATGAGTCCATCACATGTCTCGTCCGAGCTCTTCTTCCTGTTCGGATTGACCCATGCAGTGATGTGCTTGTGATGCCACGCTTTGGTATCTCTTTGCAAACCGCTCATCGCCTGCCACAAAGGCGACATGGTCACCAAACCCTAATCTCCTGCATCTCACTTCACCTCACCTAAACCCAACTTCCCCTTGGCTTGGAAGCCTGCAATGGGAACCATATTCATACCGATGCTTTTGGCTTTATTCAGTCAAGTCGCCGTCCCTAAAGAAGGATAATTATACGTAGCTACCGAGAAAGAAAGGGTTCAATTCGATTAAGTCAACGGCGGGGTTAATTGACCTAAAACAGCATGTCCCTCGGAAGACAGCTCGAAACGACATCGACAATTACATTTAATTGACAGGTTCTGGTCTATATCAGTAGCCTAGTATCTGGGTACGACTTGAGGATGTTTGTACAGGAGTAAATTGGTGCAAGTTTCTTTGTCTGGCGTAGATTTACGTATCAGCAGCCAAGCTATTTTCACATTTGAGCTCGTGACGGGGGGCAAAATAAATTGACATGAGAGGATGACACGAGACACAGATAGGAATGAACTATAAATAATGAGCGAATGCGTAAAAATGGTGTGAAAGGTTGACAACAAAGGTTTATGCCTGAGACAGTAAATGCCGACTGCTTGTTCCGCATTCTCTTGCTGTGATCGGCGGCTGGGCTTGGGTAAACGACCTCAGTGAGGCCCACTGGCACCGCCACCTCCATTACCGCCGTTGCCACCGCTGCCACCATCGCCCCCGGTACCTCCACTACCACTGCTGCCACCACCGCTGTTGGAGTTGGAAACACCACCAGAAGAAGTCAGGCTGGCGGCGTAGCTTGCGCTATAGCTTGCAGACGTGTCGATGCCGATGGTAATCCACGAGAAAAGACCGTCCTCCACAGTGTCACCGAGAAGGACGTACTCGAGCACCGGATCAGAATCGCTGTTCGCCGTCTCGGCAGCCAAGACCCGATCATTGGCATTGAGGGTGATGGCTGCAGTGTTCTCACTATATGGAGACAACACCTCGACCTGCGTGATAAGATCCTGGTCGTAGAACAGCTGGCCGATGTGAGCAATATTTCCCCCAGTCAGCGTGCCATTGGAGAGGACTGTGGCGCCAATGTGAGCAATGACATGCACATGCGTGGCGCGCCCGTTGTAGTGACCAGGGAAGATAGTCGTAAACTGCGCCACCCCGTCCGAGTCAGTGGGCTGGAGGCCGCGCAGTGCCGTGTTATCCAGGTTGCTGGCGTCATTGCCGTTGCCATTGCTGCTGTCCTGAACCCCGGAATAGACTCCAGTGGAGTTGCAGTTCCACACGTCAAAGTAGAGGTTCTCGATCGGCTCACAGGTGTCGATGTCGACGAACTGCGCATCCATCACAACTGAGACCCCAGGCTCGTCGTCGGTCACGTCCGAACGGATGTACTCACCCTTGACCCAGAACGGGCCTACTTCGCCCTCGGGCGAGAGAATGCAGGGTACATCATCCGAAAAGAAGACATCGTCGGATGAGGATGCTGTCACACCCGTGAAGTTGGAGAGATGGGAAGTGTTGATGACTGTGGTCAGATCTCGAGCCTTGAGGTAGCCTGCCGAGTCTGTTAGCGTGGCGAGGACATCTAGAGTATAGATACTTACCCGCGTCAGCACTCCTCGTGGAGTATTTGCTTGCGAGGTCCCGGCGACGAGAAGCGGCGCGAGCCTGCATTGCACGGAACTCGGCCTTCTCAGCGCACTTGGAAAGACTGTTTCGAGAATGACGGAGAAAACTCCTCTTCAATGCCACATTTGATCCGATGTCTTCATGGCCTGGATGTGCCACCGCAGCGGCAGCCATCCCAACGACAACGAGCTTTGAAAAAGACACCATGATGAAATGATTCGATTTAGTCGCAAAGCCAATAAGATTTGATCTTCTGGAGCTGTTCCTGTTGTTATCGCTACTGCCGACGATGGGGAATTTTGACATCCAGCGAGAAATCTCGTCCCCTTTTATATCTTCTTGCTCCTCCACCCATTCTCTTCATGAGGCGTAGGGTCTGTTGGCATGTTTCTCGCACACTTCATCCCCGTCTATGGCTTCCCACATGCAACAGACGATGTCGAAGCCCAAGCCGCTCTTCCGCGCTTGATGGTAGCATGAAGATGCGATTCTCGCCATGTCGTCGTCAGCTCTAGGTCTAGATGTGGTATGTGCAGGGTACAGCTCCGGCGGGGTTTGAGGACGCGCGTCCTTTCCTACCAGTCACAATCAAAGCATTTCCAAGGCGCCAAGCCCTCCGATATTAGTCTACTTTACTCGGCTGCCACGGCATACTGAATACCTTAATAATCGGGGTTGATTCCCCGCGACAAGAGACCCTTCGTCATTTCTTGGCAGCGTCAACCGCCTAGGATAGCTTATTTTCGACGTTCAGGCTTGCCCTTCTCTGGAACGGACTCACGCCGTGTGAATATTAACTTCATCATATAGGGCGTCGCCAAGACCATATTCCAAAGATCGTCCGCTTGACGTATGCACCTGTAACACGGGCCACGCAATCAAACCAATCATCTGTTATTGTTAGATTGGGTTCTTCACTGTGCTACAGCTATGGACCATGAAAAGGCTCGGTTTTAGTTACCGAAGGCAAATAATAGGACTCAGACGGTGTCCGAATATCTTCCGTGGTACCTCCTGTATGCGACAGAGTGGGAGGTATGTCCCAACCGAGGAAAGGAAGAGGGTCAAACCTCGGACTCTGTCACCGTGTGGCGGGCGAGGTAAGTCTTTTTTCAGTATGACTATCTCATACTAACATGCAACTGAACGCACACTCGCAAAGAGTGTGTGAGGATCGGACCTATGATTAGCAAAGAGAGGACCTGATCACATTTCAACCAATTAGAATTAAAGGACTGCGTATGTCTAGATTCCCATACTGCAAATAACTATGTTCTTTTCGAATGGACAAGTAGGTTCTGACGATCGTGTCGGTAGCCCGGGGCTTCTCTTGGAGCGGCAAATGCTCGTACTCGGGCGGTTTTGCGACTCTACCCAGCCAAAATAACCAATAGCGTAGTGCTGTATCTTCATTCTCGGTTGCTTTCATCCATTCAAACACTGAATTGATGTATCCAAGGCTATCTCGCTTTCTGGATGCAGTATTGACTCGTGAGCATGAACAATGCTATACGCTGGGTTTTTGAGTTAGACATGTGCACATGTCAGATCCTGGGCCTTATCATTTTCCCTGGGATGATGTAGATACAGCTTTCGAGCGTGTAAAGCGGAATTATCCTGGCCGAACATGGCGACGTCATTTCACAGAAGGAAGGTACAGTCCTCCCTGTCGGTTTCTAGTCTAGCATAAATATGTCTGGCTCTATGCTCATAGTGCTCAATCGAGCTATGACGGCGTCCATACACATCCGTTTCCAAGCCCTGACAGTGAGGGGGGGTCCCTCGACCCCTTTGCCTCAATTTCATTTCTCTCCTCACCCTCATAAATGTCTTTCAATGCTAACATAGAAATAAGAAGAGCAGTTTGCTAGTCATGCAAGCCTGTGTCCTTGTCTTGCGACCATTACATGCTGCGTCTACGCAGGGAAACGCTTCTAACAACCAGCCCGCGATGGGTAACGCGGACCACGCCCACCGTATTTCCACAAATGAGACGATAGCCCTATTATGACCGAAGGACGTCGCCCCGCTTAATAAAAGACGCGGAATTGCGCACAGCCTTGGTCATTGCAGCGGCCTATTTGCATATTGCACATGCGAGAGGGTCGTTGGACGTGCAGCCCGTTGCGGTGAGATTGCCATGAAAAATAGATTCACTTGCATCAACCGTGGCACAAGTTCCCACGCCTCCTCCCCCAGGCCGGTCGCTTTAGAATCGATAAGGTCCGAAGACGATTACAACCTCTTCAGCGAAGAGCCCTTCGATAGATTGACTGGTGGAGCAACATGCTTTCGAGCCGAGCCCAAACATTTGATTGCTGGTGATGCCATGAAGGGCTATCTGTGATGAGATCCCTCGCGACTCTAGCTGCCCAGTTGGAGATGACGAATGCGTTGGGCAGTCGCACAATAGGCTGCAGAGCTCACTCAGCGGCTGTGAACGGACTGGCTTGCGGAAATGTTGACACTAATTACATCGCCGCTAAGCTCTTCAGCGTTGGTACCTGCGGACAAAATGTATTGAATAACTGGGAATGTTACCTTCTTGTGTTAAAATGCTGGTATATCATCAAACGTGCTTATGACAGTTTTGCGTTCATCATGTTGGCAACTTAGTAAAGCAATAGTCCACTGGGTAGGGCCACGGTACAATTCACAACCCCACTCCTATTATGGCTGTACAATCTCGTTCCAGGTCGGAGGTGGCATTGGCACACTGCGCTTAGGAGCCAAGGTTGAGCATCGCGTCCCTTGTGAGTTCCTAGTTGGACATGTTTATTGTGGAGTCGCCCAGTGGCGAGCCGTATTTGGGTTCAGGAGGACATTATGGACACTCACTTTGAGCGCATGGTCCACCCAATAGTCTTCGGTGAGCTAGCAATTCGTGCTTGTTTCAGTTGCCTATTGAGGGGTTGGAAAGCCCACTGTCGCTTCCTTTCAGCAGCCCAACAGTACATTACTGTCGATTCGAGTAGACAGGCCTGGCGTAAATCAACGACTGTATGGGAATATGATGCACTGATTTCTCAACAAATGACCTGAAGGCTAGAAACATGTACACGACCATACTCACAAGGGCTGCCAACTGACTGTACAACGTGAGCACAAGGACGAAGAAAGTATTCAGGTACAGCCCTGCGTTTAAACGCAGAGTCTATGTCTGCTGTTAATAGGTCATATTGTTTCAGACCTCTGACACACCGTAACCATGCAAGTCAAGACTTGTTCCCTTAACAGCGTCACAGGTACCACTGAGTGCACCGACTCAATAGTTTATTCATTCATAGCCTGTCATCTTCTGTTCTCGAACCAGAAGGCAAATCCGAGCTACTGTTTAAAATTGTGTCGCTTCACACTAAAGCTCAACCAATACGTCAAACCAACGAAGGCACACTAAAGAAAACAGAAATAAGATTGGAGACTCGCCTGGGAGGCATTAGAGCGTGGATTCGGATCATGGAAGGAGGAACTATCTACACGGACAACGCAAGTGGCGAGTAATCCAGCCAGTCCAGGCCGCAGAACCTGACCAAAAATGCTTCCCACCAATGTGATGATCGTTCACATTACTCATCAAATTGGGAAATGGCAGAAGGGAGAGAGATTATGATACTCCAAAGCTGGTCCTCGTATCGAACTGACGAGACTTGAAGCGGGAGGATTAGCCCTAACCGGAAGTCCTGCCAAGGATGGCTCTACCAAACTAAATCGTCGACGTCAGTACTCCTGGTTGAAAGAAAGCTCTCGTGTCCGCGACGAGAAGTAAACTTAAATCATTTATTGGATCTCTGGAAGGGATTTATTCAATAATCGGCTCGCGCACTCGAGGTCGAGGATATAACAGCTTCGATCTCACAACACAGTGCGGGGAAACATCTCATGCGAGCCTTAAACCAATTGATGCCCTTGAATAGCATCTACACTCTCAGTGTCTCTCCCCGTCTAAGGTGCTTTTAGACCGGCAATGCCTGAAACCATTCTCGTCACTGGAGCCTCAGGCTTTGTGGCCTCACACATCATCCAACGATTCCTCGAAGCAGGGTACAATGTCCGTGGCACCGTACGTTCCGCCTCGTCCGCCGAGATTGTACAGTCCCGCTACCCCCCAGAATACACAGACCAGCTCTCCTTCGCAATCGTCCCCGACATCGCCGTCCCAGGGGCTTTCGATTCCGCTGTCCGGGACGTCTCCGGAGTCATCCACACCGCCAGCCCCTTCTTCCTCGCTGTAACCGACAACGAAGCCGATCTCCTACAGCCTGCCATCCAGGGCACGCTAAACCTCCTCAATGCCATTGCCGCACATGGGCCCACCGTTAGCCGCGTTGTCGTCACCTCTTCCTTCGCCGCGATCCTCGATCTCATGAAAGGCCTTCGGCCCGGTTACCGATATACGGAAGCAGACTGGAACCCGTGCACCTACGAGGAAGCCAAATTAACCACCGACGTGAGCTTCGCCTACTGCGCATCCAAAGCCCTCGCCGAGCGCAAGCTGTGGGATTGGATGTCCCAGCAGCAGCAAGGACAGCCCACCTTCAGCGTCACGACCATCTGCCCGCCCTGGATTTTTGGGCCCGCCCTAGGAGAACCCAACCGCGGGAACAACCGCTTGAACGAGTCATCGGAGGTCATTTACAACCTGATCAATGGGTCTCGGAGTAACGTTCCGGACCATGATTTCTTGGCGTTCGCGAATGTCAGCGACGTGGCGGAGGCCCATTACCAGGCGTATACTCGCGAGGAAGCGGGCGGGGAGCGCTTTCTTGTTTCTGGAGGCCGGTTTCTCTATGGAGAGGCGTGCGAGGTTATTCGAAAGAGGTTTCCACAGCTGCGGAAGAAGGTTCCGCATGCTGGTGGTGGTGCCGCTGTCGAGACGTATGTTGCGGACGGAAGCAAGGCGGAGAGGGTGCTGGGGCTGCGATATCGCAGTCTAGAGGATACCTTGGTAGAGACCGTTGATGATCTCTTGAGGAGGTTTCCGGTTAAGTGATGGTGTGCCTGGTCGCGTTCTATGTAATTTCTAAGATTAGTACGTGCTTCTGATCTTTCAGTGCGCTCTGTGTTAAGTAGTCCCATATTTCGCCGGTCGTGAAGCTGTGAATAATACCATTGGTCATTTCTCAGTTAGAAATCCCTTCGCAATTGTCCACGGTATTGTGTATTCTTTCCGGTCCAAGTAAGGAGACTCGAGGTCTGATAAAATTGACAAGGACTTATACACGATGCTATGTTCACAGATGACTTGGGAAAAAGATAATAATCGGGAAAGTTTGTTTGACGGTGGTAGCAGCGCGGACCCGCCGGTGGTAATTTAATCTCGTGATGAGAAAGGATTGCCAACGACAAGGAGATCTATGGATACGTATCAGTATGAGAGCTCAGGAACCGCGAGACTTGCTGGAAAGACAATTGTTGTTTGATTGTTGTTTAGTAAGTAGATATTCAGACCCAGAAATAAGACTTTCACTCGTGGTATCTGGAGTTCGTGTTTGAGCCGTCAGATTGAAATCCTGGTGCTTGGAGGAATTCCAAATCCAAGTGTTTTCTTTGGCCCGCGAGATGACCTCATGCAAGAAATCCCTGGTCAGGAATGCACATAAGCACAGCTCGGAGATCAATCTGAGCCTCACTTAGTCTTCCCATCTTAAGCGACAATCCTTGTTGACGGATCTGGAGAGGCCGCGTATTAGTAATACGCGGTGGCAGTCAGCCCTATGTGAGCGTATCCGCATAACTATTATACCAAAAATAAAGAGCTACTATCATCCAGAGCAGCGTAAGCTGTAGTGAAAAAATGAACAATGACAATGCAAAGAGCCATCGTATTTGCCTGTTCTGTGTCATTTGGCATAGCCACAGTCAGGAACTTTTCGTCTTTATCGGGAAGCGGTGGAATATAAATATGGACACGATGCGCTTTCAGGTCTCAACATCGAAAAAGTTCATTAGACATTAAAGAGTTTATCACACCACTACACTATCATAATCCATAGTCGAAATGCTTCGACTTTTTCAATCTTTCTGCATACTAGCACTTGGAGCAAGTCTGTCCACCGGTCAAGCGATCACCATCGCAGCGATACAGTCGACAGGCTGGAATTCCAGTTTCGAGCTCAGCCCTGAGCAGAGCAAGCCCGCCAAGCTGACAACCGACTTGAGCGCTATTGTCAACACAATCACCAGCTTTGACCGAACTCAGCTTGCGAATGGAGGTGCACATGAAGATAACTTTTACGATGTCCAGAGCCTGCACAAGGACGAATGGCCGACCGAGCCTGGAAAGGTGATCAGGCTCCAAGAGTTCACCGATCCGTCTCCATTCTCCATTCCAGCAAAGACAGCCATGTCCCGCATTGTCTACAGCACGACCAACGCAAATGGCACACTAATTCCTGCCTCAGCCTACGTTCTCTGGCCGTTCCACGCGAAGCGCCTTCGAGGCCAGAATGGCACCGCTGCCTCATCGTCTGCGCCCGTTGTGCTATGGACACATGGAACGTCCGGCTGGTACGCGAACGGCGCTCCATCAACGCACCGCGGGCTCTTCTACGCCGACATTGTACCCTTTGCGCTGGCTGAGGCTGGATATGCTGTTGTTGCTCCGGACTACGCAGGGCTCGGTGTCGATGCCTCCTGGGACGGAACCTTTATCCCGCATCAGTACGGTATCCGCGAAGCCGGTGCTCACGATGCCTTGAACGCCCTACGAGCAGCTTATAGATCCTTCCCCACAATTCTGTCTCCAAATTACGTAGTAATGGGCCACAGTCAGGGTGGAGCGATAGCTTGGGGTCTGTCCGAGGTTCTAGCGCGCAACGACTCCGAGTTCACTGATGTAGCGCGAGGTCATCTTGGAGCCGTGATTGCTGCTCCGCCCACGGCCACGTTGTCGGTTACCGCTCCCGGCTTTCTCGCATGGATCGGCAAGAGCCTCGACTCCATTTTCCCGACCTTCAACATCAGCTACTGGTTCACGCCTCTAGGAGTCAGCAGGATCGAGCTCCTGAACCAGATCGAAGGATCGCAGATGGTGACCTTCGCCCTGCTGGGCGATGCCGAAGCGGAGTTTGTCCAGCCTGATTGGAATGAGACCTGGTATGCCGACGCTTTCTCACAACTCGCCAATCCAGGAAGATTGCCCTTCAGAGGCCCAATTCTCCTCGTGCAAGGGACAGAGGACTCAACGGTGCAGTATAATATCACCAAGATCACCGTGGAGGAAACATGCAAGCGTTATCCTGGAGACCTAGAGCTGTTGGCCGTCGCTCAAGGCGGGCACTTCTCCGTTCTCAACGCCGCGAAGCACACCTACCTCCAGTGGATTGAGGATCGCTTCGAACATCGACCATTGGCCAACCGTGGTTGCATCGAGACCAAGCTGGATAGTCTTTTACCACCTGAGAACTACCAGCCGTTTCCGAACTCGTTCCCGATGTGGGCTGGAGAGTCTCAGTGGGCTTATGAGGTGCCGACTGCACTTTAGTTTTGGAAACGATGGAAGGAAAGGGGATGTGTAGACCTGTGTGTGGTTTTCATAGGTTTACTAATTATATGAGCTTTCGTTTTGGCATGAATCTTTCATCCCGCGGACCACTGTACCAGTCGTGCCAGATACTATTCCAACAGTGGCTTTAGATACAAATTGCTACTCATTGTCTTCGCCCCACTCTGGCATTGTTTTTCATTAGCACGTAGTGTCATTGCAGATGTTCAAAACGACCAGTCGGTTTTGTAGGTGATTTCCCAACTCTGTCCTGGGTTAATGAAAGCTCCGCGTCTTCACCTGGCCTTTTAGTCTTTAATCAGCTGTCATATCCTCTTTGAGCCCTCTTCGGTTTAGAACATGAGCTCGGAAGCCATATTCATGACAGCCGTGAAGACAAGACACGGCAGATGGCAGTTTATCTGTCGTTTTCCAACCGTCCTGGCTTCGTGCTTGAAATATCATCAGACGCTCCGTGTATGTCCGCATAGGCTTGAACTGGCTAGACAGCTTGAAGCAGTGAAGTACAAACAATAGGGAACGCTGGGAAAGACAGCTAACACTGCAAAGCAAATGACTCAGAGAAGACTGTTATAGAAAAGCAACCCATTCGTCCATGGCATCTTATGGTCCGGAAACGCAGAAGTTTGCGAAACAGAAATATCTCGGCCGAGATCATCAAGCAGTTAATTCTGACACTTCATATGTCGACGGCACAACGCTCAACTGATAGGCGATCCCAGGGACACTATCATTACCGTTTGCAACATCGAATTTCCTAGAAAGGGATTACTGAGCACATAAGGTCGCGACCACAGCAGCTTTGAAAGGGATATAAGTGATTATGCGGAGATAAATCGGCCCGGGTGACTGAACCAGTGATCCATAAAGGTGAAGGCGGTTTTAAAAGTATCTCCATACCGCCCAGAATAGCTCTCGCAGGTGATACAGGTATCAATGGTGTGCTGAGTCCCTTCCACAAATGCAATCGACTTGTCTGTAGTGGTAGCGACAAGGTAGATCTTCTCTGCGTTCAGATACTCGTAGTGACCAGCGTTACCCATGGTCAGTAAGGTCTTGGAGATTCCCGGCACATTGCCAATTGGAGCGGTTTGAGACGAGGTCCAGTCGACGCCGGTTATGTTGTCAGCCGTTACTCAAAGGTATCGACATCGACGTCAATAGCAAACGTTGACAGAAACCGGGTGATAGTAGTCTTGAGCGTTCCATTGTATAAAGAGTCCACCATACTGAGAATGCCGGCCGAAGCGACAGTAACACTTGGGACAACCTGCGTAGTGTTGCTCCCATCCTTGTGCAGCAGCGGCCACTTGGACATGGTCTGGGCTATGTAGCGCACGTCTTGAGTAATGAGCTTGTTGTTGAAGCCCAGGTAGTTCGCGTCGGGGATCACTAATCCCTCATCATCACTGTAGTCTCCCTTGCCCGCTGCAATGAGCTTGTTGCGCTCGGTGGCAGGCGCCAAAATGCGATTGCACCGCGCCGCAACCCCAGCCAGGAACTCACGGACAAAGTCAGTCGTGTAGTTGGCTCCGTTAGCCGTCCAGCCATTGGCCGGGTTATACAAACTCAGCTTCGAGTCGATATCCGCCCCTGTGGAGTCATGGACTCATTGGTGATTGCCGGGTTGAGAGACAGCAGCGTCATGGTAGACAAACTAAAGACTGAGTTCCTTCGAGTAAGTTGCTTTCCTCATCTCGACTGATGCGCTGATCTCCCGAGCCGCTCAACTACGGCTCAACCTGGTCCGCAGCGACAAGAACGTGGATCAGCTGGTCGGAATATCCGGCATCTTAACATGAAAAACCGAAAAGCGAGTCAGAAATCTTCCCCCACCTCGTATGCAGCACCTTGGGGATTTCCATCTGTGGGTTATTTTCGATTAAGACTTTTGTCGATCACCTACTCACCACGAAAACCTGATCTCATTTCGTTTGCTAGTGGAATAAGCATTGACCTATTGCTACATTGGCGCCAGGCGCTCTTACTGCATCAAGCAGTGGAGGGCGAAAAAAAGAGGATATAGACTTGCAAGGGTGACGTATCAGCAACACAAGGTAGCAGTAGTCTCACTTCTTGATCGGAGGTTATGTCCATCAGTCTCCACATGTTGCTATCTGTAAAAAAAACGTTGAATGACCGCCTGAGCTCGATTTGCAACTCCAAAGACCGGCTTCACCATCAACCGGCCGTGTATTGGGCACAGTGTCCTTTCATCAATACATGCAAACGCTCGCCTGACTAACGACTTGAATGCGTCCTTGTCAAACTCAGAGCCTTTCCACAGACTGTCGAGTTCTTGTCGATATGCTCGCCGTCTCCAGTCCCACACTATCGGCTCCTCTGCCCCGACAACCGCCACCCATTCCGACCGCCGCTGGCCATAAACTAAATTCGGCCCTAGATTAATTATCCGTCGTTCTCCTGGAAGTGGCGAGTAGAGGAGAATCAGTATCTCCCGAAAATAAAAAAATGAGACGCTGGAACAGCAGAACAAAAACGTTGTCCAGGTCCTCTAGCAGCTTGAGAGGCAAGGCAAGGCGCGAAAGCTCCATTGGATGCACGCGTTGATGCTAACGCCCTGCTTCCCTGCCCGGCCCGTCGAGGAATCTGTCGAACTGCTCGTAAGGCACATGGAGTGTATCAGTAGCTGGCTTGAAAGCCCGTGTGAGACAGAAGGCACCTGTAGCAGCAAAACGGTAGTTAATTGTCAGGCCGTTCTTTCGAATCCAGCTCCGTGCCACATTTCGTCCTTCGTGATTTACCAGGAGCAGTGGAATATCAATGAACATGCGGTAAAGCTCGTCATGGAAGAACATTATTTCTAATTCGTGTTCGACATGGTCCGAGCGGTGGGCCTCCCAGCAGCGGGTGTTCAAAACGTATAGAGCCTGGTGAACAGGGCTCGGAAGGGCGTATTGCCAAATAAAGATGCGTAGCTCAGCAGGGAGGAGAGCGAATTTCGGGAGTCCGCGATTGCTGGTGGATTCAGTCATGTTGTTCTTGATGTTGACGAAATGAGAGATGGAAGGGGGTGGTGACTCTAGGTTAGAGGTGAAACAAAGTTGGCAAGATGACAAGTAAAGCTGAAGGAAATTTGAGACCTTCGTAATTGTTGATGTGTTAGTTACCCTCAAGCCTCGAAGTCTCTCAGTTCAGAACCTACCTCGCATTCACTGAAGGTTGGGAACAGTGACTTAGCGCTCTCTCTACCCCGACCTTATTTACTTAGCGAAGTTGTTGATGGCAGTGATATGTTATGTAACAGGAAAGAACACGGGGTAAAGCAAGGCAACAGCAACACAACCACGCGCAATCAAAGCGGTCTAAGTCAGACTGTCGAACTTGCCGGTTTGCATTCCGATCAACATGCTGAGAAAGCTCCATTGTCCCTGCAAGACTAACGTGCAACACCCAACGGCAGGATCCGTAGGATCAAGTGCGAGGAAGCCCCAGGGTAATGCCCGAACTGCACGTCGACTGGCCGACAGTGCGACTAATACGAGGGTTATCAGTTACCTCCACCACCCAGGAAGCAGCAATACCGCCAGCGGCTAGTTCTATCACCTCCGGTCGCAGCCAATGTTCTGTGGGCCAGGACATGGAATGAGCGGCGCTGTTTTGCTTTCGTGCAGGCCCGCACTATTCCGATTCCCTCAGCTACTTCGACTCTATGCTCTAGCAGCAGTTCATTCTGCAGATGGTACGTCGTGAACCAGTGGTATGGCATGTCATGATCGCTTTGGGGGCCGTGAACCAGCAAGTTGAAGCTGACCCAGTCGCTCGGTCACCTGGAAATGGTTGGCCGTAGCGCAATGCGCGCGATTTCTGGCCAGTCTGCGTCAGCTTGACCCACAAGACCTGGAGAAGAGGCAAGTGATCCTGCTCTGCTGCCCGCTCTTCACTGCCCTGGATATCGTGCAACGAGAGTCGCAACCTCTCCCCAACATCTGCGTGCTGGCCTGCGCACATCGAGTTGGCACCTCGAAGTGTTCACCTGCCCGTTGACTCACTCTGAGTTGCTGCCTCCCGACACCTTGTTAATCAGATCGGTGTTCATGGCATGCTGCTGCACGGAGATAGTGGTGGGGCCGCGCGGAAAGCGAGTCTCTAGCGGCGGCGGTGGTGGTTCAACCGGTAGCGGACGCATGTCGAGCTTTTCCAGTACTGATGGGAAGAGCCAGTGTCTCGGAGGTCCGTAAGGCACTTGAAGCGCGCTTCAAACGGTTCAATAAGTTTGTACGGTAGTGCTGGCGGATGTCTTGGGCGGAGCTGGAGGTTGAAGGCGCCGGGCCGCTCTCCATCGAGCGTGTAACCATTTCCGCGCAGTACCACTGCGCCATGCATCTTTGGCGCACTTTTCGCATTTTGCGTGACTCCTCTCGACTCATTCCGCAGAAACAATGCGGAGTCGACTTGATCGAGCTATAGCGAATGACGGTCAGACTCGGCTTGCAGACGTGTCCCCCGCACGAAGACTTAACGGCATAAGCGCACTTCACGCCGCAATACCGCAACCTCACGCACCGGATCGAGCGCTCCAACGTGCGATTCCCCGCATAGCCTATTCTGACAGTCGATCTCGGCGTGGTACCCGTGCTCTTCTTCGTGGGTGATGGCTGGAAGGACTTTTCGCATCCTCCACCCTGGCGTCCTGTCAGCCCGGCGATTCGAGAATGAATGAAAAGTTTTTGCGGGCGAAATTGGCCAAGGTCGTGGACCATATATGGAATATTAGCTTCCACGACAATTGCGATCTCAATAACACAATGCAGGACTTGTCTCAACGTGACAAGACGCATGACCACTGGGGGTCGATGGCAGAGTTGGAGAGGTTAGAGGAATTAGCCTTTGTAACCAGCATTCCAGCTTGAATTGCGTTCTTCTACTTCCGATGTTCATTTTTCCCCGTATGAGGTCGATAGGTAACTGGGTCTGGAAGAGCATCACGCCTTTTGAATGCTAAGCTGCAGATAGCAAGTTCCGAGCCGTTGTTATCACTGCCGTGTACTTTTTCCAAGTTGGCCCCAGGCGCCAATTTACCCCACCCTGGGAATGTTCTAGACTGCAGCCTGTCAAGGTCACCTGACAGGGAACGAGGTGCCTGAGGCATACTGTGCAGTACACGTCCGGATCGGAAAGTTCTCCAAACCTTACCCTCTTCTTCGACTATGCTTTGGCCTTTTACTGATATTTAACCATTTATCACTCTTCCACTTCTCCCTTCCATCTCGTTTGCTGTTTTAATCGTCATTATCAGAGCAGCAGGTCTCACTTTGGAAAGACAGTGTCTTTTGAACTTTGTCTTCAAATATCCCATTAAAACATATTTGTTCATCCATCACCAGGACCGACACCACAAAGCGTTCGTTTCACGTTGCATCTGACGCTCGAGCAATAAACAACCCCATGTTCTTCTAGCTTACGAATTAAACATAGCCAGTGCTCAGATGCGAACCAACTTTGATGCAAGTCAAGGCGCCCAATTCGCTTTGACACAGCAAAAGAGACACAGACAAACGCACCTGCATGCACTCTGACCCACATGTCAGAGCGTCCGGCATAAACTCCTATCAAGGTGGAAGATACAATAGTTCTTGTGCTTGGAGCATAAGCCAACGTACAAAGACCTATAGCAAGGGCCCTGGATGCATCTTGGCATTACCACACAGCCTGCGAATTGCCGTCGGCTAATCTTGCCCGAGATGCCGCCATTCACGCTACTTTTCAGCTTCGCTCAACGGCGCAACGCCACACCACAAACTATTGGAAAACTGTGACCAACCTAGCTCCAATCTGGAACCCTCGGCAATTACCAGCAATGGGAACCGAAGTGGCGCAGCTGAGCACTAAGACAGGTAGGTCATTTGGCGGGATAGTATTTTGGGCAACAAAATACGAAGTTGCCGCAGATCAGGATGGCTTTCTGACGCTATATAGCTTCGGCCATTCCCAAGGGCCATTCCACATTGAATTTTTTATCTGTGGACAGCTGACCAAGGACTCACACGCCATGAACGTTTTTGGCACCTTCGTGGACTCCGCCACGACACCTCTTCTAGGAGGAGAGTGCGGAAAGCGTCTGATACCCAATGTCATCGATGCGACGGCCAATGCGACCCCCGACGTCGAGTGTCTGTCTGTGCCTCGGTGCAACGGCAACCCTGGTGCCGGATGGAAGCCTGTGAGCTGGGCGCAGGTTGCCAACGCTGTCAACTATGTAGCGCACATGCTCACTAATGACGCCGGGACCCCGACACCGGGGTCATTTCCCACTGTCGCCTACATTGGCCTAGAAGACCCCCGGTATCCCATCTTCGCAATCGGGGCGATCAAGGCGGGCTACAAGGCTCTCTTCATCTCGCCGCGCAACTCGGTCGAAGCTCAACTAAACCTGTTCGACAAGACAGAGTGCAACCTACTTTATCATGAATCACAGTACGCCGCGATGGTTGAGCCCTGGGTCAATGGCCGTCCTGGCATGAAGCGCGTAGCTATCGCTCCGTGGGAGCAGTGGGTCACTACTCAAGTAACGCCGTTTGCCTACAACAAGACTTTTGCCGAAGCGGAATGGGATCCTTTTGTAGTGTTACACACAAGCGGCAGCACCGGACTCCCTAAGCCGGTCGTTATCAACCAGGGCATGCTGGCCTTGAATGACTTGCACCGCTATGTGCCGGAATACGACGGCAACTTGCCGTGGCTCGCTACTTGGGCCAAGTTCCCCAACACACGATATCTCTGCATTTTCCCATTATTCCACACGGCGGGAATTATGCCCACAACCTTGATGGCATTCTATTATAATGCGCCTATTGCATTCCGGGATCCGTCCCTGCCGATTACCGGCGATAATATCGTCGAGTGGCTGCAAAACACCGGAGCGGGGTGGACTCTCATGCCGCCCGCGATCCTGGAGCAAATGTCGCGCTCGCAGGTCGCCATTGATGAGTTGAAGAAGCTTCACGCAGTAGGATTTGCAGGAGGTTAGTGACATCCGGGAGTATGATTGCATGTTGCTAAATGTATACTCTGGTCAATTTATAGGCCCTGTAGCTCCGACTCCGGCGAATCATCTGTTAAATCACGGCGTCAAAATGGTGAACGCCATCGGAAGCACCGAGTAAGTGTTATGCAATTCCGCCTCAAACTGTCCGCTAACCGATGTCCGCCAGGTACATCTATTTCCCATATTACAACCAACCCGATCACTCACTGTGGCCGTGGTTCATAATCCCTACAGAGATGATGGGAATTGAATGGCGCCCGTTCGGCGAGAACACGTACGAGCAAGTCATTGTTCGAAAAGACAAGCAACATCCGGGTCTGCAAGGCTGCTTCTATGCCTTCCCCGAGCTGGATGAGTTCAGCACCAAGGACCTTTACCGACCTCACCCAACTCTCCCCAACCACTGGACGTACGTGGGTCGGGCGGACGACATCCTTATCTTCTCCAACGGCGAGAAGCTCAATCCCACTACCATTGAAGGCGCAGTCATGGGCCATCCAGGCGTTCTCGGTGCGCAGGTAGTCGGCACCAACTACTTCCATGCAGCCCTTATCATTGAGCCCGCTCAGCACCCGAAGACCGAACAAGAAAAACAGCGGTTTCTTGACGATGTGTGGCCGATTGTGGAAAAAGTCAACACTGAGACGGTGGCCCACGGGCGCATCTCTCGGGATTATGTATTTCTTTCCGATCCGGATCGTCCTTTTCCTCGCGCGGGCAAAGGCACCATCCAACGTGCGATGGTGGTGAAGGTCTATGCTGATGACATTCAACGGATTTTCGCTGCCAGCGGTGATGCGTCTGTCGTCGCGATGGATCTCAATCTGACATCCAAGGAGGCATTTGCTGGCACGGTGCGCAGTCTGGTACAAAGTGTCATTAAGCTGCCAAATCTCTGCGTGGACCAGGACCTCTTTTCTGCAGGCGTGGACTCCCTCCAAGCGATCCAACTCGCACGGCTACTACGGGCTAGTATGGAGAAGACATTGGGTATTTCAAATAGCGCTACAACTATCGACACCCGCGTGATTTACACCCATCCCACAATTGCCCAGCTAGCAGACTTCGCCTACTCCTTGACCAACGCCTCCGACTTACCTGATCCATTCCCAAACTCCGCTGACAGCACGGCCTTCTGCCAAGCCCTCTTCGAGAAATACACAAAGAATCTCCCCGCCCCAATTCCCAACAAGCTGCAGCCCTCCAGCACCTCGCAAGTCATTATCATTACCGGCACGACCGGCAATCTAGGCTCATATCTGCTTGCCGCAGCCCTCGCCAGCCCCAACACCCACCGCGTCATCTGCCTCAACCGCACCGCTGACGCCCTAGCCCGCCAACAGGCCGCTCACCTTTCTCGCGGCCTAATCACCGATTTCTCTAAAGCCAAATTCCTCCAAGCCGACCTCAGCCACCCGAGCCTGGGTCTCCCAGCACAAACTTACATTCATCTGCTAGCCGAAGCCGATAAGGTCATCCACAACGCTTGGCCGGTCAACTTCAATCTCTCTCTCGGCTCATTCGAGCCCCACATTCGCGGCGTCCGCCACCTCATTAACTTCAGTGCCGCCGCGCAGAAAACCGTACCGATAACCTTCGTCTCGAGCGTCAGCGCCGTCGAGAACTGGCCGTTCCCCGACCATCCGGTCACGGAGCAGGCGCTGACAGAGTGGTCGCTCGCTGCAATGGGGTACGGTCAGTCCAAGCTCGTGGCCAGTCGAATCCTCGATACCGCGAGTGAGGTTTCGGGCGTGCCTTGCCCCATTGTACGGGTCGGACAGGTCGCTGGCCCTCGAGCGGAGAAAGGGATGTGGAGTAAACAGGAGTGGCTGCCTAGTTTGGTGCGGAGCTCGCTTTATCTTGGCTTTCTACCGGATACGCTCGCGGGGCTAGAGAAGATGGGCTGGGCGCCTGTGGAGGATGTGGCGCAGGTGGTGTTGGAGGTGTCGGGTATTACTGAGGGGGAGCAGGCGACTGGGTATTTCCATGCGCTGAATCCGACGGCCGTGGATTGGAGCGGCCTGGTGCCAGTTTTACGTGAGTTCTACGGGGAGCGGATTCAGAGGGTGGTCTCTTTCACCGAGTGGGTGGATGCTCTAAGTGCTAGTCTGGAGAAGTCTGAAGGCAAGGATGTGGAGGTGAATCCTGGTGTGAAGTTGCTCAGCACATATAAGGAAGCGGCTTTGAGCAACGGGAAGGGAGCTGGGTTCACGACTACCCGAACGGAGATGTACAGTCCGACTATGCGGAGGATGGAGCCTGTTTCGCCGGAGTTGATGAGACATTGGTGTGAGCAGTGGGAGTTTTGAGGCGCAATGATATCTCACATCCAGCGATAGTACGACGATCTTTCGATCGAACAGAAGATGATCGTATCACCAATTGAAACTAATTCATACCTCGTGATAAAGTACCATATTCGTTATTCCTCTGGTCGTTGACAGCTGAAGTTATGATATATTGAACACCCGAAAGAGGTAGGGTATTCACGGAACACTTTCGCTCTAGCAATCCAAGGATGGCTCGTTTAATTCCTTTTTTACTCTTTCTCGGAAGAATAACTTGCAGTTCCGTGGCCCCAACAGCACACCCTACAAAAGCCCGATGATTAGCAGTTGAGACCCGAACAGCTCGACCGAGAACAAACTATACCTACCGTTACCAACGAGAGATTATAGTCCTCATCCCGTTCCCACTCCACCCTACGAAGCAGTTCACAGAGCGCAAGCTTCATTTGGGTAAGCGCAAATTTACTAGCCAAGCATCGCCGACCGTGCGTCGCGAACGGGAAAAACTTCCCCTTGACCTGCATGCCGCGGAACATGTTATGGATTGTGACTGTATCCCAACCCCAGCGATCGGGATCAAATTCACGCGCAGAGGTGCCCCAGACACAGGGATCCGTGTGAGTGCCGTACGAGTGCCAGCCCACCCAGGTGTCTTTCGGAAGGGGGTGGGTGGTATCTGATCCGAATTGGACGGGCTCGCTGGTGTACCGATTGATCAAATTGATCAGCGGGGGATAGAGACGTAGAGTCTCGTACACCGTGGCCGTGAGTAGTGGGAGCTCGTCGAGGTCGCTCTCTGTGTAGTTGCCAGGAAGCTTGGTGAGCACCTCGTGCCGCAGCCGGCGTTGGAGTGCGACATTCTTGCCTAGTTCCCATAGGGCCGAGTTGAGCACGATGTCGATGTTCTCCACCCCTGCGATGAAGAGCTGCTTGAGGTTGCACCGGTAGTGGTACTTGGTTATCGAGCCCGCCCGATATGCCTTTCTTAATCTGTGAATGACTTGCTCGTTATCCCGGCTCCGTGTTGCGTTCGCGTGGTCTTCATCTGTAAGCTCCGCTAGTTCCATGATCAGATCCTCCAATCTGTCCGCGATGCGAACGCCATAGTGTCCAGAGGGAAGAAGCCAATGGAGCCGCTCAAGACTCGGAAAAATATTATAAAGCAGTGTCTGCAGCCTCGTCGCAACCCCATCCTTGAACCTATCCATCGCCTCCACGACGCGCGGGAAATACACCTGCACGCGCTCTGCATCCAAATCCAGGAAACTGTCTGCGAAAACCCGCACAGCCCACTCCATGATACCATGGTCGATCCCGACTCCTTTTGCTGGGTGCTGCGCCTGCTCCCGCAGCAAGCTTTCCGCGAGTTGAGCGGAGCTTGCCTTTGCAGGTTCCAGATCGAACCTCCGCTGGATCCCGGGCTTGATGATCTCCGTGAACGAGGTGTGGAGTGCGCCGTGCGAGTCGATGATATTCACGCCGAAGATCCGCGCGAAGGTGCTATGTGGGATCTTCTTGATGTTTCCGCCCTTGATGAAGATGTCGTCTTGTCGGAAGATCTGGGCCACTAGGTCTGGACGAGTTGCCAGTACCACCCAGCGCCCGGCGTGCCATAGGTTCACGGCGCCGTGTCTTTCGATGATGGGCCGGATGCGGGTGTTGTAGGATTCGGCTCGCGTTATGCCTCTGGCGTGGTCGTAGAGTGTTTGCCAGATTGGGATGGTGGGGTAGTCTGGGGCTGGGGTTTCGAGGATTGTCAATGCGTATAAGATGGCGGAGGTTCCAAGAAGGATAAAGAAGATGAGTAGGAGGGCGAACATCGTGTGTCGTGTTTGAGACGAGGATGCTCTGTGCCTGAGAAAGGATCACTTATACGACCAGTTGGACAGCCCTATTGGGAGAGAATCCGCACGAATCAAGAACGCGTCGGCGCCTTAGATATACTCTCCGTCCGAAATGTCATCATCAAGCGCCCTGTGAAAAGCTTTCACCGCTCATCTCAGAGGCATGAGCAGTGCGCACGACATATCCCGATGGGATGATCTTATCTTACGTGTCATGCAGCTATCTTGTCCCTGTGAGGCGCGTAAGCGCGGGACTTCCTGCTTGCATGTTGCGATGAATGTTTCCTGACAGGGCCACCACAGACCACACACGGATCTCAGTTATTTGTGTGGACTTTTAGACTGACTTTGCGAGACCCGGTCTTGTCTGTTCTTGTCCATCTGTGCGCTTAGGCAAAGATACACTTCCTCCACTGCTGGCATTTCACATCCCGGCTCGAGATTCATCCGAAGAGTCTCCTTGCATAAATGACTGCCGTCCACGGTGTATCACCTCCCAGTTTCCCAACGGCAGTTGTTTCCTACCTATTATCTTTTGACTGACGTCACTTTTCGCCGGATTATCCTCCGGGTTGATATTTTGGGAAGATAGCGATGCATCCAGTTGAGCGAGCGTCTTAAGCTATGCTGCTTGACCTCCATCTCGACGGCTCTAACATCTGTAAAGACCGGACCATGAAGAATGTCTAGAGCCGAGTCCAGAAGTCTTAGCTAACTTCTCGAAGTAATCCCGTCTCTACTGGAATCAAATAGCACGGCAAGCAATCGCTCAGCATGGCCAAGGAATCCCATCGCAATGTCTCGCGTTGCGAGATATGTTGCATCACGTCCCAGCGAACTTCGACAACCGAATACACAATCGCTGAGCACCATTAGAGCGCTTCTCATCTAACGGCGTGCTATACTCAAGAGCCGAAGCGACCTGGAAAGTCCCTAAGGCAAATTACTGCGCTATTTGCGATAAGCAAAAGACGCGGGCCGCTTCCGTGCCAATTGGTGTGCAAAAGCCGGCACCTCTGCGTTTTGGAAATGATGTATTTTCCCTGACTGGAGATGTGCGCAGTGATATGAGCATTCGGCAAAATCTGATCAGCGCGTTCGTTTTCGGGTGGTTGTATGTCTTCTCTGCTGAGATGGTCGAGAGGATGCAAGAAGATTCTCATCTGGTTTACACGGATTCACGGGCGGAGCTAACAGCAGACGACGATGGTGATGTAATAGACGTAGGTGACGTTGGTGCAGATGCCGAGATGGTGGTCTGCACTTTAATCTCAGGCGAAGAATGGCGAGCAACCATACTCCCCAGAGGAGATGATCGATTTTATATCACCGTGGTCAACGACTGCCGATGGGGGACAGCAAACTCGATATTCGGGGATCAAGGTGGCTAAGCTGCCAGGGTATTTGTCTTTAACTGCCCCACCGTTCTCTCAGCAGGCCCTTGGCTTTCTTGTCGACTTCCGCCCCTTCTATGGTATTTAAAGCGAATTTCTTATCGCACTGGCAGTGGCAAGCATGATACCAACTGACAAGATGTATGGCGTGCCGATTACATTGCCGTCGATAACCACACGGAGCTACATACACGTATCGTCGGTACAAGATGTGAATGCGGAGGAATTGCAGAAACAGATTCCATATTACAGGGCCTGGAGCTGCAACTTCCATGTGGTGATATCTAGCATATATGGAATCTTCTGGCAACCCAGCGTACCGTGCAACCTAGTTAGTCTTTGGTTGCATCCTGTCCTGAATGAGGTTCGCAACGCCCTTACCAGTCTTTCTTCGCCAAGCTTCACGGAGGTTTTAACGATCATGTGTGCTCTACGCCGCCCAAGTCTCGCAGCGCTATGGCTAGGCGCTGCCTTCAGTGGCCTAACCTCCTTCGCAATTGACCAAGCCAAGAGCGGCGCTCCACCTCTCGTTCCCAGTGCTGCAGCCGGGACTGGCTGTCCACAATCGTTCCTGGATATTATCGGCACACCCACTAGTGTATTCCCACTGGACATGGCTTCGGCAAGATGGGTCCAAGATAGACGATGAGGGTTTCAAGCCCGACAGTTTTTTGATCTGTCCGGAACAGGTCAGACCCATCACTGGGGTTAGGTTTCCCTGCAAGCCGCTGCCGGATCAGGATGCGCTCGTGACGGCATCTTGTGAAGCCTTTGGCTGGGTAATGCGCAATTGTGAAGGTATACCGTTTGAAAGCGTTTATAAAGACAAATGGTTGCAGCAGGAAGATGAGAGTGCTAAGTTCGAATCGATCAAACGTTTGGAGGAAAGTGATGATGAGCATTGTGGGACCAGTGCTTCTGACGATATTCGGGTGGAGCGGAGTGTTCGCGGATGGTTAGCTAGAGCCGAGTAAGCGCTTTGGCTTTTGTCCACAGGAGCATTTCAGAGTATCGTTACTCTCGCGCATGATATGTACTCGTTTCTTACCTTGCATCCTACCCCGTGGCATCAAGACCGAAGGAGTCTGAAACACTCAGCATTTCGAATATACTCGAGATTTTCAGGTGCTTCTTGACCTTCTCAACACGTTCGTTACAGGCAGCACTGTTCAATTTATCTGACTACTAATCGAAAGTATGTTTCATTTCATTGACAAGGACTTAACGCACTTCCCATATCACTGTCGCATTGGTCCCGGGGTGCTTGCCGCAGATGCGCAATTAACGAGGTAGCTTGAGTCATCCATCTCATCGCAAGACTGACGTATCCTCACCCGCACGTTGAATTCACCAACAAACAGAATATTTCAAGGAGAGAGGCCATCAAAATGCATCAAGCTGACGAAGATGAACATTCAGTTTTATCTTTATCTCTGGGAGTGGGTGAGAAGGGACTCACCCCTTTCCCGTCATATGTTACATCCCCCAACCGCAAGCACACATAACCCCAGCCCACGATATGGAATGGAGTACAACCTAAAGTCAGTAAAATAGGCAAAACAGCAAAGCGTGCTCTGACAGAGTTGAAAGCTTGGCCTTCAGGGGACTAGAAAGCGATAATGCATCCGGCGTATGGGCATCCGACTCATACGCCGGATGCATTCAGTAGTCAGTGGCTTTTGAAACTAGATATGTCTCTCGCAGAGCGATCTTCCCCGGCTACAAACCTAGGTTTAGCTTGTCTTCTAGCTTTTCACCCCTCTTCGTGGTTGAACAATGCAAGAGATTCCTCGGATTCTTGCGAGCATTTTGAATGGCATCTTCCATGGTCTCGGGGATTGGTCAGTCATGAGGTTGGTTGTAAGCGCATTGCGCGCTGGAGAAACTGCGAGGATCTGTCAAACACCGTGTTATGGGGTGTATGTCCCTGCTAAAGTTACAGTCAAGTTCCATTTGACGAAGCATTTCCTCAATCCACATGCATCCCAGCAGTTCTCCCTACAAGACCAACTATTGGACCTACGAAGTAACATACCGCCACTGATATCCTCCCTCCTCTTTCAGCGACATCACAAGTCTCACCCGAGAGTTCCTTCAACCCTTCCAAGAGATTTCTTGAGAACACTACCGACAACCAGTGCCATCTGAGGGACGGGCTAATCAGCAGCTATACGAGTTGTTCCTTCCCGTTGTCAAATCTCTTTTCCATGTCGGTCACCAGTATCCGACACCAGCTTCAGCCTCGAATGCATTACAACCTCCATCATCTTGCTTGATTATATTCGCAATTCTCCTTCCGATGATCTTCGCTCTCTCCGTATTCTCCAACGTGAATGCGCCCTCCATGCTCTCCAGGCTCAAATCGCAGCGGGTGATGGAGTCGCTGCTGGGCGCTTTCGCTTGACCGACCATGGTTTTCATCAAAAATTTAGCATGAGCGCACAGCGCGATGGTATCTTCGCTACATTTGAATTAACAATATCAGTTCCGGTGCCCTCAACGCAAGGTTTCGAGTTGCCGAATTTGTGGCAAGGATCTGCAACGCTGCGGTGATTGAGGTGCCAGAAACATTTGGTAAGAGGTCTCGAGTGCAGGGTTGACATATGTTGCTAATATACGAGAGGCAACTTGAGATTTCACAGCACCAGCGCCTGATTGCTTTCATTGTCGGTGGTGCTTTCTGTGCGATCATGCACTACCAAAACCGTTCGTCGTCGACTTCACCTCACCCGGGCATACTCCAGTCGGCGTGGAGCATCATTTAGCACGGCATCGAAGCAGGTTGGGCATGTCATTTTGATGGTTAATCGACCGGTACTTTGTCCCACAGAAAGGTAGTGCGCTGGCGAATCCACCTGGCTTTCAATAAAACAGATACTAGGGCCAGGTTCGAAGATGCATGAATCGAGGCGGAAAGTAATGCGGATTACTCAAGAAATTAGGGCGATGGATATGATGGAACCCATCGTGCTTGGTGTAGTGAGGCCGGAACCAGGGACAGGTTGTCCTCAGGAAGGCCATAGTCATCGGGGTAGCTGCGCTAGGGGACTCTCAGAAATCTCAACTAACTTTTCAGCATTACAATAGACTCGACCCAGAGATTGAGACGGGACACTGGCAGCGCTTGCAACAAACATTGACGCACCCTGTCCAGCGGAGACTATTTCGAATTTTACTCCTTTGGAAGAGATTGGCCAACAACCTCATCAAACGTTACACGTGGTGCATCAGTCCTTGGAGGTACCGGTTAAGGCTGGTGCTCTGTTACCCATCTATTCTCAGTCCATTCTTATTATCAAGTACCATCTCTCAACGCCGTTTTAGGTTCTTAGCAATGTATGTAGGAGACGCAACCCCATCACTATTCACGCCGAACACCGGGCTTGTCGACTGTTTCCTTTTGCTTGCCTCTATTCCAGAGCCCGGCCTTTCCAAATAGAGGCAGCGAAATCATACTACAGCTATCTCTCACGATCGACGAACTACGACAAAAGAAGGACAGATGCAGTGGTAATTCCACGTCTGTCTAGGCGGGCCGGGCCGTACAGCCACATGTGGCGTTTCCGGATGAAAATTGACTAAGCAGGAACCGAGGGGAGTCATGCGACCCAAGAGATCCCGACGTGTCATCTTACAAAGAGGCCTCGGACTAGATACACAAAACAAATCGATGGGTATAGGTTGGTCCGGTGAGTCTGGGCTATGACTTGTTGCCAGTCATGTCGACGACCCCTTTCAAGCGCAAGCGTGTGAGGAAGGCATGTATCCCGTGCCATCAGCGCAAGCGGAAATGCGACACCGTGTATCCTTGCGGCATGTGCGCCACCTACGGATATAACTGCAGGTACACCAACGACAACATTATTGGTACTTTAGACGGCGAGCTACCAAATGCGCCTTCAGTCAAGCGTACCAGCCACGACGTCGACGGTGCAAGTCGTATGACACGGCGGGCCGCGACGGACCGCAGCCCGAGCAACCAGTCTCAAATACAGCGAGACCGTCGCGAAGGCGCCGGTTCGTCGACGAAGAGTCCCTCTGTTCTGGCGGACACATCTCCGGGCATCTTCGACGAGCAGAAGTTCCGATACTCTGGAGGATCAGCGGCCATGGCATTCCCGCACATCTTGGGAGTGGCTCTCGGTGCCGACAGCCCTCCCAAGACGCGGTCGTTCGCTTACAACTTCGGCGTTCGCCCCGAGGAGGCATCCAATGCTCACTGCTTTCTGGGGAACCTCATCTCAGAGGAAGACCTTGGCTTCTTTTCGGGTGCGTACTTCTTGGTCTTGGGCCCCATCGTCGACGTATTGGACCCCGAGACGTACCCCCAACGATGTCGGAACTATTACCGTGGTTCGGTCAGCAACTCAGTCGCCTTTGCCGCCGTGGCCGCTGGCGTCGCTGCACTGGGATCATTTCTATCTCCCAGTGGACATCCGCGGGAGTCTGACCTGGTGCAGTACGCCAAAGCCATTCTCGATGACCCGGCCTCCATGCGATTGCATGGCATTGACCACATCGTCGCATGGGGCCTGCGAGTTCTTTACCTCAGGGCCACGACCCGGCCCAGCAATGCCTGGATTGCTTCGTGCACGCAAATGCACCTCTGCGAAGCGCTTGGACTACACGAGGAAGCGAACATCAAGAAAATTGCGTCTCTCGCCAGCGCTGCGGTTCTTGGACACGATGCGGACCGCCTGCGGAGAATCTTCTGGCTCTCGTGGGCCGGGCATACCATGTTGTCTTATGAATACGATCGATCGCCTGGAGCATTGCGGGTCGTTACTTGCCAGGCAATCACCTCGACACCCGGCTCCGTAGCCGATCAATTCGTGCAACTAATCCACACCATTCCATCACCCAATTCTCCGTTCCAGCTCGACTCGCAGCCTCCTTTAACTCCGATTCAGGAGCTATTTGAGCGTCTCAAAGCCCTGGATAAGCTCAAATTCACCCATCCGTTTCTAGTAGTTACCAAGGCAGAAATTGCGTTTTGCTTCTATCGACGCCTTTACCAGCTCAAGGTCCGCATGCCAGACGATTGCATTCAGCTGCTTATTGACAGCGGCAATGCCGCAGTGGAGGCGGCCCTGCAGCAAGCGAGCCAGGGCCGTCTGTTCTGGAACGTCATCGGCAGCGTCTTCCAGTATACCTGCATCCTCTTGGCCATTGACACTCCCGCAGCCACCGCTCATATCGGCGCCGCGTTCAAGGGCTTAGAAAAGCTGGTAAAGGCTGCCGATACAGGGCTGACACGGGAGGCGTTGTCGATAGCGCGGCACCTACTCAGCCTTAGTATGGCGAAGAAGCGAAAGGAGCTTGCACAATTGGAAGCTGTTGAAGCGGACTTCGAGTTCTCCCAGCCACCTCCCGCTTCTGAGGCCAACACCGCCGTGCCAGACATGGATTGGGCCGTGGACTGGGATCAATTCTTCATCGAGCCGTATTTCTGCATGCTTGGGCAAGAATTGCCGCCAGTATAGTTATAACCGTATCGTAACTATTGATACCAGTTCACTCCGATCAACAGTGGTTTGATATGTTGAGTGTCAAAAGTCGAGTGTGGTATGCTGAGATCGCTCAATGAGATTAACGGAGCTTTGTACCGATGACGGTACGGCGTACAACGTAACAACCTTACAAAGGCAAGCTTAGTGTATCTCACCTTTTACCTGCACTTTTAATCAAAGGCACTCTATCAGTGTTTTGTCTGAAGGTGAACCATCAAAGCCATGTGGCTTGTCCGGCTTTACGTGCGGCGATTGCGGAGTTTAATCCTCTAACACCGCACTAGCTTGTTGGGGAGGAGTTAACGGCCCCCATGCATGTGCGGCTGCTGCGGCGGAGAAGGGCGGATTTAACAGCTTCATAGAACAACAACACACGAGGCTGCATCTGAGGTGCATAAATAGCTGAGCACCTTCTGACCCAGAGAGGAAGCGCCAGACAAATACCACTTCCTCACGACCTGAAACGCTATCACAATAGCAGTGTTTGATTAATCCTCAACAATCAACCAACCTACAACAATGCCCAAGTACGCCAATGATCAGCCCGTCGGCTTCCAAAACACCATCGAAAGAGTGGCCATTGTCGGCGTAAGCGCACCCTTCAAAGAAACTACCCATACAGCAAGACTCACAAGCATCGTTAGGCCGGAGGCACCATTGGCACACATATTGTCAGCGCCCTTCTAAAGGCAGGGAAACACACCGTCACGGCCCTCTCCCGCAAAGATAGCAGTAACAAACTCCCCGAGGGCGTCCTCGTGGCCCCAGTCGACTACAACGACGAAGCCACCCTTGTCGCCGCGCTCCAGGGCCAACAATTTCTGATCATAACCATGGCGCCTACCGCGCCCCGCGACACCCACAGCAAGCTCGTTCAAGCGGCCGCCAAGGCCGGGATCCCCTATGTCATGCCGAATTGGTATGGCGGCGATATCGACAACATCAAACTCGGCGAAGACACGCTGCTTGGGCCCATGGGCAGGGCTAACCGGGAGGAGATCGAGCGGCTCGGCATGCAGTGGATCACGGTGTGCTGCGGGTTCTGGTACGACTACAGCCTGGCAGGCGGGGACTCGCGCTTCGGGTTCGATTTGGTCAAGCGCTCCCTCACGCTCTATGACGACGGCAATAGCAAGATCTCCACCTCGACGTTAGCGCAGGTTGGGCGCGCCGTGGCCAAGGTGTTGAGCCTCCCCGTGCTTCCTCAAGACGCGGACGATACGAGCCTTACGCTGTCGACGTTCTTCAACCGGAGCGTATACGTCAAGAGTTTCGTGGTCAGCCAGGCCGATATGCTTGCCAGCGTCAAGCGGGTCACTGGTACCACTGACGCGGACTGGACGATTACCCGCCAGGATACGAAGACGCGATACGAGGAGGGCCTAGCGCAGGTGAAAAGTGGCAACATGGCGGGTTTTAGCAAGTTGCTGTATTCGAGGGTGTTTTATCCGGATGAGACCCGTGATCTCTCGACCAAGGTGCAGAACGAGCTGCTGGAATTGCCGGTTGAAAGTCTGGATGAGGCTACCAAGGCTGGAATCGAGCTGGACAAGGAGCTGCAGCTGAGGACGGAGCGTATGGCGGCTTAGAGAACTGCATATCGTGTACGGAGTTTGAACGGGTAGATGTGTGTATGATATTCCAGTATCATTGTATACAGAAATACAATGGGTGAATCGAATTCGAAGTCCAGTCAACCTTCCACCTCCGTCTTTTCATTCTCAACAGATGCAAGCCTCCCCAGCCCTGCGATACGTGCTTTCCAGACTTTCCAACGCTCATCACAGAGATATCGCTGATCAAGGGAAAGGGTACCTGTATCAAACCCATGAGTGGCGATCACCGGGAGCAATACATTTGGCCCGGTTGGGGTGCAGCTCACTGACCACATGACGTATCCATTCGCGCACTATGCCAGTATGAGCATCTACTAAACACTGAATTTGATTGGGGTCACTCGAGTGCTGTGGGCATTGCTGTTATTGCGTCCGTTGAACACCAGAACAGTGGCCGTCCTGTCGTTCTGGCAATGAAAGAGGTATCACTGAGAGAGGCAGTGTGCCACTATTTTGACAGTCGCAACACCATCATTTCTCAATGGGTCGGGGCATATGGAGTCCCCCGGCAGATGGGAAAAGCATGTCATCCATTATTCGAAAAGAAACAGAAGCCAAGTTCTACCCGTGTGGGGCACGAAAGATCAATTTCGAAAAGTTGGTACATTGTTTGGACAGCTATGCGCTCAAGTCTGACTGATTTCAATACAAATAAACACCGTATCCCTATGCTAATAATTGTTCGCTTCGAAGAATGACTCAGGGACCCTATCAGACAGAACGATTAGCATTTGTCCTGCACATGGAAACTCCTAGCGGGGTGTGGACGGCTGCGACTCACCAAGAATCTCAAGTGTCCATCCTCGTTGGCGATCTTGTCGGCCAGGAAGATACCCTGGCGACCCTTGGAGCCACCGTCGCGGGTGAGCAGCTCAGCCGTGAGCTTGGGGCCGCGGTCGGAGTCTTCGAGACGGACGTCGCTTGCAGAGCGGGTGAAGTTCTCGCCGCCCCAGATGAACCAGCCTGATATGATGGTTTTCCATTAGTTGATGTTCCAGAGACAGTTAACAGACAGGGGTGTGGACGGCCCTACCGTCAGTGTTGCCGATGTGCTGGTCGAGACGGATCTTGCGGGGGTGGCCGACGCCGCTGTTATCGCGGGCGACGCAGCAGAGCATGGTACTGCCCATCTCGTGGACGATGTGGATGTCGTGGCAGGACTGGTGGAAAGACATGGTGGATGGTTGTTTAGGAAGGGAAAGAGAGAGTTTGTGTGTGAGATTGACTGAAGAGTGGTTAGAGAAGGGAGAGGAGGAAGAAGGGAGGGGAGGATGTGGGGTTATTGTTTATATATATTAGGTCCGTGGCTCCAGCTTCCTCCTTTATCACCGCCCGCATTGCTGCCCTACCCACCAAGCCTCGGGATGGACGCTGGCCAAGACGCGAAGTGGCATAGTTGCCTCATAGTGGCTGTACTGCTCAAGTGGGGCATGTCACTGTCTATCGCCTCGCTTCGAATCGCTTGTCCTCACAGATGCACGATAAGAAACTGCAGTATTACGTTTTGATCTTGATGCATGATGAAGAGGGTTGATCACGGTAGTCGCCACCACTCATGTAACTGTTGCGAGCTAGCGGCAGGTATTTTACCGGCTGGTGATCAACTCTAGTGAGATCACTTTCTAGAAGGGCTCTTGTTGATCAGCGCAAGGATGAGGACGGCGGGGACAGAGTGGAGATTTTGTAATCTTCTTTCGGTATAATTGGCGCCACTGCAGGACTATTGACTAGTGACTTTCTTAGACAATGATCATTCTTAGGGGAAAGGTTTCAGGTTAGAACCCTGTCTCCATCTCAAGCGCTTGGCGGAATGAACTGGCAACTGCGCCACATCTAAATTTAGCATGCGAGGACAGCGGCTGCAACAGCCACATCAGCCACAATGGTTGCCTGATGTGGTGGCACGACTTGTCGATCGAAGCATAGGGTGGAGGTATGCACAACTGCCATCACAGCTCAACCAAGCTCTGTATCTCAGCTACGTGCATTGTTTATGATTAAGCCAGCTGGGTCACACGGTAGTACAGAATCCTCATGAATTCACGATCGACTCACTTGAATTAAGCTATTTGTTGTTGTTTCGGAGTCAAGTATCTATCCTTGAGTGACGCTTGTAGTAATTGCCCTGGTGTGCATCTAAATTAGGCACCCAATTTGCTCAGTCCTTGCACTAGACCTCCAATCCATCATATTCTATCTAACTTTTCAATACCGGCCTAGAATGTAGCGTTTTCAATATAGGCCGCAAAACTCCCGGGTCATGTGTTGACGCAACGGCATTGACGCAGATTGGTAAACCACGGAAAGATTCCGCCAGTATTTCAAGCGTTGCTCAATCCCTTGAAGCCTTGCGCTATATAAGGTCATCACTAGTAGTGACGAGTTGAGGTCTTTAAATACTGCTTACCAAGCCAGCAGTTGAAAGATTATCGCGCCATCAGATGCGGGGTAACGCCATCTGTCGTGACAGGGCACAATGCACCTATTTCAGACCACCACATCCCCTCGAGGCCTGCTTTATTGCTTTCATATGCTCACACACCATAAGTGCTGACAGGTCCATCTACACAAAGCTCAACTTGAACCTAGCCTTACACAATGCCGTCTCCTAAAGTGGCCATTGCCGGTGTATGTATACCAGACCCTCCAGAAAATACGGCAAACTAAACGACAGCATTGCAGGCAAGCGGAAACCTGGGCCCCAGCATCCTGAAGGAGCTTCTCGATGCAGGATTCGAAGTTACCGTCCTCACCCGTCAGAGCAGTGACAAGAGCTTTGACACCCGAGCGAAAGTGATACCAGTCGACTACGACTCGCTTGAGTCTCTACAAACTGCACTTGAAGGGCAAGACGTCGTGGTGGATGCCAGGGCTGTTGTCCCCAGCGAGTCCACTATCCGCTTCATCGATGCAGCCAAGGCAGCAGGCGTTACCCGCTTCATCCCCTCTGAGTTCGGAACAGATTCCCTGAACCCACTCTCAGAAGCATTGCCGGTCTTCGCCAACAAAGTTGCTCCCCGCAAATACCTCCAACAGGTGTCAAAGGACTCACCTCTCAGTTACAGTCTGCTGTTCACGGGACCGTTCCTGGACTTCGGACTTCGGACCGGCTTTTTGGTGAATCTCGCCGGCCCGGTAGCGGAGCTCTACGATGGTGGCGACAGGAAGGTCAGCAGCACGACCTTGCAGGGGATCGGCAAGGCGGTGGTCGGTATTGTGAAGAATCTGGATGCAACCAAAAATGCGGCGCTATACGTGAGCGAAGCAGATGTCACGCAGAAGCAGCTGATTCAACTTTCCGGCAAGAAGCTGGAAACCAAGGTGGTTTCGACGGAGGAGCTGGAACGAATCGGTCGGGCAGAACTGGACAAGCCTGAGCCGAATCGAGGCATAGTGGCGGTGAACTTGATCCGCCGAGCCCTCTTTGGAGAGGGCTACGGTAGTTCGTTTGAGGAACAACACAAACTTGCGAATGAGTTGCTGGGGTTGAAGAAGATGACGGAGGAGGAGCTGCGGGCGTTGGTAGCCAAGATCTTGTAGTTTTGCTGCCTTCTCCCAGTACGTATTTATAGTAGTACTCCGGACCACAGAATGTCATGTCCGATCATAACACAATAGTTCCCAAATGGGTTAGACAATCCGGAAGCGGGGAGAGATCCCAACGACGTCATCGACCCATTCTCTCTCTTCCTCACTTTCTCTCCTGCTCCATCGTGTCTTCCCTACTCTTCTGTCGCTTAATGAGTCAGTCTCTGGGTCGAATGCTAGCTTTGGCTCCTCCTGTCGATCACCGGTGGTCTGATTGCTTGGTATAGCTTATTTAAGCCCCATGTGAGCGCCGCCCACGCGCTTGCCCGTCCACGCCGACCGTATTCCGCGTTCTCCATTCCCGACCGTCATGAGCGAACCCGAGTGACATGTTACAGCACACCTGCTGAACAACACCAACAGAACCAAGTACAGACATCTATCCAACATCCAGAATGTCGTTTATCTTTGGACGACGGCACTCTGTGGCTACTGCCTCGCCGAACGAGGGAGATGCAGTCCCACGGAGCAACACTGGCCGAAGATTGTCGGCTCCGGATATCTCGGATGAAAGCCATGGTCTTCGTGCCAAAGGAGTACTCCATGAGTTATTTCACAAACACCACGGCTCTTCCGACTCGAATTCCCCACCCAATCCCGGATCCCCACATCGGGTAAGGCTCTAGCTGGGTCGCGTCACAGAAGAGACTTGTATGATTCCTCTATCTGACGATGTATTAGACAAATAGTCCGCCATCGCAATCATCGGAAAATGCCCCTTCAAGCTCCCAAGGCCGCCATGACAGCGAGGTACACGATTCTGCGGCCGAAAATTCGTCGAATCTTTCGAAACCAGGCTCAAAGCCTCGCCGCTCCCCCAGATTAGGCGACGGCCCGTCATCGCCTCACAAGCACCACCTGACAATGAAAGATGTCGAGTTGATCTTCTCGGGGGCGCCGTATTTCATGCTCGAAAAGGGTAAAAATGATCACTGGTTTCCGCAGGTCATATTTCCGTTCGACGACCACGACCCAGTCATTCAATGCTTCTGGGATAGACGACCCCTTCCTCATGCCTCTTACACCCTGTGCACTCTTCATGCACACCTCCCAGTGCCGGATGGTTGGGTCATTGAGGGTGATGCCCCTGCACATCTCGATAATTGGAAACGGAGTGAGGCTCCCAAGCGAGCGACTTTTGATGTGGGTGTTCAGGAGATTCCCAATATGTTGGCCATGAATGGAAAGGATCCAGGGACGGTGGGCTTTCGCTACTTCCTGGAGCTTCCGGTTGCCGACGCTGCCCGATACATGGGCCCTGGTGTTCCGAGGCCCTCGCCCGATTATTTGCATCTATCCAGCTTGCCAGCGACCGAGTCATTTGAACTGTTGGAGCGTTACGGTCAGCCATACGCTCTCTGCACTGATGGCACCGTCCACGATCGGAAGAAGCTGCTACGCGAGGGTCCTAACTTGTGGAAAAAGATTGGTGTCCGTGACATCGATCTGCAAACTCTGGTGGAGCGACTGCAAACATTGAAGCATTTACGCCACGAGATCCTTCATGGTGATAGGCCAAAGACGATTCTCGACACTGAATCCACACGCGAGCTATATAACGAACTCTTTACCAAGTTTCTCTTCCCTCCAGTGCGGTTTCTGCTCGCTGATATGGGTGATTCTCACAGCTTGAAAGTCCAAATCAAAGCTTTGACCGTCGTGCTGGCCACACCTGGGGCATGGTTCGACTTCAGCCTCATAGACTGGCGACTGCACATCGGCCAGCTTCTCTGGGAGAGTCCCCCTCACATAGACGGTGACACGATCGATATTTTAGCGTCGGACAAGCCTTGGGTGCATTCGACGTTGGAGCGAAAGTGGTTTTTGGTTCAGATGCTGCTTGCTGCTGAGCTCTTGATGCGATTGGATGCGACTGTACGTGTAGGAATGCTTCAGGAATCGAGGGATATTAGCATTTCGTTGCGTGATGTCTACGAGTTTGATAGGTTGCGAAACGGCAAGTTAAATTGGGACTTGGTCGTGGTGCGGCGATTCATGGACAGTTTTGATCTTGAGTATCGTCTCGAGGATGGCAGCCCTGGCCCAGATACTCACGGCCGGACTGGCCAGACATCTGAGAAACATCATCACCGGTCTTTATTTTCGAGCATCTCTCATCATACGTCTTCAACACCTGGCAACATTCATAATGAACCAGCCTGGAGATGCCACCTTTTCCCGACTCATGTGATGCAACAGCTGAAAGGTCTTTTTGTCTTTGCAGACAATCTAGATTGGCCGCGCTTGGACGAATTCAAGGATGCACTGCGCGCAAAGTTGGAAGGGGGACATAATGAACAAGTCGTCAGGGATGTCTTTACCCGTCCAGAACCTAACACTCTCCCGACCGGATACAAGATACCAGATCTCAAGAAGGCCATGTATAGCAGAAACCATTCCCGCCGTCTATTACTTCTGCACCGCAGTCGTGACGACAGCAATCGAATCCACATTGGCGGCTGGGCCACCAGAAGCTGGTTGTCGGGCTTTGTGATCCCTGGACCGTCTATCAGCCACTTACTCATGGCTACAATCTTGGAAAATGACTCCGATGCTATGGCCAAACTTGGCCCAGTTGTCAACTTATACGGTGGTTTCGCTTATGCTGGAAGAAGCTGGTGGAGCAAAGAATGTATCGTTAGCCGAGTATTGGCTTGTTTGGCAGGCAGCAAGGTGTGCTTGGCATGGCAAGCCAGCCCGATCTTACCCAAAGACTCCAAAACCTCACAGCCTTTACATGATACCTGGTTTGAGGTTGAGGTCAAAGAAGCGCAGAACAGACCGGGGAAACCGAGGATCAAGCACGGATCCAAGCTTTCGCTCGAATCCACACCCTTAGGGCCCGGGGATTTGACCAGCGGGGCCTTTACCATGCCGCTCGACGAGCAAAGCGAGAGCGCTTCCCAATTGAAACTAACCTTCGACGACATGGTATTTCGGGTGAAAGCTCAGCAACCGCCGTCAGCAGACCATCAGATCGTGGTTGTCGACCAGGTGACCATGCACTTCACTTTACCTTCTGATACGGCCACCCCTGCCAAGGTCTCGTTCCCTCTGACTTACAATGTGCAATTCATCTCGTCGCACGAGTGTCGCCCACCTGGAGGCATGATAGCCCATCCCCACGCCAAGAGTCCCAGTGGCCACGCGAGATCCCCATCTTCATCCAGCTCATCTTCTGATAGACACCGCCACCACCGACTGCCAGGCCATCCACTGCATTGCCGCTACGCGTATCGCTGGGTTCACCTACCATCCCTCGCCGAGGAATTCTCAGCATCGGACCAGATTCGGTCGGCTTTCGACCTCGAGGAAACTCTGATTCTGGATGCGCGCGGCTCCAGTGAGAAAGAGGCATTTGCCCGAGCCTGGTGCGCATCCGTGGGCTATCATGCTATAATTGGTCGCGCCGGTCGGACGTGTCTCTCCTGCTGTATCCGGGAAGCCCGCGCGCTGCAGGTGAAAGTTCTCATCCGTACGGGCAATGGCCATGCCACACCCAGCTCGTCCGTTCAAGTACTTTACGGTGGAGAGTAGGGGGATTATTTGGGAACTTCTTTTGGATAGTTGATCTAAGTGTCAATCCACTGGAATGTTGTCTACCTCCTTTTTTTTTGTATATTATTGCAAAAGCCTGATTTGAACTTTTGATTAGCTTTTTGTGACGGAATTCGTACCATATCAGTGGCAGACTGGAAATAGGATTTTACTTTTGGTGACGATAATCGTATTTTTTCGATATATGTGAATTTGCTACCAAGCTACTCTCGCTCCGCTTTGTTCCTCGGTACTTACGGATCAATAATAATAACAAGATTGATATTCGCTTTTTCTCCCGATTAATCTAAACCAGATTTCCCAAATTTGGCACAGACGACACAAAAGCTAAGAAACGTCATCCTGGTGTCATGCACCAGGGCTGTCATCATCGAGTCTGACCTGGTTCCTTACCACCCTTGGGCAAAATCAACAACCCGTGGAATCCGCATTCAGCAAAACACAGGTGTACCTCGCAGGACCATGGTCCAGTACCTCTGTTATGCGCTACACAACACAACCGAGTATCTGATGTTCACTCAACCAAGTTTATTCCCACCGTACTCCAGCAGCATCATCCAGGCTCACCAACAAACGAACCTTCAATCAACCCAAGGTCCAAAATAGCTTCATCGACCCCTTAACCCAAGTCTCCTTCACCACGGCAATTACCCCTCTCTCCCCTGGCTCCAACTCCTCTAACCATGAGTCAGTAACCCATTCTCTATCATCATTCCAGCTATACATCTAATCTACTTGGTTATTGTGTCCCTCCCAATGCGAAACCTATCATCGGATCCCCGCTCGGTAGCGCTCTCGGAGATTTCAGACAAGGGGATTCGTCGATCGATTCGACGGTCTGCATTCCTCACGACGTCAATTTCACATGTTTGGGATTTTCTTCGGGTCATGCAGGTCATCTTACCAATTCTCCGAACAAGTCTTCGATGATACTTTGCTATCTTGCCCGGTAGGAAGGTCCTTCGAGATTCAATTGCTTGAGTATCGTGATATGGTTCTGGTATGTTTAATTGCCTTGCTGTGAATGGTATGGTCTGTGGTTGATCATTCACTCTAGAATGTGTGCCATACCGCTAGTAGCACGGTTACTGGTGTTTCCAACACCGGGCTTTAGCTATGGGTGTAGCACATCGTTACGAACCATATTGAGAAAGGAGTGGCAAAAGTATAGTATAAATCTCAAGTCATTCATACGATGTATGAACAACGATAAGTCAAGAAGCGAAAGTCGACAGAGGGTACACCTGCCCACGTCCCCATCAGCTAAACTGGACTGAGCTGAGCAGCCCCCCCACCCTCCCCCAAGAAATAGAGACCCTCGAGATAAAGGCCTGAACAAATAACCAAACAAAACACAAAACACACCCCCAAAACCACACCACCGCAGCTACCACCACACCTAAGAATCATCTAGGGATGACCGCCCTGACCCTGCCCACCAGGAGCCCCAGAGCTCTGACCCCCCGGGGCGCTCCCAGAACCAGAACCACCACCAGAACTCTCATTCTCCACGCCGCCGTCAGCAGTATAGTAAGCCGCAGGCGTGATGCTAGAAGACTCATCGGCATCAATAGCGAGCGAGATCCAGCCGAACACGCCGTCACTGATCGAGTCGCCCAGCAGCACGTACTCGGCGAACGGGTCGATGGTGTCGGCCTCCTCGGACAGGATCGAGTCGTTGGCGTTGGTGGTCAGCTCCTGGGTGTTGGTGCTGTAGGGCGAGGTGGTCTCCACTTCTGTGATCAGGTCCTGGTCGAAGAAGATCTGGCCGACGTGGTTGGCTGTCGTGGTGTAGAGGCCTGTTAGGGTGTTGTTGGTGTTGGTTGTTGTTGTGGTGTTGGGATTGTGTGAGAGGACTGTTTGTGGCGTTAGTCTAGGGTAAGGGAGGTTGAGGGCTGGGAGTTTTGGGCTGGGCCAGGCAGCACCTACCGTGAATGTGAGTCGCACGACTGGTGTAGTGGCCCGGGAAAATAGTCTCAAACTGCACCACGCCCGATTCGTCGGTCTGCTGGATGCCGCGGAGGAAGGTTGCGTCTAGGTTTGATGCGTCGTTGGAGTTGCCGTTGCCGCTGGCTTGGATGCCGGAGTAGACGCCCTGTTTGGTGCAGTTGGTTAGTGCTTGGGTTGTGCTTGGATGGAGATGACTGAGCATACAGTAGCGTTGCAGTGCCAGAAGTCAATGTAGACGTCCGGGACCGGCTCGCAGGTAGTGCTATCCACGAGCTGGATGTCCAGGTACAGCGGCACTCCCTTCTGAGACTCGGTGATGTCCTTGCGGATCAGCTCGCCGGTGACGTCTATTCAAGTCAGCTTAGACCTATAGTCAAGCACAGAGACGTGGAGACTGACAGTAAGGACCCTGGGTGACATCCGGGCCGAGCACGCAGCTGGCGTTGGACGCGAACAGGGTGTCATAGTCCTGGGTGTTCTCGGTCACATCCAAGGATGAAAGATGGGATGTGTTAAGAACGGTGGTCAGATCGCGGGCTTTGAGCAGAGGAGCGCCTGTTCGCTGTTAGCATTACGCCCTTCTCATTGGTACCACTTGGAAGGTAGTGCATACGGCTCGCCAATCCCTTGCGACGACGCAGGGCATCCACGGTCGCCTGACGACGAGCGATGTTGCTGCTCTCGTGGCCGCGCGCCTTGAGCTTGCTGGCGCACTGGCTCAGGCCGCGCGCATGCATGGGAGCCCGCTTCAAAAAGGCAGCGCGCTCAGCGGCTTCCGCGCGCACGTCGTGTCCAGGATGGGCAGAGGCCATGCCAGCTAGACCAGCTAGACCGGCGATCAAGGTAGTGGTAGCGCGAACCATGGTGGCGAAGGTGCAAAGCAAAGAGAGGAGAGAGGAGGAATGAATGTGTTGGTGTTGATGTTTCCTGACTCGATGGCAGGCGACCACGCCCTCTTATATCTTCTCATGGTCAATGTATCTGTCCGAAGCGAACCTGTCAATTGCTCCTTGATGCTGTCGAACCCCCGGCTGACGCAAGCCACTGGAACCCCTCCGCCTTGCGCGGTCGATGTGATGAATTTGACATGGAGATAGCACACACACGCACGCACGCATACAGAGAGAAGACTAGCTAAGTCTCTAGCTAGCTAGCTGGCTGAAAAGCTGGCACAAGAACTGTTAGACCCGCCGGCGGGGCTGACCCTCGCCAAGACATCACCACTTCGCCTGCTAGAAGGCCTCAGAAATCTGATCGATTGCCTCATTCGCTTCCACTCCAGAGGAGGAAGATCTCAAAGGAACGGGCCAGACCCGTTATCCATCGGGGTAGGATCATCGGTCGCTGACGACGCGGCGGTGGTCCACACCTGTGTGTCTGGATCACAAATCCAGACGTTCTTACGGGATGAGAGGTCCGTTTCAAAAGCGGGAGGGGATGCTTGTATATGGCAAGCCATGGATGGGTTGACGGCGATTTGGGGGTTTTGGGGGGGGTGAAGCCACATGTCTCATCGATTGGGTGAATGCATGCATTGCCAGAGGTAGATGGACCCTTCATCTTGTTTATGCTCCCGGCCGGTGCACTACTTAATGCCAAGGATTAATGTGAAGCAAATATGTATAGCTGGTGATTCATCGAAGGCGCGACGCAGCGCTTCACAAGAAGAAAGAGTGATACTGTCTGTCCTGATGAGTATGCCAACTACAGCGCATTACCCCTTCCTCCTCAGCCGACAATCCCATCTGCTAGCCCTGAACAACCAACTCCCCCAAACCCCCATCAAAGCCACAAGCAGCACACAACCCGAAAAACAAGAACAACAAAAATAAGCATAACCATAAAGTTTGAAACACACCCAACCACCTCAACTTCCCCCTCCAAGCCGCCTCCAAACGAATCCCCACCAGCTTACGCCATCTCCTGCACCCTAGGGCTAGCCCCCGACAAGCCAACACTCTTGGCAACAGCGACATTATCCCGCCAAGCCACGACCAACAACCCGGCGCTGAGTAAATTCCCCGGTCTCATTTGTGGGAAATCCTCGGGGTCTCTACTTGCAAGTGATCTGCACCAGTATACGTATCTCTACAAGGGGCAAAGGGTCCTTGGCAGGGCGGACAACCCTGGAGAAGGGAGTGGAGGAGAATGTGAATTCCGATGGGGTTCCCGAATGTATGACGAGTTAGGTTATGAGTAAGCGGCAAGTCTATTTTAGTGCGTCGCTTGGGCTCGCTTGGCTGGTTTGCTGAAGATATTGAGGGAGAAGAAGTACGCAGGCTTGTTGCGGTTGCTGTATCCCCAGTCAAGATTGAGATTGATTTGATTGACGGTGGTGTTGATGGGTATGTTATTCATTTTCTCGCAGAGGAGAATTGATTGCACGAATAATTGAATTCCGGTGCTCTTTCTTACTGCATAGATTTGTTATGGTATCATCTGCTGAACGAAGAAGCATCCCATAGTGGAAGACATGGGACCGTCCAGATAAAAGGTGTAGGGCGCAACGTAGACTCACCCGTTATTCCTAATCTTGCGTCCCCATTTAGCCAGATTAGGAGACATAGCCAGCAGGGATAGGGATTTCAACCTACCCCAAGCCCGTTGCCGTCGTCGACTTGGAAGTAATGTTATGGAGTTAGCTAGGAGGAATTGGGAAAATGAAGCAATTAATGGCTCAGTCTTAGTACCTATCATACGCGCGGTTTAGGACAATCCATTGACGAGCTAACAACGTACACGGATTTCTTGCGGATGGGTGGAGGCGGACTGGAACTTGTGTGGGCTGGATACAGCCACTCCGGATCTTCTGGGGTAAATAGACTGTGAATCCCCAGGAAAGAGATTTACCAAGAAAAATGCATTATTACTGTCAACCAACGATTCTAACTTCTCATAACAGTGCACAAGAACCCGGTGGGAGAGAGCAACGCACTATCTTGTCTCAAATCCTCTCAATCTACTAAGAGCCTTGCTAATGCCCAACCCACTCTTCGTCTTAAGCAATCAGGTGATCAAACGTTCGAGCCTATATTTACCCCCTGATAACATGTGCTGTTCTTGCCTCAGTGCGTATGGGCACTAGAGGCTGTATCCAAAAGCGCAAAATTGTCGCCAGTAGCAATAGCCACTGCCATCCTCAGCTAGAGCCCACCCTCTAGCTCTGCATCCAGAATCCCTCCGCTTCTCAGCATAAGGTCCTGTTCTCAATCCAGGGCCGGCGCGAGAGTAGTCAGTATCAGTAGCCCCATGTCCTTGGCAAGCTTTACTTTAGGAGGTAATCAACAAGTAAGAGCGAACAAGCCCGTAATCTGCTACAAAGAAAGGACAAAGGATGGGATAGGCAGCCGTAATGCCAGCCTCTTTTCCCGTTCCCCTCTTGTAAGTAAGCCTATTGTTGCAATAACGGCACAAATGGTGCGAAATTAAGAGACACCTGAGAACCAGACACCCAGCTAAGGAAAGCCAGATCTGAGGTCGCCGGGTAGCAGACAGAGTCGGGAGTCAAGTTGAGTGTCAGGACTCAGAATTCGCTAGCCAAATAGCAGCGGTCGCCGCCCAGTCTTCTCGTCTCGGTGATAGACAGAAGTAGACCGCAGGGCTACTCGATTCCACTCGTTTTGACTGCATAAAAGCTATATTGGTACCATCTCTGCATAAATCATCCGCGTCGTTGAAAAAACTTATTTACCAGCATCCTTGCTTGAATCTTCAAGTCCTGGTTGAGATGGTTTGTAAGACCCAGTCGCAGGGTCAGAGGTATAAACACACCGAGGCTGCAAAACAAAGCGCGGAAGACAAGATAACGCGGAAACAATCAGGCGTAGTATACTCAATCGGCGCAGAGAACCCTTTAAGATGCGAGATATGTGAGATATCATGTCATGACCCAATATTATTGAAAGCTCTTCTTGCCGACTAAGTTGGTCAAGTTATTGCCTTCCGGGGTGTCATTAATGACAGCTATATGGTGATAAACCTACATGCATGTCAAGTAGGAGCCGAGAATAACTAACTAGGTTATCCTGGGAGGTGTCCCTGCTTTACAGGAAGGCATATCTGGCTACAAGACACAACCTCTATTGTGCGTGTAGAGTTCTTCAACGGGGAGGAGCGATATCAGGTTCAAGAGTTTATCCACTGCTCAGGTTAGACCGGCCGCGTTCGGTGATGAGAATGAGCACCCCAATGCCGTTAAGTTGCCATAAACAACTTGTCACAGCTTGGGCCCGCTGAACTCTATTACTAGCGGGCCTGGTAACCGAAGGTCGAGAACAGTTTCGTCGGTCAATATAATCTACGAAGCGCACAGCCAACAAATGATAGTTCCGCTCCCTCACACTGAGCGACATATCAAGTTGAAGCAAACAGCCACATCTATTCGCAAAGACTATATACCCTAAACCACAAAACACCTCACTTTAATGCTATCAATGCACAAATCAATCACCCCGCAGCATAAGGACTCATCTTCCGCAACCGCTCGCCAAACCGCCACAACAGCAATGGCGCGGGGATGCCCAACGCAATCGATAAGAACGCCAGCAGACTATTCCCCCACCCATACCCCAACGCCTGATACATATAGCTCGCAAACAAGGGAAACCCGAAGCCAGCCAACGACCGCATACACGCCACGGCAGCCAGCGCGCTGGCCGCGAACCGCGTGTACGAGTCCACGATGTACGTCTGCACGCACTGGAAGGTGATGATATTGCCGAGACCATACAGCATCGCGCCGATATTGGGTGCGATCCAGTGGCGGTGCGTCTCGGCCGTCCACCCATAGATAAACAGGCCGGCGGGGACGAACACCGCGCCGACATACAGCAGCGGCACGCGGAACTCGGGGCGGCCGACGCCGCCGTTGCGGGCTTTCAGGCGGCGGTAGATCCGGTCGTTGAGCGGGGCGCATATTTGCGAGCCCAGCCAGAAGCCTAATCCTAGGGAAATGTAGTTCAGGCCGCCGATGCCGGTGGATTCGTTGTAGTAAGCTGGGCTGGTCCAGAGGGTCGGGAAGGTCGCCAGGACGAGGTACATGGTACCGTAGATGTAGGCCAGATATAGGGCGAGGAGCTGGACGATGGGTTGCGTGCCGAGGAGTCGGAAGGGTCGCATCAGGGCGCTGCGCATGACCTCGCCGAGCGCGCGGTTGGCCCGTTCGTGCTCGGTCTGGTAGGTTTCATCTGAGGTTTCCTTGCGCAGGCGTTGGGCGCGCTTGCGGAGGATCACAGGGGCGTAGGTTTCGCGAAGGAAGAATAGACCCGCGAATTGGATCATGGCATCCGCGATGGAGGTCGCGTAGAACACCCAGCGCCATGTGGTGTTCTCCGCGATGAATCCACCCGCGATAGGGCCGACGGCCGGGCCCAGCAACGGAGCTAGACTGTAGATCGCCACACTTTTGCCACGTTCTTCCGGTTTGAAGCAATCCGACAAGACGCCACCACCAATCTGGGAATTCCTTAGCACAATCAGGTAGATGGATAAGAAAATAGAGCACTTACTGCCAAAGGGGCACTACCACCCAGACCCGACAAAAACCGAAAGACGATCATCTGCGCCTTGTTCTTCGAAAAGCCGCAACAGATGTTAAAGACAAGGTAAAACAAATTAGCGAGCTGAAGCACAATGACCCGTCCGTAGATCTCAGACAGAGGGCCAAGGAAAAGCGGGCCAACAGCATATGCCAACACGAACACCGACAGCGTCATGCTGAGGGTCACCTCGTCCGTAATATGGAACTCAGACCCAATGGCCGTCAACGCAGGCGCAACCATCGATGAGGACACAGGCGAGATGAAAGTGAAGCACGAGACCGTTACGACAGCCGCCCACTTCTTCTTCATGGGCCAGTTCTTCGGGTTATCAGGGTCATCGGCGCCCTTCCAGGTAACCTAAAACAAACTCAGCTTCAGGGTCCACACACAGACATTGACACAAGCAGACAGGCGAGCCCATACCAGCTTGGGATCATTCTCAGACCGGGCCGTCCTGGCTTTCTCCAAAGCGGGCGCCGACGGTGGCCCAGCGGCTTCGAGATCGCGATCTCTCTCGTTCACGACCCCCCCGCGCACCTCCACAACGGGCTCCTCGCTTTTCACCTCGTCTCCTTCTGAGTCCGTGTCCGAGTCCAAGGCATGATCACTGTGATACACGGACTGATCATCCAGATGTCTCCCCGAATGCACCCGATCGATCTGCGCGGTGCTGTGCTTGGAGCTCGACCGGCGCAACGAGCCAAGCCTGTAGGGACGCGATGTCGTTTCCGGCTCGGCACTAGACGAGGATAGCGATCTCGACCGCGTGGATCTATTGCTCGACTCGGATGGGGCGGAAGGCTTGGACATTACCACCACATGAGATCACCCACGTGTATGTTTTAGGGCGGGCCAAGAAAGACCACGAAAAGCTTAACCCGGGGGAAGGAAAAGAAAGAGTGGGAAATATGCACCAAGGGTAGGAAAACCACGGGCCGAGACAGGTCGGAGAAAACAGAAAATGGGACAGCCTCTATTATTATATCAGCTCCCAACAACATCCTCGACCAGACAGGATTGATTGTGCGGCCCAATTGGCAGCTACGCAGGAAGCGGTTCCATAGTGAAACGGTGATAAGGGACGGTTTTATGTCCGGTGATGAGTTTTTGCAACCAGCTGTGGACCCTTATTGGTTGTCAAGTGTCGGAATGGCTGTTCTCAGGTAAAAGGTGGAGAACTGTTTTGCAGCCGATGGCGGCTGGGCCCGAGACGATGCTGGCCGAAACAGGCTAGAAACCGGAGTTGATAAGACTTGCATCGGTGCGGTGAGCACTGGCTTCGTTGTCATATGTACGTCGGTATGATCGAAGCGTCGTGGATGGACCAATTGATAAGGGAAGCGAAGGATGAGTCGCAAACGTCGGAGTTAATGGAAGAGAGGGGCGAAGTGGAATGGGTGGAGGAGAAATCGAAGCGTTCTGGATGAATGCGGGTATTCGGAACTCGGCACGCAGTCACGTGGGAAAAGCTCCGTTTATGATACACCGCTGGAGGTACCGCTCTGATTGTCTGGCAGAATGTCCGGACTGACGCTTTCGTCCATTACGTCACCTCTCCGTCTCCGCACTATTCCTACTGAGGTAGTTCCCTTCGTTGACATCTTCACGGTATCTTCTCAAAAGACTTGGTTCATTTCAGTAGCCGGCACCAATGAAGTAGGAAAATACGAGCAATGAGGTTCTTCAAACACTTGGAAATTAAGCCGTACATGGATGGGTTACTGCACAGTTCATGCTTCAATCAAATCACTTACGAGGCACAAATGAATCCTATGTAGATACACCCAAACCCCATCCCAAACTCCCCAAAATGCTCAACCACAACAAGTAAGCAACTCACAAGTCGACCCACACGTGACCTGACAGAACTCCATGTGGCCATCAGCAGCCACATTCGCAGCCCCTTCCTCCTGGGAGATCAGTTCCGGCTGCACGGTTGCAGAGTGAATCCCGTAACTGTGGAAACAGTCATTCATAGTCTTTGCCACTTTGACAAACTCCGATATTCGCAGGTCCGGTACACCAACGTGCACGGAAGCTAGGGACTTTTCCTGGTTCAGGCGCCAGACGTGGAGTTCATGGACGGAGGAGATTTCGGGCAGCTGAATCGGATGAGTTAGAGTGTCTTTTTAGCTTAGAGGAATATGGCCTTAGGATAAAGTACGTACCGATTCAAGGTCATGTTTAACATCGCTCACGTCGATGCCTTTGGGGACACTTTCCAAGAGGATGATGCCGGCGCTGCGCACTTTAGACTACAGTTAGCTTGCTCCAAGTCCAACAGACCCCGACTTGGTGGAAAGGATAGTATACCCAGAGGAATGGATGTTCCTAAGATCATCAGAGCAATAGCCATACTGACGGCCGGGTCGGCATAGTAGCGGGATGCGTAATCGGTAAGCCATATGATCAGCGCCGCGATAATGACGCCAACATTGTTGATTGCATCTCCGAGAACATGAATCAAAACACCCAGCATTCCCAGATCATACCCCTTCTTCGGGGTCTGGAGGTTGTTGTGTCGGTGCCCGGTGTGGTAGGCATATACCTGGCATGAATCTCAGCGCACTTATGCTTGAAGACAACGAGCACAGCTATTCACCTCATGGACACCACCCTCCGGGTTCTCATCGCTATGTGTATGTCCGGAGATGTTATCGTGGGAATGATCGTGCTCTAGTGAGGCTCGTTGATTAGCGAACCGATCGAAGAGTTCTCGACAGCACAAACCATGAAGAAAGGTTGCGCTCAGAATATTCAGTGCAAGGCCGATGCACCCGATGATTAGAATAAGTTTGGGATTCTCCACCACTACTCTTTCGTCAGCCGGTGGTACAATCATGAAGATGTCATGGTATACCCTGGGGCGAAATAAACCGCTCAATCGACTGCAAAAAGATACTGACACCGAGTGCGAGGAGAAACACGCCGTTAAAGAAGGCTCCAAGGAGGCGCGCCCGCTGCCACCCGAAGGACAAATCCTTGGGGGATTCCTTCTTAGACGAAATCTAGAACTCAATCATCAGCAATCTGCTCCGGAACAGAATCAACGAATACTCGTACCTTGACAGCCGCAAAAGCCACGATGAACCCGATGAGATCGTTGAGCTGGACATATCAGCTTGGCGCACAACTCATTGTTCAGATTGTACCACCAACATAGTGGAACGCATCCGCGACGAGCGCGAGGGATCTCGTGTAGAACCCAACTAGTGGTGACGCGTTAGTATGCAGACTTGGCTAAAAGCTTGTTGAGAGTACCCGAAATCTCGACCACAAAGAAGCATAGTGAGATGCAGATTACCAGCGTGAGACGCTGGAGCTGTGTCAAGTGCAGGGCCATGTTTTAGATTGCTTTTGCTCTGGATGATGCAGATGGGAAAAAGTACTGGCGATGTTGGGCCAAGACGGAAATGACCTCGTCTCAACAAGCAAATAGCCCTTTGTTGGCACGATCCGGCGAAACCGGAACGGACCATATTTTGGCGCAGGCTGTGCAAATATGATCGTATCACTAAGCAAGTCAAACTTTAATTTCATGGACAGAATGCAATATACGGGAGAGCCGTGATAGTGGTGATGGATTGTATCGTCAAGACACTTGTTCCGAAATACTACAAAATATGTCATGTTCCGAAACAGGGCAGCGACGGGAGTTGATTCGGTGTACATACAGCACATATGGAGTGATAAGCTCTAATATTTCCATACCGTCCCAGCTCGCTTGCAATTTAATTCCCGGAACGAAAGAGCGAAGAAAAAGACAGATCTGACTGGTTTGTGAGTTTCCCATTGCCCAACTCCAACGCTAACAGCAACAGCAACAGCAAGAATAGCAATGTCACTATCAACTAAAATGGACCCAGAAGATCCGAAAGCATGTTTTCCACATGCAATTCATCGCGATAGCCCTCAAATACAATGTCAACAACATCAACAAGCCAATGCATCACATGCCGGACGGTGTAATGCATTTTCGAATACTCCCAATACTCCGGAAACCACCCTGCATTTTCCCAATCGACTATACCAGTTATCCGGCCCCCTTCTGCAAGAATGTTTCTTGGGTTCAAATCACCATGAGTAAAAACGATATCGTGACGGATATTGTGCGATTTTGCAGCATCCGCCCGAACCTTTTCCCCAGAGGGCTCGGTCAAGTATCGGTTGAAATCAGCTTCACTCTCGAATCGTAGTTCCCCACGCTGACTGTCTGGGATTCGCCAATCCAGAAAGCCTCCGCCTTGGGAATTGCATATTTGATATTCTGTCGCGGGGCGAGGAATCCTCCGCAGCTCAGCAATAAATGTCTTCAAATCATCTACAGCTTGCTTAATCTGTTCGTCGGTCATGGTATTGAGAAAATGGCCGATCGGGCGCCCCGGGACCCGCGTCATGAGCAAATAAGAGGATCGAGGGGTTTCCAGGACATCAATCGCCCTTGGTGCAGGGATACTTGTTGATTGCTCTACCATGTTGAGAGTGTGGACTTCAGCATGATATTTTGATCCCAGGCTCGTCGGTCCCCGGCGCAAATACAAGCTAAATGGTAGCCTGAAGACAGTCATCGAGAGTGCTGGTTCATATATTCGAGAGCCGATGCAGATTAGAGTGTCGTAGATGCATGACCTAACGGAAGGAGGTATGACTGGCCAGAAGCGTCGGAAAAGCGAGAACGGGGATATCAGGGAAGGCAAAAAGAAGTTATGCCAGAGCTCGCTCTCATGCCTTGGAGCATTGTATTCATGCGAGGTATTCATACGCATTTTCGTCTCTATCCACGCTAAGGACTTCGAGAAATAGGCGTGAACATGGATAAGGTCTTCGCTAACAATAGGTGCCAATTGCGGGGTTCCGCTCTCGAGGTGTACTTCGTCCCCCATTAGCCATGTGTGTTGTTCGGGTTGAAAGTCGTTGGTTTCGATGTCGTACCGAAGTAGGTCAACATCGATGCTAGCATGGCTGGTGAATGATTACTTACGGTTTGTTGCTGCTTTTTGTCAGGAGAATTGCTCCAGCTTTGGGACGTAAGAAAGACGTCTCCTGTCTTCAAGGCATGGAAGGCTTGCTTCGACAACAAGCAGATATTATCAAGCTTCTCAGGCTGCTCGCCTTGGGCTTTTCTTATGGCCTCCATCAGTTCTTCGGATAGAAAGCTGCTCAGCATCTCATAAAGAGCAGTCTGATACATGCATCAGCTAGGTCGATATGTTAGTGGTATCTCAACATACTTCTTCTGAAAGATCTGGGTCGGACAAGACGTAAGGCGAGATTATGTGAACGAATACTAGATCACGATCCAAGGGCGACTTGAACAGAGTACGTGTAAGACAGCAGCGACCGGCATCCCTTTCAAAAACAAGCGTCTTGGCTTCACTTGACAGTGAGGTCGCCAACGTCGGCCGCACTAGGTTTCACATTAGAGCTCCACTGGTTTGTTTGGTACTCATAACATCATCCACAAGCACGCACATTTGTCAACAAGGAATTCCCACTCAGATTAGAACTGCGACTTTGTTTTCCAGTGCCGGGTATCGACGCCATCCTCCATGGAGGTCATATGAAGGAAGTATTTCGCTGCTTTTTTCGGGGTTGGAAGCATCATTGACAAACCCGCCTAGTAGAGACCGATCTGGGTGGGGCACGTCCGCTAATGCAAGCAAGGCTTGGTATTGGGATGATCTCTTCTCTCGAAACAAGATCTGGGAAGCTGACCCGCGAATATTCCACGGAATAGCCATAGCAACGAGGGGCAACGATAATGACAGTGAGTTTCTAGTTGTAGGGAGAAGAAGAGTTACTGTTGTGTAATGGGTTATTCTTTCAGCGGCCCGGGGTTGATGCTGGCCCGTGCGCCCCGGGCTAACTATTCGGGCCTAGTTCTTTCGGGGGAAAGAACCCACCGCGAAGTTGATCGGTCAAGCCTAGCTGATCATCACTATCAAGTATAATCATAAGCTAGTATGAAGCACAGCGCTTGTACCTTGTGTGATGATTGACCTCAGCCTGTGGGCGACTATGGGCTGCATATAGCTTCCATTAGAGCTGATGTTGGAGAATAGGTTGCGCTGTGTAGGAATTTCCAGCCCAGGATCTATATCATTCGCATGAAATAGCCAGGTCTAAACCAGACAACAGCACTCAGTTGCTTTATTCTCAGCATCTTGTTTCTCGCGACTATCTAAATTTTCTTCCTGATTAGCAAACTCACACACTTCCTGTTCATCCTTATCCAGGGTTCATTTCCGCAAAGCTAGTGTGTTCACCAGGTGGCAGCCAGCTGTTTTATTTTCAGAGCACATTTCATCACAACAACTAGTTGATTGATGGCCAACCCATGATCTTCGTAGTGCCACTCATCAGTCATGACAAGAAGTCTACTCGCGCGGAAAAGAATGCAATCTACAATCACAACCAGATTGTGCCCGCGAAGTCCTAGTAGATTAAGCGGCTTGGGGCCAGAACAGATTCTGCTGTTATTAACTATTGACGATTCCCCCCTCTTGCAAATACTTGACTCTGAATAGGATATCATGGTGAATACACGACCTGCAGGGGTAATGTAGGGGTAAAGAGTTGTCTTCCCAGCCTGTTCACTTTACCTCCATGGCTATTCATCTCACCTCCAAGCCACTCCATCCATTTCACCTCCATGACTTTTATCTCTCCTCCTTGAGGCTTCTTGAGTTCCAATCCCCTCTCTCAATCCTCCTAAATTCCAATTCATCCTTCGCAATCCTGAACGTCAGCCAGTTAGCCAATAGCACAGTTAACTTCCTTCCAAGCTCTCTCAGGCCGTCGAGGTGTTCATCCCGATCGATAACCCTTTGAGCTTCAAATCTTCGGCGGATCTGATAGCGTCAACCGCCGTTCAACAGACGACCATATCTCCCGGCGTTGAATCCAAACCGCCGCGTCTGATCATACACACAATCAAGACACTGCCCACCGAGAAGGTGTTCAACCACAGAGAGTCCAGCGGAATACTGGCCGCCGGCCTTTTCATTCCTAACCATTTGCTCTACAAGCTTGAGACCAGCCCCGTCTATCAATCCAGTCCTTTCATCCCCATCCTTCGAGCCCAATCAAACGGCCACACCGTTTTTAAACCCCCCCCCCCCCCTCTGCAGAACCGGCAACGGCCGAACCCTTCTGAAAATGACAAGCCAATCCCGCGAATACATCGCAAAGCAGTACGAGAACTACTCCATCTACGTGATGCTCGGCAGCCGCGGGGCCGAGCCCGGTTACCAGTGGGGGATCATCATCCCTACCGCCACGCCCACAGGGCAGGTGTGGCATGCGACCAACCGCGAAGGCAGCTGGAAGCTGGAGCAGAAGCCCTTCCGACAGCATTCCGTTTTCGATGAGCCTGGTGATGGCCTACAAAGTCGGCTCGATCGACTCGAGCGCCCTGGACTCCACCAGGAAGATCTTGGACACGGTGGCTGCCGACGGCCAGCCCTCACCCAACACCGGGGAGGAGTTCACCTGTCGCGTTTGGGTTAAGGATGCCGTCGTCGCGGTGCAGAAGAACGGTATCGTCACCACCCGGTGCGCCGGTTGCCACCCTTGAAACTATACTGGTGAAACGTGCCAACACTCACAAGCTGACTGTGGAACAGGGGAAGCGTGGTGCTTAGGTATGTTCGGTGCGCGACTCTGGGACAGTATGTATGCACACTACATACTGTACGCCAAGCGGGTAAGGCAGTCTGTGGTCGGAATAGTGGAGCCAGGTGTGGGGGACGGATGGCAAAGCAAATGGTTTTACAACCCAGCTTATCTCCAGGGCCAGGTCTAGAATCATGTACAGTACACTAACTACTCACGTCGTTGCTCAGTTCTCCGAGCCTCAATGCGGTGGGCCCTGGTCGCTCGTGGGAGCTTTTTACGTGACTCGGGAAGGAATAATAGATGTGTCAAGAAGCAAGAAACAGTAGGTGTAAGCCAGACACTTGTAAGCAAGACAATATGCCAGTGGCCGTAGAACAAATTCGCAGAAATGGACATCCCTATGGTGTACTTTAGTGTTTTGTTTTATACTGGACTGCTCTACCCGCTTTCTCTGCCGCAGTATATGCCGTACTCTCGATTTGCATCAGTAATCATCGTCCAAATGACCAGCACACTGATCCGAAATGCTCAATGTCTAAAGTGGACAATTCGGGCCGAAAGCTGCCTTCGAGAAATACCGCTCGGCCGTTGAGGTTCAAATAGAGTTGAGAACAGTCGACCAGATACCATGCTTAGAAGGGGGTCTCGAATCACAGGGCTGGGCGATCGAAGTGGGTTGCATTGGCTGTCCCCAAGGTCCTCCTCACCCGTCCGACGAACAGATTACATTTATTCGGATATCCTGCGGGTGGTGAAATACTTATCTCTCTGCGCACTTCAACCCCCCAAAAGATCCCTACTGTGGTTCCATCAATAGATGACTCAAATGAATTGTCATTAAATGTCGACTGCCCAAAGGACAAGTGCGTGATTAAAACCATTAGTACATAAGCGTAAACCCATGGGTATTCATCCGTCCGATTCCTAAAAGAGCAACTGCGCCCCCCATCTCCATTATAATCACCTCCGACACTTCTAGTCCCCCCCCCTAAACCTCCTGGTGGATCACCTCGGCATCAGCCTTCTCGGCAACAGTCTTATCGGTGATGCCCATCTCAGAGGCATAAGTGCCGTGCGGCTTCCATCCCGCAGAGGTACGAGGAGTGGTCTCCTCCATCATCTTGTCGACCTGTTCCAGGGTGAGACCCTTGGTCTCGGGAATCAGGAAGTAGGTGTAGACAAAGGCGCAGGCACACAGAGAGCCCCAGATGAAGAACACCTTGGCGCCCAGGTGACCTTTGTCCTTGTCGACCATGTAGGGAGTGATGACAGCGATGATCTAGGCACGGGTTAGTGTAAAGGACGAAAGACATAGTCGGACCAAAAACTTACGCAGTTCCAGAGCCAGTTGGAGGCGGTCGAGAGAGCCACACCGCGCGACCGAATCGGCAGAGGGAAGATCTCACCGATCACGACCCAGGCACCAGGGCCCCAGGTGGAGGCAAAGAAGAAGATGTAGATACAGATGAACGAGATCATCGCGCTGACGGCGGACTTGTTCTCACCATCGGTGACACCGATAATGGCGACAATGAACTGACAGATGACCATGCCCAGAGCACCCCACAGAAGGAGCGGGCGACGGCCGATCCGTTCAATGGTGTAGAAGGCAATAGGGGTCGAGCAGACGTTAACAATCGTGGTGATCATGCTGATGAGGAAGGGGTTGCTGATGGTTCCGAGCTAGTGTCACCGTTAGAAAGGTTCATGTCAAGGGAAACAGCCGACTTACCGACTGGAAGAAAGTGGTTCCAAAGTAGAAAACGAAGTTGACACCAGTCCACCTAAGCAGGTCAGTATATAACACTCAAGTCATACATATGGAAGGTGAGGGCATACTGTTGCATCATTTGCAGGGAAGTGCCCAGAATAGTCCGGCGAAGGTTGCTGTTGGCGGTCCATAGGCTGCCACGGAAGCAGTTGAGCCAGCTGGTGAAGTAGCCACCCTGGGGGATGACCTGCAATTCATACTCGTGATTGGCCACAATCTCAGCCAGCTCCTCCCGGATGTAGTCAGAATCCTGAGGCTGACCACGGACACGACCCAGGACCTCGGCAGCCTTGTGAAGGTTGCCCTTCTTGACAAAGTAACGAGGCGACTCGGGCAGGAACAGCAGTCCAACACCCAGGATCAAAGCCCAGGCGATCTGGATGCTGATAGGAATGCGGTAGGAGCCCGAGTCGTTGCGGTTCTCGGTCGCGTAGTCGACACAGGAGGCCAGCATGAGACCAATCGTGACACAGAACTGGTATCCCGACACGATGGCACCACGAACCTTGCGGGGCGCGATCTCGGACATGTACAAAATGATGATGGCGGACACGAAACCGACACCGAAACCAGCAATCAGACGACCAACGACCAACAGGGCGACGGTGGTGGAAGCCACCTGCAAGACAACACCAACGATGAAGATCGCACAGCCACTGATGATAGTGAAGCGACGACCCAACCAGTCGGACAGGTCACCAGCGATGAGAGCACCAAAGAAGGTTCCAGCAGAGAGAATCGAAGTGATCAGGGACTTCTTCCAGGAGGGGAGAACGAAGCTATCGGCGGGGGTGGTGGCAGGGTCCTATGGCCGTTGGGATTAGTGCCTGGGCATGACAGGGCAGGAAGCCAGTATAGAGGGGGCAATACTCACCAGGTCCTCGAATTGTTGGATGAAGTATTTCATACCCATGACACCACTGATATAACCGGAGTCATAACCGAAGAAGACACCACCAAAGGCAGCGAAAGCACACATCATGTAGGCCTTGAGGGTGACCGGGGCCTCAACCCGCAGGCCGTTGACCGTGCCGTCAGCCATGATGACTGTTGACCGTGTGATGCTCGATGTGAACTAGAAGTCTTGACTGACACAGAGCCACAGAGGGAAAGAAGAAGTATCGATGCAAAACACACACGAGATGAATAAGTGTGAAGATCGATGAAGAAGGAGGAGAGAGTTGCAGTGAGAAGGTGCAGTCGAAACCGGGGGGGGTGCAGGCGACTTTATAATTCTTGTCGGGTCAGCGAGAGAGAAGAGGGGAAGAACAACAGAGTACGAATGGAAGGGGAAGTTTGCAATCGGGCCAGACCCGGACCCGGGGGGAAATTTTTGCCCACGGGGATTTCTCCAACCGTCGGGATCGTGACTGTCCCATTCATGATTTACTGGCCCTTTTGCCTTCGTCTTGCCCCGATTAGGCATGGACTGTTCTCGGTCAACGCCGCCAGCTCCAGCTATTTGCCATCGTCCCGAGGACTGGCCGAGACGACACGAGGAGATTGTCTAGTTCAAGGGCTGTCATGCTCTTTCGTAGACAAGTCCGAGTCAGTCAAGTTTGGAGCCGAGGATGTCCAACCCTGGCCGAGTCTGATGGTCTGGTGTCTCAGGATCCACTTCTTACCGTCCCCATACCTTGGAAAGATGGATAGATGCAGTAGTCATACCAGTAGTATCCAGCCGCAGATGGTACGACGGTGAGCATGGCATAGACTGGTGTGGCTGACCTCCTTCCAGGTCCGATTTGTTTTAGTCGGGTCAGCCCAACCAGAACGAGAGACACACACACACACGCACACACACTACCTACAGTAGACTGCAGGGTGTGTTCACTAGTAGGGTAGTATGTTGGTCCGGGGTAAGATCCCAATTGAGTCAATCCACCCTGAGCTAGCAGTTTGCAGCAATCAACCATGTGGTGCCTCGGGTTGCCCTCTCTTTTTCTCCAGGGTTTTCCAGGGATTCCAGCCAACGACAGGCTCGGTTCTTAACCGGAGAGCCACTCGGGCAGGCGTTCCTCGCTTGAAGAACCACGGCAGTGATTGGGTGGAGAGGACCGGGGTCGGAAATTTTACCCTACCACGTGTGCCGTCTGGGAAAGGGACGATTGCCATTGGTGGCGGAGGTGATATGTTAAGGTTAGGTCTGGTCGGGGCTAACCTACTTTGAGCTCCAGCCCGGTCTCTCCAGGCTCTCTCTCCACTGTCTCCAGGCTCTCCAGAGTCTCCAGGGTCTCCAGTTTCAATCACGAGCACCCCCGGACGGGTAAGTAAGCGAGAAATTAGTCCCGCAATCTCACCACCACCACCTTCCTCTGCAACCTTGCTCCACTTCTTGAGTTTGACGTCTGACTGCTGACTTGATGGCTTCTTTGTTTTGATCGATTCGGATCTGACCGAAAGGGCTCAGATCTTTCTTTTCGATGCACGGGGATAGGTAGAGAGTTCTTGCCACTGAGGGGTTCAGGTTGTATTGACCCAAATGTCCAACATCCTCAGTGTGTGAGAGAGAAAGAGAGAAACAGAAGGGGGGCGTGACATGCCAAGCGGCTTGGCAGTCACACAGGTTGCACCCGCAGCAAAATTTAGCCCATCTAGCTTTGGGGAGTTTTCTCCTTGGCGCCATTCCAACCCCGGCAAAAAGAAAACCCCAGGATTGTTCGATGCGGGGAGACAAGCCCTCCCAGAGACTGTAGTCTAGCCGGAGTTGATTCCCGTGGTTCTGCGATGCCATGGGTCGTTGTCGGCACCGGTGAGTCTTTTGCGTTAGCAGGTCATGGACCTCGAACTTGAACATTGGATGGAGTAGATACAGTAAGTAAGCACCCAGAGCTCACCTCGGGCAAGAATATCCATCCAAACCAATCTTCTGGTGTCATTCGCACTAGCCTACCAGTAGGATACGAACCACCCGACGAGGAAGAGCGCTCATTGGCCGTATTGCCGGCCGCCTCGTGTCTTGGCTGGGTTGCCTGCAGTGGGCGAGAGAGCGTGGCACACGCTTCTTTCCGCCCCCAGACTTGTCCTACTGCCCTGCGTTTTGCCTAGTAGTGGTTTCTGTGTGTTTCGGAGTCGGGCTCGTTCCCGGAATTTTCTGCCTTCCCTGCCAAATGGTCTGATGCTGTGCCTCCCATTGCCACTACGTGGCACCCACTTAACCTACCTAGACGGCACAAATCCCAACGGTACGGAGTACTCTCTCTTGGCATCTCTTGCACGGTAAGTCGGTCGGCTTCTCGCGTCGACTCACGCCGCAAATACGGAACCGAAGACATGAAAAGCACTGGGTTGTCATGCATACAATTCCACACTAGTCTGGGCATTGGGTGGTGGCCACTGCATCCATCCCCAGTCCCCAGTTACTACCTACCTCCTACCATCCATGGCCCCATCTGACCCAACCGACCCTTTAGCAAACTCAACAACCCAATCAATCCCTGCACCGATCATTCCACCATCTTATCCCTAAACGCACGGGCGGTCGCGGTAGTACGGTGACTGGTTGGTCACCGCACTGCACGGGCACTGTGACTACTTACCTGGGTATCGAGGGGAGACTATCCCCAGAATGTCAACCGCTCAACCGCCGGGCCGTCCGAGGTCCGAGCCACTTTCGCATGCTAGGCTGGTTGGGCTTCCGTCTCCTGAGACTAGAGGTGTAAGGTGCGGTGTGCGGAGAGCCGGGGTTGGGCATGATTTGGCGGAGCTAGACGAAGGAGAATGACCTGCATGTCTACCGTAGTGTAGTGGGGGAGAAAGACTTGACTTGACTTGACTATCCCCGCAAATAGCTACCTGAGTACCCCGTGATGTGTGCACTTGAGTGTGGATATCCATCCAGAACTCGAAACCGGCCCCTCACAAACCCACACATACTTAATCACGCACACTAGAGCAGCAACTAGTAACCCAACCTTCAACCTCAAGAAACATAAATGTCTCAACAAAAACACAACAAAAGCGCAACCTACAAATATAATCCCCCCTGTCCCCGGTGCGCTCCAAGGCAATCAAAGCACATGATCCCAAAACGACCTGCATCAACCCGCCATGGCAGTTCCACAAGCTAGGTAGGGCTCTCCCTTCCCCCATGGCCCCCTGCAAATATGTCAGACCTCTACAACCCCGCGAAGCTAGACTTCGATTTATCCTGGGGTCTACCGTTGGCTTGACTTGCTGGATTAACAGTTGGGGTTGGCTTCCTTGACGGTATGCACTAGTGGTTTGTACAGTATTCTTAGCCATATTATCTACGGCAATGGGTGGATGCTAGATGTCTTCGACGGTTGTACTTGGGGTCGGGAGTTATTATGGGAATATCATGGCAAGAGCTTGACTGAGATGCGCACACATTTGCATGCAGGTCTGGGTCTCTTTGTGTGCTGGGTGGGGGAGTCATCTTATACTTGGACTTTGGGGAAGGGAAGGTGGGTCTCTTATCGGAACTATCACTTTAGTCGTCGCACTGAGTTCGAATGTTCTATTGTCGATTGACTACGTGATATAGTGAGAGATGGTATCAGGCTTTGTGCACTGCTCTATAATGTTGGCGCGCATGGGTATTAATGTGCCAGTGGCCTCGTTCCAGCCTAAAGGGTCACAATATATAGATATATACATCTCGCTCAAAACGTACCCACACCGTGCAACCACTACTCCCCAGGGAGAACGCCCGCCTGCACTAAAAACGGCGCGATCGGCCATCCAGCCATAGGCTGCGTGAGATCATGCAGATACAGCTCTACCTCCTCGTCATGGCGGAGCTCCGACCGCCCCGTGAGCTCCGTCAACCGTTCCGCCAGCCTATCCTGGACGAGCTGCTCGTCCAGCGGGTTTCCCGGGGCGGCATCGGTCCGCGTCAGCTCGGCCCGAACCCGAGCGCGTAGCTCGCCCTCCAGCATCTTCTCGGCCAGATGGGCGTGGAATGCCGAGCTGTAAGGCCCCTCGCAGTGCGGCCAGGCGTGGAGAGCCATGATGGCGCGCCACCGGTCATGGAAATCGGGCGAGACCAAGGCCACTATGAATAGAGGCGAGATGATGCCCGTGTCGAACATGATCGTCGGGCGTTCGGGCGGCAGTTTCGCGATGATTGCTTCGGAGGTGGTGAGGATCTGTTGGCTGTCGGCGGCTAAAGCCGCGACGTAGGCGGGTCCGGGTGTTACGACGGTGGTGCGCAGACCCAACGAGATCCAGTGGAGGTTGACGTTGAGGATCTCGGCCCCGATTTGATCTCGCGGTGTAAGAGAGGCGTATTGTCGGGTATGAAACTCGCGCAGGGACCTTTGCGCCTGCTCCATCAGCGCGAGCAGCGCCAACTGCTCGCGATGTATGGACGCATAACGAGCGGCGTTATGGTCCTTGGCGGGTGACCAACCCCGTTTGATGAATTCAAGCGCCAGCGTCGCGAGAGGATCGAGTGCCCGACGCCCTTCGGCAACGCTTCGGATAGTTTGCCATTGCGCTGCAGTCGACTCCAACCGGGCCTCTTCCCGGATCTCAAGCAACGGTGCCTCGCAGCCAAACTGAGTCGAGTGAATGTCGAGATGTCGCAAGGCGGTAACGATGTGCCAATCGACCGGCGATCCCTGTCGGTCCCGAAACACCGGCTTGCCCTGGCGATGGAGCTCATTCAGAATGCGCAGACCAGACTGTAGATGAGTGAAAGCTTGGTCAAACCGCCTCCATACCAGATCCAACATGACGAATAGGACACAACAAAGCAGTACCACCTGCGGTACCATCGGATCTCGGGGATTCCGTCGCCGGAGCAAGGCAAATGAGCGCGCAGCCTGGTCGGAAGCGAACAGGTTCCAGGGGCTCTGCTGCTTTGCCGGGCGCAACCCCATGCCAGTGGCCTGGGACTCCTGATGCGCAGCGGCCAGCGCCATCGCAGCGTGGCAGACCGCCGGATCCAGCCGCGCCATCTGCAGAACTAATTGGTGCCATAACGGAGAGTCAAACGCCCCGAGAATATCAGGGATCGTGCGACTCTGAAAGAATTCGAAACATCGCCGCTCATCTGCGGTGGTGAGATAGGGGTTCTTGGTGGTGACTATTGGCGGTAGGTGGAAAGCTATAGCTTGGCGCCGTTGGGAAGTGGTCGAGCGAGGCAATGGAGCTGGATCATAGCCCTCGCACGATCTCCCGGTCGTGGTGCAATTGCGACATTGGCCGGGGTTTTCGTCGCATTTGACGCGACGGGCGCTGTTGGCCTAGATTAGCCCGATGCAGGGGTACTAGTGATCCATGTCCATGTCTGACGCTTGGGGCTTACCGGCAGGTTCGACAGCCTGTGCGCGACCGTGAGCCCCAGGGCGCTCGTTGGTTCTTGGAGGTGAATATGTCGTTCGTCTCACTTCTTCTGGTGAGATACATTGCTTTTGAGTTCGGAGAGAGAGGATAAAAAGAGGAGACGAAGGATCACGACGGAACGGACCGTTGAGCAAAAATCGATGGATGGAAACTCGGGATCAGTGTGTTGTTGCCTTGTTACTTGAGCTTGGTTCTGGAAGGGATGTGAGACCATCTCTGCACCATCGCGTGTAGTCGCCGATAGTTTGGTGTGTCGGGCGTCTTCTTCACTTGCAGACAACGCGGGAAGGACAGACTGGGTGGATCCTGCACGGATGGATTGTGGAGAAAGCTGACCACTCGGATTCGAATTCCAACATCAGACGCGGCAAGTTATTTGTCAAGCGACCGACGTCTTAGCAATTCCATCGCCTTTTCAAGCCTCTCTTATCTTCTCTTCCTGCCTGTTGCCTCGCATCGAGAAAGGAGTGTCGGAGCGAAGAAGGAAGCAGAAGCAGAAAGAGGTGTGAGCGGAAGGTAGTGCTGACTAATGTCGCTATAAGGACCTTTCATGGGCCTACTGAAAAAGTAATGTAAGGACCCCGTGAGGGGTATCAAGTCTCAATCCTTCCCTTGGGGTATGTAAACGAACTCCCTTTAAAACAATCGGTAGTATACAGATCCTGGAACCCTTACTATCCGTCCCCAAGCATAAGCTAACCCACAAACGCCATACCAGTACAACCGTTCCATTAACGCTCGCAAATCTTATATAAGCAAGTTCCCTCAGCCACTCAGCCATGACGCGAAGTCGTCCCAGGCTGAGATCAATCATTATCATCATTCAGCAAGACCTTCAGCTTCTCCAACTTGTCCTCGCACTTCACCTCAAGCCCCATGACCACGTCCATACTGTCCTTTTTAGTGATGAGCAGACGACACACCAACCAGAAGTTGTAGCCGTTCTTGTAGAACCCCATCGATGCCCATTCATGATTCGATACGGTACTTTGCAGCGTCTGCCAATGTTCGCGCCACCGGGCTAGTGCGATGCGGATGGAGCCTGGCACCGAGTCTTCCTGCATGCTTTGTGGCTGGGGTTTGCCCGGTGATACAGGGTCCGGAGGCTGGCTGGCTGAGGCTTGGAATTGGATTGGGGGCTGTGTGTTTCGCGTGAGTGAGGCAAGCGTCATATAAGTGTTTATGAAGGCGTAAAGAACTAGATGATCAGTTTGGTTGGTAGTTGGTGGCGAGCGTAGTGGTAGGTACGTACGGTGGATGAGGATAAACATGTCAAGAATGCTCATATTAGGGAGAATACTGCTAGGATTAGTCGTGGAATCGGGAGATAGCGGAAGTGATGTGGTTGGAAGATTCGGGCCGTCGAATAGAGATTGGAAAGCTTCTTTAATGGTGAATCCCCGGGAGTATTGGAATCCGATGTCTGTGTATGGATGTTCTAGGTTGAAAAGCGACTCTGAGCAGGGAAAGTCACAGTCCATTTCCACATGCGACAGACGGCATGGGTAATTCTGAAAGAAACAAAAAGCACAGTCGAGCAGAGAGATGATGGAAATAGTCCTGTGACTGTCAGCCTTTCGATGCGTTGGAATCATCTCAATGAAACAAATACCGGATGCGACACTCCGTCTGAATCCATTGCTGCTCGGGCGTAATGTCAGGGCGCTGGTGGCGGCACTTGGTCAGATTCATTCGGCGAGCAACCTTCTCGGTCAGTTAGTCATAATCCTTCACACGTGCCAACCAGACAAGTACCTTTATTATTTCACTGAATCGATTTTCCATGGCCCGGTTATGCGACATGCGAGTGCCAGACCAGTATTGCACAATGCAAATGATGAATCCCGCTTGGAAGTTCAAGAAATGAACCCACTGGTCCCCTTCGTGAGGAAGATCAGGTCGTGTTTTGGGGAACATAGAGGCGATATCACTTTCGGCGGAGAAAACATCGGTCGAAAAGATATAAAGCTCCACAAAGTCTAACAGTTGTTTGGCAGCATATGTTTCCTGTTCGTCGTTCGAATACATTGCACCCATGAACACAAGGGCTGCCAACAAAGGTAACGGAATGGTGTCCAATTGCAGCGACGCAAGATGGACCATAGCACAGCTCGGGTGCCAGTATTTGGCATACATCCACACAAATTTTTGGATGCGTGCTGTAGTCAACAGAAAGCTGGCATTGGCGGCCAATCGCTGCTTCACGTTTGTGTCCAAGGGGACGGCCCAGGCTTGCGACACAATTGCTTGCGACAGCGCAGCAGCATAGGGCTGTTCCGGTCCGTACGGCTGCTCGCCGGGCTGTGCCATACTAAATTGAGCTGGCGGCAGGCTCGCACTAAACTCGGACCCGGTACTATATGGCGATGTGCCGATGAGCTTGGGTGGACTCTCGAACGGACCGTTGAAGAAATCGAGGAAGGTATCATGAAAGAAAGTGCGTGTCGCGGAATCGGCTTCGATATAAGCCGGGGCGATATCCAATTGATCTAGCTCCATCTGGTAGTCCAGCATCGTGGACCTTGCCTCCTTGAGTCCCATCTGCGTGTGGTATTTCAAGCCTCGACTGCGGTCGCTGCAGGGAGGGAGTCGAAATTCTTCTGTAAAACTGTCGGAGCCGCCATTCAGAAGGAAGTTGATCGATCCACGATCGGAGGTGCCGCTGTAGTCCTCGCGATTTGTCGATTTGGCGCCCGAGGCCAGGTCGAGGCCAGTGGGCTGCTTTTTGCGCTCATTGTTGCACGGTAGATTTCGTTTCTGGCAGGAACCACAGGGACTTTGTCCATCGCACCGCAATTTCATTGATGTGCACTACAAAGAAAGTGACGTATTAGAGACGATGCGCATATGCACTAAAATGCGGATAGTTCATGGAGGAAAAGGAAAGGAAAGGAAAGGAATACGTACCGATTGACAGGCATGTCGCCGTCTGCCCCTCTGTCCGGTTTCCGGGACCTTCTGGTCGCCGCGCTTGTCGCAGTCGGTATAGTGGTCGCGGAGGTTATCGCTACGAGAGAAGGCAAGGCAATCAGCATTAGAAAGGGCGGGGTCGGCAAGCCGGGGGAGAGGGGGAGAGGGGGATTGGATCAGGCACAGCGGCCCTGGGAACAGACGCACCAACGCGCGAAGGACTCAGTACAAAAGATGCATGAGTATGGTTTGACACCGGTGTCTATCCGAGACCCAAAAGTCGTCCAGAATCAGCGAGCGGTGATAAGAGACAGGCCATGCGACGGGCAGTGACCCCGGCCCACGGGGGAACAAGGGGAGTGAAGATTAATTGGACTTACGTCGGAGTTCATGGCGTTTGAGGTGGTCAATGCGCGTGAAACCTCGCTGACAGATGGTACAACAGAAATGCTTGCTTGAAGCGGACGTCATGGTAGGGGCTGGTGCGCATCGGGGAGAAAAGAGAGGGGATTATGAGCTTGTAGAAGCCTAGAAGGGAGGGGGGGAGGGGGTGTGTAGTTGAAATTATGGGGTAAAGGAGGGGGGCAAACGGGCAGATCGGGAGAGGGCGGTGGAAACTCGGAGTTGACGATGTGGAGACTAGCTCCAAAAGTGCACGCAAGAGCCGATCGAAGCAGGAAAGGCACGTCGGGAAGAGTAAAATGGGAGAGAAGGTGACTAGATAGAGGATAATGAAAGGAACCCAGTCATTATGGAATATTAAGAAGGGAGAGGGAGAAGAAGTGAGATGGAAGAAGGGTCTTTAAAGAGAGCAAAAGAAAGAGAAGGAGGGAGAGATGAGAGTGGGGAGAGAGAGAGACAGAGAGAGAAAGGATGGAGAAGAACAGCAGCTGGTGTGGAGGAGGTGGTACTTTCTGTTCGGCTTCCCTCTCCATAGTTGGAGAAAGTCACTGGTTCGCCGGTACACGCTAGACCGCTTTGGTTCCAATCACTCCCTCCCTCACTGAATCCCACAACCACTTCGACGCAATAGGGAAAACCTGACAATAACCTAGACAAGATAATAAGCCTCGACCTTTGACGCAGGGAACCTTATTTCTCCCTCTGCTTCCCTTGCACTTCCAAAGATTCCCCACCCCCTCTTCCTCACCCGAGTGACGTCCCAAGCGCCCAGCCAACCTTGGTAGACAATTCAACTCTACATTGAAAAAGCAGGTCTGCCCGTTGTTGTACCTCTGGCTACTTGCTTGCAAATAACGCCACCAAAGTCTAAACAAGCCTGGAGTTGCCGACACACCGCGTTACTTGAACTCACGGTAACGCTGTACAACATGTCTGAAGCATCCGGTAGGTTGGAGATCTCTGGTTACTTAAAATGTGGACGGATCTTAATTGTGACTGAAAGCTAGCATGTCATCATAGGTTATCAGATTCCCACCAGAAAAAAGACCCAGCAGAGTTGCACGGCTAGAAAATCCAGCCACTCCCAGGGGGGAAACTTGACCCCCCTTTCCCCCCCCCATTGCAAACATCACCCGTCGCACAAACGACTGGAGGGAAATCCATCTGGTCCTCATCAAGGTAGTCGACATTGATAACTTTGTTCTTCTCATTGACGGTCCACCCGTCACCGATCCAGCCATTCGCATTACCGTCAATATAATCATACGTGTAATCCTCCCAACGTGGGTGCGCCAGCACCTTCATCGCATGGAGGGACGATCCTAAACCAGTAAGGGAATGCGCATGAATCATAAAGATGAGAGAATGGACTCACCAGGCCACAGTGCCGTCACTCGTCCGTTGTCTCGCCCTCCTTTATACCAACTGCGGCAACTTGAACTAAATACTGTGCGCGAGAAGTACTGGTCGCAGTGGCGCGTGAATTGCTCCACGGCTTCCTTCCTCACACACATCGAGCGGATATTATCACGTTGCATCTTTTGCAAGCAGCACGTGAAATAATCGATCGACTTTTCAATCAGAAGCAGCAGGTTTCCCTCACCCAAAGCCGCGTTCGGGCCGAGAGAGACAAAGTAATTGGGGAACCCGTCAACAGCCAAGGACAGGTAATTCTCTGGCGTCTTCTCCCACCGGTGAGCCAAAGACAATCCATTGCGCCCAGTGATGGGGAACCGAGGGATGAACGTGGTGTTGAACCCCGTGGCGCATACAAGCACATCGGCCGGATGATGTATACCATCCGCGGTAATGATACCATCCGAATCCACCTGGACAATCTCACTTGAGATGACGTGAACTTTATCATCCGTCAGGGCTTCTAGATAGCCCGGCCCTGGCGTCAGACGGCGGCAGGCAGGAGGAAAGGAAGGAAGAAGGTTCTCAAGCAGCTCAGGTTTGCGCCGTAAACGTCGCTTCATATTCTGCGCAAAGGCACTTTGGGAACTGAGTTGCTCAGGGGTTCCCAGAAGGGTTGTGCCATGGATAGACTGAAGCTCAAGCTCAATTTCTGATGTCGTAAGCAGCTGCCGAGGTAAAAGGTAGTTTGGATTTACCTTTGCGGAACTTCTGGTAGGCGTTGTGGTCCGTCTTGAATGTTGCAATTTCCTCTGCAGAGAACGAAACTATGATTGTCAGACCACACCAAGTAAGCCTCCTTCGAAGCTAGATATCCTTACAGTTTTCAAGCTCAGCGCCACGCTTATCGAGTTCATTCCTGGCCAAGGTGGGTGCAAGCCAAGTGCGACCTCTGATATAATGATCAATATGCGCCACCTTCGGCAGCAAGCCGGGAACGATCTGAATTCCACTCGATCCGTTCCCAATCACCGCCACTCTTTGGTTCTGGTCGAACGTCAGCCACCATTTCTCTCGGCAACATAAACAAAACAAGGTCTAGCTCACGCTATAATCATATGACTCGTCCCAGTTAGCACTGTGCATCAGCTTCCCATTGAAGCTATGGAGACCCGGGATGTTCGGCCACTTCCACTCATTCAAAGCACCCGTAGCCGATATAAGCACATCACATCGATCTTGGTATGTCGATCCGCTAGCAAGGTCCCGGACCTGCAACTTCCATTCACTTGAAGCATCGTCCCACGTTGCTTCGATGACTTGCTGTTTGAGTTTGATGTGCTCCAGACACCCATACTTCTCTGCCACCCGCTTCCAGTATCTGTGTATTTCGGGAGCTGCGGCATAGAAGGTAGACCATTCTTTATTGGGCTCGAAAGAAGCTTGATAAGTATGAGCTGGGATGTCTACAGTCGCAATGAGTTAGCATGTTGAAGGATAATGCTTCTCGATGAAGTGAGGGAAGGACTTGCCACATGCACAACCTGGATATCTATTCTCCAGCCAAGTACCGCCAATATCCGCGTTCTTCTCGTACACGCAAAGACTCAGGTTTCGGATCCGTTGCCGGAGTCTAATCGAAGAGATGATGCCTGAAACGCCGGAGCCGATGACAACCACTCTCAATGGTCGGCATTCATCAACGGCCCGGTCTTGCACAATCCAGTCATCAACCGGAGGTACTCCAGAACTGCGGGAGACAAAACCAAAGATTTGCGACCATCGTTGGATCATGGTGGACATCAAGAGTGTGCGAGGAACGTGCTGCAATGTGATCAGTGGGCTGGAACAAGGATTTATAGGGCCTTTAGCTAGCCGCATAGTTAGTTCACGAGCGGAGCTGCCCTCCCATTTAGGGAAAGAGATGGAGGGTTTGTTCTACTGGTCCTCGGTCATCGATTGTTATTCCAGCCAATGGATCCCCTCTCTCCTCGGGGTTACACGGATGCAATCGAAGAAGCCTGGCGTTACACATTTCGCAAACACACCATCCCTATCCTCACGAAAGCCTGGTAGCGGGACAGCAATGCCATCTACTGGCTCACGGGAATACCCCCCCGTGCTTGGGTCTGGAACAGGACCGACAGCCTATCAAACAGACTAGAATTATGGCACTTATTTATGTTGTTCTGAAAGGGGCCGACAACAACGGTGGCCCGACGGGATTTCCCCGACCCTGCTCTGGGTACGCTGCAGCTTGGGGAGTCACGCCGCCGGACAAGACTCCACACAGGTGGAATTGCTGGCCGATAATTGAGCTTCCCATCCGGATGTGGAGTACGCGAATAAGTCTGCGAGACAAAAAGAAGCTGGTTTTCAATTGGTCATGACAGCGCAATTGGGACCGAGACCCACGACGGTGCTCAGTCTCTTTGAACCAAGTGGGCCTCATTCTGGGTTCAATGACGAGTTAGAATGATCTGTGGAAATTTAGGGCTCCCCGACAAGCTTCGTTGGAAGCCAAGAAGAAATTGACAAGTGATGACAGTAATAGGAGTAAGTCCTCTATCACCCGCGGTCCAGTTCACAATATGTAGGAAATTGTGTTCCCATGAGAACATGTCAACACTGGGACAATCGTCATGATCCAGTCCATATCCAACAAGGGAAACGCTGTGCTGCGTCTGCAATGACGGATCGGCCAGACATTCACTCCACTTCGGAAAATCCCCAGCATAGAGAGGTGGAGACTCGATCAACCGGACTAGAACGCAATGGCCTACAGAATTTGGGGGATTTCCGACAGTATATCCAGCACGGTCGAGACGATCGGCTGCCCAGATCAGAATCCTTCTCTATCCGTAGATTCGTAAATCTGCCCTGTCGCAGAAACAAGCATCGGCTGCATCAAAAGGATGCTAGTCCCGGTCTGGAGGGCAGCTTACCCCATACCGGTTCTTCCCCAACATCTCCAGTTTCCCGCCAGTATTCTCCTTTAGGAAATATGACGGCCACAGGGAGATGGAGGTAGTAGAACTCACATTGACGCAGGTTGGTGTGTTGGGCGTAATGACCCCTGTTAGAGAGAATCGAAATGGAAAGCAGGAGTAGTACTGCAGTTGATCGGTGTGAACATGATGCACCCCCCCTCACCCCCTTGTAGGGGAAATATTCCAGTCCTGATTCGATACCTTACCCTGGTCGTGACGCGTTCCCGATTTGCAGTACTCCATTACCGGTATGTATGCCATACGTGGCATAGTTGTCATTATCCCGCATGGCATTATTTCAAGCTCCGTAAGCAACGAGTAATCGGAATCAACCACAGATCTTAGTACATACTTGCCCTGACAATTGCATCGAAAACGAGATCAGTCAACAGTCCATCGTGGCGGGTTTTGAATTCGGTGGTCTCGTATCTGGGCAATTTCAAAGTGTTCCGATGAGGTCGTGGACCAGACATATAGAAAAGGCGGTCGACGCTGCAGGAATCCAGACATCCAGCCTCAATGGCCTGATAAAGAACGAGATGACTGTTCAGGGCCTTGACATTTCAACGTCGTTAAACAAACGGTGATCGATCCTCCAGGCACAAAAGCCGAGGTAAGCCATGTAAGGACGATCAAGGGGGGATTAGTGAGGGACAAGTAATCCTCAGTCAGCGCCCGAGGCTCCATAACCCGCCAACTCGCATACCCTAAATGCTGCCCAGGCCAATCATCTTCAATTATGTAGGCTGGTCGATGGTGCTGTAATTTCCTTTTTCGGACGCAATGTGGGGCCCCAGAATAGCTTTTTTGTCCGCTCAAGTTCTGGATATAGTGGAGTGTTGATCCAAGTCGGCCTATATATACCCATTGTCAGTTCTCCGTAGAGCTCTTCAAAAGCACTGTTCAAAACCCTGGATCCATACCTAACCCCCACTGCCCTCATGCCCGTCTTCGCCGAATCCGCCGCCTCCACTCGCGAACTCCGCGTTTTACCCTCCTTCGCCCCGCCACTCCCCCGCTTAAGTGTCCCCTTCGCTCACAAAGAGCACCCCGATCGATATGAAGTAGTCATTGTCGGCGCCGGGCCCGCAGGGCTGATGCTCAATCTCCTGCTCGCGCGGTACGGCCTGAGCGACGAGTCCCTTCTCTGCGTGGACGCCAAACCAGGAACCCTGAAATCCGGCCAAGCAGACGGACTGCAGCCCCGCACACTCGAGGTGTTCAAGACCCTGGGACTCGCGGACGAGATCCTGACGGACGGATGCCACATGGAGGAGGTGGCGTTCTGGAACCCGTCGGCCAACCCGGACGAGATCATCGAGCGCACGGCCATCGTGCCCGACGTCGCGGTGCCGGCGCGCTATCGCCACGAGGTCACCATCCACCAGGGCCGGATCGAGCGCATCCTCGAGACGGATCTGCTGCGGTATTCGTCGCGCGGGGTGCAGCGGAGCACGCGGCTCATCGATGTGCGCATCGACGAGGACGCAGACGCAGAGTTCCCTGTGTTCGCGGAGGTGGAGACCAACGGCCAGCGGCGTACAGTGCGGTCGAAGTACCTGGTGGGTGCGGATGGAGCGCACTCGGTCGTGCGCCGGTGTATGGGGTTGCAGCTGGTCGGCGAGTCGTTGGATCATATCTGGGGCGTCGTCGACTTGGTTGTGGATACGGACTTTCCCGATATTCGGAGACGGTGTGCGATTCACTCGCCCGCAGGCTCGGTGATGGTTATCCCGCGCGAGCGCATCGCGACGGGCGATTACCTCACTCGTCTCTATGTGCAGGTTCCTGAGGAAGCGGGCCCGGAGGGCGACGATGATAACGACCGGCAGGTGGACGAGACGACTTCGAAGCAAGATGCGCGGGCTCGCAGGAGTAAGGTCACGTTGGAAGGAATCTTCCAGCACGCAGCCGACGCATTCAAACCATATTACATCAAACCTAAAAAGGGCGGCGCAGTGGACTGGTGGGCAGCGTACCAGATCGGCCAGCGGGTATCTGATCGATTCACAGTCAAAGATTCGAAGGGGACAGAGCGGGTGTTCATCGTAGGAGATGGTAAGTCCCTGCCCATGTCCATCCATAGCATACCCAGCCTCAGGCCCTCGACTAACCCAACCCACCTCACTTCAGCCTGCCACACACACAGCCCCAAAGTACGTAAAGCCCCCCTCCCCCAACACAACCCATCCCACCACCTAACCCTAACACAAAACCCAAAACAGGCCGGCCAAGGCATGAACGTATCAATGATGGACTCGTACAACCTCGCCTGGAAACTGGCCTACGTGATAAACGGCCTGACTCCCAACACAGCAAAACACACCCCGCAAACCCCGGACCCAATCCTGGCAACCTACCACTCAGAACGCCACACGATCGCGCACCAACTGATCGAATTCGACCGTGCCTTCAGCTCCATGTTCTCAGGTAAAATCAGTCACAGCGCGGACGACAAGCTGACGGGGCTCACCCACGAGCAATTCGTGGAAGTCTTTAGCACGGGCAACGGGTTCACGAGCGGGTGCGGAATCGAGTATTCCGAGAGCGTTCTGGTGCAGAAACACGAAGACCAGCAAGCCAGTCCCGCCGGCGCGGATCTTGCGCACACGTACCCAATTCAAGGCACGGATTACCTCGCGGGCATCCTTCGTCCCGGACGGAGGCTTCTGAATGTGACTTACAAGCGGCATGCTGATGGGAATAGACGGGATTTGCATGATGGTAGGCACATCATCCTTCATAATGGTCCCCTTCCCCCGGTTCCGGAGACACACGCACACACGACTAAGAAATAAAGCACAAATCACTAACAGGAACAGACTTCCCCTCGACCGGCAGATTCCGTATCCTGGTCCTCACGTCCACTGACCTCCTTGATCCCAAGGGTACATCTGCGGGAACGCTCCGCACGCTCGGCTCGACTGTCCTCCCCAAGTACCCAGCTACCGTGATCGAACAGGTCGTCGTCCACCCGCGCCTGTCCCGGGACAGCTTCACGTGGCGGGATGTGTCCGTCGAGTTGAAGCAACATTCCGAGATGCGGTTCTACAGTGGCTATGAGCTGGATGATGTGTATGGGATTTACGGGGTGGATCCGGCTCGGGGCGCGGTGGCGGTTGTGCGTCCGGATGGGTATGTGGGGATGGTGGCTGCGTTGGGGGATGTTGGGCTGGTGGATGCGTTTTTGGGGGGTTGTTTGGCACGGGTTTAGGTTACGGGGTTGCTTGTATGGCTGGTGAGGGAAATTGTACATAGGAATTATACTGAATTGGGGGAGATGGCGGATTCACGTTGAATTATGGGCAAGATAGAGGCAGTGGTTAATTTAGGGTCTTAATTCAGTACGATATCCTCTTCTGGATATTCAAGTATCTCGGTCTATACATATAGTAGCACACATTTATCTAGCTCGAAGTCGCCGTGCAGTTGACGCCCAGGGTTGAAGTGTCAACCTGTTTCTAGGTTAGCAAATGCAATGCACTAAATATGGCTAAGAGTTATACTTACGTTATTGCATACAAAGTCGTTTGTGTTCTTGGTGCTGACGACGTTGATGTTCTCGGTGTAGATGTTGGAGCAGACCTATTAGGGACGTTTGTTAGTTTCGTCTCCTCCTTGAACTACCTGGGACAAATCTAAACTCACCTCAGGACTTGAGCAGACCAGCGTTCCAACATAAGGGTTCTTTTTTCCGGATGTCTTGCCCCGGAAGTTCTTGAACCATATGTCTGAGATAGTGAGACTGCTCTGTTATGCGGCCATCACATATTAGAAAATATCCAGGAGACCTGTTTCGAATACTGTATACGCACCGGGAATTCATTGCACAGTGTCAGGTTCTTCTGGCCGTAGCACTGAGTAACCTCAATAGCCCAGTCGACGTTGTCAATGTAGGCGGTGTCATAGGTGACGTTCTGCACGCGGCCGCTGCCACCACCACCCTGAAGGTCCTCGGAGAGAGCAGACGAGACGCCGGGCCAGACCTTGATGCGAGCCATGTCCTATATCAAGGTTAGTACCGACGATGTCACTGTATAGAGGCACTATGAAGCTTTACTTACCGAGGCATTGTACATGGAAATGTTGTAGACGAGGATATCTTGCACGATGTCCACCTCGCCAAGGTATTGTCCAAGAGAGCCCACCGAGATACCGTGCGAGCCGTTGCAGTGAAGGTTTTGCACAAGAATGTCCGTGCTGTTCGGCTTGAACGAAACACAATCTATGGTTGTATGATGATTAGAACCTGTATCCTGTCAAGATCAAACTTGTGACATACCATCGCCGTTGTTGATGACGGAGTTTTGAATAACGATGTTCGAAGACCGGTAGGTGTCCCTAGAAGAACAGCCGTTAGCTGACGTTGAATACTGATAGTAGATCCACATACCATCCGTCCGTGTTCTTTGCAGTGACCTTAGGATTCTTCGAATATCCAGAGATGTTGATGCCGTCGTAAAGAACATTTGTCGAATTGGCGATCAGGTTGTACCATTGCGGGGAGTAACGCAAGTTTAGCGGGCCGATGGTGCCGCCATTCAGGCCGATAACACCAAGGAGGATGGGACGAAGGATGAGAGCGTCCTTGGCGTACAAGTCATACCAAACTTGACCGTTACCGTCCAAAGTGCCTCCTCCATAAACGTTCACGTCTTCACCACCGAGCTGGAAGAAGGTCGTTGCGTTTTGGAAGACCTGCTGGAAGGCATTCTTTTGCCAGTAATCGGTGTCGTTGGTAAACTGAATCGTTCCCTCAATATCTATCGAACGAATTGAAATGAGTTCATGCTACATGGAAGCCTGCGCAACAACACACGAGATAGGGTGTATAGCTGATCAGTGTATACTCACCGAGATCAATGTGCTTCAAGAATGTGAGATCCAATGCTGTGCCGATGGTGTACTCCTTGTTGGCGTCGAAAACAACCTTTCCTCCATTGTTGCATTGCTTAATTGCAGACAGGATATACTCCGAATCGTCGGATCCGTCTCCATGGCTGTGGACGTGACAGGTCTTGCTTCTGGATTTGCTCGTGGGCAGAGGCTGGAACGGCTTGTGAGGCCCGCAGGCTTGGTTTCGGTCTCGGTTGAAGCCTTCAACTGTTGCACCCAGCGCAAGAAGGCTGAGTGCATGGCTCAGAAGATGTGTAGTCTTCATTTTATTTAGATCAACTACCAAGGAGGAGACCCGATTTTGGAAGGAATTGGACAAATTTCTGGGATGACAATCAGACCATTGTGCAAAGTCAATTGCCGCCCACGCAGTTTATATATCTGTAATCCCACCGGGCGTGCACAGGCATGTTGCAACACCGGCAGTCACAAGGCGGGGAAGTGTCTCTCTGGATATGAACCCATCCGGGGAAATGAAAACAGCCGCTGCGGAGAGTGTGGGGAAAGCGTGGAGCACAACACCCAAGCCCATGATGGCAGTCGTAGCGGCTGAGCAATCTGATAGGAGGGCTTACTCCCGCTGCGATTGTCCGATTGGGGGAAAATTGATGCCAGCAAGAGATTAATTGTGTCGTCAGTGGCTCTTGGTTGTGCTGCTCCCCTGCAGCATGGCTAGTCAATTCCTGTCTTATCCATGCTGTCGTCCAAAAGCCGGTGCCCGTGGTGGCTTGCGCTTGTCCGCTTTCCCCGGGTTTTCTGACGACTTGTTCCCCAGATGCCCGGGGCGGACTCTCGGGATTGAAAATGGCGCATTCTGTGGTTTATTATTCAGGTTGATGCAGAAAGCGCGTGACGAAGACTGCCGTTTGTTATGGAAATGGGCTGGTGTAGGCGAGAAGGAGGGTGGAGGCCCGCCGGGGAAAAAGAGATGGCTGAGCAGAGCAAATATATGGCCTCCACTCGGGTGACCTGTCGTACGTTGGGACGCAACTCTTAGACAGCTACCTTACTCTATAACAAACAGCACTAATCGCAATTCAAACATGCCCCAAGTCGTCATTGCATAAATGACCTTCATCCGCCCCATCCCCCATCACCACGCATGGTTGCGACTCCCACAATCGGGAGGAGTTCGAGTTCAGTAGCTCAATGCACTTGCCTCTCAGGCTCAAAGCTCTTCATTCTAGTCAATTGAAATATATACATGGGCAAAAAAGAAAATGCTAGCGGGGTTCGTTCATCCTCGCCTCCTCGGTCGCCGCTGTTAGGCCATCCGAGTTCCACACCGACACCGTCATCTTCCGAAGAAAAAGAAGGGGATCTAATCTATTTTGACTGAGTAGCCCAGCTTACATGATCCAAACCCCTCGGTTCGTTTCGTTCAAAAAGTGACATTTAGGCCGACTTCTTGACAGCGGCTTCGACGTTAGCAACAACAGCCTTGGCATCACCAGCCACTTCCTTTTCCAGATCCTTCACGGCCTCGGTGGTAGAGCCATCCAAGCTACGGCGGTACTGGACGATACGGCTGACCTGGACGACACCGACAATACCGAGGAAGAAGTTGACAGCGGCGAGCCTGGGCGCGGTTAGTCCATATTGCCGCTCATACATCCTGGGAAAATTTGTCGCCCGACATAAACATACAGGTAGTTCTTGGGAGTGATGATCATGCACCAACGAGTCCAAATGGCACCCGTAGCCATGAGAGCGCCGTTCTGGGTCAGGGACAGCTTCTCGGCGGGACGGCTAAGATCGGAGATACCGGCGATGACGAGAGCCCACTGAAGCGGACATAGTCAGTGATGAGCGATCGTAGTCTCATGTATAATGGATAGGTGACGCCGGGGGACGGAATTTCGTCGTAACAGGAGGAGTCATACCTTCATAACCGGGGCCCTAGCGATTGTCTATGTTAGCTTGATCCTTGACCTCTCAGACAACTACCACCGGAAATGCAGTATAGCCCGGGATCTTGAACGGTATCAAACTCACCAGAAATGCACCGTCTTGACACCAACCGGGCTGTTCCATAGACGCTGGAAAGTGCTCTGTTGCTCGGCCGCGGCGGCATCTGAGCTCTGGAAGCGGAAACCCTGGGCGCCAGGCCGACGGAAGGGACCATATGCGTTGCGGAAAGCAGCGCGCGAGTTCTGGAAAAAGCGGAGACCGACGCGAGACGACATTATGAAGGATTTGATATGATGCAGACCGAGCGCGGCGGGCGAAGGTGCGTGTGTAACGGAGAGTTCGGAAGGGTGAGAGCGGAGAGTGTCGGGCGGTACCCTAATAAGAAAGAAGAGAGTGGAGAGGGAAAGAGACGTGAGGAGAAATCAAGAAAACCTCGTTGGAGAAATGACCGCGAAACAAAAGGGTCAGGAAACTTGAGCTTGTAGGTAAAGATAGACTGAGAGAGTCAAGATGAAGCCGCTCCGTCAAAAGGCCCCGACGTCGGCCTCACTCTGTTGGGGTTGCGGCTCTTTTCCGGCTGAGGTAAGCGGTGACAATCACGCTTGACCGGATTGGTTCTGCCGGATCTCTCTCTCAGAACCTCCACCCAGCGGGAATCAGTTCGTCAGTAGGTAACTTAACTCATCGATCAAAGCTTCCAGCACGCATTGTAGGTTTTTGCCCCCTTCAATTCCGCTTTCTGAGTTATCCAGAGTCAATACTGATGCGCGTCCAGTCTGCCTGACGGTCTTCTCCGCTTGTCTCCGTTCCATCCCGCCCGTTGCGATCCGATCCCCAACTTCACAATGTCCTCCAAGTACGCTTTCACAAAGAGCCTGAAGGAGCTGCGCTTCCTTTTCTGCCAGACCTCTCAGGACAGCGCTGCTACCCGGTTAGTCGATCATGGCGCAGATTTGATGGTACAGCTCGAAACAAGTCGCTGACATTGATTCGCTGGCTTTAGCTCCTTCCTGCAGCGCGCCTATCCCACCATGAAGAAGCACAACCCCTACACTCCTATCTTGATGCGCGAGGCGGCTGGTACCGTGCCCAGAGTTTACGCTAGATACGGTACGACATGATACCCTCGGATTCTGGACAATACAATCCTCAGGATAGCACTAACCCATCGATGAACAGAGCTCGGAAGAGAGAAGCAGGAAGCCCTGACCGGTAAGACCTTTCGCACCAATTTTAATTCAATCATGACAACTAACGCATCTCGCCGGTAATGCAGGCTTGACGGATCAGCAGATCGAAGAGAAGATCACTCAATTGGTGAAGGCGTCTTCATAATCAGTCCTATTTATTGCGCCCGTCTATCTTCATGCAACCATGTTTTTACCCACTTCCTCTGCGCTGTACCTATAGATGAATCTGAAGACGAAACTCGCCGTGAACCGCCAAACAAAAATGAAAAAATCAATGAATTGCGACCATCAAAACTTATTTGAAATGTTGACCTATCAACAAACTACAGTGAACTAGTACTGTTGGCGAGATCGCCAAATCTATATTGCGCCCAACTCATGCTCCCTTCCTTCAGGGTCCACAAGCGCCGTCCCTTCTCGTCTCCTGCCGCGCCCGCTCCGATATGAATGGGCAGCAGATGGTCAAAGGTCGGGTGCGCCTTGCGAGCATCCGGCCGCCTCAGCAGATCCGCCAAGGCCTGCTCCCTGTCCGCCGGCTTGGCCGTGGCCGCATCCTTGAGAGCGTCATCGAAGCTGGCGGTATACGGCAGCGGCCGCGGGTCGCCCCAGGAGAACTGCAGGTCCCGCAGGTTGTGGACCGCCATGCCGGAAACAATGATCAGGATATTCTCCTCGCGGAGCTTCTCCACCGCCTGACCGAGCCGGTAGTGCTGAACGGGATCCTCTGAGTCGAACAGCGAGACCTGCACGATGGGGACGTTCAACGGGTTCGACTCCGGCTCAAAGGCTATATCAAACAAACAGGCGTCAGCACGGACCTAGCCAATCCACTTCCTTCAATCCCCCTCCCACAACCTCCGGCCCGGATTTGAAGAGGAGAACATACCACACTTAAAACTCGCCCACACCCCATGATCCAACCCCCTCTTCACCCCCTCAGCCTTAATCCCGGCCTCGCCCAACGCACCAAGCACCTTCTCCGCAACCTCCTTACTCCCAACATTAGGGTACTTCTCCTTGTAGTAATGGCTCGGGAAGCCGTAGAAGCTAAACTCCACCACATCAGAATCACTTTCAGTCGACAAAAGGGGCAAACATACTCATAAATCAACTCCGTCATCTCGGCGGTATTCACAAGGATTGTATCGCGCTTCCCCTGCCAATGCGCCGAGAACACCACCACAGCGCGTGGCTTGACCTTGGTCGTGATCTCGCGCCCGATCTCGCCCAGCTTGTGGTACGCCGGGTGCTGATGATCGTACATGATATTCGGCTGTGCAGCATATTAGTCAGTATGGGGATAGCAACGGACAATGACCAGAAACTAAGAGGAAACGTACACCCCCGTGACTCAGGAAGTAGACCGGCGTTTTCGTCGACATGGCGTTGGCGTGGTGCTGCTGCTGCTGGGATGGGCCCCCGCCTCGGGTTGTCCGGTACGTGCTGTCCGCTAAAGTCGGGTTTGAGGTTGTGGACTCGACCGCTGCTCGACCTGCTAGTGAGGCGATGGGTGGTGAGCTGGAGAAGAGGCGCCGGAGACGGTGCAGCGTGGCGGTTTGAGAGCTACTAGTGTTCGGGTTTGGGTTGGGGGATGAACTCGCGAGGAAGGCGACGATGATGGCGAGGAGGAGAGCAAAGAACGATATCAGGGTGATGGGTGACGACCTTCGAATGATTGGTTGGTCTTCTGTTGTGTTGGGTGTACTTGGAGACATATAGTCATCTGGTGTGGTGGAGTCGCATAAGAACAAAATGTCGGCGTCCCACGACGGCTCTTATTTGCTTGAGAAGGGTCTATATGCAGTTTGCTGATCTCGTAAGTAGAATGCTAAGAAGCGCAAAGGCAGTCGCCAATAGGAAATGCAAGACATACAAGAAATGGTGACATGAGTGCTTTAAAAAGGAGATAGACGATGGGAGAACCGATCTTGTAATCAAATTGCATCCGATCGGGTGGTGACCAATCCCTCAGTCGGAAGTGCGGAATTGCGCCGCGCCTCCGGAATGGCTTTATGCCACACAACCAGAAACCACCCAGGGGCTCAGCTCCTCCCATTGCACATGTACAAGGATTCTATTTACAATAATATTGATTTGGTGTAGTGCTCATCGCACGTGCAAATGCATTCGGGGGAATCAACAAGGAGAACATAGATGAGGCCAAGTGCAGATGAACCAAAGCATACCCAATACATCTGCTGCAAGAAAAGTGATTAAGGTGGTAAGAGCCTGATCCGAAAGAGGCGCCATAAGCATGTGCACTGACATATCGCGTCAAATAATTAAAATTATTGTAGGTTTTCGCATAAGTGATGAAAGAATGAATCCCATAAATATATGTGGCTGAATCACATGAGAACACAGTCCCCTTCGTTTTGCTTTTGCTGGTTGACGGCAGACCGAGAGAGTCGAGTCTTTTGCATCCGCGCCCCGCCCTTTTTAAGCTCTTCGAGACGTTCGCGAGCCTTAGGGAACCCTTGTGCTAAAGTGACAAGAAATGGTTAGTGTCGATCCCTGAATTTCTGACTGGCAGAACTCACCAGCTGCGCGCCAATACCAACGTTTCGCGTCATCCAAATTTGCGACAACGCCAATACCGACTTCAGTAAAGTAGCCCATTGCATACTCAGCCTTAGCAAGACCAGCAGTGGCGGCCTTACGAGCCCAGAGATACGCTTCCGTGTCACTCTGCTGGAGGATACCCTCTCCACCCGTCAGATACCATCCACTAAGGGCCAGTTCACTTTGGTGTTCTCCCTGTGCGGCAGCATAGGTGTAGTAGATAATACTCTGCCGAGGATCCACAGGACAGCCCATCAGACCATATTCATAGGCATTGCCCAGGTAGAACTGAGAAAATTTGTATCCTAGTTCTGCGGCCTGGTGGAACAACTGGCTTGCATAGGCCTCATCACGTGCAACCACGTCATTTCCTCCATTGGCATACATCAAGGCTAACTCATGGAGAGCATGCGGATTTTCAGCGTCGGCGCGTTCTGCTGCACGCTTAAGCCAAGTAACTCCCTCACGTGGGTTTCTCGCCTGGCCTAACAGTCCCTTGAGCAGGATCATCCCCATCTTATACATCGCGGGCGGATCACCGAGACCGGCTGCGCGTTTATACCATTGAACAGCCTTGAACGGATCTCTCTTAGTACCGCCACCCTCCTCTTGACCAATCTCACAGCACACGGCAACACGGTACGCCGACTGAGCGTGTCCTTGCTTCGCGGCAGCATAATACAGACCGAAGGCTTCCTTAGGGTCTACCTGTAGACCCATCTGACCCTGACCGTAGCAGTCTGCCATGTAAAATTGCGCATCCGCATATCCTGCAGAAACCAATTTCTTGACGATTTTGTAACCGTCCATGATGTACTTCTCTCGGGCTTTGGCCTTAGTTTTGGGATCCATTCGGCTCGCATCAACCAAAACAGTCGAGGCCTCGACCAGCTTTTGCGCAAGGAGTAATTGGGTTTTGCGGTCATTCGGTTTGGCCTTGACCAACTGCTGTAGGCGTTGCAGCTCTCCTTGTGTGACCGGTCCAGGTGGAGCTGACTCAGTGGGGGGACCTTGCGGTACTGTGGGAGGAGATGTTGAGTTGTTGGCACTCTCGTACTGCCGCATAGGAGCAGGTTTGGTCGCCTGCTCAAGACCGGGACGAAACGGGACGGGGTGATGTGGAAGAGCATCTGGATTTTGCGGATCTTCGGGGATATCGGGTTGGCTGGTGGGTGGACTGTGATCATGAGCAGCTCTGTATTGTTGAGGTTGTCCACTGCCGTGGGCAAAGTTGTCCGCGGGCGCATAACCCCCCGGATTTTCCGGATAGGTTTGTCCAGGGGGGCTCCAATTGTCGTTTCGTTGCATGTATGGGTCTTCAGAAGGATCCGCGCTGTATGCATAATTTGCTCCTTCGTGGTAATGTGCACCAGGATGTCCTTGATCCGCGGGCAAATCAAATTGGAAGCCTGCATCTACAAACTGATTCGGTGCGGGTCCCCCTCGCGGATCAGGTGGAGGATAGGTGTAAGGATTATGTGTCGATTGCGGACTGAAAGCCGCGTACTGGGGCCGGTTTGAGGTAGGCGAAGCAGGAGACGGCTTGACTTGCGGCTGTTCCAACCCAGGCAGGCTTTCATCGATAATACCGCCCTTGGTAGGGTCAAGCATAGCATCGAAGTTAGGCATATCGGGCTCCTCGGCATGTTTTCGATTGTAATAGCTGTCCACCCATGCTGCGGTGTCAAATCGCTCATGGGTTCCTTGTGGGGCTGAATAGCTGGGGTCTTGGTAAGTCGCTTGTCCTGGGTATAATGGGTTAGGAGGTATGCTTTGTGTCGGCGAGGAGACTGGTATAGTTGCGCTTCCGTCGATATGAGGAATAGGTGGCGGTTCTTGGGGGTCCGTATATGGTCCATTGCGCCTCTCGAACGAGCCCGGAGATGGGCGACCTGTGCTAGCGGACCTCACCGGTGTCCCGGGGGTATTGCCCCTGCTCCGCTCGGGAGACATAGGACGAGGAGGTCGTTTAGCATGAGAAGTATGCGGACGATCCGGAACATGGGTAGGGACTGTTGAACTGCCATTGAGATCCATCGCAGCCATTCCACTTTCAAGACTTGGTCTACGCTGGTATTGGGACGGAAACGACGTATTGATTTGAGGAGGTTGCGGCGGTCGCCCGGCTGGAGTAGACAGCAATGAGCATTTGAACCGGAACAATAGACTGTAAATACTCACGTGGTCTCATACGCTCTTGTCTTGGGACCGGGATTCGATCCTCCGACCCACGACGGCCATTATGTCCTTGCGGTGGCGGGCCTCCACGATATGCTTGACCTCGATCATCCATAGGGCGGCCGTAACCACCGCGCGAAGGTCGCGGGGCGGCGCGGGGCGGCGGTCCATATGACCTCGGAACTGCACCTCCGCCATGATACCCATACCCGTGGTGGTCATGACCCCCATTCGGGAAGCCACGATAGTTGCTATCGAAGCTATCGTCAAGGTATCCATCTTGCGGCGGAGTCGGATAACCCCTCCCGCCGGGAGCAGGCTGAGGGGGGCCGTAGTTACGTACAGGAGGAGCTCTCTGTACTGGACGCTGCTGATATGCCATGACACAATTTGAGATCTAATGGCCGGGGAAGCGAATGGGAATAATGAAGGCGCGCGTTCTTTGTTCGCAAGGGATATCGAAAGTTGTATGTATCCTGCGGACCTGTGTTTGTTTCACGTCGTTCCTCTAGTTAAGCTGTAGTAGCTTGTTAGCACGGAACCGACTGACATGGATAGACCCTATATGGGCTTCAATAGTTTTAAAAACGGGCACGTGGCTTACTTGAAGCTAAGTGCACACGAAAATAAATCCAGCACGACTATTTAGGTGTTCCATGTGAGATATACAACCATCAGAGCAAATAGTTGCGCGCGATCGAGTCGGCTTCAACTAGAACAAGCAAATGTCAGTGGACAAACCATCGGCGCAAAGGCTTGCAGTGGCGGAGAGCGCAAATGCGCAAAGACAGCCAACTCACAAAAACACGAGGAATGAAAGATAACCCCCTCCAAGTATGAGGATAGGTTCAATTCCAAATTAACTTAGACCCAAGAAACAGCCAATGAAGGAAACCAAACCCTCGACGTTAAAGAGCGTGCGCGACCCCGAAGAGCGAGAGGAGGGTTGAAGGTTGGCAGCGAAGGAGAAAGAAGTAAGAAAGAAGGAGGAGGCTCAGTTGTGAGTTGCGCCGTTGAGTGGAAGGGAAAAAGGTCACCCAAAAAAGAGGGGAAGACGAGGGCGGTAATTCAGACAATTAGACTATCTTTCCGGGGGTGATCAGGAACAAAAGGTAATAGCGTCAACAAGAGAAAGAAAGAAATTGAGGGGGATTTTGCGCGACTCTTATGACCCGTCTTCTTTTTCACTCTGGATCTTTTATCTATCCCTCGTCTCCTTTAATTTACTCGACATAACGACAATCAATCCACTCTGCTTGCATAGCTGATTTGTTTCACGCTGACCGGCACCTGACGCTGGGGAAGAGTTCTGCTTCGACTGAATGACCCACGCCCGTTCCGCCAATACTTGCGCCGATGTCCCACTTATGCCTACTGGTACTGCCTATGACTGACGATTATCCCTTCCTGTCTTCATGTCAATGTCGGTCGGGGTTCTTCTCGCGCCTAAATGTGGGAGCTGTCTCGGCAGCGTCGGAGTATCGGTTGATGATGGGTCTCCTAAAACATCTTCTATGCCCATTTTGATTGTCACCGATTCCGCAACATTCTGGTGCAATGACTTCTTGGCGGGGCGCTAACCAAGGGACCGGCTTCAAATGTGACGTTTTAGTCTCCCCCTAAGAAAAAAAACATAAACCTCGACAACAGCCTCGAATGACCTTAAGTAGTACTATCATCATAAACACTACGGTCACAGAGCTCCTGATAGTCAATGCAGGGCAGTCAGGAATCTTTGATTGAAAGAGCGAACTCATCGATCGTCAGGGGTGGGAACCATCGACAATCAAGCAGATCGTGCCGAGTTTCTGGCGGCAGCAAAGCACCCAAGACTGGGCGGTGGGAAACGCCTTTGCTCCACAGCGCCTGTCCCCAGCAGAACGATTGGATTACTCTATCCAAAGCCCCGGCACAGTCTCCGTCTAAAATGTCACGTAGTATGACCCGCGGTTCTTCTATTGGTCTTCTGCTTGGTATAACAGTGGCGCCAGTATCTTCAGGTTCAGAATTATTGACGCCCGATAGATATTACCACTTGTTTATGTACCATAAGGCACAGGCACCCGTCCAACCATCTGTTGGGGCGCCTGCCGTGATTATTGATCGGAGCATGCAACATTGATGATGATCGTGAGACGATCATCAGTACTATCGGCATTAATCCCTGCTCAAATCACGCACCGCTTTCCTCGTACATACTCCGATATAGTTTTGGCTTGGTCCTTCGACTCAGGGTGTCTGCAACTCCATTACTCTATTATTCATGATGTTTGTCTCGATCAATCGAGACCAAGGGGTTTCGAAGGCACATGACATGGAAACATGAAAAAGCGTGCAATGCATGTCAATCGAATGCATGGAGTTTGGATACGGCCCATCGAATTGGAATCGCACTTCGACCGGTGGTCTTCCGCAATGTCGATCCCAAGCCAGTGGTAACTATACACAACAGAGGATTTGTTAGTGCTGGACAATCAGACACTGTGATCACGCGTGCCCGAAGCTGGCTGCTTTAAAAATAGATACATGCTGGAAAGATATGTCTAAGACAATTGAGCTGTCAAGAATGCGAATACGGGTTGCTTTCCTGCCAGGCCACCAATTTCCCAAGACTGGATTGCATTAGTACGGAAGGCGGAGCATAAGGCAATCAATCACAATGACATATCAAGTGGAGCAGCAGAAGGTTTATCTCTCCAAGTCTCCATGGGTTCAATTAGTTCGGCAGCGAATCGTGGTGAATGAAGCATGCTTCTGAGGGGTGTGTAATCCACTTCCGCGATTGGCGGAAACCTGCAAAGCCACTGACTGAGCTACTGACACTAGCCTCCAAAGCTGCGCCACATGCTCGCTATCTGCCGAAACCCGTGCGCGCGGATGACGACGATTGTGCTCAGGTTGCAAAACATCTCAGAATAATACGCAAACCAAGTTCGGCTTACTCGAAGCGCAGTTGACGCCCTCGACACTTCGGAATTCTATCAGGAAGACTGAGAATCTGACATCATCTCCCTACCCGAAGATCTGTTTCGGGAGTTTGCCATTATGTCTCGTGCAGGAACTTGGCTGAAGATGCTCGGGGTGTAAGATGTTCTCCACGCGCATGATGCTTTAGTGTCTGGATGGCCTAAATGGCTTCTAACCGGTCAATAGCGGCGTTGTCTGCTGTGTTGGCGGCCCGGCTTTCGTGCAGTATATCCGTCCTACCGACGAGGAATTGTTCAAGCGTTACAACCCCGACCTTCAAAAACGGAGTCTGGAGGAAGGCGACCGTCGAGCACGCGATTTTGACGAATATGTTACCAAGTTGAAGGAGTGGTCCAAGTCCGACAAGCATAGTGCGTTGATCCATTCCACATACTCGTTCTCATTGATAACACTCTCCCCCTACGGCTCTAACACTTCACTGTCTTCTAGTTTGGATTGCCGCCCAAGAACAACAGGAACAGAGACTCTTGGAAGCTCAGACACAGAACACACAGGCGAAGGAAGATGCTAGGACACAGAAGGAGGAGATGCGGAAGGAGCTGTTGGGTGGAAAATAAGGGGCCTATGAAGGAATACTTCTGGATTCAAGCACGCTGGCTGGCTTGTCTGGGGGAGAATTTTATTGTTGATTCTGCGGTTTGCAGATCGTGCTTGGTTGAAAGACGGGATATCTCGTTTTTTTTTTAAAGTTATCTTCCACAGTATCATGTATTTATACCCCATGCCGGAGGCTTGGGGAACTGAAAAGCAGTCTATCGGCAGATTGTGGGCAAAGGCATGTGAGGAGTTACATGGGTGATATTGTATTATATTTCGTTTCGTTAATGTGTGAATGACTCAATCGAAATCCACTCTACTTCTAATCATCCCGTTGAATGTTGAGCGGGTATCTCGGGTCAAACTTCAGAAGACCACCAGAGAGACACGTCAACGCTTGAGAGATATCCACTAATACCAATACTATCGAGAATTGCCACTATATCTCAGATTCGAAAGCTCGCTGTCATCAGGCCAGCCAGAAACTGCCTGACCATTGAGAATAATTTCTAGGACCTGGATCATGGATGAGTCAAAAACTGTCTATGTGCAAATTCCATGTAAACGTGCTTCGAGGTCAGATGTCGTTCAGACAGTCAATACAGACCCGCTTCTTATCGTGATAGCTGAGTGCATAGCTTGGCACGCAGAACCATGTTAAAAAGGACGTATCCCCGAAATGGTGCATGTGTAAATTTGTCTGCAGGATAAGTACGTGGGCTTTTGACTCGGATATATAAACATCTGGCGATGCAGAGGAATATATTGTGCTGTTGGAGGTAACTTATGTTGTGGCTTGTGCCATATCTTCACAGACTGTACCATGATTTACATTCCTGTTAAAAAATAATCGCAAAACGCTGATACGATGATGAAAGATCTCTACGGCCACATACTTAGGTAAGTGGCAGGGTCCATGGTCTATTCCGGATCCGGAGGGATCGCCACGTGAAGAAGCGGACGGCAGGCGAAACGCTGCATAGCCACTAGACTCAAAGGTGGTGCTTCCAGCCTCCTCCCGTTCCTTGAGCAACACTTGACCTGGTATGGCAATTGGTGTGCTTCTGATGCCCAATGGACCAGTTTGGCGGGAATTTGCCGATTTCGTGGTTGAATGAAGGACTGAACAGACAAATTTTCATGGTCACAGCCAGTCAGTGCCATGTCATGTAAGTACGGTAGATCTATCACAGCAGCTGTGTTGGATTATTATTGTTTGGATAGGTGGTCGGCTAGTATACTGGTCGCATATGCATGTAGTCTCTCGCAAACCCCTCGAGAGAAACACCATTCTACTGTAATACCCGCACGCACTATTACGACGACCTCTTTGTTCCATGGGCGCTGGGTCTGAGTCCATTCTAGCATAAAAATAGCTGCCTGCGAGCCGGCCTATCTTTTCTAACCACACTTGGTCACGTGTTGCGCCCGCCCCCCGACCGACCGAAACGCCTGTAGTCTCCAGACCTCCAGACAGCGGGCGGCGATTCATCACACCTTGTCAGCTTCCCTCCAACAACACTTCCCACCTTCTCCACCTCTACATCAATCACTCTGCTATCTAACCACTTTGAAGCAACACATTTGATCTTTGATTCTCATTTTACGACTGCACGATCGCCTGTTAGACCTGTCGCTGCGACTTTCGACCTCCCCCCTACGGAAGGAACAAACAACAGAGTTCGTCAACCCCAACACAGCTATCTGGTGATCCACCAGGCCCTACGTCTTGTCCATTACACAAATCGAGTGCATTGCGCATTGCAGCCATGTCTGAACAACCTTACGACCCTTATATTCCGTCTGGTTCCAACGGACCCAGCACTACTGCTGCGCAAAATGGCGACCCCCGGACAAGGGAAATCGACAAGGTGAGTTATCGAGAAACGCCCCCCTTTCATGCGATATGCTGGCGGAGGGTGTCCGAGGAGGGTCTGCATGATGCTCTGCATCGCGGAGCTTCTTCCAAATCATACAACGCTGGGTTTCCTGCCCTGACTTGGGCATACTGGCAGCCCTGGCCAGTCACTGCAAGTCGTCGGATGAGTTGTTTGACTGACGTGCTTGTCCCCTTCACAGAAAATCCAGGAAACTGTCGACACGATGCGTTCGAACATCTTCAAGGTCTCGGAGCGCGGCGAACGTCTGGACTCGCTCCAGGACAAGACCGATAATCTGGCTGTATCAGCCCAGGGCTTCCGCCGTGGCGCCAATCGCGTGAGGAAACAGATGTGGTGGAAGGACATGAAGATGCGCGTATGCTTGATTATCTGCGTCATTCTTTTGCTTGTAGTGATTATTGTGCCTACTGGTAAGATCTACATCTCCGTCGCTCCATCGCCCTTCCACCCGGCAATAGGTTCCGGATCGGATGCGCTAACCCCCGATTTCGTCTACAGTGGTCACCACCAGAAAATAAGTTACGAACGCAGCGACCGTCATGATTGTCTTGGGAATGGATGACGTTTTTCTTTTTCACTTGGTCCTGGTTTATCTGTGTTGTGCCCGTGAAGCTTTTGTTTCCAGCTACTAATACCTCTTGCGTTTTCCCGGGCGTCGAACCATCCTTGTTCTCACGAATGAAGTCTTCTCGCCTCGCTGCACCATTGACGCCATGGGCTGCTCTGGGGCGTCGAGGCTATGCCACATGAATCCATCGACTGTGAAGATGTAAATGATACTCTGGTGCTCGCTCATGTCCTAGTATATCAGTGCTCTTTGTGTTTCTCCTTTCGTTTTCCTGTGCTACCTTCGGCGGGGTATGCCTTATGTGTTGCTGCGTGTCCTTCGTTCTTTAGCCTCTCAATGAACCGCATGTATCCGAAATGTCAATGAAAGTAAAAATGTGTCACCAGGAACCTGAATCAGACGGGGACGTCGGCCCCTGTTCAACAGATTTCAACCGATCCCGAACCACACCACCCACACGTGATGCCGCAGTTACGGGAAAGAGCTTTGGCGGGGACGGAATGATGTGGACCATACAAGAAGAGGAAAGTATCCATAATGAAGGCCAGGTGGCCAGTGACCAGGCTAGGAGGAGGAGATGTTCGGTTAAGGAGGATCAGATAACGAGAGGGGAATCAGAGAGTCAGAGACATTGATGGAGTTGACACTTGAAAAAGGAAGTGCGCTGGGGCCGTGGCTCCAGCCTCCCAAGGCCAGAGTCGGCAATGATTCGCTGGGCAGAGGGTGATGGGTGGCTAGTAAGATCAGATAACGATTCCAAGAAGTTATGATTATATGATGGAAATTGATCAGGGACGTTGGACGACTCCATTTTCCAATTTTCATTACGTGTGGGGGTGGCCGGGACTCGAGGGCAAGCATTGCCAGCAGCAAAGTTGTGCTGGATCTGCTGGGAACTGCTGGGACTTTTTAATAGGAACTTTCCATGGGAACTGAATGGGGCTCTGCCGCATTCGTCGTTTGGCCTTGGATCAATCATTTCGCCTAATGTATGTAATGGTTAGTTATCAATGATGGGGTGTGTGGTGAGTCATGTTGGGGAAGAGGAGCTCCGAAAGTCGCAGTCGTAATCGCAGTCGCAGGCAGCGCAGGGCCAAGGGCAAGTTGTTCGGGCAGTTGTGCGGCGCCGCTTCCCTGCCCTTTTGCGCAATTTATTCCACTGGCTCGTTCGAATTTCCCTCATTCCGAGCTTGCCTCAACATTAGGATTCCTGCAATTGTAAAAAGTCTAGAATATAAGAGGGGGGGGGGGGGCCGCTGGAAGGAAGGGTCGCAACTTGTTGAAGTAACTTCTTGCAAGGGGGAGATCTATCATTCACCCTGGGAGTGGACACTCACTAAAACTACTTACCAACCTGCGTGAGTCAAGAGTGTAGGTTCCGGCCGGTTGCAGAAAATGGAAGACGCCCGCTCCGACAAGTAGCCGATCATCACCTTCCATCTGGACCATCAAACTCTTTGGAGCCTGCGGCAAATTCCCTGGCTTGCACCCGAATCTCCCTCCACACAACCAACCTTTTAACTTAATCTTCCTTGCTACGGCTACCCCCCTCCTCCTCCTTCTCCCTCCTCCTCAGAAACGATCTTTCCTCTCGAATCGACAGCTTCACACTCGGGTTCCTCCCCCTCTCCCCTCAGACCCTCTGTCCGAGTAGGCGCAAAAGCTGCCGCATGTTGGCTGGCAAGATGTTCTCCCTTCGCACTGCCGTGCGGAGAGCTTCCCCCAGCAAGCCCCTCCGCGCGCTCTCCGCACCGCTCACCGTCTCCTGCGCCAGGATCGGCTCCCCCTCTGCCCGCCAGTCACTCAAGGCTTCCGCCGTTCCATTGCTGCAAGGCCGTCACTATTCTCGTGCTATCGATCCCCAGCTTTCCTCCACCCGCTCGACTGTCGTTCAGTTGTTGAGCAACATCGGCTCGAAGCGGGAGGTTCAGCAGTACCTCTCCCACTTCACCTCCGTCTCTCAGCAGCAGTTCGCCGTCATCAAGGTTGGCGGTGCTATTATCACTGAGCACCTTCAGACTCTCTCGTCCGCCCTCGCTTTCCTGAACCATGTTGGACTTTATCCCATTGTCGTTCATGGTGCTGGTCCCCAGCTCAATCGCATGCTTGAGGATGCCGGTGTGGAGCCCCAATTCGAAGATGGAATCCGGGTGACGGACGGAAAGACACTGGCCCTTGCCAGAAAATTGTTCCTGGAGGAGAACCTCAAGTTGATTGAGGAGCTGGAGCGTATGGGTGTCCGTGCCCGTCCTCTCAATGCTGGCGTCTTCACCGCCGACTACTTGGACAAAGAGAAGTACAACTTGGTCGGAAAGATCAATGGCGTCAACAAGAAGCCTATTGAGTCGGCCATTGAGGCTGGCTGCCTGCCCATCCTCACCTCCATGGCCGAGACCCCCGATGGCCAGGTCCTCAACGTCAATGCTGATGTGGCGGCTGGTGAATTGGCGCGTGCCCTTCAGCCCCTCAAGATCGTGTACTTGGCGGAGAAGGGTGGTTTGTTCAATGGTGACACTGGCGAGAAGATCTCCGTGATCAACCTTGACGAGGAGTATGACCACCTGATGACCCAATGGTGGGTGCGCCACGGTACTCGTCTCAAGATCAAGGAGATGAAGGACCTGCTGAGCGATCTTCCTCGCACTTCCAGCGTGGCCATCATCCACCCTGCCGACCTGCAGAAGGAACTTTTCACCGACTCTGGAGCCGGTACCTTGATCCGCAGAGGTAACAAGGTCCACACTACGACCTCCCTGTCCGAATTCGAAGATCTGGACAAGCTCAAGGATGTTCTCGTTCGTGATCGCGAGGGCTTGGACGCTCGGGCTACTGTTGACCGCTACGTTGAGGGTCTGAAGGAGCGCGAATTCAAGGCTTACTACGATGAGCCCATGAATGCGCTGGCCGTTGTTCTGCCTCCTCAGAAGGATGCCTCTTCTTCCCTGGCACACTTGGCTACCTTCACTATCACCAAGTCTGGCTGGCTCACCAACGTCGCCGACAACGTCTTCGCCGCCATCAAGAAGGAGTTCCCCAAGCTTGTTTGGACCGTGAAGGAGGACGACGAGAACCTGACTTGGTTCTTCGACAAGGCCGATGGCAGCCTGAGTCGTGAGGGAGAGGTTCTCTTCTGGTACGGTGTTGAGAGCGGTGAGGAGGTGAAGCAGCTTGTCCAAGAATTCAACGAGCACGGCCGCCAGATGTTCGGAGACATCAACCTCGAATCGCGGCTGCACCGTGCTGCCCAGGCCGCCACCAATATTGGTAAGGGCTTTGGTGCTAGCGGCGCTTCTGTTGAGCAGAGGCGTGCTTTCTCCTCTACGAGCAACGCTCTCCGTGCTGCTCGTTCGGGTCGTCCCACCTTTCCTGTGCAGGCTTTCAGGACTTATGCTACTACCAACCCCAACCCCCCTCTTGGAGAGAAGAACATGTCCAACACCCGTCCTTCCAAGGTTGCCCTGATCGGGGCCCGCGGTTACACTGGCCAGGCTCTGATCAACCTGATCAACGCCCACCCTCACTTGGATCTGCGCCATGTCTCTTCCCGTGAGCTGGCTGGCAAGCAGCTGCAGGGTTATGACAAGCGCGAGATCATCTACGAGAACCTCAGCCCCGATGATGTCAAGCGCATGTCTGCCAACGGCGATGTTGACTGCTGGGTTATGGCCCTTCCTAACGGTGTCTGCAAGCCCTTCGTCGATGCTGTGGATCAGGGTTCCGAGACCGGCAATGTGATCATTGATCTCAGTGCCGACTACCGCTTCGACGAGAAGTGGACTTATGGTCTTCCTGAGCTGGTCAGCCGCTCCAAGATTGCCCAGGCCACCCGTATCGCCAACCCTGGGTGCTATGCCACCGCAGCTCAGATTGGAATCGCTCCTCTCGTCCCTTACCTCGGCGGACAACCCACCGTCTTCGGCGTTTCCGGCTACTCTGGTGCTGGCACCAAACCCAGCCCTAAGAACGACGTCGAAAACCTCACGAACAACATCATCCCCTACAGCTTGACTGATCACATCCACGAGAAGGAAATCAGCTCACAGCTTGGAACCAGCATTGCCTTCATCCCTCACGTTGCTGTCTGGTTCCAGGGTATCCACGTACGTATTAGCTTTTACTTCTGCACTATGTTAACATATAACTAACATTGGCCTAGCAAACCATCAGCATCCCCTTGAAGGAGGAGCTGACCTCCCGCGATATCCGTAACATCTACCAGGAGCGCTACGCTGGTGAGAAGCTTGTCAAGATTGTTGGCGAGCCTCCTCTTGTGAAGAACATTGCCAAGCGCCACGGTGTTGAGGTTGGCGGCTTTGCCGTTCACTCCAGCGGCAAGCGTGTTGTCGTGTGTGCTACCATTGATAACCTGCTCAAGGGCGCTGCCACCCAATGTCTTCGTGAGTAAATCCTAGGTCAATTGTCAGCTCCATGAGAATAAGCACACTAATAAACTCGCTTACAGAGAACATGAACCTTGCTCTCGGCTACGGCGAATACCAGGGCATCCCTCTGGATTAGGTTTCCTGGAATTGATAATCTAAGCATCATGTAATATTCATCTAGTCGAAGGGTAGGTATATACTCCCTCGAATACAGGAAATCCGTGCTTCTCAATCCTGAGGAAGTATAGTCTCATGTTCCAAGTTTTGATCTTTCTTGCATCTGCATCTCTCATACCCCACGTGCATCTTCCGGTTGCTATGGGTTGGAGATAATAGTAGACGCTCTATCTCTTTCTTCAGTATCCATAGTCAACTTCTGGTTCTTGTTTTCCCCTCTATTGTCTTCTGTTTATGAATAGAACGATCCTGGCAATTACTCTAAATTGGTTTTGTTTCTCCCTTTTATAAGCACCGAAAAGCGCTTGCCTTGTATAATATGTTCGTGTCTTGCTGGTGCTAACGCTGTACAACAGGCCAGAGAAGAGTCAAGAGTCGATTTCGTATTTCGTACCTCACAGGGGTGGGTTCAACTGTACTCGTGGATGCTGGGCACTTTATCACCTTTTACTGCTATTTGAACTGTATCTTTGGACTGTATCCTTGATAGACAGAGACGAAAGAACATTGATTCAAAGTTCGAGAAGCGTAAGGTACTGATTTCCATATCCTCTCACTTGGAGATTTAGGCATGTCGCTGCGGAAGGAGTGACTTAACCCACACCTACCCTCGTCACTAACTCTCTTGTCCAAGCAAACCAGTGCAAATGACCTAGGGGTTTGTTCGAACAATCTAGGTATTCTCTGCTCTTCTGCTAAATTATTGTCGTGTACATCATTTTAGTTCTCGAACCCAGTCGTCGATAAACGACTGGTACCTCTTCCTGGCCGTCTCCACACCTCCCTCAAGTGTCCCCAGTCTACCGGACTTACCTTTCTTGATCAACTCAATCTCCGGGCGTTTGATCGAGTCCACGATACGAAAACTTGTCCGACCGAGCTCCACGTTGTACTACTATTTTAAGCAGCATAAGTAGCAGAGAACCTTCCACCCTGACCGTTCCTTCGCGTTGTTCGACCCCAATCGCACAGTAGGCGCGTTGGGGCCGACAGCAATTAGCTCTGGCTTTCGAAAATGTTCTATAGTCATGAAAGTAAGTCAATCATCAACTTCTCGCAACCGACTGCACTGCTGACGCGTTTCCCATCCAATAGTACTTACTTCTCCTGAGTATGGTGTCGCTACAATATGGTTCGCTTCAATTCGACGTGTCGACATTCTGCTCTGGGACCTATAAGATGGCTAACATGACCTCTCTATCAAGGCTAGTCGCAACTCTGGGCTCGAAGTCTGTCACCAGACGCCTAAACAGAAAGACTATACTGGATGTCGACGTCCCAAAGGCATGCGGCGCCATCATCGATCCGGGTGCGCCAATGGCGCTGAGGCTCCAGGGGAATTTACTGTGAGGCCAATTCTCCTGGCGGGCTAAACCGGTTCGTTTGTCACTCACAATAGACTTTTAAACCCAGATATGGAGTCTCGAGGGTGTACAGTCACCAATGTGGGTATACGCTCATGGATGTCCAAGCCATGCACGACAAAATGAGAACGATGCTGAGGGCTCTACCGGGAGGCGGCCTGGATCCATCTGCCGGAAAAGCTAGGTTCGTTTCTTGACCATTTACAGATGTGACGGAGAAAACTTCGAAGGCTCTGATCGCCGCTGGATTCAGGCTAAGACTCTGTATCTAGGCCCGAGCAGCTCATCTTGCCATACGATCCCTCTTTTCTCCCTGATAGTCTACCCGGTCTTATCATGGATCTCTCGAAATTCACTGCGTTGACTGAGGTTGATCGGAACGCTCCAACGTATTTTCCTTGGGCAAAAACCACCGATCTCAGCCAGTCAGTCATCTCGCAAGCTGCGAGTTTGCATTTGAGTCTGTCTTCCGATGATGGCTACGCCGTAGGCTTGGGGGGTTTCGCCTCGGACACTGATATGGCTGCGTATGGTACAAAAAGCCTCGCTTCTGAGAGCATCAGACCTCTTCCGCTTGACGATGAGGCAGGCGTGATTCTCCAGGCCGACTTTGAGTTCGACGAGGACGGAAACATTGTCGAGCTGGGAGGAACTCCTCAGGTTGAGGCAAGAGTACAGAATATTGCTCACAGTCACCACGGACAGGCGAATGAACTTGGGACTCATGCTGAAGATGATATAGTCATGGACGATCAGGTACCTTAATTGAAATGACTGTATATCAAGCAATACTAATCTCGCGGTGTTTCTCAGCTGAACATGATCGAGCACGGACCCGAAACAGGCGAAAGACATGAGCAAACCTCACGTACTGCTGGCCATTTGCCGTCCAGACCGACCCCCTTTCCCAACCTCTTAGAGGATGAGCAGGCCGTTCCGGAAGCAAATGAAGCGTCGATGGCTCAGAGACAAAGAGTGCCGAAGGTGATACTCGCGGATGATCAGATCGGGCTTAGAAACAGTGAGCTAGCTCATTTGAATCATAATTATGTGGATCTTATGGCAGTAGCCTCAAAACAAAAACGGAAGAACAAGATCCCCACACTTTCGAAAAAGAACGGTGCTTTCTGGGTATATGGTCAAGGGATTGGCTCTGTCGGAAACGGAATAGGCAAGTCTCACGTCACGCATCCATTACACGTCTTTTCAGGCGAGCAGCTTTACAATACTCTCACAGCTACTGCTGATAGTCTGAGTCCTAAACGGGTCCACGACTCGATAGAAGATGAGGAGCAGGAGCATATCGGAAGGCGCGTGCGGGCAAGGACCGATGACGAGCCAGCAGGTCAGATGGAATATCCCAATGATAATGCTCTTTGGAATGAGGTTCGTATCATCCTGTCTACTTGCCCTCAGGAAATTTGATCGCTGAACCGCCCAACACAGGATGTCGAGGTTGGCCGCCATGCAGCATCAGCACTTCAGGATGATAGTTCCTTCCAAATGCCTTGGAACGTTACAACTTCTATACACAGCTCTCGGCAGGGATCCACTACTCGTAACATTTTCCCTGGCATTGGGAGCGTTAGTGATTTCTCATCTCACGGCTTTTCTGACATGGGTCTCTTGAGAGCGCGAAGCCGCCTCACAAGCTCGAGTCCTCTTGCCGGGCGTGGTTTTCCATTCGACGTCGAAGCACTTGACAACTTACTTATCCCTGGTCACGAGCTGGACGATGCGAACATGTTTGAGGATTTCGATGTCTCTCAATACCTACACACGGAGATAGATGCAGATCATGATGGAGTCCCTCGTGACAACACAGTTGCGCCCGTTGTGGGCGAATCCGGGCATGCTTCTGCTAGCCTTCGAACCCATGGGGACGACTCGCAGAGGTCCACCCTGGACCAGGAAAGCTTGAACTTCCTCGACTTCCTCACCGCAAAGATCGAGGCGTGGCCTTATGCAACTGAGATCAATGGCCAGGGACAGGTGCGTCCATCTTCACTTGAGCATAGTGCTATTAAGAGGATGCACTTCTCAACGCTTCTGCCCCCCGCCAAGACATCCCGGATCGTGGCTACACAGGGCCTGATGCACATACTCGCTCTGGCCACCAAGAGCCTTCTCACGGTCAGTCAAGATGAGCCACAGTACATAGGAGGTGAGGAGTATGGCGAACTCTACCTGTACGGCGAGATCTATCTCAGTTTGCCCAACGAGTGAAGGTATCTATATCCATATGCGGACCCTTTTTCCTCAAATTCATTCATTCAACGGTACTGGTCAAGTCCTGTATCACTTGTTACATTCTTCAGAAACTCTCTTATCTTATGTCGCATGTGTTTCTATGTTTCAGCTTTATTTCCTTCTATACTAATTTCCTTCGTGGTAATTTTCCTTTCTCTGGTGTCGGGTTAATTTACATACAATACGGTATTTACTGCTCATACGGTGAAGTTGTTCGCGCGCGTTTATTCGTCATGTCCGGGGTCATTCATTATTTTCTCAACTGCTTACGACTATTTCGATTTCTAGCATTTAAGTCTTAGTTAATGAAATCCTTGTTGCTATCGTACTGCAGTCCTAGTATCTCGATCTCCCCATAAGGTGCAGTTGCTAATGACTCAAGGACGGCGTCAGTGTACGTTGATGGTCTTTGTTTGATAGATGGATCGTGGTTTGGTAGCGAATCGTAACCTTCGATCCAGAGGCCAGACTTGGGCAGGAAGTATAAACTGCAAAAGAAAGTCAATGCCCCGGGGAACTGCGCCACATGTAACAAGGACAGGGGTGTGTGAGGGAATGTGACAGCTGCCGGTAGCAGTTCATTGGCTTGGCATACATCGTACATATTGGACGCAGAAAGCAGAGATACTTCAGGTATGTCTGTCTAAAGTCGATCGTCTTTTGGTTGCATCTCCACTAACTTGGAAGTGTCTCGCAGATGACGAAAGTGATTCTGTTTTCTGGCATTGTCATTTGTCGTGTTTCAGGCATGGCCGACTAACCGGTCTATATCTGATGGCACGGTGGGCACTTGACACGCTTGATGATGCAGGCTTCTACTCTGCTATAGCCTAAACTGAACGATCTCAGCACTTCGCAGACTAGAGCAGCGGTTTGAAGTAGTGTTTCTATTTTCTTTTATCTCTACATGTTCCTAGAGAGTCCAAATGCTCAGAAGCCTCGCTCCCACGACACGGAAACACGCGTTGTTGGCGGTGGCTGTGTTGAACTCCATCTACTGTACAGTACGGTGCCCTTCTTCCTGCTATATCGTCTAGCGGGTAGTAGCCTTGTGAGCTGCATGATTCTTGATGCATCTCGGATTTATTGCCGTTGGATCAAAATACAGCGAGTGTATCGATCTATAAGCAAAGAAACCAGTAGCTTGTCTGTCTATTGATTCCAAAACCGTCGACGCGGTGGTGTGGTAAGTTGGAAATTGTAAAGGTGTTTTCTTCAGTTCCGGTACCCTTACCACAGTACCATTCCAAATGGTATTCGTTCTTACCCCTAGTTTGACCAGTATGGTTCAGATGGTACCAGTACGAAGTAGTCTAGCTTGTGCAGAAAGCTATTATTGCAGGGCTAAGTTATGGTTCCTCTTTTTACCTTATCAAGTATCTAACCCCGTGGCAAAGGCTTCAGAGATCTTACTGAGCTGGTAAGATGAGCTTGTTCAGTAACTCCGAGAGTTGCTGGCAGCGCATTACTCGGCTTATTTTTAGGAGAAAGGAAGTTGACTCAGTCAGCCTGCCGCGTGATAGCCTTGGTCTTTGACTTTGCAAAGGGTTTCCACGCGGCTTCGAGGCAAATCCGATCGTGTCTGAGGAAGGGAATAGTTTGAACTCTGGTGTTCTCATATGTGGATCTTAAGGTTGGATGAAGATCGTAGATTAGATCTCGTGGTTGTAGAGAAGATTTTGCCATGAATTTTTTCACGCGCTGTTCGAAGTTAGTCAGCAGCAGCCAGGCAGCCAGGATCCAAATTACGCAGGTGGTGTGTAAGGTCTCGTCCCGTTTTTTGACGGGCTCGCGTAAATTAACCGCCACTTTCGTGTGTCTTGTCCTGTTCTCGTTCGTTCGTTCGTTCGTTCGTTCGTTCTGTTCCGGTCAGGTCAGGTCAGGTCTCCGTCTTCCCCCTGCTCACTTTCTCTCTCCTCTCACTCTCACTCTCACTCTCTCTCAGCCCCTCCACTTTTCCACCCGTCTCCGTCAAACATTCATTGATTCTTCCTTTTCACTTCTCGCTCACCCCAACTTTCTGGCTGCCTTGTTCTCGTTTGACCTCCCTCTTCTCCCCCTCCCCCTCCCCCTCCCCCTCAACTCATCCTATTGAGGTCTCTCTCGATCGTCATATAATTCAGGCGAGGTCATTTCCCCCTTAAACCCCTTCAATATCGATTCATTCACCCCTTTTGTCGTGAACATGGGTCGGACAGTCGACCAGGAAGTTCACGCGGCGTTCGTCGAGTTCCGCGCCAAGGAAGACGATAAGGTGCGTGACTTCCGTATTTCCCGTAATATTTCAGCGCCCGCCCAACACCAGAACCAAAAACACAAACCCCTCCCCCCCGTCACCGTCACTGACATGACGAACCGCTTGTTTGCTCCTCGCAGTGCCTTTCCGTCCAGTGTATCTATTGCCAGCAGATCCGCGCAAAGAACACCTCGCGTCAGAAGCAGCACCTGCTCGAATGTCCCGGCCTCCGCGGTCACACCAACCCCCAAGCTCAATCCCAGTCCGCTCAATCCGCTCCTAATGGCATCGGTCCGGCCAACGGATATCCTCCTACTCCCAACGGTGCTGCGGCCACTGCGCCGGGCGCCGGGCCAGGGCCTGGTGCCCTCGCGACCCCGAACGGGCCCATGATGTCCAACGGCGTCAACCCACATACCACCCCGATGCAGACGCCGCTGCAGAACATGCAAGGTCGCGCTTCCCTGCCGACGTCAGGCCCTGCCGGGGCCACCTCCACGGCCGCTGCCGCGCAGCAGGGCCCTCGTGCGACGCCCAAAGCCAAGCCGAAGAACTCGTCCTCCAGTCTCCCCGCCCCGCCCCTCGATGATGTGCATGCCGCATTTGTGGAGTTCCGTGCGAAGGAGGAAGACAAGGTAAGCCCTGTACCCGGGTGATTTGGCGAAAGCACACCCGCGCGCGCGGTCCGCAGCAGTTCTGACGCGAACTCTTTCTCTCTCTCTCTCTTTCTTATAGTGTCTGTCCGTCCAATGCATATACTGCCAGCAGGTCCGCGCGAAGAACACCAGTCGACAACGTCAACACTTGCTGGAATGTGCCACCTACCTCAGCGTCATGAAGGATTCGATCCCCGCCAATAACCTCCTCCACACCTTCCCCGAGGGCGATGTGGCCCGCTCGCTGCAGATCCCCGCGCCTACTCTCGAGTTGGATTTCCGCATGAGCATCAAGATGAACCCCAAGGTCGCTGTGGGTGAGAGTATCTGGGGTCAGCGTGACTGGGTGACATTTGTGGGAGGGCAATGGGCTGGTAGATGGGGCAAGGGCATCATTCTGGTAAATTCCCTTTCGTGCGGCAGGAAAGGAGGCATTGTAGCATGCTAACCTTATATCCAGCCTGGAGGACAGGACTCTCAGATCGTGACCAAGGAGGCATCCACGAGCCTTCGAGCGAGCTATATGCTTCAGACCGCCGACGATCCACCCGCGTACATAATCGTGAAGACCAACGGATGGTTGACCGGTTCCAAGGACGTCTTGGATAAGGTCAACGACCCCGGTGTCGCCGACGGTATCAACCCCAACACGTATAAATATCGCATCAACCTTTCGATGGAGACCGGAGATGAACGTTATGCATTTTTGAACACTTTGATGTGGATCGGCAGTGGTTGTCGCCGGGGCCAGGAAGGTTAGTGTGAACCCATACCGTCCTCTCGTAGAGTCTATAGCTAATACACACGGACAGTTATTTTCGATGCTTTCCGCGTCAACTGATCTGCCGTGACATCGCAGCTGTTTTGTCCGTTATTAAGCGAGTAGCAAATTTGATTTCATGGGGGAAAATCGCGTCCATCTTCTCTCTACTCTTAGGGAACTCATCTTTACTATCTGTTCCCTTTTTTTCCCTTGTCCAATTCATATCTCTCATCCCTCTCCGACGAGGTTGCGTTGAGTGGTGTTTATGAAAGTTGCGACTTTGTGTAATCCTCCTTAACCTTTCATGTCTTTCACAGATGTGGGATATAAGTGACATTATCCCCACATCAACCAACTAAATCAAGCCACAAGTCTGCTTGAGGTGTTTGTTGGCACAGCACAGCAGCATTGCAGCGGGGAATGTTTCATTATGGGGCTTTTTTTTTTCTCTTTCATTTTTGACATCTTTCAGCATCGACATCCTTTTACTTCTGTTCATGTTCATTTCAGCTCCGACGCTGTCTTCATCTTCATCTTCGATTGTGTAAGGTAATTCGGACTTCTTGTATTGTGATCTTCACCCAGGAAACCCAGATTGTCATGACCATGTGTCCGTCTACTCAGATCTGTTTTTGTATCCGTACTTGTATTGAGGTGTTGCGGACATATTATAGATTTGCAGAATCGAAAAAAGGGAGTTCGATACCTAGTTCTGGTGGATGTAGATTCGTGACTAGGTAGGTGCTGCTGTCGCATCCCTGTGCAAAACCAGAACCAATCTTGGATGTCAGTTTGTTGACAGCCAGTTGATTAGCTCGTCATGCATACATACATACATACATACTACAGGTTCAATACATACTGAAATCATGGATACCTTACCAATTATCCCCGACGATATCATTGGGTTGAGTCTATTCATATCGGTATTTCACCGATGAAGAAAGCTAGCATAAGTTTGTAGATCTAGATAGTCCTGTTCTCTTTACGCGGAAATATATTTAGAATGACAAGCTACTAGTATACTGGTTTTTCCGGCGACGTAAGAAGACTAAGTATTTCGGGGTTTGTTTGTTTCTTTGCGGTTGGTATTTACATCCGGAATTGTCCGTACTAGTACTGTCGATGGGTTATATTACCGAATATCCAGTGTCTGATGACGGCGGGTTGCTGCTGCATGCTGCCCAGTGTAAAATATATATTCTTGGTGCTTTGGTAGGTTTTTTCCCTCCTTCTTCTTTTGGGAGGAGGATGGATTGGTGGGTTTTATGTTTTTATCTCTTACTGGGGACGTTGGGTTAATTTATTTTTATTTTTGGGGTTGGGGTTTGCAAAGGGTTGGGTTTCGGTGTATGGGCGTGGTAGTTTGTGCGGTTATGTCGGAGGGATAATCCATGTGTCTGAAATGGGGTTGGGGATGGGCTTAGTGGAGTGTAGCGTGGATGGAGTCGCTGTCGTTGTATACTGGAGTGGAGTGAGATGGAGTATGTTTGCAGGCGCGGCTGTTTGCCTCCGGTGTTTGGAATTGCTCATTGCAATGTGTATTCGTTTGATGACCAGGGCATTGAGAGAGCGAAGTCATGATTGAAGATGCGTTGGCTAGATCTTAGCCATATGATAAGCATGCTACTCATGACAGACATCATAGTGGACAAATTGAGGTATGGAAGGTTTTGCGGCATTAACAGCGGCCATAGCCGAGCGGAACCTAATCTGAAAAACCAAAAGTATGTATGCAAGAAGTCATCCTAGACTCTGTGTCTCTAAGCTCTTGCTTCGTCTTTAGATAGTCAAGAATTCGAATTCCGCCTCAGACTCTCTCCTGTAAGCAGCTCGGAACTTAATCCAGACTACTTCGGAAGCTGCTTTGATAGGCTTGAGGAACGCCTGCTCAAGGGTGTTTTCGCACCAAGCAGAGTTGCACTGCTCCAAGTCTACATCGAATTGACACTCGATTACAAGTAATTCGAGGTCGGGAGACTTGCATTTCTCGTATTCGAACAGCCCCATTAGTTCTTGCAGCAGCCGGTCAGTTTGCCCAACGCAACACGCGGCAATCTGTAAGGGTGAGAGTCTCCAGACCGCTGGGAAGAACATCTTCGAGGGACATTCTCGATTCGATATTGTCAGGACGGAAGTCCAAAAGATTGACGACATGGGCTCCTAGATGTTGCAATTCAACAAAATCTGCTAATGGACCAAACCAGTTATCAGGAGGATCAAGCTGAGACTCTTGTTCACCCTCTTCATCTTCGCCGAATAAACATCTAGGCTCATTTCGTATTTTATCATTCAGAGAAACCGTTTTGAGACTATGCTTTTGCGTGGAAAGTGAAGTGTGGAATGTTCTCGGCCGAAACTGTCTGTAAGATTTCTCGTAGGCCCGTACTGGTATGTTGCCATTCAAAATGCTCGAGGGTCCGATTCCGACATGAGCTTATGAGATCCATCATACCATACCTTCCATTGCCGCATAAGCAAAGAAAGACTGTCGATAATGTCCTCGGTACAAATCTAACCCCTGGGATAGCGCTATCATTCGGGCTGTGCGATTCAATCACCCCATCCAGATCGGCGCTCTTCAAAGACTGAAGCAGAAAAAGAGGTAGGAACTCTTTCGCTTGGTACGTGGTTCGGTAGTTCGCCACAATCTTCAAAAACCCTAGTTGGTGCAGGATTGGCATACTCTCGAAAGGACCCTCGCGTAATGCAGCTCGTGAAACGATGCAACGAACGAATTTACCGCCAAATTTTGAATGAAATATCGCTATGCACTTCAGTGTCAAAAGCAGTGCGAACCACGCATCATTATTGCCTTTCTCCAATTCATCTTCCCACTCTGCAACCTCAGCTTGCGAATGGCTGATGTCCTTGATCCAGCTGCGGAATTTGGAGACGTTGTGTGTGGCTGCCTTGAAACGTGGATTATAAGACCATAATGTCAGAATATTGATACAAGATTCGTTAGATGGATTCTCTTTCAGAGCGACCACCAGAGACATGATCTGGGGGCCATCCAATCGAACCTGGGAGTAGAATGTTGGAAGGAGTACCGAGCGCCAGCGACGAGATGCAAGCAGCAAGGATATCCTGAACTTGAAGTCCCACGGCTCAAAGGTCGATTGGGCGATCATAATTAAAGCCTCGTGCGGTAGCTTGTTCATCACAAAACTGTTGTTGAAAGTAAAGACGGTGTATCTCACTGATATAGCGAAACGGCTTCGCGAGGAATGGAAAAAGACCCTTTGGCCTCAAGAGTCGAGCCGAAAGAGGTGAGTTTCTGAATCGTATACATATGTAACGAGAAAAAGACAGGATGAACGAAGATCATCGGGATAGTAAATTTCTCTGCTGGTTCAGACTAACTGATGTATAAGGTAAAGAAACGTAAAGATTGAAGTACCAGGTATGCAAATATCTGTATTACCTTAGAAAGGGTGTTCCGTTACTGAACTCTGAATTTAGTATGTTTTGTAAACGCGCCGGTACTGCCTGAGTGGTAATCGTAGGTGACCTGCAAGATCAAGATAAGCAGTCGATGCTCGTTGCGCTAGCCGTTCGAGCGCAGTGCGTCTTTAGCTTGGACTGAGACACGATTGAATAACCTGAGGTCAAAGCTTTGGAAGCGAAGTCAAGTGTATTAGAGAGAGGAGAAAGACGAACAAAGGATGAGATGGTCGTGGGTGAGGGCAGAGTGAAGGTAAGGATGGGTGCAGGAATGAGTGTTGTTTTGACAAACGACGAAGACTTGAGGTGTGGTTGATGGCCTGATGGGTGGGTGCAGGCAGCCAACGACCAAACGCAATAGGCACAACACTGACTGAGGTGCACTGTATCCGGGAACTTCAACTGTAGAAGACGAGTGCAAAAGACCTTCCCACCTCTTTTTTGTCAACTCCTCCGCCCGCAACTTCTCTTCCTGGTATGAAGTTTACCCTGCACTCACCTGCGTTTCACGCAGGTCCATATTGCTTAGTGCCCCTTCTTACGCAGTCCCTAAGTTGCCCTTTCAACTGATCCCATGCTTTCAGAGAGCCTGCTTGACATCATATCGCCCCAGTTGCTGATGCATTTTGAGGGCACTTGCCCGAGCCCAAGAATCTACCAGAGAGTCTACCGGAGTGTGATAAAACAACCTACAGCTTCAAGCTCCCACAGAAATGGTATCTTGATCTGTGGGGCTCAATGTTAAGATGACTTGACAGTAACTGCAGAACGATAACGAAGAGATGCCCTTAACGAAGCCAAACAAGCAAGACCTGAAACCGGGGCTAAATTGCACCTGTCTCTATCACACTGAAGGATAGAGCCTCGAGCCATCCTACAGAGCGAACAGCAGCATTTCGTCACACGCACATCACAAGAGAACGGGACAGGTCGCGGAGAATATGGACCTTGTCGCAAACGAGATGGGCAGGCTTCTCGGTCGAACCGCCGGCGAAAGTGTTGGTTGGATTCAGCCTCCATCACAGAACAATGAACTAGGTTTGCAAGGACGATATGAAAGCTTTCCAAAGCTCCCACTGTCCCGGTTGCAGTATGAAATCGGCTAAAAGAGGCCTCAAATGCTAAATATACAAGGTTGACATCAAGCGGACAGTAAAACTTCTTCATTGTCATATCTCATTGATTTACATGACCGGCCAGCTACCCTAGAAGCCTGCGAAATGAATTAGCCAGGACTCAGGCAACTGAGCGATGGGATCTTTACATACCCTTTTCCGTGTTACCTTCCCCCATACTCCTGCTGCTGCTACTCCCACTCTGAATAGCTCCCAGGATGCCATCCAAGTAGGGCGCTCCGCTCCAATTCTGGTGAGTAAGGACATCCACGCCCAGCTCCTTCTCCCGAGCTTGAACCATGCGCACGTACGCAAGCATACCATCTTCCTTGAAAGCCCGCGAGAGCTCCGTTGTGATAGTGGCGTTGCTATGCAACCCGGCCAGCGAGATGAGTTGAAGTACAAATCTATTCCGGTTAGTTTCCGATTCTCTCGAGAGGGCTTCTTTACTGACCCGTGTTGTGCCAGATCCCAGATAAATGATTTAAGAGACGCTTCGTCGAAGCCTTGTCCCATCCAGTTGAAGGACGGACTCAGGTTGTATACCAGCTTCTTACCGGGATGCGCCTTGCGCACCTCTCCTGCCAGTGACGCCGCCTTCGCAACATTAGGGTCACCGGTCTCAACCCAGAGAAGGTCCGCATACGGTGCGAACTCCCGTGCACGCTTTGTGGCGGCAGGGAAACCAGCACGGTAGTGATAGTAACCTTCCCGGGTGCGAGGACTATCACAAGACCAGATGACCGGCTTCTTCGCGTAATCGCTGGCCAGAACTCTGCGGCGGGAGATTGACATATCGGGATTCTCTTGCACGTGCTTTTTGTACGCATCTCGGGCGGGCTGGGGAGCCTTTTCTGCTTCGAGATGTGCGTCGACGGCTAGTATACCATTGAGTGATTAGCTACATGTGCTGAGAGGGATGAGTTAGACGACAAACCTTCATCGAACGTGACCAGTTTGTGTTTCTTGACCCAGTCTGATTCATAGGCGTCGATCTCCGAAGGAGCAGCTCCCTCCCGTTCCATAGCCTGCAAGGTCTCGGCGAGTGGCTCGACCTCCTCCGTCACCCCAAGAATGAATTCATGGTCGCGAACGTCGATCGCACTACTGATTAGCCGGCCGCTTTCTGAATCTGTGCGGGCAATGAGCAGGTTCTCGGTGCCCATAAGATCCCACTGGAAGCGAGCTGCGACCAGTCTATTGATATGCTCCCCAATTGGTACAAGGACTTTGCCGGCAAGGTGACCGCATTTCTTTCCGCCGTGGAGCTGATCTTCAAAGTGGACTGCAGCAGCACCGTTCTCAGCGAAGAGCTTGGCCAGCTTCAGCACAGCGGAGAGTCCGCCATGTCTGTGTTAAACGTCGGCAAAGTAAGTCCATGCTGAATCAAACCAAATGCAGACCACATACCCTGTATCACCGTCAGCCACGATCGGCCGCAGGTAATCAACGTAGGGAGTAGACTTCCGCTGTTTGGCGGTCAGCTTCCGCCTAGCGTCCCACTGTTTCCGATCGTGCAGTTGCTGTGCCTTGAACAATCGCTGAACCTGGTTGGGCACAGTATTGTAAGGATAGTCGCCAAAGTCGGGAGACACTTCATTGGTCGAGGTCAGGAGAGACGAGCATGCCCATCCGGAAACGTACAGCACCTCCTGGTGGGGTGCCTGCTGCGTCATCTGGACCGGATCAATAGCGCCCACTTGGATAGGTATAACTGTTAGCGCACCCGATACTCATTAGTCTGAGGGACCGTTGGATAGCTACACACTCGTGTGAACCGGCTTTCCTTCTGCCGCCTTCTCGTTCAACAGGTGGAAAAGTTTCCTGGCCATCAACGAACTCGGGTAGGTTTGTTGTAGCGAACCGCGTTTGCTGACAACATCCGCGGCGGAGTACGGCCGCTTGATGCCTGCGAAGCGGGGCGATCGCCACCATTCTTCCACATCTTTGATCTGCTGTTCGTATAGAGCATCCTCAGCTGGCCCGGTCTTGTCTACCGTCGATAGCAGTTGATATGAATCCGCAGGTAACGCTGCTGAGACGGGCGGTTCCACGGCGGAGAGCGACGATGCCGACATCCGCGGATAACCGCATGTGAAGGAGCGCACGGCGAAACGCGAGAGATTGCCCTCGGGGCGGTGTCGTAGGGGGATGGTTCGAGGGAGTCGACGAGGGATAGAGCGAAGCATTATTCAAAGCAGCTTTCAGATACCACAACGGTGTTCATTAAATGTCGAGGGAGGGGAAAGTCGAACAAATCTGGGGAGAGGGGGTCACTTTAAGGTGGAACTCGGACCGAGCACCGTTTCAAGCCGGCAGATCACCAGCCTCGGTCTGGGGGCGGGCAAATCCACAATCCGCAATACCCGCTTAATCCGGGGTGGCTGGTAGTTACTAGTTCACAGATTATAACTTACGCCATTACAGTACGCGCAAAGCTAGTTCGCTACTGGAAATTGAGAACGAAATGCAATACCAGCTGAAATTGTATTGACGTGGTTTTGATGTTTTACTTATTTCCATGAAATGGTTTAGACGCGTCTAAACGAGGAAAAGTGTATGTCACGCAACAAGAGAGGGAAAAACGTTTCGTTCAGGATCATGAAACAAGAGATGATGCAGGGATCAGACGTGTCCTCGAAATTCTCTTCATCAAAGATCATGTCCTCTCTTCACAGCCCAGCAACGCTTCACTCGCGTGCCATCTCAGTCACAAGAGAACGGAAGTTCTGATCACCGAGGATCTTGCAGAACTCTTTGTGGCTGCGAAAGTTCCAGCAGGCCACCTGACAAGCCTGACGCAGGAACGATTTAGCAAGCTCTTGTGATAGAGATGTCAAATCCATGCGGGAAAGACGAGAGGGGGGCTCCTTACCACACCACAGTATCCGACAACACCGCAGTCCAAGCAGGTCACGATAGGTTTAGGCTCGTGGCCACACCAGTGACACTTCTTGTGGGGAGCAAAGTTCAGAGGCCAGGTTTTCATCACATCACTCAGATGGAATATATCGTCCAACGGCGATGGGAGCAGCTTGACACACCGGTTAGTATGACTTTGATCGAAATAGACAGCCATCCGGGCCACGGGGCTAAACTTTCATACCTTGATGGAACGATAGTCGTGGAGACACATGCCGTAGACTTCATGTCCGAACTGATGCTTGCGGGCGTGCATGACGGCGATGGTATATCCGACCTTCAGGTGGGGCGACTCGCTCAGAGCATGGCCGTGGTCCGGTCCCTCGAACCTCAAGGTGACCATGTGGAGATCGTTGCTACGCGTTCCGATGACCAGAACGGGACGCTTCTGAATGGACAGGATCTCGAGAAGGAGACAGCCATCTGTTCCGGGTGTGGTTTCGCCGGTGTCGAGGTCTTCGATGGGGATATCCGCGAAGCCGGGGAAGTGTTCGATGTCCCGCAAATCAGGATACTGCAAAGCCATCTTCAAGGGTGGTGGTGGCTCTTGAGGGATAGCAAGTGATGATGGCAATAAGAGCGAGAAGGATGGAAGTGGGAGAAGTGGTGTTTCAAGGTGATGTCTCTGTTGTGAGGAGGGATAGGAAAAATAAAAAGGAAACACGCTGGGCGATTCAGTGCACGACTCAGCGCCGAGACCAAGAGATTTCCAAGACGCATTCACTAAGTTGTTTTAGCCTAGTCAACATCTTTGGAGCATACCCATTAAACGTTTGACTGTCTGAACACTTCTGATCGCTGTGATGCTGATCTTGTTATACTAAGCACCCACAAACAAACAGAGAAAATATACTCGACACGATCACATACATGACTCGGGAACTCCGCTCGAAGGCTTTCTTTTATGTATTATGATATCTTTGGCGTAGTAGGAACATTTTATAATTAAGATAGGTGAGTTCCAGTGAGAACCAGGATAGAGCAAAACAAGAAATGGTAGGTTAGCTATTTGGGGTATCACCAAAAGAGTGCCTGATTCAACGAACTTTGGAAAGCATATAAGCTGTAAATCCGGTATAATGAAGCATCTATGTAAATCAAGCTGAGTTGTGGTAGAACTACTATAATAAACACCATGGATCTGAATGCAGAGATTTGGATCCTAAACACCAGATGACTAGCCATTCAGCGGGGGGAGACCTATCTCATATGCTTCTGTAATAGCCTCAGAAGTGCTGGTCACAAAGATATACAGTATAAAACCCGATATAGGTCTTTTGGATATCAGCCATATAACTCAGTATGAACACGCCTGCTGTGGTGCTAGATATTTCCGCCAGAATGTCTAGCTCAGACCGGTTGCGGTAACACTGCCTCAAACTACACAGCGTTCTTCCAAAATGGATCTTGACGTCAATGAATGAAGCAAGATATACCGTTGCTTGAATATGATGTGCTTGGTTCAAGTATTCGATTGACATATCCGGCCTCTATAGGCTTGAAATTCGTACACACGGCATAGAAAAGAGTTATGTGCTGCGCTAGATAATGATGAGGAAGCCGACACTCGCAGATAGGAGTATATGCAGCGGTGAAGACACCAGCGTATTAGAGGACCTTATGATGTGTCAGAGCGTACATGTATGAAAAGCTCACTAAATTAGGCATAAGAGCAATTACCGCGATATTTTGACGAGTAGTATGTATGCTTTCTGTGCATGTCGACTAGAATGCGTACTTCAGTGCTACGTGAATGATGGAATTGCCTTACATTGCGCCAGACCATACAATCGGAATCTGACTTGATGACGTGGCAAGCCGAGATTTATTTTCTGAGGTATCCTTGCCTTCCATTCCATCCATTCGGTCCTTTACTGCCACGATGTCATTTCAAGACAAAATTCCCCGCAGGAGGCATGTAGCAATTCCTGTTATAGTCCGACAAAGAGAGACTTAGCTCTATATAACCAAGAGAGAGAGGTGGGCTGTGAAATAGCGGGATATGAGCTGTGCAACAGGGCTAACCCCATTGAAGGATTTGAAAGAGGGGCTCAGATGTCTCGTGTTGACCGATTGCACCTAATGGCGGGATATGCGCGGAATCTGGACTTAAGCCCACCGATGAACTTTCGGAGCATAAAAGCGGAAGGAAATCCTGGTAGCTTCGAGAGTGACTTTGCTTATTTCTATTCCTAAAAGTTTGACACCACAATCAAGCCAAGGAAAATGTGTGGACTGACGGCTTTCTTGGCTCTGAATGAAGTTGACACTGACCAAAGCATCTCTGCTTCCTCCCAAGCGCTAGCGTCCCAGATAAATGACAGTTTAGACTTGGTCAAGCATAGAGGTCCCGATGCGCGGGGGCAGTGGATAAGCCTCGATACTCGTGTGGGTAGGTCAGGGACATGTATTCCACTGTGTAAGCCAGCTAATATAAGTCGAAGGGCTTGGTCATGTACGCCTTTCGATTATCGATCTTAGCCCAGCCGGCAACCAGCCATTCCACGATAAGGATAACCACATTCAAGCTGTTGTGAATGGAGAGCTTTATGACTATGAGCGGATTCGGAATGAGCTCGCCGATGAGTATGAGTTCGTCAGCAAGAGCGATAGTGAAATTGTCATTGCGCTTTACCGCCGTTATGGACTTTCCTTTCTCTCCCGTTTGAGGGGAGAGTTTGCTTTGGTACTCTGGGACGTGAAACAAGAGCGATTTATAGCTGCGCGAGACAGATATGGCATCAAGTCGCTCTACTATACGGTGATCAATGGAAGGCTTCATGTCGCAACTGAAATGAAGTCTTTTTTGCCGTTCGGATGGACCCCAGAATGGGACGTTGCTAATCTCAGAGGAATGGGGTGGGTTTACGGAGCGAATATGTTCTTCAAGCACGTGCACCGCGTAGGTCCAGCCTCTGATTTGGGGAGCGCGGGTTATTTGAACCTGACTGAAAATCTAGATTGAACCTGGTCAAATGCTCGTGAGTGACCATTTCCAACCTGCGCAGCTTACGACCTACTGGGATTTGGATTATCCAGACAAGGTTAACGATATCCATCCTATAGAAGTGTACATCGCTGACAGTGAACAGAAACTGGCTTATCCGGGCACAGAGGCTGAGGTAATTGCACGAGTGCGAGAGTTGCTGCTCGAGTCAGTGCGGCTTCGGCTTCGTGCTGATGTGGGTGTTGGTGTTTTCCTAAGCGGAGGGCTCGATTCTTCAGCAGTTGCAGGCATGACAGCACACTTGATGAGGCAGGGAACAAATCTTGGAAATGAAACAACCAGCGACACCTCAAAGTTGAGCTGTTTCACGGTCCAATTCGAGAAGGATTCTGGGATCGACGAGTCTGGTATGTGTCTCCCCACCTCAAGGCACTTCTCTCGCGATAGCCGACAACCTGACAACCTGCATAGAGATTGCCCGACGGACTGCAGAGTGGCTTGGTGTCGACTTCCACGCAGTATTGCTGGATGAAGAGACCATTGCGTCTAGGCTGGAGGACACAATTTGGTACACGGAGACTCCATTCCCCGATGTGGATGGGATGGGTCGATTAGCCATTGCAGAAGCTGCTCGCGCCGCTGGAAAGAAGGTTGTGCTCACAGGTGAAGGGTCAGATGAACACTTCGCAGGATATGCTGACCTGATGTGGAGCTATCTGAGTGAGCCAGATCATTCATGGCCCGCGTCTTCAGCTATCCATGAGAAAAGAGAAGAAATAGAGACTGCCATCAACCGAGTGATGGCACAGGCAGTTTCAAGAGTAAGAGTGACCAGTAAGTCTGACGCTGTGCACAGTCCCAGTCACGCCTCTCTATTTGCCAGGATAGCTTGGTTCGGAAGACTACCTTTTCAATCATGGACGGAACAAAACACCCACGGTGACCCAGAATCGTCTTTCTTCCAAAGCTTTGGTAGGAAGATCGTCGATAATATGGAACAGAGATGGCATCCGCTCAATTCATCACAATACCAGTTCACTAAGTCAGTCCTGGCAAACTGCATTCTTCGATATATCGGCGACAACATAGACATGGTATATCAGATTGAGACGCGACCTCCATTTCTAGACCATCACCTCACAGAATACGTGAATACTATCCCGCCAAGTCTAAAAATAAGATATGACCCAGAGAGGAGGATCTTCCGCGAGAAGCATGTCCTTCGCGAAGCCATGAGACCTTTTATCACCCATGAAGTCGCGAATCGCGTGAAGCAACCTTATCTCGCTCCGACCAGATACAAGGAGAACGGACCTGTGTATCATACCTTGAGGCGGTTACTCACAAAGAGCAATATTCAGAACCTGGGTTTCATTGATTGGAACCAGGTCCAGGAGACCTTCAAGAGAGCTTTTAGTGACGACGACCCTAGTGCCTTCAGAAGTACACTAAGTGTCGCCCAGCTTGTGGTGCTGGCCCAGAGGTTTGGGGTGAAGCCGGCAAGCCCGGTCTGGTCTGTTGTAGAATCTCCTTTTGATGATATGTGAAGTCCATATTGCAAACACTCTTGTTATCTGTCTACCTGGTAATGATGTTCAGTAAAGCTAACATACCAAAACAAATAATCTAATATGGTCCAGGTTCCCTGTTTGCACGACGCGCGATATTTTGTCAAGTATGTAGAGGCTAGGGCAAGAATAGTGCTCAGAGCAATTGATCAACCGTGGACACTGAGTAAAATCATATAGAATATTTCCGTGTCAATGATTGACCATATCTAGAGCCACATGATCCATTGCTACGAGGCGTTCGTTGAATACGGTCTATTATCTCTCTCCTTTCATGTCGCAAGTAAAGAGCTTTGAATCCAAAGAATATAGTGGGAGAAGTGAGTATCCATGACCTGCAACAGAAGTCGCTGGCGCTACAGAAGTGGGAGGTTTCATTTTAGTTGGTATTATGATGGTGACTGATCCGTAGTTAGCATATGTCCCTAAAGTCAGAGACTCGGTATAATCTGCCTGGTTGTATGTACAGTACATTCATACTCTTATCTCCTAGCACTACTTTGATACCGGACAGTCCACGTACTAGGTGAACGCTATTACCTTCGTGCACTGTCGTTGTTTCAACCTGGGCTAGAACGCCTGCGTCTTCCTGTCATCTCTGTCGTAGCGTGCGGAGAACTTATCGGACCCCTCGTTGATCGACGGGCTTGCAATCTCCACACCTCACTCCCGTCTGGAATCAATAGCCAACCGCAGCCCAACGATAATGAGTGCGCGGCAGAGGCGATATCAAGCGTTTGCCGCTGACCGAGGATCCCCTGTTAAATGTTCGAGCATACGTCATGCTCCATCTTTGTTGGACTCGGAGCATACATTCACAACCTCAGCCTTATGCTGTAACATGGATCCAGGATACTACCATTCAGGCTGCAAGTGCTCGCTCAATGCCATCCAGGTAACCAGCAGTGCATATCCTCCCTCCATCGGTTAACAATCTGGATCGCATAGAAAAGCTTGATTGTCACACCTCATGTTACACGCAACTGCGAATCATACAAACGACAAGGATAATTCGGAACGCGAACTATTGTCGCTTGGGCAGAAGCTCAGGGTTCTCCGCGAACACTGCAGAGAAACACGAGGTTGACAGATGTCTCGATAACCATGTTTATCACAGGATCGTGGGTGGTTCCGAAGCTGAAAGTATTGTCCAACATCGTTCAACATGCGGTGACCCTGCAGGCTCGGTCTAGAATTGAACCATAGCACTTAGAATTCGTGGGAATCGAGTGAACGGCCTGGTCGACTGACCATATGCCTTCTTGGACTAAGCCATGTGTGGTCAAAGACCCCCTCGCATACGGCTGTGCGCCGAGGATTGGTGGTCGGCAATTAAGAAGGTTACTGCTGGCTAGACTTTCTCTTTGTCCAACCCTAGCGAGCGTGCGACCGGCCGAATCTAATTGAGGTGCGCGTAAATAGTAAGGATCAAGCGCTCATATAAATCCCCAGTCATGTTTGCATTCACTTACCCAGTGAGAGTCGCAGTAGGCGCGTTGCTTGTTGTAGGCGAAGTAAGTCTGTGAGAGACATCGACACCACGAAGAGAAGCAAGCCCACGTAGCATGAGAATTGGGAGGAGTCAAGGCTAGTATGCAGTCAACTGCAAGCTACAGAAAGTACCGAGGCGGGAGGGTCACGGGGATCTCCTCCCACCATTCCGGGTAGCCGTGACCAGTCGAACCTCGCCGATTCCTCTCGTTTCTCCAACTCACTCCTCGTGTGGCACCCCCTCATTTTCCTGCCGACTACTGGGACCTCTTGCATGCTGAATTGCATCTCCCTGCAATGGGAGTGCCGGGTTAGCTGTATCTTCTTCCGTTTCTTAATTGATAGCCCGAAGAAAGATTGGTGGATCGGTTGGGTTGTGGGATGTTGAATATGGGATGGATGTGTTTGCCTCCCACCCCTCCCCCGCCATCCACTATCATCGAGCAATGCAGGAAAGGAACAATTTCAGCTCCAATCGTTCTGGCTTTAATGCAGTCCCGGCTTTTGTCTGAGCTCCTGGCTTGAACCGACAAATCCGCCTTGTACAACTCGCACCAGCTGTCTCCGCAATCTGCTGCTCTAGTGCGACTCTTATCACCCTTATGGCGCTTTCTCCTCATCATCCGGGGCCTTGTCGGGGCACTGAGTTATCTATCATCCACCCACACCTCTCCTATCTCCACTGCATACCCTGCCATCTGGCCCATCTAAAGAGTCTTATCTCGGTGAACACAAGGATTGGGCAGATCGTGTTTTCTCGTTCCGCTGCCCATCGAGATTATACCCGGCGGTGTTATTCTTTCTAGCCGGATAAACGACCACACTTCTAGCCTTCTCTTTCTTTTCAATCGAATACCACCACGTTGTTCCTGGCGGAGTTCATGCCATCATCAGATCCATTTCGGGCATGGAAAACATAAAAATTCCTTCTCCGTCTGCTATTCTAGACATCCGCCCTTCTCATTCCTTCACTGAGGGGCCCTCTAAACCTACCACTTCTCCCTCCCAGAGACCCATCGCAGGCCAGGTTACTTCCAGGGACCCTAACAAACCGAAACAGTCAAAAAGTCGTAACGGTATGGGACCATTATTCCTAGTAAATCATAATGAAACGACCGAGGGGACGTGGGTTACGAGCGTGTGACGCTCAACTATCATGGGAGAAACAGCACGATCGCTCTCAGAGTCCGCAGTGCGCTGACATTGCTATCAATTTTTACTCAGGCTGCATCACTTGCAAGGCAAAACGACTGAAATGTGACGAGTCAAAGCCGACCTGCCTTCAATGCAAGAAGCGGAAGGTGGAGTGTGGAGGGTACAAAAAAGATTTCAAGTGGCGTCCTTTCGAAGAAACCAATATAGGCAGCAAAAGTACCTCGACGAAGGGCAAGAAAGGTATCTCACTTGTTTCGCATTTTTTGGTTCTAAACTTCGCTGACATACATATTCTTGAAGCTACCGCATCTCCACCTGGTCGGAAGTCCAGTCATGATCTGTCCACATCTCCTAGCTCACAGTCTACAGAATCCTGGTCGAGGACTCAACGTAATGTTTTGCCTCTATCTTCACCAAGGAGAGGAAGGTCTGCGCTCACTCTTGGCTCACCAGAAGAGGATGAGGCGTCTTCCAACCGTGGAGAGCCAGCTCCATTACAGCCACATCATCTCTTCGTCCCTGCAGATGAGCTTATAGGCTCACTGGATATAGAAAGTCTCGATGAAGGAATTCTTACGCCTTCGATAACAGATATTCCGCCTTTGGACATTTCCACATGCCTCTCCGATGTATCTATGTCTATAGCGGGCACACAACCGAGTAGTACCCGACATAGTGGCTCTCATCACCAAAGTCCGCAAAGACACCACAGCTTCAGCTTTGAGGCCTTGATGGAGGTTGAGGATGATGACATTGAAGAAATCATTAGGAAATCAGAGCAGCCTCTGAGATCTGGTTCCTTGGGAAGCATCGAGTGCAATGGTCCGGCACACCCCAACAGCACAATCATCACGCCCGATATCCTTTCAGAGCCCGCTTTTAGTATGGTCAGTCCAGAAATGCTGGTGCTGCAATTTGACAGGTTCACGTGTGGTATATTGTCTGTGAAAGACGGTGTCCATGAGAACCCGTGGCGGACGTTGATTTGGCCCCTAGCTAGAGAGACTCCAGCGCTGTATCATGCCGTCTTTTCACTGGCAGCATTTCATTCAACCAAGGAGCTCCCCGGCCTGAGGGTTCATGGAATGGATCATATGCGGCAGAGCATCACCTACATGGTACATGACATACAGAATATGAGAGCAGATGCAGCCTTGGCTACGAGTCTAGCCCTGGCATTTGCGGAGACCTGGGACCAGCATACGCGCACATGTATCCCGCACTTGCGGGGGGCCCAGGCTTTGGTGTCACAGGTTGTGGGATTTGGTGTTCAAAGCGATTTGTGCGGCAGTGACCGTGACAGGGTTCGGTTTCTGTATAACACTTGGCTTTACATGGATGTGATTTCTCGCCTGACTTCCCGGGAAGAATCCGGGGATCAGGAAGTAGATACCTCTGCCTTCCAGTCGCCCAAGGATGCAGTGCATGAGATCGATCCTTTGATGGGTTGCGCAACAACCCTTTTTCCGTTGATTCATCAAGTCGCACGCCTGATCCAGCGGGTTCGCAAGACAGAGTCAAATTCACTCTCTATTGTCTCGCAGGCGATAGAATTGCAACGCCTCGTCGAGCAGTGGGAGCCACCGAGCTGCTTCGAACCCCCAGATGACCCAACGTCGGAGGTACAGCATAGCATCCAGACTGCGCATGCTTACCGCTGGGCCACACTCTTGTATCTCCACCAGGCAGTCCCTGAGATGCCCTCCGAACCAGCGTCAGATTTGTCCAAGCGAGTCCTAATGCTGCTCGCCACGGTTCCGCCCAGTTCCCGCGCGACCATCGTTCAAATGTTTCCTCTTTTAGCGGCTGGATGTGAGGCGGAACAAGAGGAGGACCGCCAGTGGGTTCTTAATCGATGGAAGGCGATTCAGTCACGTCTCATGCTTGGGTCTATTGATCGTTGCATCGAGATTGTTTGTGAGGTTTGGAATCGCCGAGATGCCGTATCGAGCGGCAATCAAGTACGAGGATCTCGCGGGCTTTCTGAACATCCTGATCACTTGGCTACAACGAAGCTTGCAAACGAGAGAGCAGCATATGTAGGTCGCGGGCCAGGGGAGCATGGTTTCATCAGTGATCATGCTAGTGAGGCGTGGAGAAGATCGGTCATGGCAGGGCGGGCTCCTTTCAAGGGTCCTTCCGGCAAGCCACGACGAAGCTCAGTGATCTCTCCACTGGAGAATATAGAATTCGAGAGGACTGTTCGAGGAAGCTTGCACTGGGTCAATGTGATGGAGGAATGGGGCTGGGAAGGTAAGCTTTGTCTTTCGCATCGTGTATGATTCTGCTTGTTTGGGTCATACTCTCAAGAAACCTTTCATTCATGATATTGTGGAGAATTCCGGCTCATATATACAGTGTTTTTGGGATGAGGTTTGAGGGCAAATAGGCAAGTCTTCAGCAGGCCTGACGCGGTGGATCCCCCAGGACTGATTGCCTCGGACCAGGACGCCTGTTGTCTCTTACCCATTCCGAACTCGTCTGCTCCCGTCGCAGATCTTGCCGTTCACGAGGATGGGTAGTATTACCTGCACTGTCTTCGGGCTCTGCATCGGCTCCGTGTGGAGGTCTGCTCTGGGCTAGGTACGATCGAAGGGAAGCCAGGTACGGCTCCAGCTCGCTCGTCATGGATACAGTGGCCATTGCTGCGCGGGGCTGTGAAGCGGCGACTTTGGGCTCTGCCGAATGGGCGGCCAGGACGACGCAGTGGGTTTGTGACTTCTTGAGTGTATAGTTCATGTTCATCCTCAGATCGACCGGGCTTACAGATCTGGATTGGAATGATTAGCATGGCGTTCCGAGTTGGATTTCTTTTGTCTGGCGAATCTCAATCACATTCTATGTGGATTGGTCGGCAATCCCTGGTGTAGATTTGTTTTTGCTATGGCTCTTGCTGCGGTGGGGTCTTCTTTTGTAGTTGTTGCTAGGGTCTTTATAACGATTTGGCGCGTGGGAGTGAGATGACTGTCGCTGCGTGAAGAATTTGGACGGATCGGTTTAGGATGATGTGGACATTATCTCAAGTATGGAAGAAAAGGCAGTTGGTGCAGTGAACAGTAGTCGGTCGACTCGGGTTTGACTGTCTACTAGAATGTACCGATGGGGCCGTTCGCAGCTAGGACAGGTGAAGGACAATGTGTGCGTGTATGAGTTGTCTTGGGCCTTTCCCGATGAAAGGGCTGCACAGGACGAACGATCACTTTTTTTGCATAGGGCGGATATTCTGCGCGTAGTTAAAGATTCAAAGAATGTCGCTTGGGCTGTTTCTGTTTCTGTTGCTGCTGCTGTTGTTGCTGCTGCTGCGAGATAGTTGCGTTGCGAGTGATCGAGCTTGTCTCGCTATAAGCATCAGCTACAAAAAGAAACTGAACACAGAGGGGGCGGTCGCGGGCGACTAGCCGGCTATATAAGACAGGGATCTCTGACAACCTCGGGCTTTTCTTTTTTCTTGTGATTTTGTTCGACGTATAGGGAATAGTTGGGTTGGGGTTTTCGTGATTGGGGATTTGAGTTTCGATGGGCTGATCCGGGTGATGGGGTTGCGAGAAATACCTTAAGGTCTCTGAATGACGGTAGAGATGCATGAAGTTTCACTGGTGCTTTTCTGGGGGTTGAGTAGGGTGTAGTGAGAAGAAGTGTGGATTGTACAGTAGGGAGTCAATTATGCGGGCTGTGCAGTGAGGGCGTGGCGTGGAAGGGACCGAAAAGGGCTCTGTGCACGGGATAGGTAGGTATAAGCTTGGACTCGACTCCACTCGGACTCGAGAGAAAGAGCTGGAGGTGTTCAAATTGCCCCTCTTTGCTACACATGCAATCTTTCTTCTTGTGGTTTGCGCTACTATGGGTTGGGCAGTGCAAATGCGTAGAACTAAGGTACATTGCCTGTACTGCAGTCTTTAGGGGTATTTTGCCCTCTCTATTCTCTGTCTTTCTGGTAGACTGGCTGCATCATGCATAGGCCGTAAAGATCGGATGATGAGTGCTCAGTCTCTTCTTTTTCTTGCTGCGGTGCACCCACCCACCACTGCACTGCTCGCTGCTTACAGAATATGCCCACTCATCCAATGACCAAAAAGCGACCGCGGTGCAGTGCAATAGAGTATCTACCTAGGTTATAGGTAGGTTATGCTCGCGACCTTCCTTACCAGGCAGTAGTAACATTTCCCTGGCTTATGTGATGCGATAGTAGATAGCGAGTGAGGACGGAGCGTTTATCATGCCTGATACATGTAGATTGTAGATAAGTATGTTCTCCCCCACATTTGACTTTGACAAGCAGCGGAAGTACTAACCCATCCGGGCAAAAGTTTCCTGGCTCTCTCTCTTTCCCTCTCATGTCGGTCTATCTATCTGTGTGTCTCTATCGATACCAGGACCAAGGCCGATCGGGAGAAGCCCCGATTGCTAGTAGGCTTTTTGCCCCTCCCTTCTTCTCCTATCGATCCTCCCCCGCTTCTGTCCTGTTCTCTATGAGTATGTTGTATCTTTCCACCTGCAGGACTCCGGCGGATCTGGCTATTATCTCCCATCCAGGTCAATAGCACGCAGTCCAAAACCAAAAGATCAGGATTGACCCCGCCACCCCTCATCGAAGCAATGAATGCTTACCCCTCAGTTGGAGAAATTCCGCCGGAGAATCATGAATCTCCTACTGTAGAAGTTGAATCCGTGGATGAGAATCAATCCGGCATGGCCTTCTCATGCCCTCAGCAAAGGGCGACGAGGGGTGTTGACTATCTATGATAGAGAAGAGCTTCTCTCACTCTCGATAGCATCATCGATGGTATAAAACCATCGGATCGATCCCACCTAGTTGATGCCATCCAGACCTCGAAACCAGATTCATCGTTGTTTCATCTCGACCAGACAGACCCGATTCTCCAAGCACAGACCAACCTCTAATCACCCGCCGCAAAGATGCCCGTCGCGTTCAAGTACCACCCCCAGGCGCAGTCCACGTACAAGCCTCCGCTCATCGCAAATGAGAATGCCTTCCTCGGTGACGTGGATTCGACGTGAGTTTTTTTCTCTTGTTTTTGTTGTTGTCTTTCACCTCTTGTTTCATTTTTGTTTTTGCCTTGCTGTTGTCCAATGCAAGTGCGCGCACAGTCCTCGCATCCTTATGCAAGGATGGTGAGAGTTGTGGAGGTGATTGTTCTTGTTGACTGACCGGATGAAACCACAACCTGCAGGGACGACTACAATCCGGACAAGCCCATGTCGGCCGGCTTCTATCGATTGGAGAAGGGCACCCCGCTGGTCTACGAGTACTCTTACGATGAGATGAAGATCATCCTCGAGGGCGAGTATGAAATTGCCGACGAGACTGGGCAGAAGGTCACGGCCAAGCCCGGCGACGTCTTCCACTTCCCCAAGGGTGCCAAGATCACCTTCACGACTCCATCCTATGGGCTGGCTTTCTTCGTAAGTGCCGTTCTTTTTCTTTTTCACTATTGCCCGACCCCTTATTGCCGAGACGTCAGTGGAAAGACACAGTCGCTAACTGCAATGGGGATGGGTAGACGGGACAACGGGCCAAGGGCGTTTTGTAAGAAGCCGGAAGAAAGAAAGAAAGAAGAGGGGGAGGGGAAGATGAGAGGGTGATGTCATCCTTGGTGCCTTGGCCTTCCTTGCTAAATAAGGGCCGGGAGGGCTGAAGGATTCAGCCTAGACCAAATCATGATAAGAGGGAGCAGAAAGCTACTATCGTCGCGCATTGGAAGGAGGTTGGGCTTGTGGACGAGGATGGGTCTCATCTCGATCCATGGTTCATCGGACGGGATTTGCCCCATAACCGTTTCTTTCCAGGTTTGTTGACGGCCGTTGCCTAGAGATCAGTCAAACAAGAAAAACAGGGCAAAGGAATGACGGAGATGAGATTTTAGCTGGTATGGAAATAGAAAGCACAATGGACACGCAAGTTCAAGACCTCGAGATACTACACCACAATGAAAGTAGGTTTCATTCCTGTAGTGATCATTGCCGGGGGGACCTAGTGCACATGCAGGAGTAATCAGTATCCCTCGCAGGAAAGGTGGAATCTGTGGGGGGAGATGATAGGCACGATGTTTGGGGGAGGTGGAGAGGAAGCTGTTGGTCTAGCTCATCTCGGTCTCGGATGCGAAGTACAGTAATTAGACTATCTCTCTCTCTCTCTCGTTACTTGTTGTCAATAATCTGATTGTTGAATCCCGGTGAAATCGCGGCACAACACGAGTAGCAAGGAGAATGGGAGGGAGCCTATCAGTGCTATTTTTTCACTCACTTTACGCTGTCACCGTCCGATCGGACCCATGGATCGCGGTCGATCGGGTTAGATAGCAATTGACCCATTGAAATGCCAGCTGAAAGTCGACGGGACTTGGGATCCATGAGGGATCTGGTATCTGCTCGGTACACCTCCTCAGCCTCACGAACTCACCAATCATGTAGCCAGGAACAAGATTAGCTCGAGTCGGCCCTGGCATAGATTGCTGTGCAATATCGCAATGCTAATGAAGATCGGAACAAGGGAGTTGGCGGGGCAACCGCCAGCTCCTTCGAGGGGTACTGAAGCCATCGGGCAACTCTCGTTGGCTGATGGGCACGGAGTGGAGGAGATGAGAGTAAGAAAAAGAAAGTGGAAGCAGAGAAAGAGGATCGGGAGGAGAAGGACGAGTCCAGACAAGGCAGGTGGTACTAAGTTGTGTGTGGCTGGCTCAACTGCTGCTGCTGCTGCTCTTGCTGCTTGCTGTTCCTGTCGGTCTTGTCGGCGGGGAATTAATTGCTTACAGGCTGCTCTTGCTCTTGCTCTTGCTCTTTTGGTTCTTGCTGCTATTACCTCAAGGGTTAGAAACGGTAAAAAAAAAAAAAAAAGAAGGCATCATCGTCGTCGTAAGGTACTTCAACACCCTCAGTGCCTCTTCTCTTCTAGTCCCTCCCTTTCTTCCTCGTCCATTTTCTCCGACCTCGGTGTCTTTCTCCATCAACTTCCATTGCACACACCAGGTTTGCGCACAGTCCCAGCTCGCGCCAGCTGGCTCTAACGCAAAGACCATAATAAGAAGCTCTATTATTACATCGAGTGACTGATCGCTTTTCGCGCGTCCTCGCGTCCTCGCGTCCTCCCTTCGTACCCAACAGGAGCGATTCGAATTGTCCGATCTCGTGGCGCTTCGTTGCTCCTACAACCTGACTTCTGCTTTTTCTTTTCCCTGTTTTGAACTTCCCCCCTTCTAGCGCTCTTCTGGCTGTGACTTAACTTGCGCCTGGTTCCCTCGTGTGGTTGGGAATTCTCCTAAATCCCCGGTTTACATTTCTCCGACACTTGTGGACTTGTCACCAGCTGTCCCGGTCGGCGGAATCACACTTCGGGCAACTTACCCAGGTCCACTCTATTGCTATAGCTGATTGCGCCCGTTTTGTCCCTGAGCTTCTGCTCTTGCGCCCCTCATCATGGCTCTCAATCTTGACACAAGTGACCGGTCCGGTTTCCGCCTGCCCAACCCGCCTCCTCTCCTTCACACACGTGCCGGCAACGAACTGCTGGATCGTCCTGCGACGCCGGCCGAGACTGCTTTCACCAGCCCTGTCCAGACGCCTCAGGGAAGTCCCAGCAAAAACCGCCTGCCCCCCGGCGCAATCGATCTGCCTAATGTATTCGAAAAAGCGCTGAAGCTAAACCCCACCTCTCCGGCCAAAAACACACATAACCACTACAATCATCCGATGTTTTCGCCGCCCCGGGCGGGGGAGGATTTCAACGAAAGCGTCATCCGACAACCGCCAGCGAGCCCTACGCGCAGATCCAACAAAGAGAACACGCCGCCGAACTCTACCCGATTTGCCAAAGATTTGGGTCCGAACCCTGCCGCCGCCGCGATATCCCGAAATGAACCATATCAGACCCGTGATCTGGAGAGCATCCAGCGGCGACAGGTCCCCATGCGGGGTCTGACCCCGGAGGAACTGGAGAAGCTCCAAAATCCCCGTGTCAAGCGCCTGGTCAACGTCACCCAGCTCTGTAGGCATCCCTTCAATCGTCGTGTATCTGAAGCTTCCCCATGCATCGTACTGACTGCGTAGATTTCCTCGATCATTATTTCGACTTGTTGAGTTATGTCCACAACCGGCAGAATCGCTACTCGCAGTTTCGCGCCGCCTATCCGGAACCACCCCTGACGTCCATGGAGGAATACGAACCCGCACTCATGAAATACTTGGGTCGGGAGCGGGCCCACCTTCGCAAGCGCCGAACCAGACTTCGCCAGCATGATTTCCAAATATTGACCCAGGTCGGACAAGGAGGTTATGGACAGGTTTACTTGGCACAGAAGAAGGATACGCGGGAGGTGTGCGCATTGAAGGTCATGAGCAAGAAGCTACTCTTCAAGCTGGACGAAATCCGTCACATCCTTACGGAGCGCGATATTTTGACCGCAGCCAAGAGCGAGTGGCTAGTGAAGCTGCTCTACGCTTTTCAAGATGAAGATCAGATTTACCTGGCGATGGAATATGTACCGGGTGGTGACTTCCGCACGCTGCTGAATAACACTGGGGTGCTGCACAACCGTCATGCTCGCTTCTACATCGCGGAGATGTTCAGTTGTATCGATGCGCTCCATGCTTTGGGATATATTCACCGAGATCTGAAACCAGAAAACTTCCTGATTGATTCGACCGGTCACGTGAAGCTGACCGACTTCGGCCTGGCAGCCGGTATGCTGAATCCAGGCAAGATCGAGTCTATGCGGGTGAAGCTTGAGGAGGTAGGCAACACTCCAGTGCCGTTTGGACGTCCCATGGAACAGCGCACGGTGACAGAGCGTCGTCAAGGCTATCGGTCGCTCCGTGAGCGCCAGGTGAACTATGCCAAGTCGATTGTTGGGTCGCCAGATTACATGGCGCCCGAAGTGCTGAAGGGCGAGGAATACGACTTTACGGTGGATTACTGGAGCTTAGGGTGTATGCTGTTCGAAGCACTGGCGGGCTATCCACCGTTTGCGGGCGCGACGGTCGACGAGACTTGGCAGAACCTGAAGAACTGGCAGAAGGTGTTGCGCAAGCCCGTCTATGAGGATCCGAACTACTTCCTGTCGCGCCGGACATGGGACCTGATCACCAAGCTCGTGGCCGCCAAGGACCGACGGTTCAAGAACATCCAAGAGATCCATTCCCACGACTACTTCAGCGAGGTTGACTTTGACCGCCTGCGGGAGCAGCGTGCGCCGTTTGTGCCCGAGCTGGATTCGGAGACGGACGCGGGCTACTTCGACGACTTCACCAACGAAGCCGATATGGCCAAGTATAAGGAAGTCCACGACAAGCAACGAGCGCTGGAGGAGATGGCGGAACGGGACGAGAAGATGGGCAAGGGACTGTTTGTCGGATTTACATTCCGGTGGGTGCTCCTTTCATTTTGGTTTTCCTTTTCCTTTTCTTTTCTTTCCTTTCTTCTTCCGCCATACTGACGATGATAGACACCGCAAACCTGCCATGGACGGCATGGGACGAAGTTCTCCGCGCAAGCCGATCGCAACGGATGGCAGCTTCGGCACGATGTTCTAGTCTTTTCGGTTGCATGGTGTCATTCTAGCACGAGCTGGGTCTCGGATTTGGGTTCGTTTGAGCGCGTATGATATGATATTCTAATGGCTATGGCATGACGGGTATTTGCCAGAGGAGGGGCGAAGAGTGTATGATACAGCGTATCGTAGAATACATGAATGTGCATGAGCTTGAGGTATTATCGTGTTGTCCTCCCATGCTGATCCGGGGACAATCAATTCTCATTCAACTGCTGCACCATCTTCAGGATCTCCGACTCATTATCCCCAACGACCGCCTGTCCATTCGTCCAATCGACCGTCTAGAACAAAAGCAACAAGTTAGCATAATCTTTTCCCCATCCCCCCTCCTCCCACCAGAAAGAAAAAGGGGTAAACATACAACAGGCCTAGCAAAACTCCCCTCCGGGTCCCCCTTGAATTTTCGGATTGCGTCCTCCGCATCCCGCGCCCCGCGCACCACCTCACCCACCGCGTATCTCGCCCCCCGATCCACCGCCCCCGCCCCCGCCGGGTTCCCCGTCACGTAGTCCAGGATATTCCGCAGCTGGTCCGCCGTCGGCGGCGCCGTCGTCACCTCCAGTTGGAATTCCCCGCGTCCGCCCGCCGGCGCCGCATCCGACTCCGCTATCGTCGCTGCCCGTTGCAGGGTCTTGAGGGCGTTTTGGCTGGCTTTTGAGCTTGGTGCGTGGAAGAGGGTTATTGGATCGAGGGTTTTGGCCTTTCTTTTGGTTAATTATTGGTTCGGGGGTGGTTTGGGGGTGGTTTGGGGACGGTTTGGGGGAGAGATTAGGGGGTGCTTGGGGCTGGGGGTTAAACTGGGCTTGGGGATGGGGTGGATGGACGTACGAAGCGGAAGACCATTTTGATGGTTTTGGTGTTCTTTTCTTGATGGGCGAGGGAAGGATTGAAGTGGGAGTGGGATTGAGAGTCGGATTGTTGGTTGATTGAGGTGTTTCGATGCTGTGTTGTGGTAGTTGAGGAAGGGGTGTGAGTGATGCGTTGCGGTTGGTGTCGGGCTCTGCTTTGGGTTTGGTGGTTGGTGGTAGTGGTGGTGATTACGTCATGGGCTAGCTGCTCACTGTCATCCGCGGGATTGATTGGGGATTGCTTCACAGCACTGCAACTTTTTTTGGATGGCTGTTCTAGGTGGGTAGGTACTCTTGCTAATCATGGATAGAAGTTCGACTTGATGAATGCTTGTCGAATTGTGTTTGTGCCTCATGCCTCACCTCGTTATACCCTACGACTCTATCCAAGGAAGTCTACGAGCTAGACTTCAAATCAATCGTGGTATGTATCTACTCGTTAATCATATGTACAGCAGTCGTTGCTAATATACTACCACCCGAACTGCTCGATATGCAGGTATATCCCCTGCGCTCCAGTACCCTTGTGCACCGCCCGCTCATCGCTCAGTGACACCACGCTGCGGCGCGTATCGTCCGCCAGGCCCTGCGGCCCGCAGACGACCACCGCGCTCTCACCCTCGGCTCGTTCGAGCACCTTGCGGATAATGTTGCGGGTCTGGGGGCGACCAGACAATACCATCAGCGGGTGGGCTTGGAATGTGGGCTTTTTATCTGCTGATGCTGGCTTCTCCGCGGCTTTCTCGGAGCCGGATGATGCAGTAGCGGTTCCCGCATGTCCGGAGCAGGTACACTTGTTCGTGCAGGTCACGTCTTCATCCTCGATGGTTGCGGTGCAGCAGCAGCCTCCGCCTGGTTGACAACCAGTCTCCCGGATGGAAATGTCGTCCTTTTCGACGAGCTTCTCGGTGCGTTTCTCGTCCGTCGTTTCGATTGACGCCCTGGACTGGGCTACGACGGTGGAGGGTGTCTGGGCGCACAGAGTGGCCTGCGTCCCAGCCGGCTGCTCGAGCTTCTCGTCGCAGGTGATGTAGATGCTCAGCTCGATCTCCCGGATGATATCGGGATTGGCGCGTTGGCATTCGGCCGCGTCTGCCAGCACGGACTGCAGCTGGCTCTCGAACCAGCTGAGCTGGGTCCGCGATTTGACCACCCAGACGAAGCGGATGCGTTTGGTTGCCGCGAGGCGCTTGGCTGATGGCCCGCTCTGTGCGCAATCTATCTTCCATTTGGCCACGATGCTCCGCAGACATGGCATGGTATATGTCACACCCATTCCGCCCGCTAGCATGACCACGCTGTCGAACTGCTGGAGCGGCCTCATCTGACCGTAGGGACCTTCGAGAAACACCGTCCGCGTCTGTTTTGATGATGCAACTTCCCCGGATCCGAGCACATCGTGGCGTTTGGACGCGTAACGGAAGAAACGCCGGGTTCCACCTTTCTCGGCGCGTACGAAGATTTCGAGCTTGTTGTCTTCGGGGATGGAGGCGATCGTGAATGGATGGCTCTGTAAGGGGGCAATCGAATGGCATGTGAGAAACACATGTTGGCCCGGCTTCCAACTGACACCCGGATTTTCGATCGTGACGCGGGTGACATTCCCCGGCAGAGGGGTGAAAGTCGCCTGGTTGGCCCAGAGTGCGTGTTTCGAGGATCTCGAACGATGGAAGATAGACATATTGATGTACGTAGCCCAGAGATAGCGCGCCACTCGATCGAAAACGAGGAACCCAATCGAAATCCAGATCCAGACCTTGACCTCCGCTGGGGCGTGCAGCCAGACGGCCGCGATGAACCCAACAAACGTGACAAGGTGTTGCAGGACAAAGAACTCATATCCGAACCTACGGATCGGCGCCGCGGAGGTGACCACAATCCAGGTCAAAATGACCCATGCGGCTAGACCCCGTGCAACCAAGGGGTAGTTCTTGATTTCGTATGTGATATAGTTGTACCGACCCCAGTCACGGAACCAGAATGCCATGTGGATGGTGGCCGTCAGCCATAGCGTTCGAGCCACCCACCGATGGTACCAGTTCAAGCGTTCATAGCTCATGCCTACCAGGGCTCCGATAAGATTCTGTCTCCCGGCTAGCAGGAAGATCAGAGGCAACTGTGCGATGGCGACGAACCCGGTCCGGTAGCCCACGTTCTCCCAGCTCCATTGGTCGGTTGTGTCCAGCTTGTAGAAGCAAAAGACCAGCACGACAACAAGGTTAGCTAGGATGACGGCCACTGGGCCCAGTGGCGCGAAATGAAAGGTGTGGCTGCGAATTGATAGCGGAGGCAGCGTCGCATAGCTGGACTCGCGGACAACTGCCGTGAGGGTGGCATACGTGTTGAAGAACAGCGACTTGGGCTTGGAAGGAGTGAGGGAAGTGTCCCGAAGTCTGCACGCGTGAGCACTCTAGAAGCTCAAGCAGCAAGAAAGATCACCTACCTTTGATAGGCAAGGTAGCGATTGAGCAGGTTCACAACGGTACCCGCGGCGACAGCACTACCTATGACTGCCCAGTACATTTTCTGGAGGTAGAACAGACCAGGCACGCCATTTCCCATAGACATGTGGCCCATGCCCGACATATCCATGTCCATATCCATCTTGGCGGTGGGCAGCGGAAGTCGATTCTGAGAAGACGAATAAACGATACTATCCCTGCGGAATGCGGCGAGAGACAGCGGAAGACAATGTATATACACGAGAAGAGGGCCGGAGTTTCAAAACATCTCGCTCAAAGGCAACACCGCATCACACAACAGTAACATCAACCGAAGGAGTTATCAGGTGTTAAGCCTTCCATACCATTTGGGAGTATGTGCAGCATCACAAAGTAAGTAAGTAAACGACATGAGTTGTTGGAACTTGTAATAAAATGCGTGGTGGGGAGTGAGGGGATTATGACTAATGGAACCGGCGCATCGCAACAACCAGACAAACCAGAGAAACCAGTCAAACCAAGCAAATTAGACAAACAACAAAGAAGCTGGCGCGTCCGATCGGGGCGGAGCAAGACGGGTTGTGTTGTTCTAAGAATAGGGGGGGCAACAACGCGGCCATCTCCAGCATCTCCAGCTGTATGGTCTGCCTAAAACTTCTGGCCCACTGTCAACAAGCAGATCAACGCAAGATTCTAACTCTCTTAACCGTGCGGTTGTTGCTGTGGTTGAGACATTGAGCTCTCGTTTACTTACCACTTCTTTCTTTCCCCTCTCCCTTTCATTCCCCCTGTCTTAGCTCATATTTGCACTTCAGTCAATCGATAAATACATGCAAAATCTCTCTTATTGATTTCGCAAGTGGGGTCATTAATCTTCCCGCTGCATTATCCCTATACCCACCGTCATCTTTGGCATCAGATTGTGACCGTTCCGTGCCTGTCAATAATCCGCTTTTACTACTTTACTTATCATCGTCCTACAAGACACAGCAATTCCATAACCTTTGCTGCCTTTCTCCCTACCTCTTTGCCTAGACATACTGCAACGCTCTTCTGCATATCTTCCCTTTACAACCACATACCATATCACTCTGAGGGTGGTCTCCAACTTGCAGTACAGTCTGCACACTCACAATGCGAGGGTTGGGGCTTCTGACTCTCGCTTCTTTGGCAGCTGCAAAAGCTCTGCATTCCCGGCAGACAGCCTGCAACAACTCTCCGTCTCTGTGCTCCAAATCCTACGGTGCGATTACTCATCTAGGTGCACATGATAGTCCATTCCTCCGCGATGGATCCACGGATTACTCTACCTTTGGAGACCAGTTAGTTGATACAGCGCCACACCCGATAAGCTTGTAGCTCACTGACAGACCCGCAGGTACTACAATACTACACTACAACTTGAGGCTGGTGTGCGTCTCGTGTCGGCGCAAGTCCACAAGTCGAATTCGGAGTGGCATTTGTGCCATACCAGCTGTGACTATCTAGATGCAGGCAAGCTAAGCACATGGCTATCGGAGATCAAAACATGGCTAGACTCCAACCCGAACGACGGTACGCTCGATGACTTCCAAACTATTCAAAGTGTAGCCAAGGAGGGCAAGACAGCTGATACACCCTGCGTCATAGTGGTAACCGTCCTGTTGGTCAACTCGGACGATGCAACAGCGTCCGATCTCCATTCGGAGTATGAGACAGCCGGCATTGGGAACTATACCTACACTCCTACCTCGCAGACCTCTGCACCCAGCTCGTGGCCAACACTACAGGAGCTCATCGACGACGGCACTCGATTGATATCATTTGTCGCATCGCTAAGCGCCTCAAACAACACGGTGGCACCATACCTTATGGACGAATTCACCTATCTCTGGGAGAACCCTTACGATGTGACCACGGCCTCGAATTTCTCTTGCACGCCCGATCGTCCATCGACCGTCAAGAACGACTTGTCCGCTGCTCTTTCGTCCAATCGGCTACCGTTCATGAACCATTTTCTTTACCAGACAACGATCCTTGACATCGAGTACCCAAATGTTAGCTATGTGGACACGACTAACGCCCCATCCGGCGGTACAGGCAACCTCGGTGACGCTGCGAAGAAGTGTAAGAGTGCCTACAACGGCCGCCAGCCGACTTTCATCCTGGTGGACTTCTTCAACAAGGGCCCCGCGATCACGACTGTAGACAGCCTGAACAATGTCACCGACGCGACCGGCCGCGCCAACCTCACGTCGACCACTCAAACGAGCTCCGCCTCCACATACTCAAATGTGTTCAAGGGACTGGTCGAAGTGGTTCAGAAAGCAATGGATGGAGCAAACCCCAGTATGGGCGAGTGGATTTGGGCTGGCGGGGACTGGGGCAGCTTGCTGGGCGGTGGAATCGCCATGTAAGCCTGTCACGCTCCTTCACCTCTTCCGTTCAACTCGAAATCCCATCCCTTGATCTCTACCTTATTCGAGTCAACAGCATATCTACCGTTATTATCATTATCGGCAAATGCAAGCTTAGCGCTTCCTCATTTCTTGGAATTCTCGGATGAACCTTATGACGTTCCTTTGCTTTTACGATGGCTGGCATGCGACTGGACCTAGATACGGCGTTTTTTTTTTTTTTTTTTGGGTTGATCCTGACGGCTTGCAATCGTTGTACTTATATATATGGGTTTACCCTTCTACCATGTCTATCACTATCTTATCTGCCCAGAGAGCTAGGGCAGTACTTCAAATTGAATCCAAGATTGGACCGACCACTTATATTCTTACTCCACAATATTTACTCTTTTCCCAGCAACGACCTGACCTTGTTGACCTTATCTTCAAACGATTGCTCCTTGTCGGTTCTACGCCGCCGAGATGGAGTTGGTTAGCCAGTGAAAGCCCGATTGTGAGCCTTGACCTCGGAAAACGTTCCCTTCTCAAAAGACCAGACGACAAGACAGGTGGGAGGAAAGCACGTTGTAAAAGGAGGACATGACAAAAAACAGAAACAAAAGGGGTGGGGAGTATCTACCTCGATCCAACCCGAATATCCGTCTGAATCCTCACAATTCCCTGCTGGTGAAGAATGGTATGCGCCTGGCCAATGACTTGATGAACTTTATCCCAAGGGCCCTCTGTTATACCGCAACACAGAGAAAGGAGAAAAGGGGGGTTCCAGTCAGCCAAGATGCATTATGTGCACGAGTCGGAAAGAGAAGATAGGATTGGGGAAAAGGGGGGGGGAGGCCACTCTCTACTCACCAAGGGTTGTTCCAGCAGAGTGCATGACGAATTTGAGGCCTGATTTTTCGACCAGGCGCTGGACGTCGGCGATTTGGGCGGACACTGATGGAGACGCGGTGCCAATCTGTCCAGCCCGCCAGCCCGTCAGTCCGTCAGTCAATAGAGCTTGCAGCTTGGGGTTTGGCGGGCTATTTCCATGTGGGGTTGGGATAGATGAACGGATGAATGGGAATAGGATGCATGAACCAGTCGGGGCCGTCCGTCGACTCAGGCATGTAATGAGAGCAGTGCATGGAGATAAGCACTACTTTACTGGATAGACTGCGTATCCGGGATACTTGCTGCCAAACTAAGGGATCGCGAAAGAGGATGAACTGTTACTTACGGGAATCAAGCAGAAGTCCGCCGTGCAGTGCGGGGGCGTTGGGATGGATGCGATATTATCCATTTTCGTGTGGATTTGCTCCGGTACACTCGCAGAGAAGGGCGTATGTATGCCTTGTAGACTTGGAAATCTCCAGAAATATGCTGGTTTGGGGTTGGATGTGGACGGGGATTTTTTATCTCTCGTTGAAAGGGGGTGGTTGATGATGATGAGTGCTGTCTCTCTCAGCGCGGGGCCGAACAGCGGAGGGGCAACTGGCAAAAGATTTCCACGTTTTTGACCTCCCCGCCCAATCACCCGAGACTGGTTGTCCATACAATCAACTTGAAATCCATGATCCATCGCTGGCTCCCTCCGCCAGTGATGCCATTCTCTGGAATCAAATGGTCGGTTTACAATCTACCTACCCAATTCGAGCATTGTACATAAGACGGCAGTCACCTCCTGCTCCCGAAATGCCCATGCACTGGTCTGTGAGTTGCCGTGAACAACTCATCACGATCTCTTCTTCCTCCAAAATCATACGGTGCATCATCCAACTGGATCTGTCCAAATTGAACTCATCTGGTCGGATTCTACGGACAATTTTCTGCGCCATTACTGGGCCTCGATGGCTAGACTAGCGATTTCAGTCGCTTGTGGGGTTATCACGATTTCTCGTCCCGATTCCATTGCTTTGCCTGCTTTTCCTACCCCCCGACTTTATAATCCACCAGCTGAAGCAGAGGGAATCAATCAGTTTGGGTTCGACGATGGATGTCGTTGAATCTACAATGAACTATTCTGGGCCCGATACCAGTGCCGAAAGGGACGGCGATGGAAGAGGGTGAAAAAGCAAAAATGACAAAACAGACTCCAAAGGAGCTGGAAGGAGACTAAAGAACCGAAGCAAACATCTCAGTTGAGATGCTGATTGGAGAGGGAGCTTTTTGAGGCTTGACAAGATCAAGATGTCTCCAATATGCATTGAGGGTGAGTTGCACCTTCAGCATCAATCAATCAATTAATTGATAATGGATGGATGCCTCGAAAATCGGTCCACTCATTGCAAAAACGAACCACGGTTCGCCTTGCGACTCTAAATCCTCGCCAACTCCCTCCTTCACTTGTCTCTTGCTTTCTCATCTGTTTCTACTCGATTCTTGCGAGTCCTTATTTCGTGGAGTCACTTACACCTCCTCAGCATCATCATCATCCTCCTACCCTTTTCTTTCTTCTCTAATTGCCTGACTCTGGTGGGTTTTGCCTACTCCGCCCGGGCGTGACGCAGCCTTGTTGGTCCGACCGTTCAATCGACCACTCCTCCACTAGCCCAGCCCGATAGATCAACATTAGCCGTCTCTGGGGTATATTGCTCGCATAAGTTAGCAGACTCTGTGACTTCGCCGACCAATCCACTGGATACGAACCACCCCCTGCTATCCTTCTTTGACCGCCTGTTGCCTGTTATTGTGCAGCATCCAAGGCACGGTTTACCACCCACGTCTATGTGCCCGACGCCCTGCGCTCAGCTAGTCTTACCGGACCTGTGATAGTTCAACGTCTCCGTGATACTAGTTATTTCTATCTTCCGCCTTCAATACTGATGTTCTGCTCGGGTCGCTCCTAGTGTCAGCAGATCTGCGTCCTTGGCTAGCTGAACAAGGAATTACAGGTCTTGGGGAGGAAAGAGCTTCACCTCAGACGTGCAAGTCAAAGCGCCACGGTGGCTGAGGCGATTCCAATCCCTGCTCAAGGCTCAGGTCCTAGATCTACAAAGTAGTTGTTGCCCTTGCACTAAACGGGATCGGGTTGGGGGGCGTTTCCTGTCACTATTTGGAGGGGCTCATTTATCATCGGACGAATTAACGAACAGAGGCTTACTTCCAAGGCACCATCACATGAGCATGGTCTGAAGCGATCAGATCTCAATTTTAGCAGCTTGTTCTCCATCAGCTGCAAGTCAATTGGCCGGGTGTAACGAGGCTCAGTACTGACACAAAGACGTGAGAGGCGGGAAAAAAGCGAGTATTGCACTAGTCCATAGATCAGCTACTTCTGTCTATCCACGTTGTTAGACTTGCTGCTGTACTGAACATTCGCTCAGCAGGGTTGGGAAGGCTTCTTATCCGTTCTGAGAGGTCTGCATTTGCTTGCATCGCAGCCTGCGTCTCTTTCCAATTTTGACTGCTACTAGTTGTCGCCTGCGCCTTCCGGACTTTTTCCCTTCCTGAAGCACTGCATTGACCACGTGACTGTATACATTACGGCTGCCGAACATCCTTCATTCTTCGTTGTCATATTGATCTGCCTTGTAGGAAGGTTCGAGGTGCTGCTTATATGGAAATGATTCCCTGATCTGAGCATTATCTATGACCACACATCCGTTGAGCCTACCACAAATGACGAAGCCTAACATGCTCGAGCTCCCGGCAGGGGCCCATCTAATCTATCTTGCCGAAGGAGGAGCCAATGTCATCTACCGAATACTCGTCTCCAGCGGAAATTCCACGGGTCAGAATCACAAAGATATGCCGGTGACTGTATCCTCCGGTCCAGCGTCTGATGCGACGGATGGCTATAGTATACCCGTCGGTCTCAAAGGGAAGCTGCTTCGTCTTCGAAAAGAGACAAGCTCAGGAATACCTTATCAAGAGATAGCACGCAACTTTGATCGATGCATTCGGCCTCTTTTCAAGCCAGAAGAGCTCGTCGATCAGGAGCTAGTTTGCCTGCCTAGAGGGTTGATCCAGCTGTGCAACGAACAACTTCTAGCGGCAGAGCGAAGTGGGCAGCGCCCGAAAAGGCGACAAGGCGTATATCTCTCTGCAGCCGAACCATTCGGCCTTCTCATTACCGACATGACCACATTCGGCAGTCCTGGGACCACGCTATCAGAGCTAAAGCCCAAATGGCTCGTCCAGTCCCCGTCAGCCCCAGCCAGCTCTCGCCGGTGTCGGACCTGCGCACTCCGCGATATGAAGAATCACAAGGCGCGCAAGATTGGCAATGCAGAAGAGACGTCGTTCTGTCCGCTTGATCTGGTCACTGACAGGTTCGAGAACGTGCTTCGGGCGACCAAATTCATCAAAGGATGCAAGGACCCGGCCCGGCTGGCAAAAGTGCTGTATCGGAACAGTACCATGCAGAGACTTCTAACACATCAGAAGAGTATGCGTGATGTAGGGCTCCATGGTCCTTCCGCCACCTCCATCGAAAAGTCTCTTGGTATGACTCTGCGTGATTGTACAATGTTCATCAGGGTGAGTTCCTGTTCAATGTTCCAGTCCCCTCTGCCCTGTCCGCTAATATCCGTGCAGATACCTAAAGATGAAACCGGTCGTATCGAGGTACGCCTTGGCGATCTAGATCTCAAGACAGGTGCCGGAGGAAAGGCGAAGTACTGGCTCGACTTAGAGCATCGATTGATCGACGAAGGCTGGTACACAGGAGCCAGGAACAGCGGATCCGCGATCGAATGTGCCCTGCAGGCCACACGTAATCATTCTCAGCCGTCAATATAAGCTATGCACTTATCTTTCGGTCAAATACCATCCCATTTAAGCACGCGAGCATCATGCCGAAACTGACTGGGGAATGCGAATCTTGATATATATCACGGTGCAACTACATGCCTTTGGTCTCCTCGGCTTCGCAGTATTTGCAATGGCCCATTCCCCCCATCTCGGCTCGTCTAGAACTTCAACGAATGGCCTCGTTGTCCAGCATCTACATCACTTTTTGTCTTCACTGAATGTGGGATTGGTGTTCTTTTTTGATGGTTTTCTCTTCGTGTACAACATGAAGCATTTATTAGGAATCATGAATCAATTCATATAGCTCAGATGTTTACTCGGTGCATCTCTCAAGCCGAATGTTAATTTCCTTTCCGCCCAGATTTGATTCAGTCGCGACCATCGAGCGATACAGCTAAAACCAGTGTCTAGAAGAGACATGTGTTGTGGTTAGCAATCTCGAGAAACGCGGTCGTCCGAAAAGACTTCTTATCGTGAGAAACGGTAGTATACATATTTGAGTTCCGGCAAATGATGTCATTCGTGAACCGAACCCAACCAGCCTCAACAAAGTTATCTATACGAGCCATTTGTGTATACGCTGACCAACAGGTACAGACTCAAAACTAACAAACATATCTCCGACGGCACCACCGTAAAACTGAATCAGCCATAGCTAATAACCACTAAAACCAGCAACGAAGACAATTGGCAACAGGAATGCCGCTATCCATAAGCCTATCTCCGCAATTGCCGCAAATACGAGATCCCGTCGGAGCTTCATCTCCGCATAGATCAAGCATAAGAATAGCACGAATTCCCTTACCCAACCCAAGATAAAGACAGTACGATAGATTCCTCCACTTAGTTCATATCTCCGTGCAACGAGAATGGTTAAGCCGCGTCACCTCCTCCGCCGCTACTGCTGCACCCCAGCAGTGCGCATCACCCTCCCACGCAGCGCAACCACCCTGACTCCCACCCCGGCCCTCCGATTCTCCTTTTCCTCGTCATCCTCCTCCTTAGCCACTCCCAAAGCACTAAGCGCACAATCCCTCCCCACCCTCGCCCAGAACCGCCGCACGATCTACAAACTCGGCCGCAACCACGCCATCCCGGACAGCCAGATCGAGGAACTCGTGCAGCAGGCAATCCTGCACGTTCCGAGCGCCTTCAACACGCAGTCCACGCGGCTGGTCGTGCTTCTGCACCGCGAGCACGAGCGGCTCTGGGACCTCGCCATCGGCGTGTTCCAGGACCTGGTCAAGACGGGCGCCGTGCCGGAGCCGGTGTGGAAGAATCAGACGCTGCCGAAGTTAGAGGGGTTCAAGGCGGCTGTTGGGACGGTGCGTTCTTACTTCCTTCTCTCTCTCTCTCTCTCTCTCTCTCTCTCTTTTGAGAAGATGGGGAGTGCTTTTGGAAGGGGGGGTTTTTGTCCAAGCTGATGCTGATTTGATACCGCGTGGAATATAGGTCCTCTTCTATGAAGATCCGGCGCATATCGAGCCCATGGCGGAGAAATTTGCGCTCTTTAAGGACCGGTTTGAGCCTTGGGCGCAGCATTCGAATGCAATGCATCAGTATTTTCGTGAGTTTCTTGGGAATTGGTTTTGTGGTTAGGGGATGCGGGTTTGGTGTGGGATTTGATTGCGGTGATGGTGGCTGACTACTTATCCTTTTGATGCACAGTGTGGACGGGTCTTGAAGCGCTTGGGTTCGGGGCTAACTTGCAGCATTATAACCCCTTGATTGATGCGCCGGTGGCCGAGGCATGGAATGTGCCCAAGGAGTGGAAGCTCAGTGCGCAGTTGGTGTTTGGGAGTCCTGAGGCGGCGCCGGGGCCTAAGGAGCAGAAGCCTGTTGATGAGCGGGTCAAGATCTATGGGAAGTTGTAGGTTCGTTGCTGGTCTGTATAGCGGGCATAGATGGCTTTGGGGTTGAGAATAGAATGGCTATAAGATTAGGAAATAGTGATCTAAATCTAGACTTTTGGATGTACAAGAATACGATAATATCCCAGGACGCATGGAGGACTTTTGCATATGAGTACAGGATAGATATCACCGGACCTCTTGCTAGCTTTCGAAGATGGATTACGAGAAACGATGCGTGACCTCTATGAGTCTGTGAAGACCTTGTCAGTACTCACGCTCATCAGCGGCCGGACGACACGTAGTGCTCACCTCTGGACAGGCAGGTTGATTATCTAGACCCCCTGACCAGCCCTTCGTCCAGAAGGGAAGTTATACTGAGCGTCCAGATTGTCTTCCTTGGCCGCCATCAAGCCACGCCACTCGCGAAAGCGGAAAGGCTGCAGAGCGTGACGAATCGATTGCTTGATCTTCGTCCCAACGCCGGCCATTTTTATGTCTATCAAAGGGAGTCGCAATATAAGACAGGTGTATAGAGCGCTAAGATTGACTTTTTTGAAAAAAGAGGAGTGAGAAGAATGGAGACTGGAAATGCAATATCGAGACGATGAAGAGCAGGTTCTTATAGTACTGGGTGGCCAGATGGTGTGCTATGTAGTTGAGATCGTGACGTCAGGCGGGAGGTTGATATGGTCGTTTTCGGCCACTGTTGGGAGTGGTGGAAAGTTAGGAGAATAACTCTGTTTCGTGATGATTGGTGGTTGTATGTCGGTTTAGCTCGAGTGGAGAGGTATTTTATAGAAATGTGATGAAAGTGACTGGTAGATAATTGTATAGCCTGATAACCTCCGGTTGCTTTGCCCGCGGCTCGATTGCCTCCTTCCTGATTCGGACAGCTCTTCGACAGCTCTTCGGGGCTTCCCTTGTATACAACCTGAACAACAAAAAGAGCTCCTTCCAAAGCTACGCTGCAGGCTGCCCTACTAGCACAATGGGGTCTCACAATCAGCTCAGGCTAGGTTGAGTATTTCCCTTCTCTCTCTGGCTGGTAGGTTACCGCACACCTAAGTGATCTCTCCGCCGCATTCTTACTGATCTATCATGTCGCTCATCCCTAAAACGAAGCCACTCCTTCTCTTCGGTCTCATTCTTACCATCATTATCAGCTGCCCCGTGTGTCTCAGCTCGGCCATCACTCCACGATACTTACCCTACGGAGCCGTGATCACTCACTGCACGGTCCCAGGCACCGTGGCCCTGACCTTCGACGACGGACCCGGCATCTACACCGACCAGCTTCTCGATCTCCTCAGCGAGTACGGCGCGCGCTCCACCTTCTTCGTGAACGGCTATGAGCTCTCCGACCACCGCGACGTTCTGACTCGGACAATGAACGAAGGCCACCAGATCGGTTCTCACACGTAAGAAAGGCCTTTCTGCCCTACTTTATCCGGAGTCAATCCAAGTTCTGACGATACCCAATACGATATATAGGTACGACCACGCTCGACTCCCCACACTACGGTACGGTGAAGTCGTCGAGCAGATGGGCAGGCTGGAAGCCGCAGTGCAGAAGATCCTCGGGGTGGTCCCGACGTACATGAGGCCGCCGTATCTCGCCATCAACGGCGAAGTCCTCGCCGCCATGGGCGATCTCGGATACCACGTCATCAGCGCCAGCGTCGACACCAAGGACTTCGCGCACGATCATCCGGACTTGATCTCCCGCAGCTTCACGAGGTTCCTCGAAGGTCTGAATGCCGGCGGCTCCGTCGTGTTGGCCCACGATACCCATGAGCAGACAGTCGTGGCGTTGACCCGGGCGATGCTGGATGAGATAGTGGCCAGAGGGTTGAATCGTAAGTGTAATGGTTGGATGTAGTACCGTCCTTGGAGGCAATGCTGATATGTTGGCTTTTAGCGGTCCCGGTGGCAGATTGTTTGGGCGATGCGGAGGAGAGTTGGTATCGTTGATCCATGCCATTGACTCATGAGCGTAGGTGTCGAGTGAACACTTGTTTAGACTGCTTTTCTTTTGTGTGTGTCTAATATTCCTTGTTGAAATTTATGCCTTACCCTTTCTATGTTGTTCTGTTCCTGATCCATATTAAGGTACAGTACATCACAGGGGAAATGTTCGGAGCCAATAGGTGGTTCTATAGGATTGGATCTGGTCAGCCTGCTCCCTGCAGGCTACGCGACGACTGTCTGCGGATGGATTCCCTGGTCCACATGTTTAATATGCAGCTGCATGAACTGTTGAGGCTATATATCTGCCAAATAGAGCGTCATTGGCTCCTAACTTCGACTTTTTTTGTAGACCGCGTTTCGGAAGCTTCGTGGCATATGTAGCACGGAGAGTCCAACCTGACCAGCAGGTTAAGTTGCAAAAAGCGAGTGTTAGAGAGTCGTTAAGCAACCGTAAACTGAATCTAGGTTTGTGGTAGAGCCATGCGAGGGTACAGCATATGGACAATTACACCCTGCGATGATGCTCAGTAGTCTGGTTCGCATGGCGACCAACCTTCCGGCCTTGTCATTCAGGCCTGCTGCTCCCAACTAGCCCTATCCAATGTACATTTTCAATCAATATTCCGTAGCAAACGAACAGTATGATAGACTAAAGATACCAAGGGTATTAATCTATCCCAGAGAAACAAAATAAGAAGCACGATGCTATCTATAACGCCACCGCCATATCTATATCCCAAAACATACCAAAAGGAACTAAATGAAACACCATCCCGGCGCCCTCGCAATGCAATACCAATCATCATCCAGGAATACGTATTTAGAAAAAATCCTGGTCATCCAGCCACTGGGAGTCAATGGCGTAGGCAACCAGGTCCGCGGCGCAGCACATGTCTTCGTGTCCGTGCTCGAGGTCAAGCAGTTCCAGCACGGAGGCTAGTCTCTTCTCGAGGGTTTGTTTCAGGTCGGAGACGCGGGGTTGGTTGTGGATTATCGCTACCGCTGGTGTTGTTCTCGGTTTGGTGTCTTTTTTGGATGCGGTGGTGGTCGGTTTGACGCTCTTGTTGGGCGAGCAGGGGGCAAGGGGTTGGCGGGGCGCTGGAAGCGAGGAGGCGGGCTCTGGCTTCTTGTTCTTGAGGAGGGATTGGAGGAGGAAGAGGAGCCAGACCAGGTTGGTTCGCGGGGCGTATTCGGCCCAGATGCCCGGGATGACGGGGGATTTTTCGGTCTTGAGGGGTTCGCCGTGGTAGAGTTGGGAGCGCATGCTGATGGTTGGGGATAGTTATTAGTTTGACCGGACTTGTGTGTTTTCTTTTGGTGGGTACAGGGTGCTGCTTGTGGTGGGACTCACTATCGGTATGTGTTTCGGAGCATAATCTCGTCCTCGTCCCGGCCGATGGCATCGAAGATTTGTTTCTTGTCGAGGTCTGACGAGGCGATCTCGAAGGCCTCGGCCTCTGCGCTGAGGTGCAGTTGCGCGCGAGACAAGGAGTAGTCGATGATGGTCGTCTCGAGGGTGCTAATCCCGAAGCCACTCTTGGACGATTGGTTTGTGATCTCTGCATTGGTGGGTGGGTCCATGCACCCTCCAGGCCGTGTACTCCGTATACAGACGTTTCCGAGGTGCAGGTCGCGATGCTGAGGATGTCAGCCTTGAAATCAATGGGGACTAGTGGATCAAGAGCTTACCTCAAATAACGCGTATTCCTCTGCCCGAGCAAGCGCCATTGCGACTCCCCAGAAGATATCGTAGATCTGGAAAATGGAAGTCCAAGCGAACTTCTCCAGCTCGCAGCCAGCATCATCCATCTCCACGATCGCCCACAGCTGCGAGTCAGGATAGGCCCGCTTACTAGATGGATTCGGATTCAAGCAGTCGTCCTTGGTCTTTTTGTAGTGGTCCCAAGCCTTCTGAAACGACTCAGGAAACCGGCCCTGGACCACATGAATTTCTCTGAAGCGGGCAAAGCCCGGGATTGGATCCAGATATTTGAGCATCTTGACCTCGGACACAATCTCATTGATACTGGTGAACTTCTTCGAGCCTGGCCCACTCAGAGCCCGCAAGGGCACAACCTTGAACACGCCATCACCATAGGCCTTTAAGCGCGCGAGCTTGGATCTGGACATCTCCTTCTTGCATACCTCCTCTCGGAGACGAAGCTTGTAAACCTCTCCGTAGGAACCCTCGGCGATTTTGACCACCTCCAACAGATTACCCGCTCGAGCAGCCCATGAGTCGAACTTCTGCACGCTCTGCGCAGCAGCAGCGGACAACGCTTCGTTCAGGATCGGGCGCACATATCCATTGGCCTTCTCATCCGTGACGCATCCAGACGACACCCGAGCCGCTGGCTTGTCCTTGTTCCTTCGTGATGTTCTCGTTTCAGTCTCTGCGGTGGATTCGCACGCCTTGATCCGTCGGCGGTTTCTCTCTGCCGGGAGCTTGGGGCTGATCCGGACTTCGACCATTGTTTCGTACCGTTTCTCTAACGTCGGTGTAGTGATCGCCTCCGGTGTTTCGGTATCTTCCGTTCGACTTTGCTCCGGTTCCTCGTTTTCCGGCTCATCTGCTGGTTTCGAGTCTTGAACATGCGCCTCCTCATCTGGAGTAGGCTTCAACTCCTCCACCTCCACCGACTGCACAATCTCAACCTCCTCGTCTTTTCTCTCCTTCCTCGTCACTTTCCCAGCCCCTCCTTTCTTCCTCACATCCTTCTTCCTCGGAGCTATCGGCGTACTCTTCTCCTCGATAGCCACCTCCGCAAGTTTCACCCGCACATCCTCGACAGCTTCCTCACCGACCTCTTCGCCGCTCGTCTTCAGATCTAACCGTTCCACAACCCTGGCAGGGCTCCTCTGATCAAACACCGCCCGTGGGGCATCAGTCCTCCTCTTCCCGTAGACTTTTCTCTGGGCAACGGTGCGGGTTCTGGTTGTTGGTTTCGGGTTCCATGACCGTTCGACGCCGGTCACGGCGATGGGGGAGGAAGGCGGGAACATGGCGACTTCGTGCATTGTGTTTGGGGCTTCTGAGCGAAGTATTAGTGTGATAAAGAAAGGGCTAGCTGCCCACTAATCTGAGGAGACTGTTGGGAGGTTATCGATTGCGTTGATGCGTGGAACAACAGAACAGCTGCTGCAGCGGTAGGATTCCGCGGAGGTGGCCCGCTTATTGTTCTCTTGCCTGTTTAGGTCTAGTGGCCGGCGTTGCTGAGGGGAAAGAAAAAGAAAGGGCCCGGTTATGTAAGTGGATCGAGCATTCATACTTACGGTATGTAGTTCTATGGTGGGCTAGGGAAAAGGAGGTATACAATTTTAGGGACAGAGGGTGAGGGAATAGGATAGGAGAGAAAGTGAACGCGTGCGAGAGTAGGGAATATCTATCAATCACTTTACACTCTTGTTTTATCCTTGAGAGTTGCGTTCAGTTCCTGCATCATAGTGATGTTGCTATGCAGGTGAGCTCTACTCCTAGCATAGGACTATAGTACACTCTACACAGTTAAGTACTGAGTCCAGTGCAACAGACAGAAGCATTGAATAATGTTTTGTAGTCTCAGAGAGCAAGAACAACCCTGATTTGCCGGTCAAATCGCAAGTATTACCTACCATGGGAAGTAAACTCGCCTGTCAGTTCGCAGTTTCACACTTCTAAAATACTTCGCGGGCTACAGAACTGAAGCATCGCGGCCTGGAGTTTCCACTTCAGTCGATCAGGAGTGGCAGGGCACGTTCAGCGACGCGCTCGAGACCAGGAGAATGGCAGCGTCGCTACCCCGTACTCCGTAAATAGCGTCGGAACAGTTTCATAGGGACGGGAGGGACGGGTGGACCGGGAATGGGCAAATGCCTCTCTCCCCGGTAGGTAGATAGCACGGGCCTGTCAGTACTCAGTAGGAATGCGAAGATCCAGTCAGGAGACGGACGGAAATAAGGATCAGTGCAGACTGGACGACGGATGGAAGGATGGAAGGAAGGGTCAGCAGATGGTAGTGTAGTAAGTAGTACATGTACTAAGTAATTATGAATAGGCACAGAATAATTCGGAGCAAAACGGAAGCCAAAGAAAGTAAAAAGCCGATGTAGTTGCAGTGACGTTATCCCTTCCCCTTTTGGCCGCTGGAATTTTCTCAGCTCCCGTATCTTTCTGATGCAATAGAAACAGACATCACACAACACTGCGGTCGCAAATCATGCTGCTGGGTCGGATCTAATCGAGGTTTCGATAGCATATCAATTCAGGGGCAATCATTCATTTACAAGCACAATCAGACCCCCATCGATGGAAAGGAAAGCTATTGTGAGAGCTACAGAAGCCCGTCGCGTCGATCACGCGAGCGCCGTAGGATTACCGAATTGAGCCAACGAACCCTCGGGAATTGTTCGCCGCCCATCTTTTTTTTTCTTGCCCTTTCAACTCCGCCATCCTTTTTTTTCCCTTATTCTCACTCAGTCTTCTTGCCCTTCACACCACGGTCGGGCTTATCGGCGCATCGACCCATTTCCTCCTCCTCCTCCTCCTCCTCCACCACCACGCTCCTCCTTCTTCTCCATCGTCGACCTTTCCCCCTTCCCCTCCTTACCCCGTCTTTCTCTTGCTCTCGTCACTGGTTAGACTTGTGATGAGTCAATAAATACTATCTTTTATACTATAGCCTCCCTTGCACCTGGGTTTGCGTCTTTCCATCCCTCCCATGTCGCCCCGTTCAAACTGAATAAAAAGTGACTCCACATCCTTTTAAGGAACGGCGATGGCGTTCAACTTCAACTGGTCGCCGCTTATGGCGGACGCGAGTTTCTATACTCGTGCCCAAGACCTGCTGACGGCTGCCTTGAATAAATCGCCTAAACCGCCTATCATCGTCGACGACATCATCGTCACTGAATTGAATCTTGGTTCCATCCCCCCCGAACTGGAGATCTTGGAAATTGGGGATTTGGCGGAGGATCGCTTTCGAGGCATCTTCAAGATGTCATATACTGGAGATGCCTTCCTTACCCTGAAGACGCGCGTTCAGGCGAATCCTCTCAATACCTACCTCCTCACTCGTCCCTCCTTCGCGACTCCCATGCCCGTCGCTGCAGCGTGAGTGTGATCTACCCTACGCGAAAGCGAACCCTGATGGCCTTTGGTTAACATACTCACTCGTTGCAATACAGAACTCCTCTCACCATCCCCCTGCAAATTACCCTCTCCGATTTCAAGCTCTCCGGCTTTGTCATCTTAGTGTTTTCGAAGCAAAAAGGCATCACCGTCGTTTTCCGGAATGACCCCCTCGAATCGCTTAAAGTCTCGTCGACTTTCGACTCTATTCCGTTTGTGCGCGACTTCCTGCAAAGAGAGATAGAAGCACAGCTTCGGATTCTGTTCATGGACGAATTGCCCGCCATCATACATCGTTTATCCCTTCGACTGTGGGTCCCAGAGTATCGCGCGGGAGAGGAGCTACAGAATGAAGCTACGGACACTGCAGGCGAAGGCCCCGGCCAAGATCCGCTGGCAAGCCCGCCGCAAGACCCGGTTGATGCCTCTGGAAACGCCCTGGACGAATCGGAGATCGCATCACTTTCCCTCGATTCGACTGTCGAAACTCATTCCTTATTCTCGCAAAAGAACCTCCTCCGGCTGGCCGCCCTTACGGATTCACAGCGGACATTATCACTTTTCACCCCGTCCATTCAGGAAGTCGTCTACCGTGCATGGACTTCGCCATCCGACTCGGGCGATCTCTCGGGAGGCGTGACGTCACCTCTGAGTCCAATGCTTTCCAGGACGCATTCGCAAATTGGTGGCATGTCCTCCTCTTTCCAGGACACAGCCAGTATGGTGTCCGCACACAGCCGGTCCTCCGCAAACACACACACATTCAGCAGTTACGGCTTGAATCTGGGCTCTGGTCGTCATTCGAAGTCCAACGCGAGGAGACGGAAGAAGCGTGTCGTCGATCTGCGTCGCCCTAAGACTACGGACGACGCGGTCAGCGTCAGTGGTGAGAGTACCTACACGGAGACTACGAGCGCCGCATCGGTCTACTCAGCTCCTCTACCTGTGATGAGCGAACAGACCGATGATCCAGTGACGCCCCCGCTTTCGCCCAACAGCGACCGCCATCTTCCGACGATCCCCGAACGACATCGTATGAGTCTTTCAAGACCTGCCATGCCTCGGCGTGATATTGCAACCGAAATGTTGCAGGATGCTGGTGAATCTTCGTCGTCCGCGGCTTCCCGTCATCCTGCAGTCGGTGACGTGGATGCCACCCCTCGGGTTTCCGTACACCCCCACAGCACCTCCCGCCGGGAGAGTGAGAAACACCAGGAACCGGATGTTCCACGCAGCCTGCCTGCCACAGCCCTTCCATTCACGGATACGAAAACGTCCAACGTCGTGGATCAGGCCCTGGTTGAAAGACTCGCCGGTGAAATTGCTCGTCGCATGCGCGATGAGAAGCTGACCCCTGGCGGCACTTGCAGTGCCTTCTGGGATCGCCTCAGTCATGACGATGCGCCTCCGGCGTATGGTCAGTAATCTTACTTTTAAGGTTCTCAAACAGGTCTCTCCTCTCCTTCACCTTCCTCTATTCTCCTCGGACTTGAACCCGTGATCAATAAAGTCCTCGAAGCTCCAACAAGACCGAAGCTATTCATGACCGATACGACATTGTTTTTTATTCCTCTGCTTTGCTATCTACGTTGATTGTAATCATCTTGTGGGATGAACTTTGGAGCGGGCGCTAGAACTTTTATATCGATTGGGCTGTACTCATAAAAGAATTGGGTGTGTTTTTCTGTGATTTGTGTGATTTTCTGCTTCTGTGAGCGACCTGCTTTCTTTCAAGGATACCATCTCCCACGCTCGCCGACTCTCTTTGGTCCTGTAAATACTTCTCTCGTTTGGTTCTTTCTCGCTCTTTGCCTTGATCGTTGCTAGTTTCACTGCTGCTGCGTGTGAACCAGTTATTGGCTGGCACCGCATTTGGAGAGTCTGAGGATCTGCCTCTTTGTAAAACAAAATATCAATTGTACTGTCTGTTCCCTTCTCTCCATGAGGACTGTAAATCGCTGGTCAGGGCGCAATTGCGGCCGAGGGCGGCTCCACCAGCCGAACTCGGCAGGCTCCGATTGCGACTCGCGGACGGACTCGAACGTCAACCGAACCCCAAGCCAAACTTCCGTCGCCTTCGCTTCCTTCTTGTCTGCTTCTTCTCCCGCCGCCACGTTGCCCGATCATCGCCCGTCCCTTTCCCCCGTTCTCTCAAGTTCTCATCCTCAATCATGGCGGGCATGTTTCAGAACTTATTTGGAGGCTCGCAGCCTTCCAACCCGGCCAGACCTGACGATGGTAAGTCACGCACGCAACCTATTTCCAAAAATCCGGGGTTCAAGCTCTCCCCAGCCCCAACTGACAGCCCACCTCTTTAAACTCATCATCCTCTTTCTAACATGACTGTCCACCAGACTTCGCCGACTTCGTCGAGGCTCCGGAGCCGTCTCCAGCCTCTCTCGTCCCCGGCTCATCCACCACCCCGGCCATCAACACTCACGGCGTAGGCGCTGCTACCCCGGTCCCGTACACCAAATGGTACCGGGTGTGGGAGCGGACTTCACCGCAGGACTTCATGCAGGAAGCCATGGTGATGCCCATCATCCTGCTGATCGTCCTCTTCCACTTCTGGGGGACGCGCAAGAACCGGCGTCGGGCCCGCGACTGGGCTCAGGCGCACGGGTCCGCCCTGCAGAACGAGTTCGCCGTCGTCGGCTTCGGGGGTCCCAAGACCGACGAAACCCCATCCCCGGACGACATGCTCAAGGAGCGGTCCGCGCAGGAGTTCGCATCGTACGCGACCGGTCGCCAGAACGTGGCCTTCGTGGATTTGTCGGTCAAGCTGCCCAAGCGGTACAACCCGGTGATCTTCTGGACGGAGTCGGTGCTCAGCTTCCTCTTTGAGAGCTGGGAGGCTCCCGCCGAGACCTACGAGGCGACGGCCTACACCTTCGACGGCAAGGAGAAGGACGTGGTGCCGGTGCCCGCCAATGACACCTCGTCCCTAAAAGTCAACAACTCGACCTACGACGGCTTCATCTGGGCGATCGTGCACAAGAACCACATGCGCAAGTTCCGCCAGGACCGCTACGACGCCTCCATCACCTTCACCCGCGAGAACCCCAAGCTCCCCAGCTGGGTGACCGTCATGACCGAGAGCGCCGAGATCACCGACGTGCTCCTGACCCCCGAGCTCATCCAGGCCGTCGAGAAGGCCGGCTCCGATTTCAAGTACCTGATCGTGACCGACCAGCCGATCGATAAACCCTTGAAGTATGTCCATCCTCATCCTCCTCTCTTTCCTCTTCTATTCCCCTTACCAAACACATAACCATACTAAAAACAATGCCTCCCCAACAGAATCGAAGAAACCACCCCCCGCAAACGCATTCAACTCGCCATGACCCTACCCGCTTCGCCCGCCGGCTACGCCACCTCGCTGCCCCTCTTCTCGCAGTTCCTGCGCCTGGCCGACCGCCTCGTCGCCGTCGCCCACTTCCGCCCCGAGGTCACCCGCAAGATCCGCCACACTCGCGACGAGGAGACCAAGAAGCTGCGCCGCGCCGACGAGGACGAGAAGGCCGAGGAGCGCCGCCTCGCCGCCGAGAAGATCAAGAAGGAGGAGCGCGAGCGCCTCCTCCGCGGTATGTCCGCCGACGAGCAGCGCAAGTACCTGGATCGCGAGTCGCAGAAGGAGCAGCGACGCATGATGAAGAGAAGTACCCGTCGGGGTTAGATGGGTTGCTTTTCTCTCTTACGGCTGTCGCTGCTGGTGTTGAATGGCTAGGGAGATCTCTTTTCTTGAGACTATTGTCGGGTGACTGACGGAGGAAAGCTAAAGATGCTACTTGGCTTGTCATGTGGTGTTCCTTTCTTTTATCTCTCTACGTTGCTTCTCTTGTATCTGGTGACGACGATGTTGCATACTTTCATGTACAATGTATTCATAATTATTCGAATGAGAAGGGAGGGAGGATGGGGTTTGGGGCGGCGGTGTGGGATGTTTACGATCGACATTAATGCAGTTATGTTCTGGCGTAACTGATGTACCTGGTCCTGTCCTATATATTGTACTGTCATACGACGATCACATGAACAGTGATCAAGCAACAGACCAGAGACCCCTCCTCTCCATCTCCACCACAAGTGTAAAAACCCACACTGCCAATGCAATATGGTAATCACCAACATGATTAAGTCCTGTACCTGGAACACCAAAAGCAAATCTATCAATCTAATCAATCCGCAGAACCCCAAGCCCCCGATAAAAAAAAACAAAAAAAGAATCCTTCAACCGCCCGCAGCCAAAAAGCTCAACAAACTCCCCAACGTCAACCCAGCCACGAGCATCAAGCCCATGAACGCACCGGCCGGCTCGCGCTCATCGGCCGCCACCAGCCCGGCGCCCATCATGCAGTTACTACCCAAGTACCCGTTACTCACGCCGAAGAGCAGCTGCACGACCACCAGGTAGAAGAAGTCGCTCTGAACGACGGCGCCGCGGCCCCGGATGTTGCACAGCTGGTACAGCGGGATGAAGGCGGCGCGGGCGCAGGCGAAGACGAGCAGGGCGCCCGGCCGGTGGACCAGCGAGAGCGGCGGCCACAGGACCAGCATGCGGCCGAGGAGGTCGCCGGCGTTCCAGAAGAAGAAGGCCAGCGGGATGAAGACGGGGGCGTCGAAGAGGCGCGAGCCGCTGCCGCGGTTGACGGATTCGATTTCCGCCGTGAACACTGGGAAGGTCATTGTTATCGTGAAGCAGAGGATCATGGCTAGTGCTGTGAAGCGTAGTTTCTTGAAGAGCGTCCATAGGCTTATTGTTTTGCTGGGGGTCGCGGGATCGTCGTCTTCTTGTTCGTGGTTGTGACTGTTGGGAGGGGTGAGGTGCGAGCGGCGCTTGACGAGGGAGGTGAAGGCTAGGAGGGCGAAGCAGGACACCCCCGTCGCGGTGAGGAAGTATGCGAAGGCCGATTTGGAGGATTCCTGCGGCGGAGCGCCCGCCGCGGGGGGTCCGGGGGCTTGGTCGTGGTCTTGCTCGCTGTCGCCGGGGCTGCGCGCCACGGAGAGCACCGAGACAATCTGCACGATACACGGGAGCACGCCGGCCACGCCCTGGCCGCTCATGATCGCCTGCGTGTACTCCTCGCGGCCGAAGCCCGCGACGTAGGCGTACACGCCATTCTGGTTGATGCCCGTGGCCAGGCTGGCGCCGAAGACCATGAACATCAGGAACGCGAAGTAGGTCGCCACCGAAACATCTTTCATGAGAATCGTCGAGAAGGCCAGTAGCGTGAACACCACTATGTTGATCAGCAGCGAGATCACCGTCCGCTTGGGGTAAGATGCTCCCTTCTGGAGCTTGGCCAGGATAAATGAGGAGCCCAGGTTGGTCACCGTCGAGACGGTCAGGATGGAGGGCTGATAGTGAGTCGCTGCCCAGTCGTCCGTGTGGAATCGGTGGTAGAAGTATGGGGCTGCCGCAAGGAACATGTTCCTATAGTTATCGGAGCATGGCGGTTAGCGGGCTGGCGCCGTTGTATGTGGAGATGGTAGAGCAGAGCATTGCGCTGATGAGTTGGAGATTGCAAGTCAACGTACCATGCCCAGAGCATAGAGACTCCCAGGAGAAGAAACACGGCATATTCATAGGAGGAGAAAGGGGCCTGTTGCGGAGCTGATGAGGCCGAATCGTTGTTCTCCGACTCGTTATCCGACTCCGCAGGCTGCTGGATGGCCTCGTACGTCACTTGCGGAGCAAACAGTCTCCGAATACGGTCCATTGTTGTGGTTGCAGAAGAGGTCCCTAGATACTGGACGAAACGGGACTCGAGGAAGAGGTAAATCAGTCCATAGTAGATTTGTGAGAGGGAGAGAAGAGGTCACGATGATGAGAAGAAGCAGGGAAGGTCATGAGGGCCAGTCGGACAATTGCCAAGACACCCCGACGGACTGGTCACGTTCGGGTGACTAAGACGGCAAGAATGAGAAATGGTTCGGAGGAAAAGAAAAGGAGAGAGGAGAATGGGGTATTTCTGTACGGTCTCTATCCAGTCATCCACAAACATACCAAAAGAAGAATCACAGTCCAACCATATTAGATACATCATCAAGCGCCCACCCTTCTAAGAACAAGTATATATGAGCCACCTTCAAAGAAAAATAAGCCTGTTGGTGGTCTACACGGCTGTAAAACGTTCAACGTTCAACATATAATATAGAACGGAAGAATGCTTCAAGGTGTCCACGAACTCCTTCTATTGCTTTTGTTGAGAAGACTCCTCTCGAAGCTCTTCGACTTCATCTTCCGCATTGTCGTTTTCCAACTGCCACAATTTCTCTTCGGTCTCGGGAGTGACGGGCGCCCGAGGAGGAGTTGCGTCACCACCACTCAATTGCCATTCCATCAGCTTGGTGAAAGCACCATCAGGCCTGGCACTAAGCTCCTCATAGCTGCCTTGCTCAGCAACCTTGCCATCCGGAGCAAGAACGATGATTGTGTCGGATCGTTTGATGGTAGATAGTCGATGGGCGATACTGATAGTCGTGTTGTTGCCGCGGAGCAGGGCAGCAAGAGCACTGTTAACAAGGGTCTCGGACTCCGCATCAAGCGCAGAGGTCGCCTCGTCCAAGATCAAAATATCGGGTTCCTTAATGAGAGCACGAGCAATGGCAATGCGTTGCTTCTGTCCACCGGAGAGTTGCGCTCCGCGAGGTCCGACCTGAGTATCAAGGCCATCCGGCTAGAGGAAATGCATGTTAGTCGTAGACGCCCTTCAAAAATTGATGGAGCTACTTACGAAATCACTGATGAACTGGCAATTTGCTTTCCTGGCAGCCGCGATGATTTCTGAGCGAGTTGCATGGGGACTTCCATAGGAGATGTTTTCTGCAATCGTTCCTGAGAACAGGACAGGCTCCTGCGCGACGACACCGATCTTCCTACGGAGAGATTTCGCGTTCATCTGACCGATGTCCTTGCCGCCGACTAGAACGCGTCCGCCGGTGGGATTGTAGAACCTCAACAGAATAGAGGCAATGGTGGACTTGCCTCCGCCTGATGGCCCAACAATGGCGACATTCGTGCCCTGAGGGATCTCAAAGTTGAGATCTTGGAAGATAGGGACAGCAGGACGGGTGGGGTAGCTGAAGGATACATTCTCGAAGCGAATAGGGCCGCGGGCAGATTCAACCTTGATGCCCTTAGTAGGTGATATGGTTGGCTCCCGGTCCTGCAACTCAAACAGACGACTGGCCGCACCGACGCCTTTCATCAATTCGGAATAGAAGCTGGAGAGACCAAACATGCTGGAACCAGCGTAGGCGGTATACATCAGGAAAGATGTGAGCTCTCCAATACTAATGGCGCCTGATTTGACCATTCCTCCACCAACATAGAGAAGTGCGAGAATCGTCATGTTACCCATGAATCCGGTCTAAAAGGAAAGTTAGTAAAGAAGGATCAGAAAGTCTCAACCCGGTATATCATACAGAACTGAAAAAGGTCGCGCTAATCAGAGATTCTTTCTTGCCGAGCTCAAAGATCTTGCGAACTTGAGTGTTATAGCGGTTGACTTCCAGGATCTCACCAGCAAAGGACTGGCTAGTCTTCACGTTGCCCAACCGTTCTTCAGCAATCTTAGTCAAAGTTCCGAGGTTCCTCTGAATCTTGCGGCTCAGGTTTCTGATCGCCCTTCCGTAGAAGAAAGCTCCCAGGCCGATTGGAGGTAGCAAAAGTGCCAGAATACTCGACAGCTTGAGACTGACATAAGCCATGAGGCCGAATCCAGCCACACCGCTGACAGTCGCTCGTAAACCGTCGGAAAGATTCTGAGTGATACTTTTACCAACAATAATCGTGTCAGAGCCGAGACGGGAGATCAGATCACCAACGCGGTTCGCATCGAAGAATTCCGCGTCCTGAATGAAGGTCTTTCGGAACAAATTCGAACGGAGTCGAGCAACGATGCGCTCACCGACAATACGAAGAATCACAATGCGACCATAGTTAGCGGCAGCACCAAGGGTCATGATTCCGGCCAATGCACCATAGAACATAGGTACACTTAAGCCGAAAAGCTGATCCGGGGCGCCCTCCTCCGTATTCTCCGCGGATTGGGTGGACTTGGTGGCAGCGTCCATGATCTTGCCGATAGAGAAAGGAATAGACATCGTGATACCGGACGAAATGAGCAGGAAGAAGAAAGCGAATCCAAGCTTCTTGGCTTCGGGGCGCGCAATTGATAGCAATCGCCAGATCTCCTTAAAGCCTGCGTTCTTTCCTGAAGCGCCATCTTTGGCCAACTTTGCTCGGAGATTAACCTGAGCGGCCTGGGCTGCGCGTTCCGATAGTTCAAATCCCTTATCCAGATCCTCATCATCCTTATCTTGTGTCGTGTCCTTATTGGTTTGCGATGGGGTCGATTGACCTGTAGGTTTGGCCTCTAGTGATCTCGTCGAGGAGGAGAAAAAACGCATAAATCTGGGTAATTGCGACCGATCAACTGGGTTCTGTGAACCACGGGAGAGTAGAGATCCGGAAGGTAGAGAGGGTCCGTAGTAATTGCGTAATGAGCTCGATAGTCCTGAAAACTGTCTTTTGGGTTCAACAAAAGTTGTCCCGGGCGGGGAGGCATTGCGCTGCGCGCACACCTCGACCAGGATACTTCCATTAGTTCGAGCTGTTTGCCTCGCAGCAACTCCTGGAGCCCAGGAGGCCAGCAACCTGGCTCCGAGCATATCGGAGAATACGTAGAAAGCGGAATCAGATGGCTGCTGAAATGTATGGCGATTGAGGAAACCAGGATGCCATATCCCACTAGTTGCTCGCGAGGATCATGGGGTACATGGCCTAGACGAGCTTGACTTGCTGTTCTGAGGGCTGGATGTGTGTGTGTGTATGTGTGTGTGTGAGGTTGATGGAGGGGAGAGCCAGAACGCTTGAAGGTCAGCCGCGAAGCCGCCTTCCTAAGCTCCGGTCCCGATCATCGCCGCTTCGGCCTCGCATCGGCCACGGTTCTGCCTGCCATCACCGCCTGTTGTGATTCCGCCGCCATCGAAGCTGGTCGAGAGCATTCGATGGCTGTGGCAGCAACAAGTTTGCGCGCGTTGCTGTGGTTGCGCAAGGTTGTTCCTTAACCTGAAAAGAAACCAATCTTCTGGCTTGAGTTTTCTCCACCTCGATTACACCCATATCGCATCACACCGTGTTCCGCAGTAGTAGTAGCTTTGATCAGTTGCTGCTGTGCTCCCTACCCCACCCCCGCCTCGCCTCGACTATACTACTTTCCTGACAATCAATCACGCATTCAACTCACCATGGTGCTCGACTACAGCAAGTGGGATGCTCTCGAGCTGTCGGATGACTCCGATATTGAAGTGCACCCCAATGTCGACAAACGTTCGTTCATTCGAGCCAAACAGGCCCAGATCCACCAGCAACGTTCGCAGCGCCGTCATGAGATTGAAACCTTCAAATACGAGCGCTTAATCAACGATGGCTTGCTTACACGCATCGACAGGCTTCTTGCGCTACTGCAGCAGAATGAAGGAGCCTCGAATAATCCCGAAGAGTTCGTCTTCCAAGCTCTCATGGAGTTCGCCGGTGAACCGCGGGAGGACATGCCCCCCGCACCACCGGAGGGAGTCCACACGCATGAGACGGACCGTCCCAGGTACTCCCAGATGATGGGTGCTCTGGTAGATCAAGTCAAGAAGGAAGTTGCCGAAGTCAGTGAAGACAACCTTTACTCGGAATACATCAAAAGCGTGCAGGGACACAAGGACAAGGTGCAGGGTCTACAGAAGGAGCTGAACCAAAGACTTGAGCAACTCGAGAGGGAGGAGAGGAGCAAGATTACTAGCGACCAGCTGCATACTGGTTTTGATACTTCGCACATCGCCAAGGGAGGCGAGGCCCAGGGCCAGGGATCGTCGGCTCAGGCCGAGACGGTCGAGCTCCTGAATCCCAACGCTTCAGCTGGTTCTTCGTCCCAGCAAGCCGCCACCGCCGCCGATGATGACGATGAGGATGAGGACCCCGAAAACATGAAGGCTAGTGACCTGGCCAAGCGGTTCGCGAAGATCGACCGCAGCGATTACCGCTCTCTGCTGCAGTTCATCTCCGCGAACCCCCAGATCGTCGCCGAGAGAGAAACTGACGGTCTCCTCGTCGAGGCGTTCAACAATCAGATGGAAGGCAAGGATGAATATGCCCGTCAATGCGTTCACCAAGCATTGCTGTTGCAATATTGCCGCTCTCTCGGTCGCGACGGCATCTCTCTGTTCTTCAAGCGGTACGTATAGGAAGCTTCTTATTGAAAGGACAGAATGCTAACAATTCCAACCCACATACAGCATCACAACAGCAAACCACCAGGCAGGAACTCTCTTCCGAAACGACGTGAACGAGACCTACAACAAGATCAAGTCTCGCGCCGCAGAGCTCTCCAAGGATGGCTCTGCGTCCAACGATCCCGCGGGAGTAGAACAGATCCAATTGCATGCGGTCGACCCCAACACGAAAATCAGCATTGGCATCCCTTCGGCCGAGAGCCAAGATCCCGTTGAGGTAGAGGCGCGCAAGGTCTATGAATCCTTCTCGAAAGAAATGCAGAATGCGTTGGCATCGGAATCGCTGGACGAGGTGAATAAGGTTCTCGGGAAGTTGAGCGTCGAAGAGGCCGAGGAGGTCGTTGAAAAGCTGGGACAGTTCGGCATGCTGAGCCTCGAGGAGGGAATCGTTGATGCCACGACCGAAGAAGGTCGGAAGAAGTTGGAAGAAATTGAGGCGGAAAACAAAAGAGAGAGGGAGGAGATAGGTGAACCAGGAGGCGATATCACCGAGTTGGACTGAGTATCACTCAACGCGTAGGACATCAAATGGACAGGTTTATGTGTGATTACTTGCGAGCCGTGACCACCCAAGTATGCAAATATCCATTTTTTTTTTCTTTCAATCAATTTGACTACCTCTTTTGAACTGATCTTGTCACCGTGTCAGGTATGCAGTAGTCTCGCGGAAATGATCCGCGATGGAGCGGCCTTGGTATTACATAGCAGGAATTCAAGGAGAATATAATGTGTAGTGTTCCAATATGCATGATCTAACTACAGAAAGGGAATAAGGAAGATATGAAAACATGTAATGAGAATAAAATAAAAAGACATTGTGATTAGGAAGCCGCCATAGAATCAATTGATCCACGTAGGTATATTCAGGTCGATGAAGAACGTCTGAGCTCCTGGGGTCAATGCGGAATGACATGATGTTCATGAGAATGGCGCTGAAAGTAGAGGAAGTGAGGTATAACCTCCAGGAGACTTAAATTCTCGGGCTCAATTGCCGTCCCTGGGTATCAGGTATCGGGAAGCTTAAACACCGCCGGCGCCGGGGGCATTCTGATCCTTCTTCAAGTCGAGCAGCAACTCACGGAAGCGCTCCTTGCCAGATCCGCTCGCACCACCCTTGCTGCCCTTTCCGGATACGTCAACCAGCTTTGCAATGCGCTCCCAGCTAGTGCCACCAGACGATGTGTCTTCGCGGTTGGCGAGGAACTGCTCAGCTTCGGCACGAGTCTGGGCACGCAATTTGTCCGTCTTGTTGTTATAAGAGACATAGAAGTCGTCGATATCCTCCTGTGCCTTCTTCACGGTCGCTTGCTTCTTCTCCTCGGAGATTTCAGCACGGCGCTGAATGTCTGCGTCTCGTCTTTCACGCCATTCCCTAGAGGAGTCGCAGTGTCAGGACATGTGCAGCACGGAAGCGACGGGGCGGGGAAGGGCGGTGGCAGTGTGTAGATTCTCTTAGGGCCGAGGATGGTATTACCTGACGGGCTCGGGCTCCTCGTCGAGAGCTTGGGAACTATAGTTGGTGTATCCGGTGGGCGGGAAGGGGGCCCCCGTTCCAGTGATTGTACCACCAGGGGCAACTTGCTGTTCGACCGGCGATGAATTAATACACTGAAGACATGACCACTATAGGAATTGAGCGCAATGTATACCTCATTCTGTATGTCAAGGGCGGGGAAAGAGGATTCGAACCCGGCGATCTCCTGAGGCGAGGCGTCACCGGCGGCTGGGAAGGCGTCCGCATCACCACCCAATAGATCGTCATCGTTGTTTACGTCTTCGGGCACGGCGACATGATCTTGAGGGGTTGCGAATTGCTCAGCATCGTCGCCAAGCATGGCTCTTTCGCGAGCCAGGAAGTCGTTCTCATCGGAGCCGCCGTTGGTCTCCACGACCTCGGTCTGGCCTAGCAACGGGATTAATATCATGTAGTAGTAGTAGAAGCGGCGATGATGCGGCTTGCTCACCCGCGGAGAAGTCCTCCAATGAAGGGAAGCGATCAGCCATATTGGAGCGGAAATGTGAAGTTCGAGTATCCAAGTGATTGGCTCAAAGCGAGATACGGTAAATGCTCGATGAAGGAAACGAGGAGGGCTGGACGGGGGTGGGTTGAATTGTAAGTAAGGTACCAGCTGGCGGGTTGAGGATGCGGGCGGAGAGCACGTTGGATGGGCAATTGGAGAAACCCCCCGGATTCTGCCGGTAAGGGCGGTGAGAGAGCTGGCCTGCAGCTTGCAATCGGAGAGGAGAGAGAGTCTATTCTGCTTCAGGAGTCCCTCACCTTCACCACAGTAGTCCTTCTTTCTATACTTTCCTGCTTATCCTGGCTTCTCCTTGGCTTCGGTGCATATCTTATCCCACCCCTTAGTATTTTCAAGTGACAGTCACAGGGCCTCATATCCGCCTCACATACGTCTCTCATCTAAAAACAACTCGAGTCGCCAATCCAAACATACCAGATCAACGCACCTCCCATTACATCTATCGAACAGAAGTAGACCGCTGCAACTAAGGCTTCACGCAAACACGATGGCTTATTCGGATGACGCTGTCAAAGCCAAGCTCTCTGCACTTAATGAGACTCAAGAAGGCATTGTCACAGTCGCGCAATGGGTCATGTTCCATAGGTATATGATCTTGACAGCTATGAATAAACAATTGGCCATGACTAACCAGGTTCACGATTGATAGGCGACACGCAGACCGGACAGCGCAGCTTTGGTTGCAGAAGTTGCGCGAATCGCCCGCCCCAAAGCGATTGAATCTAATTTACCTCGCGAACGGTACGAATGGCACATGCTGCTGGCCTGACCCCCAGTGACTGACCCCCAACTCAGAGGTTGCGCAACAATCACGCGCGCGGCGCAAGGAAGATTTCCTCGTCGCGTTCTCTCCGGTTTGTGCCATCCATAAATATACCAGGGCTATGGCGGACGCTGACATGCACAAGATCATCGCAGAGGCTACGGCTACCGCCTACAAGGGTTCCTCGAACGACATCCAACAGAAGCTGCGACGGGTGATAGAGGTGTGGAGAGCACGTGCAATCTTTGAACCTTCGGTTCAGGATGCCGTGGAGGCGCGGGTAGATGGTAAGGACACCTCGGCTGAGCGGCTCGAGATAACTTTCGCTCATGTGTTCATAGAGATTGACAAATCGCGTTCTACCGGCAAGAAGCCGCCATTGGGAGGATCACTCTTCTCGACCTCGTCCGGTTCTACCCCGTCTGAGCTACAGCCGTTGGTCCCTTTGCAGGTAGCCCTTTCGAAGGCTACTATGACTTCGACTGCATCCGCTACTGCTGCCAATGCAGAGTACGATAAGCTACACGATCCCAAGAACCCGTTGCCTAGCCCTCCGGTGCATGCTGCACGCCTCAGTCAACTATTGAAGGCTTTGGCGAACGCTGAGAGCTCAGTCTCGGAAGTAATCAAGTCACGGTTGGCACTAATTGATGGTCTCGAGAAACTCTTGGAGACCAATCGCTCGGCTTTGTCGAGGGAGCAGAGGTTGGCCGCGCAGCTCGGGGAACGAAAGACCGAGACCGAGGCGACCAAGAGGGAGGTTGAGGATGGCATCATGCGAGGTCTGTCGGCGGAGAACCCCCCTGCCGTCAATCATGGGGATCTCGGACTAGGAGGGGACGCAAGTGTCCCTCGCCCTGAGGTCGAAGCTCTGACTCCTCCGCCTGTCGAGGCCCTGACACCGGTTGGCTCTCCGAAACAAGTCCCGCAGGAGACAATCCCGGGCCTCACGAACGAGCCTCAGATTTTCGGCGGTTTCACTCTCCCAGGCATCGAGCATCCCCTCGACTCATCTTACCCCACATCAGATCTGACCTCTGCGGCCTTTGATGCTTCCAATGGACTTCATGCCAAGAAGCGCAAGGTCACTCATGAAGAAGAGGACTATGCTCAATTCGCAAGTGGTGACCTGGATGCTGATGTTGCCGAGCTCTTGAAACAGGAAGGTGACGCTCACAATTAATGCTTAGTGCTACTGTATGAATAGCCAAGCAGTCAATCCGAGTCTCAACATGTTCACCACCTTCTAGTCTGCGTCCTGCGTCCTTCGACATGCATATTTTCGTACTCAGTATTTTTGTTGTTATTGGTCCCTGCATTGGCAGTGAGACTTCAAACGGTCATGTTATGGTTTTGGCGGAGTTGACTGTTGTTGCTACGGAAGGCAGTGTATCGCCCGAAACAGGCGAAACTGTATAAGTTTGTCATTGAACGAAGCCAAAGGCAAATTAATTGCATTAGGGTTACTGAGGCCATCTAGACGGAAAAAACTATCGGTATATGTCAGGGTCTACCCATTTATCCCTCGCGACCACGGACAGTGATGGTCGTTTCTTTCGGCGATAGATCGTCTCGAATGCGCGAGGATTCAATGCGGGTGTTTCTTGGCCTTGTGGTGCAGCAAGTGGCTCTGGTGCCGGTGCCGGTGCCGGTGCCGGTGCCGGCGAAGGAGGTTCGGGGGAATCATGTTTCTTGGGCTTGACGAGTAATACGATGAACAATCCTGCCACCAAGATTACAAGGAGGAGGAGGATTTTGCGTTTGACTGTGCGCCGCTGATAGTTGGTTGCCTAGGATAGAGATTCATGTTAGTTCTAATTCCTGAACATGCACCACACATAGAACGCACCACTTTGAGCTCCTTATCTGCAGCTTTCACCTCCGTTCCCATCCGTTCAATGTTGTAGTCTATTCGATCCAGCATGGTGCCCTGATCAATGACCATCGCCTGCAACTCGCGGAAGATGTCCGACAGCTCGATAATGCCTTTGGCGATATCATTGATCTCCCGTTCCCGTTGCACGATAGCGGCATCGTTCGAAGTCGACAGGCGCTGTGAGGTCTGCATAAGCGTCGATTGGGAGAAGGACTTGTCCGCATCCGATTCCATCAAGGAGGGATCCGTATAGGGGTTCTGCATCGGGGTTGGTGATCGATCGAATGAGGACGATCCACCCTCCAAGCCTCGTAGCTCTGCCGGTGTTCCTCCAGGTCAGCGCATTGAACCGGATATACCAGCCTGGAAGAGAGAAAATGCGGCCAAACTCACTCTTTAGGTAATTACTTTGCTTCTTCCTGAACCGAGCGCTGGCCTCTTGCGCGCGAGCGGCCAGTGAGATCTGTAGATTCTTCGCCATGGTCTCATCGCCGCTGCTGACTCCGCCCTGCTGTTTGGCCTCTCGCACCATTACCTCGATTCTCTGGACCGCCTTCTGGCATGCGTGGAAGGAGCGCGTGATGTCCTGGGTAAGTCGCTCGATCGCCGCTTCGTCCTGCTTCCTGATCTCTTCGTCCCCGAACCCCGGAAGGAGGTGCTTCTGATGTAGCTTGTCCAGTTGGGCGGACTTTTGCGCGATGTCGGCGAGTAGCTCCGTCACTTCGTCCTGCACGTCGACCCAGCGCGGGGGTAACACGTCCATCTCGATGATTGCGTCGCCATCCTCATCCGACCCTCCCGTTTCGGAGATCAGTCTACGGCTCTCTTCGGATTGTGAAGGGATGTCGGAGAAGCCATTGGAGGCGCCGAGATAACGTGGCTTCTTGGCCGGGTGATGCGTGAACGACTGTCGGTAGGAGATATAACTAGGGTGAATCGAGCGATCAGCGTTCCACGTCTGGAAGAGTGTGCCACTATATTGGGAGTATATAAATACAGGTTGGTGCGATCCCGCCACATCGTGAAGGAATGACTGTGGTGGGAGTGCCTTGTTCTGCGGTGTTCCGTCGACGGGGGGTTGCGCAACGCCTCTAGACTGCTGCCCTGATCATTGTCGGGCCAAACAGACCAAATATGTGGAGTCGAAACGGTGTATCAATGACCAGAGAACAGAAGCCAAGCAAGCTCTTTCAGAGGCACAGCACATTAAGTTGTCAGAGGGTATATGAGCATGCACCAATGCGTCCGATAGGACCTGTCGCTGTACTTCCATCGGTAGTTCGATCTCCCATCTTGCACATGAAGGCCAATCCGGCGCTTGGCCCCTTTGGGAAGGCACGCTTCGCTCCATAGCTATTACGTCAGCTATCAACACGCCCTGATGCATCGTTTGTGCTACGCATGGCACAGGAATGAATGATGCTGAAAGTAAAACATGGTGTTCTTGAACGATATTGGTTTTTTAATTCTTGGTTCTACGCCTGCATAGATACAGCAGACCGTGATTGAAGCAATTCACTTTGTATTGGAGCTATGCCGATACAGCTGTGGCAGCAGCTTTTCTACTGGTATCGCTGTAATGATAGCACCGACTGGGCCTGTAGTAGACCTCTCGAGTCAGTTGTAAGTGTAGGCTGTCAGATTCATGGTGGTTCAAAGCTTCGTACTGCGAGTTTTAAGGTGTCTATACATCAATCACTACCGTGTTAAGAGTGAAAGATATATAAGTAGCTCAGTCCTAATACATCACAAGCCACATCAAACCTTCATAATTCCAAGAATTGCGGTATCTGATAATGACCAGATGACCAATACCATGAGCGAAATGAACAAAGTTGGCCCTGGGACACAGCTGCGGAACTTGCTGCCTTCAAGCTTTGGAACTGTTGAGGATCCACGGGTGTCTCGTCCAGCAGCTGCTCCCCGGGCGGTGACTATAGTGATTGATGTACTGTACTCGTACGTACCTGGCGGCGCAGGCACGAGGAACTGAGGGTGAGATGCACGAGGGCACAGCCAGCCAGCACGCAGGGCTGAATGACAGGGAAAGGATAACTAAAGGAGCATGCAGCGGCGGCTGAAGCAAGCAACAGCAGGCAGTATCTGCTGCCAGGCAAAAATAGTAGCAAATAGCACAAATAGTTAGTTCAAGTTGACAGGTTGAGGACATATGGTGGCCCAGGCGGGTCACGTTTCGGGCATAAGCGACCGCCTTGCCAGGCCATCTCGCTCAATGGTCCTTTTATTATTATGATGGATTCGGGTTCCCCTTAAATCGTCTTCCACCACCACCACCACTGCTGCCGACTCCTCCCTCCCTCCCTCCCCCCACCATTACTTTCGCCCGTCCTTATCAAACCACCCGCTTCCCCTTCTCCCCTTTCATTCCCTGATTTATTACCCTCTTCCTGACCTTTTCGTGATCTTATCACTTATATTCATTAACCATGGTATGCCTATCTCTAGCCACGGTCTTGGCCAGTCGGGATGAAAATCCCCCACTTTGCGGGGCAGATCGATCTGGAATGCTGGCCACAATTGCTAACAGTTCATTCTTCAGGCCGACTCTCTGACTGAAGAGCAAGTTTCCGAATACAAGGAGGCCTTCTCCCTCTTTGTAAGTAATTCCGAAGCTTTATTGTGTGCCCTTGAAGAATGTTTACTGATGCGGTTCTCGTGATCCTCGAACAGGACAAGGATGGCGATGGTTAGTGCAGTTCCTTACCCCTCTCTCAACGATCCCACCCGGCGCCACCACAATAGCCATTATGCTGCGATTAACGGAGGACTCACACGGACACCGAACGCGCTTCTAACAGAATCCCCTTGACAGGACAAATCACCACCAAGGAGTTGGGTACCGTCATGCGTTCCCTCGGCCAGAACCCTTCCGAGTCTGAGCTTCAGGACATGATCAACGAGGTCGACGCTGACAACAACGGCACTATCGACTTCCCCGGTATGTGACGGCGATGAAGTAGGGGTTGAACATGTTGTTGACAGCTGCCAGAATTCCTTACCATGATGGCTCGTAAGATGAAGGACACCGATTCCGAGGAGGAGATCCGCGAGGCATTCAAGGTCTTCGATCGCGATAACAACGGCTTTATCTCCGCCGCGGAGCTGCGCCATGTCATGACCTCCATCGGTGAGAAGCTCACCGATGACGAGGTCGATGAGATGATCCGTGAGGCGGACCAGGACGGTGACGGCCGCATCGACTGTATGTTCCGCGTAACTCCGGCTTGAGATGTCTGTCCGATGGCTAACATATTTTGTCTAGACAATGAGTTCGTCCAGCTCATGATGCAAAAATAGACGGCTGTCAATAATCAATCTGTTAATCTTTTTGTTAGCGAAAAGGGTGGGGGCAAAGAAGTATACTCCACAGTCTCCCATCTTATTCCTTATACCGCTTTCTGTAGTCTATTTATCGATTGCAGCCACCAGTGGCTGGTCATTAGCGCGCGTTCCATTGTTATAGTCGTATCAGTTGTCATTTCTGTGAGGAATAGTAGAGTAGACAATGACATTAAACCGAGGCTGGGCGTTCCAGAATACTTCTGTCCTTGCCTGGTTGTCCTCCTTTCCTTTTGCTCCAGGGTGGGATCGGTCTGCATGCTGTTGCTCTTAGTAACGTTCTTCTGGTCTGCGTCTGGCTGCTAGCTCCGCTGCGGATCGTTGTCTTCGGCCACGGTTCTTATTATCGTGCTCAAGTGACAATTCAACGGACCAGTTTCAGGATGGTTTATGATCAGGACTTGCAATGCAACTCGGAGTCGCCAAGTATAATTGCCCGTAGAGACCGAAGCCTATAGCACGCCAAGAGATCTGAAAGGAAGCATATTACAACGACTCCGGAACGCAGCAGCACAGCTATAAAGAACAATTGAAGCAGGTGCTCAGAGGTATTCGTCACGGCCTAGACTGTCTACGAACATTACCGCGCGAGTGCCTCTAGTCGTAGCCCACACGGCATACTACGCATGCGAGATCATCTTGCATCGAGATAGTATCTAATATGGAACCGATCACCGATTGAACCTAAAGATCTCCATATACTGCCTGGCCGAATCCACTCCAGCAGCCGGGTCCGGATCTTCGTCCATCTGCAGCTCACGCTTCTCATCCGACACCGGCTGCGGTCGTTCGCCCTTGAGCTGCCGCAGTTGCTCCTTGACCTCCTTCCCCACATCTGGCACGAGGATGGCCTCGCGCGCGCCCTCGATCCCCAACCGAGCCCAGAACTCCCGAATCAGCGCCGCACTCGCCGCATACTCGGCATCAACATCAGCCTCTTCCACTGCCTCCGGGAAGAAGCCGCCCATGTCCATCCCGGCGTCATCGAGATCACCACCGTCGGCGGCCACGACCGGACTGGATGCCTTCATCTTCCTGACCAAGGTCTGCGCGGCAATCGAACCGACCAGAGACGGACCGCGCCATTCGATCTCCACCACGGTCCCGCGGACCCGTGCGGTGGGCTGGGTCTGGCGCACGTCGCCGACGCGCACGCGGAAATCGCCCACGTCGTAGACCGCGCCGCCGGGCACGGTGACGGTGTGGCGGTGGCACCAGAACGGTTGGCAGGCGTAGCCGAAGTGGTGGAAGAGGGCGTTGCTGGAGGCTAGCGGGACGGTCGTCATGACCATCGGGCCGGCGGGCTGGGCCGCTGGCGATGATGAGGATGATGCCTGGCTGCTGGAGGGCGCTGAGTTAGAGGTAGGTTCAGAGGTGTAGATGAAGCCGTGGTTGGCGTGGTAGGACAGGGAGAGGAACTGCATGTAGCGCGGCTGCGCTTGGCGCTGCTGTGATGATGCGGACGCTGTCAGGCAGGATGGGGTATCTCGCATGAGCTTGTGTTCGAGGAACCACCGGCCGACGAGGGTGGGCTCGTCGGCGAGAGCTGTGTGGAGGCGCTCGGTTACGGTTGCGAGCACCGTCGAGGCATTGGGGTTGGACGGGATGAAGTACACCCTGCAGGAGTTAGGTTAGTGGTGGTGGTAGTGGTGGTGGAGGCTTGAGATCTCCATGAAGAGATGGTCTAGGCTGTTTACCCTGTGATGGGCATTCTGATGGAGCAGATGGTGAGGTTCCCGTGATGGGACGGGTGTGAGCTGCGTAGAGCAATGGCACAACACACCCCCACAGTCTGATGGTGATGTGCCCACGGTGAGCCTAGAACTTGAAGATACAAGAGCCTTGGGACTCTGATACAAAGCTCGAACTAGGCAAGGATCACAGTTGTTGTAGACTAGTTATAGTTTGCGAATATAGCTGCTCTTGTGTTAGTACTGGTTCAAGTTGAAAGAAGAGGATGATTATTCCTGCATGCCTATCACGTACCCACTCTATATATAGACTAATGTACCAGTAAGCCTAAGGCGGCAACCTGAAGCTGCATAGAGGAGTCGTAACTGTCAGTGTGGAGATACAATAATCAAGCTTGATAGAAGAATTGACCCAAAGTGGTGAAGCAAAGCCGTCGATGCCTGGATACCGAGGCCACAGCACAAACAAGACAAACCGCCAATGGGCAGCGGAATGGATCAACACGTCTCCGGCTTCCACCCGTGCTTTTGCGCCCGCAGTCCCGCCTCCACTCCCAGTAATCAAAGCACTGGATCCCTTGGAAAGTTAGGCTCCAGTGCTCCACATTCACTATTTTATCCGATACCCATTACCCAGCCTCTACGTGTGCTTCTAGATTGTCAGTCGCTTCCAGACCCTGGCTGGCCTCAATTCATTCCCAGGAGGCCTGGGCGTGTGCTGCCGAGACGCGGGCTGATGTTCCATGGAAGAGGCTGAGGCCCTTTCGCCCCCCCTCCCCCAAAGGGGCCATTTCCGACGCGATATGTCAAAGGGTCAAAGGGTCAAAGGTTAAGAATAGAAAATCCTACCAATCTGAGTCTCGCTAACCCATTTTGTTTCTTGGGATTCAGGGCCCGCGGCCAGCCAGGGTCGAAAGCGCCACCAGCTTACGCAATGGGCAGATCCTCCCGCCGTGGGTGCTTGTTTTCCTTGTTCGTCTCTTACTTACTGTGGTAAGCTCTGTAGCTTTTCGAGCCACTCTCATGCGTTGTGTCTCCTCTTTGCGATCAGCATGCTACACATTACTGGCTACCTGACATGCTGCAATTGACCCCTCTGATACAGCATTCCACCTACGAATAAGTCACTCTTGCTCATGAGCTAGCCTGATGTAGTCAGGCAAGGCCATTTCCCCCGGCCAGGGGTGATCGATCCCTGACGGCTATATACGGGACAAGTACCTTTTCTCATCCGTGTTCCCTCAGAAAACACCTGCTTTCCAAGGGTTTCGCGAACTTGGAAACTCCCCAATTCGGTCGCTCCTTTGTACTGGCCTCGGATTTCAAAGCCGGGGGTGACTTCAAACTGAGTCTGGCATTGAGCATGCTCTGACCTCACTCGATGCTTATGCTTGTTTCTATGCTATAATTTCTGGCCGTAGTCGATACGGCCGTACCCTCTCTCAGTCAATTCTTCTTTCCATCTGTGTCCTTATTATAGTAATCAAATCATTCACCATGATATTCTCACGGAGGAGCTATCTCCTTCCGACTGTCGTTCTCATCTGTCTCACCTACAGTCTATTCTCTAGTCTACCGCCCGGTGCGGAGAGACCACATCGACATTCCCATGACGATGCGCAATATCCCACATCGACTTCGGCTTCCAAGAGTGATGACAGGATCCATTGGATGAAACAGACCGAACACCACCCAATCGACGACTACATCCCGCTCCCTACCGCTGCGCCATCCTCTATACCTAAAATACAATATGAGTTTCCCAGAGAATCGTGGGTTGCTGGATGGCGGAGAAAGAAGAGACAAAATGCAGTGAAGAAAGCGTTCCAACATGCGTGGAAAGGTTACAGGGACAATGCCTGGCTGCGGGATGAGCTGTCACCTCTTAGTGGACGTCACCGTGAGACCTTTGCGGGATGGGCAGCTACCCTGGTTGATTCCCTTGATTCACTGGTCATTATGGGCATGAAGCAGGAGTTTGAAGAAGCGCTGGAAGCTCTCGACCGCATTGATTTCTCCACCACACATGCTTTGCAGATTAACATCTTTGAAACCAACATTCGTTACCTGGGCGGGTTCCTGGGCGCCTACGATTTGACCGGCGGGAAATATCCGATCCTCCTAAAGAAGGCTACCGAGATCGCAGACATGATTTATGGGTCATTCGACACTCGTAACAGGATGCCACAATCCAGATGGGAATGGACCAGGTAAGGCAGACACCTTGACCAATACGGCTCATCAAAGTCATAGCGATAGCTGTGGCGCTAAAGCTATACTGTGGGAAAATATGTTGACAGGTCCATAGATCTGCAGGAGGTCACGGCATTATGCCCAGTCGGCAAACCATCCTGGCTGAACTTGGATCCCTTAGTCTGGAATTCACCCGAATGTCCCAACTCACCAATGATCCTAAGTACTTTGATGCGATTCAAAGAATCACGGATTTTTTCGAGGAGAACCAAGAACACACAAAATTGCCTGGTCTGTGGCCAATGATGGTGAATGCTCAAGACATGGAGTTTAGTGATCCACGATTTACCATTGGAGGGATGGCTGATTCGACGTACGAGTACCTTCCCAAGGAGCATATGCTGCTTGGGGCCCAAACGACTCAGTACCGTAAAATGTACGACTCATTCATGAAAGCTCTCAAGAGCCGTCTCCTCTTCCGTCCGATGACGAAGGACAACCAAGACATTCTTTTCGCTGGAAATGTCCAGGCCAATGTGTTCTCCCCAAGTAGAGAGAGGCTAGATCCGCAATGGGAACATCTGAAGTGCTTTCTAGGTGGCACGGTTGGTATCGGTGCTAAAGTATTCGAACGTCCCGAAGAGCTGTCTATTGCGCGGAAATTGGCTGATGGATGCATCTGGGCATACGACATTATGCCAACGGGCATCATGCCAGAGATTCTGCATCTGAGCGCATGTCGCGACCCGGAGAATTGCAAGTGGGACGAGAACAAGTGGTACCAAGATGTGCGACACCGCTTGGCGAAGAAGTCCAGCTCTCAGAGTCCTACTGAGCAGGCTGAATCACTGATCGAGACATACGGGCTGCCACCAGGAGTAGTTGACATTCCAGACCCGAAGTATCACCTGAGGTATGGTTCTCTCGCCTTTTAACATTATGATGTCCACGCCTCTGACATAGCTCACAGACCCGAGGCCATTGAGTCTGTATTTATACTGTATCGTATCACTGGAGACATCAAGTTGCAGGATGCTGCATGGCGGATGTTTCAGAATATTGAGAAGATGACCCGGACTCACTTTGCCCATGCCGCGATCGCAGATGTGCGGGATCCCAAATCGCCGCAATTGGACTACATGGAGAGTTTTTGGCTCGCAGAGACGCTGAAGTACTTCTACCTCATCTTCTCCGAACCCAATGTTGTGAACCTCGATGAATATGTGCTGTCAGTGCTGCCCTCATTGTTGTGCGAATGCTAGATGCTGACCAGAGTGCAGAAATACCGAAGCGCATCCATTTAGGCGCCCGTCTACTTGATTGTGATGACCAATGCCTAGTATTCTCATATAGATACCAAAATTTCGCTCAAAGGGCTTGGTCACCCAGGCGTTACCTTACACCCTGTTTGTGGGACCGACGGGCACTACTTAAGTCTGCAATTGCTGTTATCTGCCATTGCGGCTTAACTCCAGGCGCATTCTGCCACGGCATGTGGACGGCATGTGGAAAAGAATGCACCCCGTCCGCTCAGCCGTACATGAGCTACATAGTAAATGTAGTTATACAGGTCGATGAAGTCTTTGAGGGCTAGTATCTCAACCGGGCGCAGAGGACTTTGGGGATGCCTTAGAAATTTAAGCAAGAAAGTATTTTATTTCTCTCTTATACAACTCAGTATCTGTTAAATATTGTTAAGCTTCAAACACTGGATGATGTGATGTCATATTATCTTAGAGGGATGCGCGCAGGCGTGTCCGCAAGGAATCCGATTTGCTCTGTCGGACGGTGTGTGAGGCCCAACGGACTCTAGAGGTAGGTAGGTCATGGGCGCGTAAACAGACTTACATGCAGATAGGCCAGAAGTTGGGTCGATTTCATTCCAGAATATTATGCAATAATGTCCTTGCGTCGAAACCTACTCAGTACATCAACGGATTCTTCTCGATTAGGTCTGACAAGATCATGGATGATTTAGTTGTGTTGATTTCGGTTGACCAGAATTCCTAGAGGCTAACAGACCCTTAAACGAGCGGAGCAAGACTGCTTGGTGGGACAATTTATGCTGTTGCTGTTGCTGTTGCTGTTGCTCAGTAACAAAGCTACAGGATCGGCCTCTACAGTATGGCCACTTTCATGATAGTAGTCAACATGAAGGTTACTAGCGTGAGCACACAAAGCTGTACAGGCATTACCTATCTAAATGGTAGTTGGGCTAACCACCTGAAGTGAGCTGCGAGGTTAGCACACTGCCTGTTTTATATCACTACTACTATACAGAGAACATGTAAAGACAGATTTCAACTTAGTCAGTCAAAGACTCTTTAGATTCAAGGGTAACTAAATAGATATCAAGTTCGGAAATCAAAGTTCGAGCATCTCGTTCTGACGTGTATAGTCACCACAAAGCATTTGTTCGTCAAAGTTAGTGTTCCGGTACTTGTCGAAGCGCTTCTCAAGGGCCGCGTTGATCTGGTCGATACTCCTGCAACGAAGAATCGTATCCTCTTCGACCAGCCCTTTTACGAGATGAATAAGCCATACAAACGAACCGTTGGACATGGACGTACCATGCCATCTCGATGAGGCTCACTCCATTGAGATCATAACCGGGATACGATCCAAATGCGTCCTGAAAGATCTTCTCACCGCAGCTATAGATGCAGATCTTCACTCTTCCCGACCTTTGGCGCACCCAGTCTTTCAGAGTGCTGACCATTCTAGGAAGCTCCGCTGGGTCCAGCTCATTCAAGCCATCAAGCTTCATAACGAACTTGCGATCTGTGTGGATGGCATCCGCTGTCACCAGTGCATTCCAGGAAAAGGGTACCTCGTCATCGCTAATAAAGCATTCCGATGCGACCAATTTATCCCAGGTTTCAGGAACGCTGTCCGTAGCCCAAAGGCACATGTAATACTGTACTGCTACATCAGGATTTGCCTTCTTGGGAAAAGCAAAAAGCCGAAACAGCTCACTACCCGGCTCAGCACCCGGAAAGTGAAAGTTGTCTCTTTCATCATGAGCGTGGCGAGGATCCCCCTGATCATGGTGTTGAAGTTTAGTTTACGAAACTCTTTGTGGCAACACTTGTAGAAGAAAACGTCCGACGGGCGTATACACTTCGTGTTCCACCGGCGGCCGTCTCGTAGCGGCTTCTCCCTGCTCTAGTACTTGAGATATTCCCCCATGTGGACCGATTTCCCCGATCCGCGCTTGCCCGTGAGATGGAAGAATGGCTCGTCCTCATCCGCGAGCCAGCGATTGGAGATTTGAGCCTAAGCCCGGAGACGTCGGAAAGCTCTGTGGTTCCGTGTCGCAAATTCAAATACTGGCCGTTCGGAAAAGCGTGGATTGAAAGAATTTCGACACCATCCCATCCGTCTGTGATGAGGCTTGGGCTCGTGCCCGGGTTTGCTTCCGAAGGTCGGGCTGTCCGCTCCGACCCCGAAATACAGATACCCTAGGAATTTCCTCGAATAACGGGTCATCAATGCTACCTCATATCGATCCTGTAGCGCCAAGACGAGGTGCTGGGGGGGGGGTCACTGAAACGTCCTACCACCGCGCGGTCGTCCGAAGTGTTGGGAGCTTTCTCGCCAGACATCTCATTGCCGTCCATTCTTAACAGCACATGAGAACAAAGAGGATATAATGTTATTGTCTAAAATGCTTTCTAGTCATTGAGATGGTTTAGTTAGTACAATGGCCTATTGAACCAAGAGATCGAGCATACTTGTTGCATTAAGAATGAAAATGATAATCGTCATAGAACCTTCAAGTTCCCGCTGCGCCTGTTCAATGACTGCCAATCGCGGCATGTGATGCACAATAGGTTCCAAGATTATAGATCCATTGGGCCATGCATTCTGGCTCAGCGGAGCTTGGTAAACTACTGACTTATTAGAGGGCGATCGTCACTTCATGTCAACCAATTTGATCTCAAATACCAGACTTTGACACTGAACTTCTTCAATATGAAAACATTGCCTTGTTCATGGGAAAGCACATCCTAACCTCCCACAAGCAGAGCACAACACTATCGGTAATAGCTATAACCACCAACACTCGCGCTTTGGAGAAATGGCAGCCGGCGGGTCAATTATGACTGATACTATGCACCCTTATCTTTGAGCATCGACTCTCTTGAAGTGATGGGGCCCTTAGCCTTGTTTAACCAGCCTCACGTATTGACAGTGCTGAGCTTAGTGTTCTATGTGTCTTCTGGCTAAGACAAAGTGGTGGGAAAAAGGAGGGAAGAAAAATTTATACATAGTCAAGCTGGGAGCCTACCAGCATGTAGGCAGTATTAAATCCGCATCGCCACGTGCTAAGTCTGGGATAAGACAGGGCAGAACTGGGGTAGGTCAGGCCGGTGATACCAAGCGTCCCTGCTGTGTACTCTGTTTGGTGAAATAGGGACCCGAATTGTAGGTAGTATGGCCAGCGCCCTTCCATTTCATGCTGCTAGGATTCGTTCCCCAGCCTACTAGTGATGGTTCGGCCTCGCAGCCAAATTTCAGTGTATATCATACTCATACGCGCCACATCCCAAAAGCGACCACTTCTAGGTACGCAGAATGAGCTCAAGATCATCTACTGGGTGCTTTAAAGCTCAGTGTTGCTCTGTCCAGGTACCATATGGTGATTCAGCTGACCAGCGCGCTTCAGCTTCAGGTGGGCGGGAGTCGGGCACGTGATTGTGTATGGATGATTAGCAGAGAAAGATGCTGAACGTGTGCTGCAAGCTCTATCGTGTCTGCTGTGCACTTGTACGCTTGACTTCCGGCAAACACAATCGACGAACGCTTGAGTCATATATACAGACCCGTTGCCATCTTCAGGCCAGAAAGTCAGTCTTGTGTTCATTTCTCCAAGGGCAGGCGCGTTGTATACCATATCTAGTAGGTCTGCCGGCTACTGAGTTGGAGAATGATGTAGCTGCAGTGGGGTTTGGTTACCTCATTGCTTAGCACAAGGAGGATATGCACTAACCACTAACCGATGATGTTCGCAAGTAACGAATCATGGGGCCTGGCATTAGAAATTCATTCACCCCGCACTGGTCACCGCAAGACCGCGGAGAAACTCCGGCCAGGGCTGGAGATAACGATTGCCCAGTCCACCATGACTCAGTCTGTAGATGCGTGTATACAGTCATTCTAGAGGGGTGAAACAAATCTCGGGATTGTTGGGCACCAATACTTCCCCTCCTCCTCCTCCTCCTCCTCCTCTCCAGCTTTAATGCGGGAATAGCTCTCCGGGTGGTAATAAGCAGGCTTCAGTCGCGTGAAGGTCGGGAATAGTCTCACGTTACGTCAAGTGGTATGTATGGGTGTATGTATCGGTGTCTACCCAATACGGTGTCGGGGCATGTCACAAGTGTCATTATGATGCCAACCGATAAGGACGATGATTTTGGCACCAGTGGCAAAAGGGCATGAAGCATCTCTGTCCTTTGTTAGTGCAGTGACGATTGCTGGGCTACTTGGTTCTCCGATCATCCCTGTCGGACGCTAGTTAGTGCATGCAGGTGTAAAGTCGCCAGCCTCTCAACGAGGAAACACTATTAGTGCTTCCTTGAGTTCCGAGGTAGCCAGACCAGTGCGGGCGCAATCGCAGAATTCAAGGGTTATCCGATGGCCGCTGGTGGGGGGGGGGGGGGGTATCTGCCACCTAGTCAGCCACGACAGCCGGACCAAGGGTCCTCTTTGTCCAACCGATCAAGGAGAGGGGAGGGGGGGGGGGGGTAAGTTCTACTATCTATGTATATACAGTACAGTAAGCGGGAAGCCCCCGGCCCTGACTTAGTCTCGCTCTTTTGCTCCGCACAATCGAGTTTCAGCACGATCAGATAAGAGGTGGCTCAAAGAATCTAATTTGATTTGGCTTAGTCCTGGTCGCTGACTCTAGGGCGCAATTTTGACGTGCTCTTGGATCGGATTAACTTGGACACTTTGCCTCTCGATGTGATCCTGCTTCGCAGCGATCGAGTCGTCAACCGCCATTGCAAGGGAGCACAAAGTACGGCTGTGTGCTGCCGCCCATAAGCCCAAGAATGATTCAATAGTGTGTCTGATCCTTCCTCCCGTACATCCGACCGGAGACACAAGTCCCTTGCATTTAGATCAGCAGCCCCTGATCGATCCATTGGAGCTACGAAGTACCCATTTTCATCTATGACATTGACCTGTTTGACACGGCTGGTGCCCTGCTAGACGTTTCGAGAACGGCTTGAGTGGGCACGCTTGGGGTTCGTGATCTATGGAGTACGCGGCTGTACTCATGAGATTATGAATTTCAAGTCAGGTTGGTCGCTGGGCCCCTTGGGGCCGTTCTCCAGGAGAAAATGGAGCCTGTTCGGAGGAGACATGCGCCTTCACGGCTATCTGATTGATTGATTTGATTGATACGGACACGCCCGGTTGGCCGATGTCGGACGGCCCCACTTTTGCCTGGGTGCTTGACCTGTCATGAGTCACACACCAATGAAAGACTGAATCCCAACAGTCTGTATCTGGCAGGAGGAATGATGTACTGTACCTCGTGCCAGGGATAGACGGTTCCAGTTCAGCTTGTTCTGAAACATGCCAGAGTGATGGAAGGCCTTTTTTTGTCTGCTGTGAGTTTGTGATGGTGGGTGGGATGAACACGGAACGAAAAGTCCCGCCGACCAGTTATCTGATCCGGAAACAAGACACTCTCCTCCGGCTGGCTACACAAAGTAATTTTACTGCAAATGCACTGTTGATCATCACTCTCCACTTACTATTGCTCGCTTCAATGTTTTAGCTCACTAAGGCCCCTGAGATAAGACTCAAGTCTAGAGCTGAATTTTGAGATGTGTCCTTTTGTCCTTCTCTCGCCAAGCGTTCGGTTGGTGAAGGAAAAACCGTCGCCAACCCTGCATGGGATAACCGAGGGATAGCCGCACCCGGATCAGATTAGATCGGTAACGTAACTCGGCTGCCGCTGCTGTTGTTACTTACCGTTTCATTGCCGTTGTCAGGCCACCGGATGAATCCATCTTCCAAGGTTGGATGGATCATGCTATCCAGGAGTGCACCCTGTTCGAGTTTGATGATGACCTGGGTCTACTAAGTATGTACTTCGGTAGGAAGTGCCTCCCACTCGGGATAGCTTTTCCACTCATTTGCCTCCAATTACTACCGACTCGAGTAAAATAACCCGCTAGCTGCAGATCAGGCGAACAGCGCGGCGACTCTACCCCGCGGAGAGACTCTGGGGAGGGGGCTCACTGTCAATGTCCAGGCGTAGTACCCGAGTGCTTGGCATAATAGTGAAAGTTACTAATGGTTTACAATGTTAGCCAAGCCTGGTGCTCCTGAAATTGAAGTTGAGGCCGGGTGTCGTGGGAGAAACGTTGCCGAACGGTCGCTGGAACTAAACTGGTAAAGTTACGAAGAAACCGGGTATGACTGAATGGATGGGCTGGCTGTACGAGACATTTCCTCACCGAGTGGCGACCTCGACCCAAGGAAATGAAAGCCATGCTTTCATTCTTGAATAATTGTCTTCGCTACAATTTTTCGCCTCGCATTCTCTCTCTCTTCCTCTCCTATTTGAATCCGTCATTGGTAGCTTTTGCACGTGCCCTACCTCATCGCTTCCTTTCCTCCTCCCTTCCCCAACATATTCTCGTCCGTTCAATTTTAAAAATCCTTGATCCATCCTGTTTCATGTCTCTTTGAATAAACAATCCCATGCATGCAACAGGCGAGAGGATCCTTTGATACGTACAGACAAACTCTAGCGTCTTCGGAACCGTCCTCCCGGCGCCGTCGTGCCCCAGACACCCTTCGTCCATTTGCCTCATTCCACCTCTCCCCAAAACAGCATCGCTCTGATCCTCCGACCGTCCGGGACTGCTTTCATTTCCGATCTGCTCCCTGCGTCGTTCGTCCTTATCTGGATGCCCACCCGTTTGTGGTGTCCCACTGTTCTAGTGTAGACTGTCGTCAATTGCCACTACCTTCTCTCGTCCCCTTTTCGTCGGGCCCTGGCCTTCTTTAATTCTACCCTCGACCAGCGATTGCTCCTCTTCAATTTACCTTCAATTTCAGCTTTTCTTCTCTTCCTGCGCCTCTTTTGTTATCGCAAAGGGCGTTGACTTGGCGAGCAATCAACTCGCTTTATACGTTCCTATTCAGAGACACAATGGGTATGTCCGATGGTTTTTTTTCCCCTCCGTCGTTCCTCATGAGTTTGACGCCCATTGTCACTTGTCGTCAACGAGTCTGGTCATGGATGGACAAATGACTGACATTTCCTCGGATAGTTCACGCTGTACCACAGCCGCCTTCGTCAAGGCTGGCAACGCCACAGCCTCCCCTTGCCTCCAGTGGGAACCACAAGAGCATCCCGTTGTCCTCGACATCCCATCCCGATAACCCTGTTCCGGAAGAGCCTCGCGGAGTTCGAGCGCTATCTGTCACCGACATCAACTTCAGTGTCTCCTCGCCCTCATTGCACGAAACCGAATCCACAGGTTCCGAATCACCCTCGTCCGCCCAGACGCCCAACACAGAGATCTCGTCAGATGCAGAGGAATCCCTGCAAAAGTCTGCTGCGGAAGATGGCTCTGAGAAGCCAAGCCGAGCCTCCACAGTCCTGATCTCCCAGAACTCTGAGGATATGCGAAGAATTCTAGAGAATGTTGGCGTCGCGGGTACTCAAAAGCTTCAGCCTCTGTGCTGCGGGGGTGGTTGTTGTCGCAGCCAGCCCTTGACCAACATCCCTACTCCAGCTGCTGGAGCGAATGTCGTGGCTCCTCCGGACAACAAGGCTTACCAGAGCCTCAAGCTCAATGTCGCTTATCTCACAACCGATAGTCAATTGACGGACATTGTTCCTCTGCCCGAGAAGACCGTCTCTTTCTCTGCAATCCCGAAATCAGCAGTTGACATGCAACTGGGCTCTCCGGACCACCCGCCACCTTTTGTTCAGCCTCATCCGCCATATGACGTCTTCCGTGCCCCTCTGTACCATGCCCGAGAGTTGACCAAGTCCGGCGCAGAGAAGCGTACGTATCACTTTGACATCGATGTAACGGACTATCCCGCAGAGAGTGGTAGCGTGGACTTTGTCGTGGGTGGTGCTATCGGTGTGTGCCCTAAGAACAAGGACGAGGAGGTCGACGAAATCTTCAACCTACTGGGTGTACCTAAGTCGATTCGCGACAAGAAAATCACTGTTCGCACCGCGAAGGGCCGATGGCCCACAATCTGGGGTGATGACCAGCCCCGAGAGCTTATTACCACCCGGAGGGAGCTTTTGAATTGGTGTTCCGACATTCAGAGTTATGCACCCACCAAGGGTCTATTCCGGCTGCTTGCTGAGTACGCCAGTGAGCCAAACGAAAAGAAGATTCTTTTGTTCCTCTCTTCCGCTCAAGGACAAGGTGCTTTCTGTGATCTACGCACCAGCTCTCACATCAGCGTCTCTCAGCTGTTGCACGCCTTCCCCTCATCTCAACCTCCCTTGGATTACCTCCTTTCTGTCCTGAACACCCTCATGCCCCGTTTCTACTCCCTTTCTCAGGATCCCCTCCTCTCGTGCAAGGAGAAGGGAACTCAGACCCGTCGCCTGGTTGAAGTCGCAGTGACCGTGGCCGAATCAGACGACTGGAAGGGAGGGTTGCGTACGGGTGTCGGCTCTGGATTCCTCGAGTCGCTCGCACGTAAAGTGATCGAAGCCGAGAAGAAGGGTATCGATCCTTCCACTCTCAACATCCATGTTCCTATGTTCCGAGGCCTGATGGCCAACCCCTTGGCGAAGCAATTCACCTCCGATGGTCCCATGCTTCTGATCGGTGCCGGTGTGGGTATCGCTCCCTTCCGCGGGTTCGTCCAGCGTCGCCTCCAGTCGGCCAACTGCGCAAATAAGGTCTGGGTCTTGCAGGGTGTCCGTGACTCTCTGTTGGATGAGCTGTACTGTGGCGAATGGGGTGTCGACGAGGAGAAAGTGCGCACGGTAGTCCAAAGCCGCCGTGGCGAGAGCAAGTATGTTCAGGAGGAGGTCCGTCAACAGGCCGACCTGGTTTGGTTCGTCATCAACGCTCTGGATGGCCGAGTATTCGTCTGCGGAAGCGGCAAGGGCATGGGCGAGGGCGTTGAGGACTCCCTGGTAGATGTGGCCATGGCCAAAGGCAATCTGAATATGGAGGAAGCCAAACAATTTTGGGCCAACAAGAAGGAAGCCGGACAATACATTGCTGTAAGTTCTCTCCTCTTTGTTGAGTTATTGAGTAATTGATGGACGCTAACATCGCGGCAGGAAACTTGGTAATGTGTTCAGGATCGCAGGCTGGATTGATTCCGGTCGTATCACGGGGCTATCTAGTCAAATATGTGTACTACACTGTTTCATTTTATTTTGGATATTTCTGGTTTAATGCTGTTTTAGCGGGGTGGCATGTTCAAATATCTGTTCACGGTTGATCCGTGGATCTCTGTCATGGGAACTAAACATAGAATTAGTTCGGTAGCAATACCTAATGCACAGCTTCTTACAGCTTTTTCAAGTTCAACAGTTATCTCGCCCAAGCTAAACACTTGTGATGTCCGTTGACTCCGTTCTGCTCGGCTTATCTTTCCCATCGTTGCTTGTTATATGAATGCAGGAGCTAAATTTTGCTGCCAGAATTGTCCCTGGCAAACGAAAAACAAAAAGGCGCTAAACAAACCTTCTTCATCTTCTAATAGTGAGACGAGCGCCACTTCCACATCGGTGACTGTACTGCTATACCAAAGAAGCAGTGTCTTTATTACGAACAACCAATATGTTGCGTCCTTTCAGTATCGCATCGAACCGACTTCCGCTCACGCCACCATGGCTTGTTATATCAAGGCTTACATGGACTATTTCACCACCAGCGGTCTCCTTGGAAGTGCCACCCAGACTGTCAGTTCTAGCAATGTGGGTTGGGCTACTCCGGGGCAGCTTTCGATATCGACAACGTGCAATTTGTTGGGCCCGCTGTCACATCCTGCTCAACCCAGACCATCACTTATACCTCGGCGCCAAACCCAACACCGACTGTGATGCCGGTCACCACTTCGATTGAGACTTCTTCTTCGCAAGCTCCATACCCAATCTTGCTTTCATCATCGATGATATCTTCTCCAATGCCATCCGCCATAGCGCCCGTGGTGGTTAGCAGTACTGCACCTTCATCACAGGCCGCTGTGATTGTGCCTTCCTCCAGCGTTGCTCCCTCGTCTCGCGTCATTATCTCGTCTATTGTCGAGCCTTCGTCTAGCGCTCCTATCTTGATTAGCTCTCCGGCTGCCGCTGTCAGCTTTTTGACTCGACGGCCTTCTAGCTCTACTGCCTCGCCTTTCTTGACCATTGCCGTCTCGGTTCCTTCTTCAAGCAGGGCTATGTCGGCGTCTGGAGCGCCGATTGTGTCTGCACCCAGCTCTTCAGCCGCTATCGTTGCTTCTGGCTCTTTAGCTGCTGTCTTTCCGGTTTCTCCAGCTTCTTCTACCATCCACTCATCCTCTACTGCCATCGTGGCAGTGTCTTCAGCCACACCCCTGACCTCTTCAAGCCGCAGTGCCATTGCTTCTCATGCCAGCCAGACTCCTGGCGCTCTCTCTACAAGAAGAACAACCTACGTTACCGAAACGATGATTGTCTCTGAGACCATTTGCCCTTCCAAAGCATCCCGAACTCAGCCAACTGCTATGGCGACGACCACAGAAAACCCCTCTCAAGGCAAAAATAGCGGTACGGAGGGCCTGAGCACTACCTCGACTATTCTTAGCACTCGCACTGCAACTATCACCGCTTGTCCATCGACTATTTCTAACTGTCCTGCCTCTGTAAAGACTACCTTCGTCACAGCTGAGACTCTGGTGGTTTCTACAACCATCTGTCCCATCACGATGGCCCAATATCAAGCCACCGCTGCTGCCTCGGTCACAGGAGGCTCGAACTCTGGTCGCCCGGGTGGTGAAGAAGGCAGAAGCACTACCTCTACTGTCCTCCGTACCCGTACTGCAGGTAAATTACGGCGTGTTCCTCCACCGTCCCTGATTGCCCCGCTTCCGCAAAGAGCGCGTTCGTAACTACCGAGACTCTGGTCGTGTCAACTACTGTGTGTCCAGTGAGTGCTACTTCAACGGCCCACGACATCAGCGGCGTTTCTCCGGCGACAGTCCTCCCAGTGGCAGGCAATGGAATGAGCTCTGGGTCTAGTACGGCTGCCGGCTCCTCGTCTGAGGCTGGAGTTGCAGGGTCAGGCTCTGATTCGAACTTTAGCTCTGCAGGTTCTAGCCCTGGCTTCAGCTCCGGCACTACTTCTGGCGGTGGTTCTAGCTCCAACTCGGGCTCTGGCTCTGGCAGCAGCCCTGGTTCCACATCTGGTCCCGCTGCTGGTGATACTGGCGGCTCTACTGCTGGCGCCAGCTCCAGCTCTCCCAATAAATCTGGCTCTGGCTCTATCCCTGTTCCTGGTTCTTCTGGCAGCTCCAGTTCCAGCTCCAATTCCAGCACTGTTAACAACTCCTTTACCGGCACCAGCTGTGGCTCTGCTGCTGGCTCTGCTTCTGGCTCTGCTTCTGGCTCTGCTTCTGGCTCTGCTTCTGGCTCTGCTTCTGGCTCTGCTTCTGGCTCTGAGTCTGCCTCCGGATCTGCCTCTGGATCTGCCTCTGGATCTACCTCAAGCACTTCTTCTGGCTCCGGCCTAGCACGGGATCTGGCTCAGCTCCAATCACTGGTTCCAACTCTGGAGCTGATTCCAGCTTTGAATTTGATTCTTCCTCGAGTTCGGCCTCTAGTTCCAGCTCCAATGTTGCCCCTGCCGGTCTTAGCGGTGTCTCACCGGTCTCCGAGTCGGAATACTGGGAGCCAAACCGAGCAGGATCAAGCTACCGACAAGGCAACTGGCTCGGCCGATTTCCAAACCAAGGGTGCCACAGGAGGCAATATTTAGTCTGCTTCTGTCCCGACGAGCACTGGGTTCCAGAAATTCCATAGTTCCATAGCAGCACTCCGGTTGTTGCATCTTCCACTGCTCAGGCCAGTGCGGTCTCGTCTGCGTCTAGTGCAGCCAGCGCTCTTTCATCGGTGCTGCCCATGTTGGTCTAATGAGTGTCGTGCTTTGTTGCTAAGGGACATTTCATCTCCGATTGGCGGGGCTACGGCCATTTGTCTATACTTAATCTAATAATGTATGTACAGTACAAACAAAATGTATATTTATATCACGCAGTACAGTTTCCCAAGGACGATACCAATGATACATATCCATTTACTCTTCTTTCATCGAACCTGTTAGGATCCACGTCGAGACAATAGGGGTGGATTACGCTCGCGATGGCGAGGCTAATACCTAAACTAGCACCACCTAGTCGATCGATTGACGGTGTTCTATTTGCAAAGGAATTAAAGGCAATATAATGCGTTCTCTCGGAGAGAGAGAGAGGGACAAAAAGAGTGAACGATTCCGTCACGACCCTCGACGCATACTACCCATATCCTTCGCGCAACCGCAGCCGCAGCACGCTGACTGACTTCGTTGAAGATATATATCATCGTTCCGAAGACATTTTTAAAAGCAAACAGCAGCAAATGTATTCACAACCGGAAATGGGCGCGCATGCTCCTATAAACAACGAGAGGGGTTAGCAGTAACTCAACTTATTCTCACTATCTCTACACCGTTCATTTGTGTTTTGTACGCAATGAAAGAAAAGCCCACGAATTACCGCGAAGGTGCCCGCACCAATACGAGCATCCTTTTAAGAATTGGCGTGGTATGGGAATTCAATTGGAAGATTAAAGTGAGATATTCACTAGGTGGACCAGGTCATTTATGTCTCCTCCCCCCTTTACCATTCTTTTTGCTTTCTTCTGTTCGTTACAACAATGCTATGCAAGATAGGTAGGTACTGTACATACAGCGCTGCTGGTCCTGTGGTTAGGTCTTCTAGAAAGCAGGGTGGGACTCGTGGCTATAAGATATGGAATTCGTCAACTGGTACGACTTGTATATATTGAACAACAACTACCCCCGGTCTACATCCTTGGGATATCCAAGATTGTTCCGGACTGCTGAGCGCGATTGTATGTCCCTTGGCGATACTAGCTATCAAGGCCGTGCCACTACAGCAGAGGATATTGTCCGTTCCGCGCGGCAAATATTGATTCTATGGTTGTTGGTGAAGGCTGGACTTTCTCGGGGGGCTTCGCCCGCAGGCATACGGACTCTTTCCGGATCTGGGATGCTCGGTGTCAATTATTTTTTCTTTTTCTTTTTTAATTGGTGGTATATTTCTTTAAGAGGTTAGTGGGGAGACTGGTCATTGTATCAAGTGCTCATTGCAGTTGGCTTGGATCATCTATCCTGTTGGCGTCACCATGGGCACGGGTGTCCTATTCGGCTACGGGGTGAGGAGAGCGAGATTGGTGTCATAGTGTGTGCTAAATTGGAATATTTGGCAGCGACTGGGAAATGAGGTTTGACAACATCGATCTGCTCCGGTTTAGGTCATTGAAACGGTCCGAGGAATTTCTGATACTATGTCGTATACACATGTGTCAAGTCACGAAAGTGAGACGTAGTCGAAACGGCGTGACATCAACGCACTGGCGTCCAAGACAACTGCCGCGCCATGTCAGTCACTGAGGTATACGAAGCAAAGCGTTGCGCATGTGCATCACCCAGTGACTGAATCTGGATCTGTCACGGGGTCCCGGACGGTCACTGGACTGCCTTCCCTTTCGGAACCACTCTTTGTGCCCGACACTTATCTGATCGCCGATGGCGAATTGCTCCCCAACCTCCCCTCTCGGGGTTCAACCTCTCCAGGGAAGACAAGAAGAACAGCGCAAGGAGAACGCCGAATACAACCGGAACTAAGAATAGACTGCATGCATGTATGGAACCGATGTTCACGCATGACTGCAATGGCAATATGCAATCGTCGTGTTGGAATCACGTCTACGCCCTTGGCCCAGCCCCCGCAACTCCACTGGCTGGCTGTCAGCGACAGCATTCTGAAACAGGGTGGAGTCGCTTGTAAAGTCACATCAAACACTGGGGAGAAAAGCCATACCGATGCTGCCAATGGCCATCGTGACAGGCCAAATGGGGCAACAAAAAGCAAGGAAGCGGACGGCTGGAATTACTTAGAAACAATCCACCCGCACTTCTGAACATCCCCGTACTTGCCTTCCCATGCCATGAGTGACAGACTTGGGTAAGACGTGCACGCGGCAGTTTCAGAACAGTCTCAGAATGCATGCACAGATCAGAGAGCGATGGCAAGGAAACCTGAAGCCTGTCAGTTGGGAAGGACATTGCTATTTGTTTCGAGACCACGGCGTGGAGCCCAAGCGGGATCTGAGGCGCCTTGAAGGCAAATAAACACGCTACAGACACGAGGATCTGACGTCGTGCACATCGTCTAGGGTTCCAATTTTATCATCACCGTCTGCCAGGGGATTGAGTAACGGTTGCCTGATTAGTGGAGAAAGAGGCTTGCCAACTCTCGTGAGTACATGGTGATAATGCGATAGATGGCCGACTGTACAATACCAAGAACCCTCCCTGTAGGGTTGAGCTAATCGTTCGTAATCGCTCGTATCGAGCCACAATGGAGCTTAGAGTGTGAGCTAAACGAAAGTGGCTTTTCAGCCCAAATAATCCCCTACCGTCTATTATGGACTTGTGCAGAAGGCTGATCGACATCCATGGCACCCGGTGCACTAATGCATACAAAACCTCCGCTAAACCCTCGATGCTCACCTTGACTAAGCGGAGACCGAGAGGAGGTTAGGGGTCAATAACATTGGTCAAAACCAAGGCATAATTCAATGTGATTGCAGCGTCTCATTATTGTGGCGAACTCTGACGGTGTAAGTTCTCCGGCACCTTGCCCCTAAGCGCGACTCAAGTCCGCCGCCGCCTGACAAAATTTCGCCGTGACAGATGACAAGACAAGGTGGCAGGCCAACAAAGCGAAGCATAGTCTAATGCCTCAGACAACGGCCGTCATGTCTATTTTGGGGAAGACCTGGAAGCACAGAAGCAAGCCGAAGTTGCCGGACAATCGTCATGGCAGGCCGAGGATCCTTCATCATTACCACCTGCAGGGGCAACTCCCACCATCATCGTCCGTCGATCCTCCGCGTGCATGAAGACGAACTGCTGGGTCCGCAAGGCTTAAGGAGAGGGGAGGACGAGCATTATTGGCCAGATCTCTCATGATGCGACAGTCCGTTTTCCGCACCTGGAATGCAGTGGTCCAGCTTAGTGTGGACGCCCAGTTTCTCTGCTATGTTCTAGAAAGGTGTTGTTCTGGTGGGGAGGAGGGGGTAGTGTCCGTGATCGGTGATATGATGATGGCTGGGGAACGACGAAGATGGGGAAACGAAAGGCTTGAGTTTGAAACTAGAGATGCAATAGAGTCTCAGGCTATTGGCACGCCAGTCTCAACCAGGCAGTTGGTATCAAGCAATTGGGTTTGAGATCCAGGGGAGGGGGAAAGGGGTTGGTTGCAGACAGACTGGGAAATCTTCGGAGATTTCCCACCGTCACATCAACCCGTGGGCGGAGGAGGCTCAGGGAGGAGAGGAAGCGGGTGAGACATCCTGGAACCAGCGATGATGTCAGTTGCGTTCCAGAGGAAAGTTTCTTACCGCCCACTCTTTCGCTGGGGAATCGATCCGGACTGCTGATTGGAGGTTGAGGAAGCCATGCCAAGATATTCTCTAAGTAAGGTTGAAGTCAACTGATGATGCTTGTTCCTGTTTCTGTACAGATGGGCGGTAGGGGTGAAGGCGGGTGAGAAGTCAGCACATCGTCTCCGACTCTGACTTTCCCCTATATGGAAGGCGATGCTTTGGATTGACTCGGTAGCATGAAAAGATGCACGATGGTGACAGGCAAGATGGGCCGACCACAGCCAGAGCCAGTAGAAGTGCCACCCACCGATCCTCTCTGGCGGGCGGATCCCAAGAACCGGGAACCAGCGGACGGTGACACGACAGCAGACAAGCAGACACTAGAATGACAAATAATCCCAGACTGCTCGTGTTAACCTCATACATTTGGAATACTCCATAGTCCATCGAGGAAAGAGACGACAATGGTGGAAGTCTATTGATTGTTTCTTCTGAGAGGTGGTGCCCGTGATGAGTGCTAGGTGAGACGTTGAAATTGCCTAAAAGGGGAAGTCTCGTTTGGCGGTGAAGATGATGATGCTTCTAGAAGGATTCGAACACAACCAGAACATGAGGGAAAATTATCCAATCGAAATTCAGCTCGGACAATCCGAACTATGAGTCCCAAAGTGGGAACCCCTTCCTTGTCCGTCAACTTGATTGAGAAGTTCCTGTTTGATGATTGTTTGATTGGATACACAATGAGTATTGTTTTCTTCTTTCAATGTTCCTCACCTAATCATTCCACCTTTCTTGGTGCAAGTATGGCG